CGCGGACGACTCGTGGCTCTGATACTTGCGTTTGCGAGATGATGCGACCGCCGCAGCAGGTGTCGTAGTTGGTGTGCTATCGTGAAGTCAGTCGAGTGAGTCAGACGCACGTCACATGACAGTACTCACTTTCTTGCTGTTGTCGCTGGTTGATCTGTCATGCGTGAAATGGCTTTATTGATGTTCGGCGACAGGAGCTGGAGGGCGATTCTCTGGAACGGGGCCTGTGTGCCATTGGCGGAACTTCGCTGTGTCCGATCCATTAGATGGCGTGGTAGCGACAGTCTTGGGGGTTGGATTGTAGAATGATTGTGTGATTGAAGCCCCGCTGAATCCGGTCGAGAATCAAAGACGAGGTGGAAGGAAAGGCAGGAAAGGGAAAGGATGTTCTTGGTGCAGTGTCGCAATTAGAAGGAAAAGGAAATGAAGGAAGCTGCAGCCTTCAGTCGATGAGATGTCCAGTTGCCGAAAGTACTCTCCCATTGCTGAGGCGCCAATATCGGAAGTGAGGCGCGAGTAGCCATCTCTGCGAAGCTGCAGCCTTCAGTCCATGGGCTGTTCAGTTGCCGAAAGTACTCTCCCTTTGCTGAGGCGCCAATGTCGGAAGGGAGGCGCGAGTGGTTATCTCTGCGAAAATGCAACCTTCAGTCCATGGAACGAGACAGATTCATGAGGGGCTACGGAGCATTGCAGCAGATAGTTGGTCACGTCTGGTGCCGACATGTGCTGCTCAAACGCCTCATGGGCGTCCCTAGATAGTTGCAAGCCACCACCATTTTTACGCGAAGCTGCACTCCTTGTCTCTGGCCATCAACCCTGCCCTCGCCTCGCCTTGGAAATTAGTGTCCTTTCTGGATCGGCGGCTGGGTGTAAAGAGCAAGGCGGCACGGGCTTTGAGAACAAGGTGCTTGAAGTCAAGGACGAAATCAGAGAGAGGGAGAGAGGCGCCAGCAGAACGCAACTGTAAATCCGATATTGATTTTTGGGAGGGGGCTATCTTACACGCTCTGGCAGGTGATCATACTGCTGATGTGATGCTGTCGCCATAGCTAACTGTTGCTGCTGAGGTGAATGGGAAGGAGAGAGTGCAGTTGCCAACACAAGGAATGAGATCGCTTGCCCTCCCCTCTCTCTCTGTCGATGCTCGCCACGTCCTCGCTCTATGCGTAGGTATGCTGGGAAGCCGGGTCAGAGGCGACCTCTTCCATCGTTGGACGCCGCATTGGGTCCACATGGAGGCAGCGGGCAATGAGCTTGCGCATAGGACAGTCAGTCCCGGCGAGGTCCGATCGAAGGGTTTCCAGCTGCTTCAACGCCTTCTGGCGTCTGGCTCTGAAGTTGGCCACGCTGTTTGCGCCTTGCGCAAACTGGTTGCCGTCCGTTGTCATGCCCTTCTCGTTGACTTGGACGAATGGTGAGTAAGACAAAGTCTTGTCGTCGAACGGTTGCGTTAAGATCCACTTCCCCTCCTAGAGGAAGTGACAACACACTCCAATCGCGAACACATCGGCTTGCCGGCCGTTGTACCAGCCACTGACTGCGCCCATTTCTGGGGCGTGATAGGCGGTAGTGCCCCACTTCAGGGTCGTTCTAAGTCGGTCGTTCGTCTCTGGTCCACCGGTGGAGTTGCTGCGAGCCATGTCGACGTCACACCAGACCGCTTTGTACACTTTTCGCGAGTTCCCGGGTACGTTGGATATCGCTGTTGATAAAGCCTGGCTTGCGCATGGCGGCATTGGCAAGGACGTATTGATGCCTTAGTCCTTTCCTCTCGTGTTTGGTCATAGTCTGAACGACGTCTGACTCCAAAGTTCCGACGCCTCTGGATGGACGAACAAGATCATTTTGCCCTTGTTGTCGCCGGGAAGTTCCATAGAGTCTCGAAGCACGGTTCGGTATGTCGTTGGAACCTTCATTTTCTCGAGGGCTTTGTAGATCGCAACCTCCCGCTTGCCTTTCTCCGCTGGAACATGCTTGCCTGCCAACAACGCGGGGCTGTCAGTGTCGGTCACTGCAAGCACGATCGTGCCACTGCGACTATCTTCATAGATAGGGTCTCCAATCTGCCAGTCCTCCAGTGTGGCACCTTGGTACATGGTTTTGACGCCAGGGGTGACGATACTGCGGACTTCTAGCTGATTGTAGTTTGCAGGATTCGCGATGAAGCCGTGGAATGGCATAATCGTCGTCGCGGCGGGCCAGAATAGCCGCTGTTGATCGTGTCCCGTGAGACATACTGAGGATATCGTGCTGAGTCTTCTCTCATTCTGCGGCCAAATGGTTCCAACCCTGGAAGAAATCAAGGGCTTCGACTCTTAAAGTCCTTCAACGGAAGTGAGGAACGGTCATGCTGTGTTGTTCGGCTTCGGCGATGGAGGACGAAGCCGTTGACCGTATTTCAGGCTTTTGGAGGCCAAAAACCTTGTATGGATCTTGAACATTGTCATCTGCGAGATGAACTGCCACTCGTCCTGCGATACATGTTCACTTCAGTTGGCGACAATGTCGTTGGTATGCGATGACGCGCTCCCGCACTTTCGCCGCGACCGGCGGCTTGTTTTCTCCTCCTGAGAGCCTCATCTCACGGTTGCTGTCACGGGTCACAGTTCACCTCGGTCGTGTTCGGTGCAAAAGCATAGTTCCATCAGGATTGTCTCTAGCTGCATGCATTCGACTCTCTGGAGCTCTGGCTCGAGCCGCATTGTCCAACGCGCCGCTCTTGCCACCGGACGCTCTTTAGGCTGGGCAAGTGCGCCGGCATTCTCAACAGCAGCTGTTGCGACAGCGGGCAGGAGGGACCCTGGCAGCAGAACCCCACATTTCCACATGATGTCGCAGTCAAACAAAAGAATTCGCCAGCTCTCTGGTCACCTCCCACCTCCACAACCACGATACAGCAGCACACAATCAAATACCCCCAACATGTCGAAGTATTCCGTACGGGCAGTGGGTGCCCCGCACACGCTCGAACATCGCATCTACATCGAAAAGGATGGCGTGCCAGTCTCGCCTTTCCACGACATCCCACTCTATGCCAACGAGCAGCAGACCGTCCTCAACATGATCGTGGAGATCCCACGATGGACCAATGCCAAGCAAGAGGTGTGTAGCTCATTGCGGACATCAATTGATGGTGGCTCAGAGGCCCATTGGCACACATGAGGAGAGACTGACAAGAGAGTGCTTGTAGATCTCCAAGGACGAGGAGCTCAACCCAATCAAGCAGGACACCAAGAAGGGCAAGCTGCGATTCGTTCGCAACTGCTTCCCCCACAAGGGCTACCTGTGGAACTACGGTGCCTTTCCTCAGACCTGGGAAGACCCTAATGTCACCCACCCAGAGACCAAGCAGAAGGGCGACAACGACCCGCTCGATGTCTGTGAGATTGGTGAGCTGGTGGCCAAGCCTGGTGAGGTCAAGCAGGTCAAGGTCCTCGGTGTCATGGCTCTGCTCGACGAGGGCGAGACCGACTGGAAGATCATCGTCATCGACGTCAACGACCCTCTGGCGCCCAAGCTGAACGACATTGAGGACGTTGAGCGTCACCTTCCAGGTCTTCTCCGTGCGACCAACGAGTGGTTCCGCATCTACAAGATTCCAGATGGCAAGCCAGAGAACCAATTCGCTTTCTCGGGCGAGTGCAAGAACAGGAAGTACGCTACGGAGGTCATCCGTGAGTGTGCTGAGGCTTGGGACAAGCTCATCACTGGCAAGACCCAGCCAGGTGACATCAACCTGTGAGTATCGTACGGCAAGAAGGATTGAGAGTAGCAGTTCTGACACCTCCGCAGCACCAACGTCTCCGTTCCGCAGAGCGCCAACCGCGTTGACCCCAAGTCGCTGAATATCCCAGCTGGAGAGAACAAGGCACCAGCACCAATTGACCCAAGCATTGACAAGTGGTTCTACATCTCTGGTGCCTCTGCTTAGATTCTCATAGCATGATCGCTGGCGAACGAACTTCAGTCAAGGCTGATCTCGCCATGTGCATCAGGGACGATAAATCACGACTAAAAAGGGAAACGCATGCACGCAAAGACTGTAGAGGGACGTGAGGCTTTTATGAAAATACAGCAGACTCGACGTCGATAGAGCTGTACCTATGCTGCTAAATGCGGCTTGTGCATTGAACCACCCCAAGTTTGTCCTCAACACTTGTCAATACGTCTCGGACCATATGTCTTTGCATATAGATTCCAACCGCTCCATGCTGTTTGTTATACATGTTGCTCGCTCGTCTACCCATCAAGACGCTTTTAATCCCGTGCTCGATGCTGCGGTTGCACTACTCCTGCACCGTCTTGTCTCCTGCTGGCTCTTTTGTCATGATCCTCCCCTTCTCCCTAATCCTCTCAGTTGATGAAGTTCACGCAAAAGAAGTGCAGAATCAAGCTGCCAAAGACGAAATCCGCGAATGCTCTGTCATCAAAGTTATCACGTTAGCTCTTTCCTGACATACACATATTTGCGTCCCTCTCATCATCTCGTCACTTCCGTTTCATCCCCTCACTGCTGAACATCGGAGGAAAATGAATGGCATTATTTGGCAAGCTCACCTCTCATGGCTAATCCTCTCAAAATCCGCCTTGTTTTCTGGGTTCGTTTGGATGCGTAGACTGGCTGTGAGGACGAATTGACCGACTGTTGCGCCGAAGCCGGAGAGGAAGGCGTTGAAGGGCTGTGGGAGAGATGCAATGTCAGCTGCTGGTATTTTGGTCTCCAATGTCTTTTCATGCTCCTGAGTCGTAGCCAGTTTGCCCATTGAGATATAACTCCACCTCTTTCCCGTAGTGTTTCTTGCACCGAGAGGATAGCGTTGTACTCACAAAATTTCCCGCCAACACACAGTACGCGAATTGCAAAACTCCAACCAGGAGGAGGAACCCAAGAAACGTGTCGATCAGTTTAACGCGTTGTGGAGTGTGGTTGTTATAGTTGGACCAGATGTGTGTGATGATAGATTGGAAATCTTGCGCGCGGAGCGTCGAGGGTGCTGCGGATTTCGTTGAGGAGGAGGAAGAGGATTTGTTCTCAAAGGTTTTGGATGTGACGGTTCGGGGTTGTGTTGCGGATGTAGTTGCGCTCGAGGCGGGGATTGTTGCGGGCGTTGCGGATTTTTTGGGCGCCATTGTTGTGGGTGAGGACGAGGAGGTAGCGAGGGTCGTTGTCGCGAATCGTTTGTGCGCGGTTAAGGGAGCGAGATGGTGGCAGTCGTGGTGATATGGATGGAACTCTTTCACATGTCGCTACGCCAAGACGTCTTACAAGCTGTCCTCTCAGCACAGCTCGAAGTTCGTCGTCTCGCGCTGAACCCTGGCTAAACCGCATCGGAACATCGGCACTTTACCCCAGAAGAATGACGACGAACCGCGGCAGCGGCATCTGCTGTCTCTGGCCTGGCCATTGATTGCGAGATCCATCTCCAGACAGCTCTCAGCTTCGAACATTCCACAACATCACGACTACCAATCTCACACTTTGCTACTTACCTTCGTAGCAACAACCACAACTTCTCATGTCAAGCACCAAACCCGCCATCCCACCAACCCAAGCAACACAATCCCAAAAGATGGTCCGTTTCCCGAAGCTCTCCATCCTACTATGAAACCCCCGAACTAACATATCACACCTTCTCACAGTCTCTCTCCACCATCGCCCTCATCTTCGGTCTCCTCACCGCCGGCGGTGGAATCACCGGCTACGTTCGCACAGGCTCCATTCCCTCAGTCGCAGCCGGCTGCACTGTAGGCGCACTCTACCTCTTCGGCGGCTACAGACTCCAGAACCGTCAAGCATACGGCATTGAGAGCGCATTGTTGGCTAGCATCGTCTTGGCTGGCTCTTCAATTCCTCGCGCGATCAAGGGAGGTTTCAAGCCGCTGCCGACAGGACTCTCGGTTATCGCGACAGTTGGTATGTTGGCATTTGGAAATGGATATGCGAACAAGAGCAAGACGCTGTAAGCAGGTCAGGTCGAGGGAAGAGAAAGAGGAGGAATGAGTGTATGAAAGCAAGAAATCGACACAGAATCTTTGGAGGATTGTCAATCTTCATCAGATCAATATCTTGAAGCTGTAGTGGTATTTGTAAACATCGCTTTCACGCTTCTCTCAGCCGATCACCGAACGTTGGGAATCGATCAGTTGCTCATCTACTCCAGTTACGCCGCTCTCCAGTTTTTTACGGTGCTCTGGAAGCGATACCGTTGGCGATCACACCATTACTTTGCATTCGCATTCGCAGCTTGCAATGTCTTGTTTTTCTCTTCCTCGGCCTTCATCTCACGCACTTTCGCAAGGACAACCTATAACATATTTAGTGACACGATCTAAGGAAAATTGATCATGGCCGCACTTACCTCTCGGAAAATCGCACTCTTCGCCAGCTTGCTAAGGCTGCGCTTCCTCTGCGGATCACCACCAGGCACAGTCAGACTTCCAGTGCTATCTCCGCGCCCTCGCACTGCCTGGTCTGCTGCCTCAAGAGGGTCCGCGGGGATATCCGCTTCATTCGGACCCTCCTCTTCCTCGTCCTCCTGCATCTTGAGGGCCTCGATGCGGTTGGCGAGTTTGACGAGCTCGATACCTCGCTTGAGCTTGGCAGTTGCCATGTATGCCTTGATCTCTGGCAGGATGTTGTGATCGGTCGCACCCTTGCCAGCAATCCATGGGTCTGCCAATGCTTCCTTACTCGTCGCTCGCTCATGCGGATCGGGCTTGAGCAATCTGAGAATGAAAGTCTTGGCCTCCTTTGACACATCTTTCCAGTACCGGTCGTGGAAGACCACTCGCCCGTTCCGGCACTCCTCGATCAGTTCCTGCAACGATTCTGATCGGAAAGGAGAATAACCGCAAAGCAGTGTGTAGGTGATGACTCCGAGTGACCACATATCAACCGGTTTGCTGTGGCCCCGCTTTAGCATGACCTCCGGTGCGGCATAACCAAACGAGCCCGCCATTGTCTTCAGCACACCCTCCGGGCTATCCAAGTGCTTTGCGATACCAAAGTCGGCGAGTACGAGATCTGAATCGGGCTCGCGTGTCAGGTACAGCAGGTTTTCGGGCTTGAGATCGCGATGCACGACATCCTTTGAGTGCAGGTAATCGACAGCCTCCAGCACCTGCTTGATCGTTTGCGACGCATCCTTTTCTGTGAATTTGCCCTTGTCGCAAATGCGGTCGAACAGCTCACCACCCGTGGCTAGCTGTGTGACGATGTAGTATTTGTCCCTCGATTCGAACCAGTCGACGAATTTGACAATGTGTGGGTGTCGCAGCGTCTGCAGCATCTCCAGCTCATCGTACACCATCTGATCATTCCCCTTGACATTCTTTTTCAGGATAATCTTGACAGCAACCTTCCCCGTAGGCCCATCGGCTTCTTTGACAATACCATAAGTGCCGGCGCCCAGCGTCCGGCCGAACTTGTATTTAGATTTGCGATCGTAACTGTCTGGCTGGCCGTGCAGCTTGTTGAGCATGCCCTGGACTGTGGTTTGCAGAGTCAGCTTGGGTTTCAATGGTATGGCTCGTCTGAGGGAGCCGAGTTTGGACCGCTTCATCGTATACCACCATGTCTTGAGGATTCAGGAGAGTCGCGATCATATGCAAACATGTTGGCCATAGGACTGCGGGTATGATGTCGTAGGTGAAACGCAGGTACAGGTTCAAGGATGTATCAGGGCCGCAACGGGGTTTGAGGTGGTCAGACGATCGCAGGCAGAAATGAACAGCATCGGAAAGTGCGAGATGGGTGAAGTTGCCGGCCGAAATACGTACATGCCATGATGTTCTGCACGAGCGGCAGTCAGGCCGCTGCTCTTGCTGCAGAGGGTGGTGGCTCGATCGTGCCCGCTTGCGAAGGGCTGCAAATGTGCTCTGTTTCAGGCGTCGTTGTCTCTTGCTGTATGGCGTTTCAATGGCTCGGGGCGCGAGGTCTGGAGGATGAGGAGGAAGCTGCGAATATACGCGCCGCGACGTGTTTCTATTTTGGTGGCCTGAGGGCGACACAGTGAGCAAAAGGGAGAACTGATCTCCAAGAGCGCACGAGGCGGTGCACTCCAGGCTAGCATGCTCAGCCCCACGTTCATCAGACGTGAGGCAGAAGACGCCCAGACAAGCAAGAGAAGTCTAAAGGGCTAATCCGATGCGCAATTACGTGGCCGCCGATAGGACACTCTACGAGTGCGATTCCTTTCGCCTGTGCACACATTCTCCGAGCTGCATTCGCCGTGTCTGCCTCGCCAACATCACCACGTTGTCGCTTCTTGTTTGCTGCCTCCGAGCCAGGGTCTTTCTTCTGACTCCGCCGTTCGCGTCGCGTGTGTGCCCCACCTGCCTTGGTTGGAACAAGCGAGCAACTTTCCGCTCTTCTGCATCTCGCGTTCTCGACTACTAGCTTTAATTGCTGCAATCACGCGTGCGGCCTCACAGCTGCGCTGCATACTCGACAAGCATCTGTAGTGCAACCCGAACAGTCAACATACGCTTAGAAGGGGCCTGAAGCTTTGTCGCTCCGCATCGCCATCCGAGCATCCTGACCACGAAAGCATCGAAACCATCGAATCGCACTGTCTCACCTGAAGGCATCAAAGTAATCATGGCTGGGATGATGGCGAAGCGCCTGGGGAAAGAGTTGGCAAAGCTGCAGAGGGAGACACCGAAAGGCATTACGATAGTGTCGGCCGATGACTTCAAAGAATGGACGATGGATATCCAAGTGCTGGGCAATCCGATGTACAATCCGGAAGAGAAATATCGCATCAAAATAACATATCCAAATGCATACCCGATCGAGCCTCCCGAAGTTGTCTTCATGCAACTGTCAGATCCCGCGCGGAGGATACCCATGCACCCACACATCTACAGCAACGGCATCATATGCTTAGATCTGCTAGACAAGCAAGGGTGGAGTCCTGTGCAGAACGTCGAGTCGATATGCTTGAGTCTACAGAGCATGCTAGACTCCAACACGAAGAATGAGAGTAAGTCGTCCCAAGTCAGAGAATGGGCAAACCCGTGCTGACCGCTATGTCAGGACCGCCCGGAGACGATGACTTTGTCAGGCAGAATCGCGCACGACCTCGAGACATTCGCTTCTTATATCACGATGCAACGGTCTAGGAGGCTCTCGACGCCTGGCAAGCTACGAACCCAACGACTTTGGACATCCCGCTTGCGAGAGTCTTGCGCTCTGCACGAGAATTGCTTGGTTGGATGTTGCCCATGCAGGCACGCTGATGATCACACCCGGCCCACTCCGATGGCCGTATCATCACTTCAGGATATAACGAATGACGACCAACTGGATGTGATCGCAAACTAGAAGAAATGCGAATTGGGAAGAAGGACCTAGCATCACTCGCAGAGGAAGAGCGTGGTTACAATACGGCGTTCATTCTGTCCCGTGATAGAGCGACTGGACATTATCATTTGCATTATCGGGCGTTTCGAAGGGTTGAATCAGCAAAGCGTGCACCTTTGTCATATAAACGGGTTTCAAAACGTGAACATGCCAGTATTTCGGCGCCGTAGACCTCGAAGCTGAAGGTGGACCTCGGTCCGCTGATCGACGTCGCATGGTCGACAAGCCGCAGCATCCCATCCACATTTCCCACCTTGTTTCCACCTGACAGACAATGGCGTCAATATGTCTGTCCTCACGCCCGCGTCGAAGGTAAATCGAGATCGAAACCAGATTTCTGAAAGAGTCTGACATCCCAACAGAAGGCGCTAGCCAACTTGCGTGCTTTTATCCCACCGCCCACGAACTACTATCGATGTCCACTGAAGAGAAGAGCCGCAGTGCTCATTCTGCTTTTCGCAGATAAGCGAGGCGATCTTCGCGTCGTGCTCACAATCCGCAGCTCTGGTCTCAAGAATTGTACATGGCCATCCTGTTCCCTCGAATCTCCTCCACGGTACTAACCTCACGACACAGATGCCGGCCAAGCAGCACTCCCAGGCGGAAAGGCAGACACCCTAGCCGAAACACCCTTCCAGACCGCCCGCCGCGAAGCCTTCGAAGAGATCGGTCTCCCAGAAAAAGATGAAGGCCTCCCACCAGGCTATACAGTCGAACACCTCACCGAACTCCCCACCAACCTCGCCATGACCGAACTTGGCGTCCGACCTTGCGTAGCATACCTCAAAACTCCACCGCCGAGCGAAAAGAATAAGAACCCTGACGCGGCGAGAGATATTCTACCGAAACTCGACGCAAGAGAAGTCGCGGCAGTTTTCACCGCTAATTTTCGGAATTTCCTGTATGAGAAAGATTTGGATGAGCGAGATCGAGAGGAGTTTGGCGATGGGGAGTGGTATAAAGGGAGTTGGCACAGTTGGCATGAGAGTGCGTGGAGGATGCATCAATTTTTTGTACCCGTGAGGAGAGGGGAGGTGTTTCTCGCGAAGAGACCGGAGAGTTATACGGCTGCGAGATCACCTGAGGAGAAGAAGAAGCAAACCCAACAGAAACCTGCCACACCATCTTCGATAATTTCGTCATCTTCAGGAAGCAAAGATCCCGCAACGAGCAAAGACTCCCGAAGCACATTACAACCTCCTCTTCCTCGGAAATTTTATACGACGACGACGAATCCGCTGGAACAGCAGTCTCGGTATCGAGTTTTTGGGATGACGGCGAGGATTATGGTTGATGCGGCGAGGGTGGCGTATGGACAGGAACCGGAATATGAACATAATAGTCATTTTGGGGATGAGGATATGATTGCGAAGTTGATGAGTATTGGGCGGTTGAGTGCGATTAAGAAGGAGGGGGAGGTTTTGACGAGAGAGGTTATGAGGGAGGCGGGGAAGGTGAAGATTTGAGTGACATTTCTTAGAGGCTTGAGTGGTATGAGATATGATGAATGTGAGAAATGACTTTTCAATGCTGAGGCAGCGCTTTGGGCTTACCAGCCTCTGTCCTCTACGAGCTTCGTGAATTGCAGCCTTTTCTTGTCACAGGGCTCGAGCACCTCTTCCAGAACCGGACGGAAATACTTCTCGATGTTGTGCCCGAATTTCATGGCGAATGCATATTCGCCATACGCTGGGAAGAACCCGCTTCTTTCCCAGTCGACGATGCCTGTGATCTTTCCATCTTTCACAATTATGTTCCTTGGAGTCAGATCGCAATGTGTCAGCACAAACTTGTTGACGTTTTGTGATTTAAGTCGCTCTCTCTGCAGCCAACGAGCCCATCGTTTTCGCTGCAAGCCCCAGAGCCCAACGGGAGTTCTGACGAGGCACCAATTGTCAAAAGCCTCTTCGTCACTGAAGGGACCGAACTGTGTTGTTGCCAGGCGATTGTAAATGTTATATGTCGAGGTGCCGGACAGTCGCCCTATGGTCTCTGAGGTACAAGCTCGCATACACGCGACTTGCTGACGAAGTTGCACTTTGATACTATCCTGTGTTGTCTTATCAAGGCTCTCCCACAGATCCGACAAGCGCGTACCAGGCACCCTCTCGCTCACCATTGCCACTGCTATAGGTTTGTCTGGACAAGTGGTGACGATGTCGTATACTCCGAGGACTTTCGGGGCTCGTACGCCATGTGTTGCTGCATAGTGCATCATGGCAGCCTCAGAACGATTGTCATCGTAGTCTGCGTCCTCGGACGGTAACATGAGTTTGATTGCGAGATTGCGGCCTGAGCTGGTGATGTGCTCGATTACGCGTCTGCCAAAGTATTCATAGATTTCGTTGGCTTCTGGTATCAGAGCATCTGGGTAATCCATGTGCTTGAGAGTTCGTTGGAGAGCTTGCAGTGAGCTTTCATCTTGCTTGGAGTGGTCCGGTAAGGCCTCTCCTGGACCATCGGGCGACGAAGTTGCCATCTTCTGCATCTTCCTCGTGCGCTCATTGTGTTGTTTTTAGCTGCCTGGCCAACCTCCTTCTCTTGGCCCTTCGCGATCTATATGGAAGCCATTAGCGATACAACGCACCGGGTGCGTCGTGGTTGTATGTTCAAGCATCGCAACTCCAACTGCACATGCGGACCGAATACGAAGATATATACGACCACGGCGAGCTGAACGACCGGGATGGGACGATGCCGCTAACATGCAGGTACGTGGTTGCGAGATGCTAACCCTGCTGAGCAGTGGAGGTCTGAGCTCATCGCCGCCGCTCCCATGATAGAAACATGATCTCTAGCGCGTGGCCAAGAATGACGATGGCGTTGGACGAAGACTTGTCGCCGCGTGGGCGCGGATGAGTAAGTAGGGCAGCGGACCAGAAACGTGTTTGCTAAAAAGAGGCCGCCGTCTGCGACTCATCAGCATCGTCTTGTGTGCGCCGCGCTTTTGTCGCCAGCCTTGTTGTTCAGCTCGCAAAGCGCCTCGCTGCCACTTGGTTGACCCCTCCTCCAGCGCTTCGCTTCATCGCGCCTGCCCCAGCGAGCTCCCATCCAGTCGACAGTCTACGCTAGGAAGAAACATCTGACTACTGACGTACTCTGCACGTCTGAACACGGGTGTACGAGGCACACGAGCTCGTGATAAGTAAGCAGAGCCTGTGGTTCTAGAAGGAACCGCTTCATCATGGCCTATAATCGCGGCTACAACCCGGATGCCTTGCCTGCGTAAGTGCATTACTTGATCTCATATCTTGTTTCCATCCTTCTCGCTATCCCGCCTGGTACACGACATTCGACTGACGAGGACATTCGACTGAGACAGACACGCCGAACCCGAACAAGCTGCGCAGATGCTGAACAACGGAGCGCCCCCGCGACGAGATCCTCCGGGATCCAACACGAACTACAACAAGCCTGTGCCACCTGCTCCTGCGCCGGCGCAAAATCTGAGGCCTCAGCAGGATGATCGCTATGGGCGACAGAGTCCTGCGGCCGGTGGCTACAGGGATCCCCAACCTCCAGGCGCGTACGGCTCTTCGAACCCACCACCACCTCAGAACCAGGGCTATAATGACTATGGAAGAGGGAACTCGCCGCGATACGATCAGTACAATCAGCAGTCACGGTACAGTGGCCAAGGACAGCAGGGCGGATATGGATCAGCTCCTCCGCAACAAGGATACGGACAGGCACCTCCGCCGCCGCGGAGTAGCTCGACTACATATGGAGGTATCACTTCGCCTCCGCCAGCGAGCTATGGGCAAGGACCTCCGCCGCAAGGCTATCATAACAGGCCAGCAATTCCAGAGCATCAGCGACCGCCGACGGTAGCTCCACCACGGGACGGAAACGATCGAGATGCCCTTTGGCCTTTGTTTTTGCAAGTGGACAGGAACAGGACTGGTCAGCTCTCTGAGGCCGAGCTCTCGAGTGCACTGGTCAATGGCGACTACACGGCTTTCGATCCCCACACTATCAAGATGATGATCCGCATGTTCGACACCGACAGAAGCGGGACTATCAACTTCGATGAATTCTGCGGCCTGTGGGGCTTCCTTGCAGCATGGCGCAACCTTTTCGATCGCTTCGATATAGACCGTTCCGGAAATATCTCACTCCGCGAGTTCGAAGATGCGCTGGTGGCCTTTGGGTACAGACTTTCACCCCAATTTGTGCAACTCTTGTTCAATACCTATGCGCAGACCAGGAGCAGAGGCAGAGGCGATGAACGAGAGCGCGAGAAGTGTCTCGGATTTGACGTGTTCGTCCAGGCGTGCATCAGTTTGAAGAGAATGACCGATGTCTTCAAGAAGTACGACTCTGACCGGGATGGATATATCACTCTGAGCTTCGAGGAGTTCTTGACAGGTGCGCAAAGCCTCTTCTTGTTCAATTCGATTTCGCCGCAGACGGACACTGGCCTGTATTGAGGAGTCGCATGCTGACGGCTACGGAAGAAATTTTGAAGCAACGCTGAAAAAGGCAAGTGAAGTCTCACATGGTCGAGAGGAAGGCACGCCCAACACTGAAGTCTTGGCACAACCACTTCCGCAAGCACAAAACACGAGCTATTGAGGCGACGGACAGTGACCACAGTCTCGTACACGTGTCACATCACGCATGACTGCCCGTCAAGCATCTGTCCATGGAGCATATCAGGCACGCGCCTAAGGAGTGTGAAAGGGTAAAACAAGCATGGCCCGTGAAAGCATGGTAAGGAGGAGACGCGATCGATACCCATGATTTATGCAGCATTTTGTTATGAGCCCTACGATATATATGTGGACAGCCAGTTCTGTAAATGATGCTTTTCAGCCCGAGTGGGCTTCGAGTCGATGGACCAGGGCATTTTGTCTCAGACAAATCTCTGCTGCGCACTTCTGGCCATGGCCGAGCGGATGAGCAGAGAATGTCCAATGCCTCCGGAGAAAGACGTGCTTTCTGGTGGGTGCTGGCGCATGTGCTTCCAAGGGGATCTGAAACCATTCGGAGCGGATACCACGAATTTTAGCAGGAAGGCTCGTGAAGCTTGGCGCAAATTCAATCTTTCATTCCTGGGCGTTTGTGCCTGCATCAATGAGCCGACTTGCCACTTCTTTGGTACAACATCCGGCTTTGCATCTTACAACTACAATACATAAACAGAATGGCCTACGACAGCCCCCGACTCTACGTCGGCAATTTGCCTTACTCTGCGCAGCGTGAGGACATCGAGAAGCTCTTCGCCGACAACAACTTCGAAATGTGTGTTTGGGTTCAAGTTTATCCATTTTGTTGCGACTGACAGGATTCGCAGCACAAAAGTTGACATCTCCATCGATTCTTTCTCCGGGCGCAACCCAAGCTATTGTTTCGTGGAGTTTCGAAGCCAAGAAGATGCCGACCGAGCGATGAGCAGCCTTCAAGGCATCGATCTTCTGGGCAGACCTATTCGCATCAACCCCAAGACTGAGCGCCGATCCAACCCGAACGGCGAGAGAACGCCAAACAGGTCTTTCGAACAACGCGGCTGGCGCCCGCGCGAAGGCCCAACCGGTAACGCGAACGGGAGCTCGTACTCCACAGATCGCTGGAATCGCAACGACAACTATTCTCAATCGCAATCGCAAGGAGAGGACCCAAAACGCGTTTATGTTGGTGGTTTGCCACAATTGCCAGATCAGCAATCTGTTGAGGCGGAGATCAGATCACTCTTCGCAGAGTACGAGGTCCAAGCCATTAGCAAACTTATCTCGCCTCACTCCATTAACGGAAACGATAATGGGTCGTCGAACTACTGCTTTGTGGATCTTGCCACACCGGAGCAAGCAGCTGATGCAGTCAAGTGTCTCAATGGCAGACCCACACCTCACGATGGCACTTACCGCGTTAGTCCTGCGAAGGGCAAGAGGAGCACTGGACCTGTAGACCGGGAGCCACAACCGCCGCCTCCTGCATCCACCAGAGTCTTCATCTCTGGTCTTCCAGCAATCGAGTCTCAAGCAGAACTCGACAACCAGATCCGCGAACTCTTCGCCGGCCTGGACATCAAGGAAGTCAGCAAACTCATCGTGCCCCACGAGTCGAAACAAATCGAATCTGGAAACCACCACTACTGCTTTGCAACATTCGAGAGACAGGAGGAAGCTGAGCGTGCGGTGGAAGCCATGAACGGATCACCTACGCCAAACGGTGGTACCTATGTCATCAAGTTCGCAAGGGAGAGACCAGCTGGTGGATTCTCGCAAGGAGAGCGGTTCGGTGGCGGCTACCAGCCACGATTCCAGCAGCAGAGAGAGGGACAGGACTCGCCAAGGAGGTTCCAGCAACAGCGGGAGCAAGGACCGCAGCCGACCAGGGACTTTGGTGGAAACTGGAGGAGGAAGGATTAAGTTTGCATTTGCCTTCGTTTCGCACAGAAGATACGCTGCTACGTGGCGAGGGACATGACTTACAAGCAATTGTGTTCGGAGATTGCGCTAGTCGTTCACTTGCAAAGCAAAAAACAACTCAGGTTTACAAGGATTGGGAAGTCGAGCATTAGCGAAATAGCTTCATCTGTTCTTTCCTCGCAGCTTCCTTGCCCGTAGCAGCTGGAAGCAAAAAGATACCCATTCGTAACAGAATCGAGATCACCTCAAACACTCACTTGCAACCATTGCTCAGTTCCCCTTCTTCAATCTTCCCTCCACAATTCTTCCTCCCAGCCTCCTCTTCAATCTGCCAAACATGTCCAACCCCATGAAAACACTCAACGCCAAATATGGCACATACAATTTGCCCAATTCCACTTTCTCCGCAGCACTATGTCCCTTCCAGCTCAGGAAATCCGCCACGCACGTCGCCGTCGTGATGGCAGTTTGCATTGCATAGACGAGCAAATGCAACGGTACCAAAGGATCATCGCGAACCAATGCTCCCACAGCCCAGACTGAAAGTGGCACGTGGTAGAGAAGTTCCATCCAGGCGTAGAGCGTGAACCAGGCTGGTGGGGAGACGAAGAATTGGTCGCGGTAGGTCGCGATGTACCAGGTCCGGAGTTCTGTCATGAAGGAGGGGATGATGTGGGTGGGATAGAGGGGGTAGATGTCTACAACTGTTTGTGGTAGGAAAAGATATTGTTAGTGGGTGAAGACATGCGTGAGAGGTGATGAGAAGAGATTATTCTGGCTCGCTTACTGAAGACTATTGGGATGTGGATTAAGAAGAAAGTGAGATAGAGTATATCTTTCTTGCGGGATGAAAGTGGCGCCATCTTGTGCTTTGAAACTCCTGAGTGATTTCTTGTATGCGGTGGAAGGAGAGTTTTTCTTTGGGCCTCCGATGGGACTTTGGTCTCAAGATGTGGTTTGATGATACTCTCGTCTGGTATTCATTCGTGCGAGAGATCAGAAGTGAGATGGATGTTGCGGAAACGAGACCAGGTTATCACATTTGGCTTGGCGGAGGTCCATGCAGCGAGGCTTGCTTCACGGGCACAATTTTGTTTGCGATCACGACTGAACCCTTGGAGGTAAGTCATCACGGGGCTCTCATTCTTCGCACACTGGGAGCCCGTTCACAGAGAACGATGAGAATGTAATCTGCAAAATGTATCATTACTATCAACAGTTGTCGGAGCAAAGTGCAGCTGCGATGCTGAAGGCCGCATGTCGGCCCGGTACCCTAGCCTACTCGGGCCCTGCCAAGCCTGGCGATTAGATAGTGAAATCTTTCTGCGTCTGGCAGTCTCGTCCACTGCCGTGCCTTGCCACGCCGCCGTCAAACCACCACTCCTCCATTCGAACACCGCCACGATGAAGACGACATGGAAGGATATCGCGCCGGTGCCGACGTCGCAGGAGTTCCTGGACATCGTCCTGTCCCGAACACAGCGACGACTGCCGACACAAATTCGTGCCGGCTTCAAAATCACTCGTATTAGAGCTTTCTACATGCGAAAGGTCAAATACACAGCAGAGACCTTCTCCGAGAAATTGTCGGCCATCCTCGACGGTTTTCCACGCCTAGCAGACATCCACCCGTTCCACAAAGATCTCCTCAATACCCTCTACGATGCGGACCACTTCCGAATTGCGCTGGGCCAGTTGAACACCGCGAAGGGCTTGATCGAGACTGTGTCAAGAGACTACGTCCGCCTGCTTAAATATGGTCAATCGCTGTACCAATGCAAACAGCTCAAGCGTGCGGCGTTGGGTCGCATGGCCACGATTTGCAAAAGACTGAAGGATCCTTTGGTATACCTCGAGCAAGTGCGACAGCATCTTGGCCGTCTGCCCAGCATCGATCCCAACACACGTACACTGCTCATTTGCGGCTACCCAAACGTCGGCAAATCGAGTTTCCTCAAGAACATCTCTCGTGCAGATGTTGATGTGCAGCCATATGCTTTCACAACGAAGAGCTTGTTTGTTGGACATTTCGACTACAAGATGCTGCGTTTCCAGGCGATCGATACACCCGGTATTCTGGACCACCCACTTGAAGAGATGAACACGATCGAAATGCAAAGTATCACGGCTATTGCTCACTTGAGGAGTGCGATTATGTACTTCATGGATTTGAGTGAGCAGTGCGGTTACAGCGTGCACGCACAAATTGCACTTTTCGAGAGCATCAAGCCTCTCTTCGCGAACAAGCTTGTGTTCATCGTGATCAACAAGATCGACGTGATGAGGCCAGAAGATCTGGATGCGGAAACGCAAGAAAAGCTGCAAAACCTTGCTAAGAGTGCAAATGTGGAAATTCTGCAACTCTCATGCACTACGACCGAGGGCCTCATGAACGTGCGAAATGCTGCTTGCGACAGACTCCTCGCGGAGCGCAATGCACAGAAGCTGCAGGCTGGCACAAACACTGCAGGCGAGATCACTGGTCGCATGGGAGATGTTCTCAAGCGTATTCACGTCGCACAGCCACTCGGAGGCGTCAAGTGGGAGCCTTCGATTCCAGAGGCTGCTCTTCGCAAGATCAAGTACGACAAGGACGACCCGAACAGAAAGAAGTTGATGCGCGAGATCGAAGAGGAGAATGGCGGCGCTGGAGTTTTCAACGTCAACCTCAGAGATCAATATCTTTTGGAAGATGACGAGTGGAAGAACGACAGAATTCCTGAAGTGCTCAACGGCAAGAACGTTTACGATTATTTCGATCCAGATATCGAGGAAAAGCTCAAGGCATTGGAGGAAGAGGAGGAAGCACGAGAGGCAGATGGCGTATACGATGAAGATGAGGAGATTGAGGATGCCGAGGAGGCGGACATTGCGTTCAAGGCTGAGCTCATCCGGGAGAAGAGACAGCTGATCCGCAACGAGAACAAGATGCGCAAGAGCTTGAAGAACAGAGCGGTGATACCCCGGTCGAAGAAAGCAGTCGACATGGAGAAGATGGATGCTGCGCTACAAAATGCTGGGTACGATACTTCAGCAATCCAAGAACGTGCTCGCGCGGCTTCCAGACCTCGTGGTAGGAGTCGGGCGCCTACAGAAGATGCTTCAATGGCTGGTGGAGACGACGCTATGGAACTCGACGAGACGCCTCGACAACGTCTGGCTCGCAGCTTGTCAGTGGCCAGAGTCCGCAGTCAGAGCAGAGTGAACAGGAGAGAAGACGGTGTCACGAACGAGACATCGAGAACGAATGCAGAGCGCATGGCTAAGCTGGGTCAAAAGAAGATGAACCGTATGGCGAGACAAGGTGAAGCCGATCGCCACACAACTGCCAGCAAGAGCAAGTGGCTGCTGGCTGGTAAGCGTGGTATGGGCAGCACTCGGTCTCGTTAGTTCACTGGTGCGATGCATTGCGAGCTGTATGGCGTTCACGGCGGCATGAATGGTACAAAAAGGTGTCTGGCGTTTCTGGCGTTTCGACAATGTCGCATTGTGCTTAGAGAGGTCTGTCGAGTAAGACGTTGGCGTCCACGATACCATAGAAACGGATAATCGAATGATGGATCATGTCTGAAGCGAGTTTTTCTGTTGGTCTCCCACTGTCCGACTTCTACAACTTCATGAATGTGCTTAAATCGCGCCTTTATGAAGACATTGCCAGTGCATGCTGCGTCGGACCAGCAGTGAATATTGGAACCTGGAGGTAAACGCGGAAAACTTTGCACAAAATAAAATCTTTTGGTCTTCATGTAATCTCTACATCAGCGTCAAACAGAATTAACGCTCGCGCGCACAGCGCCACAAAACGCCTGGTATGTTGTGACATATGTACACACCCGTGCTGCTGTCATCCTCACTCGGACCAACTTGACTACCTGTCCACCTCACCAAACACAAGATCCATTGTACCGATAATTGCCACAGCGTCAGCGAGCAAGTGCCCTCTGCTAACTTGGTCGAAACATGCCAAATGTGCAAATCCAGGCGCGCGAATCTTGCATCGGTATGGTCGCTCGCTTCCGTCACTGACAACGAAGACACCCATCTCACCCTTTGGTGCCTCAATGGCGGAATATGTCTCGCCAGGAGGCACGGTGTATCCCTTGCTGTAAAGCAAGAAGTGGTGAATAAGCGCCTCCATGTTCTCCTTCATGGCGGCACGTGGGGGAGGCGCGATCTTGTAATCTTCAACCTTGATCGGACCGGCTGGCATCTTGTTCAAACATTGGTGAATAATGCGAAGTGACTGTCGGAACTCCTCCATACGGCACAGGTAGCGGTCGTAGCAGTCTCCGTTCACACCGACTGGGACGTCGAATTCAACTTGGTCATATGCGTCGTATGGTTGCGACTTTCGGATGTCCCATGGCACACCAGATCCACGAAGCATGACACCAGAGAAGGACATCTCGAGGGCATCCTTGGCGCTCACGACACCGACGCCCTTTGTTCGGCCGATCCAGATACGGTTGTCAGTCAACATCTCCTCGGTCTCGTCGATGCGGTCGCCGAACTGTGTCGCCCATTGGTAGATATCGTCGAGGAGGCCGACTGGCAGATCTTGTGAAACGCCACCAGGTCGGACATATGCGGCGTGAAGACGAGCACCAGAAACACGTTCGTAGAATTCCTGCACATTGTCAGATCAGCCTTGTTTTACACAAGTCCGTGCCACGCCTTACCATAAGCTTCTCACGCTCCTCGAAACCCCACAAGAAAGGTGTCAGAGCACCAACATCCATAGCGTGTGAAAGGACAGACATGAGGTGGTTCAGGATACGGGTGATTTCAGCGAACAAGGTCCTTATCCACTTCGCTCGCTCTGGGATTTCGATGTTCAATAGTTTCTCCACGGCCAGCGAAAAGCATTGCTCGTTCGTCATCATGGAAACGTAGTCCAGACGGTCAAAATATGGAAGTGCTTGCAGATATGTCTTGTACTCGATCAATTTCTCCGTGCCACGATGTAGCAAACCCACGTGGGGGTCTGCGCGAATGATTTCTTCTCCATTGAGCTCGAGAATCAATCGCAGCACACCGTGAGCAGCAGGATGTTGAGGACCGAAATTGACCGTGTAGTGGCGGATCTTGCGCTCGTCCGGGCTCTTCGCATCGTCGGAGGGGAGATTGTCGTACTGCCCTGAGCCGAAAGACGCTGGGTCTGCGGCCACCAGGCGAGTGGCGTTGGGGTTTGCTGCCTCGTGCGGCGTCGCATATCGTCGTGCGGGAGTGGTGGAAAGAGCTCGCAGGGAGGAGCGCGGCGCGGCGTGTGTCGGGGCCCAGGCAGCCCGTCGGGCGCCATTGGCCATCAGCCGGGTGAGAGAGGCTGCCATGGTGTCTGATGGGCAATGGCAGACACGCAGCAAAGGGCGGAGCGGAGAGTGCGAGACGTGCTGGCTGCGGTGGCCAATACCTGCCCGTCCAAATGTCATTGACGACGAGGAAGCTGCGACCTGCAAGGTCCGACCCGCTCGCTTGCTGCCGAAGATCCCTGCTTATCGAGTGGTGCAGAGCCAGCAGCTTCGACAACATTTTTTGAGGGACGCCTTTGCTTTGCGACACATGCGCTGACACTGCGAATCACTCACTCTTGCACCATGCCGTCGTGGGCGCCTCTGACCAAGGAGCAGCTGGAGCAGCGGCGCATCGTCAATGTCAACGCCGAGACTGTCTCCAACGTTGCATCCACCGACGTTCCTGGGCACTATGGACCCGCGCAGGACGACACATGGAATCTCGAACGATTTCGCCAAAACCTCCAGATCCAATTTCACCACAACAAGCAGTTCGACTCGGCTTTTTCGCTCGTCGGGGTAGATGCCAGCATCGCAAATGCCTTTCGACGAATTCTGCTTGCAGAACTTCCTACTCTCGCCATCGAGGATGTCTACATGTTCGACAACACGAGCATCATTCAGGATGAGGTTCTAGCACATCGCATGGGTCTGATTCCTCTAAAGGGTGGCAAAGAGGGCTTGCGGTGGATGCATTGGTTCAAGAAGACACCTCCCGAGAGCGATCACGCCGCTTATGCCCAGTTTATGGCGGAGCAAGAAGAGGAGGGCGCAGATCGATCAGCAAGCACACCTTCAGATTACAACACGGTCGTCTTGACATTGAACGTCGAGTGTCGGTGGAAGACTATGGAGGAGGATGGTGTAGACGGGAAAAGGCTAGCGAAAGAAGGATCCACCGACCCGACGGAAAAGTACGTGAACAGCAACGTCTATGCGCATCAGATCCAGTTCGAGCCGCAAGGTGTCAGGCAACCAGAACTCTTTTCTGGCGAGAATGCAATCAGACCAGTGAACCCAGACATTCTGATTGCGAAGCTGCGACCCGGGCAGAGAATCAACATGAGGATGCATTGCGTGAAAGGAATTGGCGCCGATCATGCCAAATTCTCACCAGTAGCGACTGCTTCATATCGGCTGTTGCCAGACATCAAGATCACGAAGCCGATCCTCGGCGCTGATGCGAAAGCATTCCAAAAATGCTTTCCGAAGGGCGTCATTGGAGTTGAGGACGATGCTGAAACTGGCCAGAAGAAGGCTGTCGTGAAGAGCGCATTCAAAGATACCGTCAGCAGGGAATGCTTGAGGTATGACGAGTTCAAAGACAAAGTGAAGCTCGGGCGCATACGCGACCACTTCATTTTCAGCATCGAAAGCTCAGGACAATTCGACAGTGACGAGCTCTTCATTGATAGTATCAGACTGCTGAAACAGAAAGCCCTCACTTTCAAGAGACATCTTGAAGCAGTCGAGGAGGGACGATAAAAGGGATCCAAAAGTTGTATCATGATTGAATTGAAGCATAGCGGAGGCGTTCTGGGTCACGGAAAGCATGGCGCAGGAGCGTCTTTTGGGAAGCCACAAATGTGTTGATATACCCAAATTCAAGCGACTTCCAATCTTCGATCACCTTCGCACGCGCCTTCACTTTCTCTTCAACGGCTCTTGCTCACAACAGAAGCAAATTTCAACCTACTGTGTTCACCCACCTCATCCGACATCGCAATATTCTCACCTCGAGCAGCATCAGCATCAACATTAACATCATTATGTCCTTCACCAAATTCTTCAACCCTCCGCAAAGAATCCAACCCGAACCCGTCAAACCTCAAAAACCCAAATTCAATCTCAATTCTATCCCTCCGTCCTTCGAAGAACTCGAAGAAACTCTCCCCCTTTGCACAGAATGCCACTATAACCACGTCCCCCAAGAAGATCTCACCTGGCCAACCGAAGGCCGACTGACTCTCTATCCTTGCGAACGGTTTTGCGAAGAGTGCCATGAGGATGATTTCAATAATGCGCGGCAGTTGCGTACACATATCATCACATACCACGAGAAAACTTTGGAACGTGAAGGGCGGCCGAGTGCTGTTACGATAAGGCGGAGGAGAGTTTTGAGGAAAAATGGGAGGGGAATTGTGAGGAGTGGGGCGGAAGTTGCGAGGGTTGTGAGAGGGGAGATTTGTCCGGGTAGTGAGGCTGTTGTTGGTGGGGAGGATGATGAAGAGGGGAGTAGAGAGGGGGAGGAGGAAGAGTGGGATGGAGAGGAAGAAGAAGAAGAGAACATGTCGGATGCTCAGCAGGAGGGAAGTCGAGGCCAGAAGAGAAAAAGCGAAGGACACATCGCAAGCCCCGAAGGCAGCGACAAAGCAAAGAAGCAAATGCGAGACGCAATCGCCAACTCAGGTCTTCCCAACGTTGTACCAGAAGGGTGGGAAACAGGCGCCTTGGGCATTCCTTACAATCCAGCCAACGTAGTCCGAGGTCCAGGATCAGCGAATCTAGTGAAGACTGCAGATTTGCAAAAGATGCCCCCGCCGCCAATCCCTGGGCCAGGCAGTACGCAGAGAAGGATGAGTATAGGATCAGCAGGAAATTCTTCAACGTTGAAGACGAAGCCCAAGACAGGAGACTTCAGCATTTTTCACACGATTGGTGCAGACTACGATCACAGACACGAGCCACCACCTGAGTTGAAACGTGGAAGTTTGGGGATTCTGTACGATCCGGCTGAAGTCTCAAATGGCGAGGAGGAGGAGGAGGGAGAAGATGGCGGAGTGCCGATTGAAGACAGCTCAGTGGAGACTGAAGCCGAACGCAAGGCTCGTGAAATGGACGAATTGGCTGGTAGCTTCGACCAAGGTGATCCGGGTGATGTCCTGGATTCTTTGTTGCCTTCGGATGACGAGGAGGAGCTGGAGAGTTCAGGTCCGGACGAGGATTCCGAGCATGAGATGGACGATTGATAAGAATTGTCATTGTATACGAGAAGCTAGAATACGTTTAATGGCTAAGTCATTTTTCCTGTCTTTCTTTCATCGATCCTGGGTATCTTGGTATCGTGGACTTGAATAAAATCGTTTGAATTATCGTTGAGCCTTCGAACGGAACGTGACGTGTCTCGTTCACACTGGAGAAATGTCTCCTTTATGTGCTTCGATTGGCGAGTCTCGATTCATGTTCATGTAGGCGGAGAAGTCGACGCCTTCTTCGAGCATTAGTGATCGGCGTTCGGTTGGTCTGACGGGACTGAATCTTCGGACGTGCTGATCGTCTTGGGGAGGAATGCCCAGTGCGAGGCGCTGCTCTTCTGCTGTTGTTTCATAGATATCAGTATCTCGTGCGCCTGAGTCTGATGTGCGACCTGCGAGTGCTGAACACATACCTGACGCGGCGTCCAGCGCTGCTTGGCTAAAGATTGGCTGTATCTCCACCATAGCCTCAGCTGGAACCTGGTTGACGGCGAGATATTCGTCTTCGTACTGCTCCGGAAGCATATCTGTATTGATGCCCAGACTATCGACAACTTCCTTAACGCTGAACAGTCTGGTGATTTTGTTGCACTCGATGTGCAGAATATTGACAGTTTTGCCGCCGTTCCGCTCGCTCCACTTCAAAGCCCAGTCTTCGGCGTGAGTTTGATCTGTGAATATGCTGATAAAAGGACTTCCTTGTCGAGAATTCCAGTCCAAGTGGTCGTTGGTGAGTTGTTTAAGCTTCAGATCTGTGAAGCCACGCGATGGGTTTGGGAAGATGGAGGAGGCTTGGAGGCCGCCGATTGGAGTTACTGTTGTCCATGCGCCTTCATATTGCACGCGGTAGCCTCGAGTGGGCTTGCTGGTGTGTCGCAATCGCATCCATACTGTAAGTTGATCGTATTGATCGCTGGATGCTCGCTTGTGGCTCCGCGACGAAGCGCCTTGCTGAGGTGAGGGCTGGCGAGATGTCGCCTTTGGAGACAAGTCGCGAGCATCACGGAGTAAGGCGATCGCCTGCTCGAGCGTGTCGTCTGGGATGGTCTGTCCCTGGGCGAGAGCGGATTGGAGTGCATTGACGGCGCGTTTGACGTTCCTCCTCCTCTGGCTCCGGCTCTCAGAATCTCTCGTGTCGATCTCGGGGCTGGTCATGCTGGGCATTTTGTTGTGTGGAAAGTCCACTTGTGAATGTGTAGTTGGTGAGTGCAAGGCAGAGGCGCAGCGAAGCCTCGTGCGCGGAGACAGCAAAGGCTAAATACACAATCTGGCAACCACGACGGACGTGGAAGCTGCGACCCAGGATAGAGTTTGGAGGACACTTGACAAGCTAAGGTTCAGGTTTTCATGCAAGCATCCGGGTGCCTGACTCCTACAAGATTGGCCCAGTGACCAGTCAGGCAGCTCGTAGATTTCCTTGCCCTACTTGCCAGAGTCAGTCCGAAAGTGGGAGCACTCCGGTCGTATGCTTCGTGACCGTTTGTGATGTGGGTGAAACGAGAAGCACGCCCGCTCGTGTCGGATTGCTGTTAGAGATTCCGTGCTTGTGAGTCCTCGGCAGAAAGCTGCACTACAGTCCCTGGAAGAAGGGAGGCGCAGGAAAGGTAGGTCCAGGTTACTGCCCTTCAGTCCTTCGGGAGCAGTGGTATTGTTTCGTTTGGCTCGTCTGCGGTCTCCACGTGAGGTCGGCCGAGGCAGTTCGTCACAGGGGCAATGTCTGATATTCCAAGCGGAGGAAGCTGGAGGAAATGTGCAAGCTCGAGAGCAGATCAGGAAGATGAAGCAAGTAGATGTAGTCGACGTACGGAGAACACGGGGAGTGCAAGTAGGCCACGAACAACAACAAAGGGACGGCTGATGTCTAGTCTCGATGGCGCATCGCCGCGGTCTAAGTTAGCCCAACGCGTGATGGCGGCCTGCCCGAAAGCGAGAGGCTCCGCGTCGACTTCGCGTGTGTGAGATTGCTGCCGTTGCCATCACAGCCTTGCAGGATCAGGGGCGTCGCGTCTCGCCCCCGATTTCACCGTTGACTTGCTCTTGCACGGCGGCAAAGACGCTCCTTACTTTGATGATGTTGTTTGTGGATGGAAAGGAGGGCCGGGACGGGGTTTCCGGAGTCAGCCAGCCACTGAGTCCGCCACAGCCACTAACTTAACTACTTTCACCAAGAAACAAGCATTTCCATCGCCAGAATCTGTCTCCTCTCACCTCTCGCACGCGACATCCCACCATCTTTCAGACAACATCGGCCATGCTACGACCCAGACGCGGTAGGATGCACTGACTTCAATATCTCGTTACGCTACTCATATCTATAGCACAGGTGTCCGCCCGTCGGGCTCATTATATCACGCACTTTCACTTTGTCAAAGTACGGAGAAATACTGAGATCATCATCTAGGCCAATGCCTGTCGCTGGCGGCGCTGCGCACTGTCAGCTATGGCTGCATACTTCCTCACAAATGGAGGCGCCGACTTACCTTGGCTCCGTTTCCGCAAATCTGCATACGATTCTGCTTTCCCCAGCGCGAGCGTTCGATTGTCCAGGTCTATGCTCTGCCAAAGGATCCAGATGAAGTCTAGAGCTGCGTGATGGCACGGGAACCATGGGTCGCTCGCAGCAGACGGCACGTCCGCATTCGTCCCGCCCATGAATACATGTGGGAGCTGGTGGACGCCAACCGGCCAGGATTCGATGTACACGCCGAAACCGTCGATATCTGCTTCGGCGTCAGAGAGAGGCACCTTCCCACACACCACAAGCCAACTCACCTTTGAAGTTGTTGATTGTGAATGTGACGTTGTCGTACGTCAAGTTCCCAAGGTACTTCTTGTCAAAGTTCCGTTCGAGGCACCTGTCATTGAGTCCAAGTCCGTCATCCTGTGGGTTCTGTGTACATGCATCGTTCCCTGCTGCTGGCCCAAGATGCACTCTCCAATCTTTCAGTGGCCCTTCTGTGATACAGTAGCAGCCTTTCTCGGGAGTATCTTCCTTTCCATTCCCACTGAGTGAAGTATCTGACCCATCAAATATAGGATAGCTATCGATCGGCTGGCCATAGAAGCGAGACCAGAGCCAGTATGGTTGTCCTAGAAGACCCTCATCAGCTTGCTATCCTCCTTGGAATACTGCGAACGACATACCTCCAGTATATCCGCATTCGTCTCGAAGCGCCTTCTCCAATTCGTGAAGATACAGCCTATGGTATGCAAGCAGCTTAGGCGATCGGTGAACGTCGTCCGAAGCCAGGATGTGCGCTACTACAAAATCATCCCATCGGGTTTTGGCACCGGGCGCAGCATCCTTGGGCGTTCTGGACGGCTTATCATGCAGACACTTGCATGCGTCAATATACTCACGTCGCTCATCGGGAGTCAAGTCGCTCCTAAGCGATCAATCAGCATTTGCCGTGGCGCCGCCTCGCCCATATGCCAACTCACCACTCCTTTCGCACGATGATATTCTCTTCCGTACAGCCCTCACCCAAAACATCTGACAACGTCGAGAGATACCGCCCATGCAAGTCTTGCAGCAGCGCCTGGGCATTGTCGACCGGACCAGCCAGAATTTCATGGTCGAGCTTATCCTCTTGGTCATTCGCCGGTGTGAACGATAGTCCTGCTGCATTATGTGCTGGATTTGGCGCTGCGCCTCCTCGAATGGCAAACCAAGAACAACTCCATATTACAAAGTATACCAAATTACGAGTCGTAGCCATGCTCACGCAAAGCGAACGTCGGGCTGATGGGAATGCCGTATCCTGACTAGAAAGGTTAATGAACAGAAGCACTTAGGAGAGAGAAAGTAACGATGGACAGAAAATACGGGAGGCTGACCTCGGAGAAAGCAAGAAAGGTCTGTGGGCAACTGGGCACTCCTGTATTATTGTCCCCCATTTGCAACCTTGTACCTGTTCTGCTCGTGTCTGCCCCGGATTTAGCATCATCCTTGGCTGAAAAGCTCTGTCTTTGCAACTAAGTTAAGCAACACAACCTTGTTCGAAAGAAGTTGGGGCAATCCTTGAAGAAACAGGTCCTTGTGCCTGATCCTCACTGCAGCAAAGCGAAAAGTTACATGGATTCTATTGGATCGGAGAAATACACGACAGCTTGTGAGCTGATGAGAGCGACAGACAATGCTGTAGCTCGAAGTGTGTCATCATACGATGGATGGTAAGGTCTGGAACGATGAGCTCTGCTGTGCTGTGTCAGGTACGGCACGGAACTTTCTCATGAATGGAGAGCTTTCGATTGCTTCGAATTCTTGTTTTTCTTGTGACAGGCAGGGACTACCCTGTTAAAATGAATGGAATACAACAGAACAGACCCTAACACCGACACCGACTGAACTCTTGTACCAACTTCATCATCAAACACCACTGCAACCGTGACGTCTATTTCCCCCATTCCGAAAATTTCCAATGATTGTTTGTTTGCTTGTCTTGCGTTTTCGTGATGGGCTTCGACTGATACCGCCAAGATAGAAGTGTTCATACCTAAGAAGTACCTCTCAAACGAGCAGTGATGAACTGTGTTCCGAGATTCTGGGTTGGTGCGTCGCTGCCGTAGCGCAAGTGTGCAGCGTTGATTCCACGACCTATAGCAGTACGTTCAATCAAGTCAGCAATGTACTGTGAAAAAGGCTTTTTCGGATTCTACTGTGCTGCTGGGATGTCGGTCATGTTTTGCTTACCGTTCGTCGTATCGCATACGCCATCACCCTAGACGACACGTCAGCACATTGTGATCACAGAACACCTGAAAAAGGCAAAAGCAGCAAAAATGGTTGGGGTCTTCCGAGTGAAACTTACAAGAATACAAACATCCAAAGTCTTGGAAATCCAGTTTTGAGGGATACCTTGAGAGAAAGCACCAGAGAGACCATTGACGTTGCGGGTTGTGGTTCCGCCGTTGTTGTCGACGTTGCAGGCGAGACCGCTTTTGTGGTCGGGGTTGCCGATGAGGAGGACGCCTTTTACGGCGGTGAAGGCTGCGCCGGTGAGTTGGGGGAGGGCGTCGACTGTTGCGGCGGCACCTGGGTTTTTGAGGGGAATGGGTTAGTTTGTTGTTCAGATTTCGGGGTTTTCTTTTGGTGATGCTGCTGTGGTGAGGTTCGTTGATGATTTACCTTGAGAGTATCCTTCCAAGATGAAGCATTCGTTGGCGTTGGTTCTCAAAGTGGATGTGATTTTGTTGACGATCTGGAATTTCCATGTCAGTTTGCTACGTGGGACAACCTATTCCAACGTGTCGTGACTTACGTCGCGGGTACCAGCAGCAGAGTTTTGGCTGAAGCCGGCAGAATAGACGGTGTTGTAAATCTTGCCGCCGGAGACTGCGCGTTGGACATTGGAGTTCATCGTACGAAAGCCTGTGCTTGGGCCTTGAGGTTCTCCGGTGCCGCGGGTGTTGATGATGGCTATTGTACAATGTCAGAGGTCATGCCGCTGTGTTTATGCAAAATCGTTGGAGCATACTGTAACTGCTGCAAGAAGCCTGTCTCTCGATGACTGCTGCGCTGGCAGAGCAGGCCAATGCGAGCAAGGCGCCGAAGTTGAATGCAACCATTTTGATTGATGGATTAGAATGTTTGTGTGGTCTTGAACTGAAGCTGTAGCGATTGAATTGTAGTCTGTGTCTGCAATCAACAAAGCTACCGTCTTCACACCTCTTATATATAAACTCAAGTCACATCTTCAAACAGCCCCAGCTACTCCGAGATCTGATCGACTACACACAACTGCCTAGTCTCAAGCCAGCAATTTACTAAAGAAAGCAGCTCTGCTCGCACAGCGAGGTCCCATTCGTCGGCTCGCGCTCGAGCACTCGCCTTTGCTTCATCATGTTGCACAGGATGTGAAGTCCATCTTCCTAAGCGAGGATAAGGCGACTGGAACGCTACCCGGGGACATGACCGATATGGCAAAGTCGGTGAGGTCTCCGATGGGTAGGATTGCATTGCAGTAGCACCAATGTCTCAAGATGGGCAAGGTTGAAGAAGAGACAGCTCTATCAAGCCCGATGTGGTGATGTTGTAGTTGGGCTCCATTGCAAATGCCTCCTTTGTGTTTTTGCAAATTTTGGGACCTAGGCTCTGATAGGAAATCGCATCTGAGGCTGCTACTGCCCGCGTATGAGATTGACACTTTGGCGTTGAAGTCAGCTTATGGCCATCGTGGTCCGTAGATGACCCGATGAGGACCGAGGCTGTGTCGAATTGCTCGAGCAGTGAAGTTTGGGTGCGATCGTGCGAGGGCGATGTCTATTGGCCCGCGATGTGATTTTGTCGTGAAACCGTGCCAAGCCAGAGATCCAACAGCCTCACCAGACGGGTCGCATGTTCCGTTGCTCTGCGATCGGTAACCAGTCTGATCATTCTGTGCAATCGCGACGATGACTATGCAAGGTAGAGATCCCAAGGGAGAAATCTCCAGCGGTTTCCAGACTGCTGCCCATCGAGTGCCTCGCTCGAGATGGACCACGTGGGAGAACAGTGAAGTCTCTGGTGCAGTGTGGCAAAGATGCCGCAGCTGGCGATGTTCCCTAGCTGGGTCGTTTGAGATAGCCCTTAGTCCGACTGAAGGTTGTGCATGTTGACTAGTTCCCTCTCGGCAACTTGTCCGTTGCATTCCAAATCAGTGGTGAGGTGTGCAGATCGTCGAAGATCCGGACGTGTTGTACTTCGCCCATATCATCATTGTGAATGCCGAACGCTTTGCCGAATTTGTTGATGCAGACCTGAATGTCATCGTTCTTTCATAACATCACGAGCCTCGTGGACGACTGGCAGGTTGTTGAAGTTTCGACCTTTCTCCGTATCAGTACCAAAACTTCCACCGCTGCGATCAGTGGAAACGTCGTTGCCGCCTCGATCCAAGCTTCCTACCTCCAAGGCTCTCATGGCTTCTGCTCGTGACACCTCGATATCATCCGCAGCTGGCTGAGTGCTGCCAGAATCCGTTGTTGCACTGGCCCCAACGCAAACCATGCCAGTGTTCAATGCGCTGACATCTTCGGACGCTGCGCGTCGATGACTCTTGATCCAGCGACGTCGCAGGAGACCGGCCATGGGAGGCATGTTGGCGCAGATGGTAGACACGTGGACCTCGACCTCTGACCACATTCCGAACCAACCAAAGTCCCAAGACACATTCGTGGAGTTTCGCAGAGGGAAGATGTAGACCAAGCGGACGATAGAGATGGCTGTGGCGGCAAACCCAGTTATGAAGATGGCGGAGATCCTGTCGACTGGTCAGCAACTAGACGCTAAAGCATTGCTGGTGCAGTACGTACCAAATCTTCCACTGACGTGATATACCACGGACACGGCTGAGCAGGCCGAGAGGAAGAAGCAACACTACGAAGTCGAGCCAGATATTGCACGCTGCAATGGCAAAGACAGTGATCTGGAAGTTGATGCCGAGTAGCTTCTGTCGTGGAATGGCAGTATCTCCTTCATAATAGTAGAGAGGCCAAAGGGTTGCCAGAGCTCCAATCGTGAAACCCAACAGTCCGGCCATACATAGAAAGATCGTCACCCAGCACACATGTCGGAATGTCTTGTTGTCTGCTACCCTGTATATGATATTTTAGCTTGGATTCAAGGGAATTCTTGAAGTCATCAGTCAGCTTACACGCGTAGATACAGCAGTACCAACGATACCTTGGCGCCAAACGTCCCGATGAAATAGGACGGCGCGCTGGAGAAAACCCAAAGCGTGGCGACTTTTCGAAGATCCTTGGTCACGGCCCAGCTGTCCCATGCTGCATCGTCGTCACTCTTGAGGACCAGGATAACGATCATCTGAATGGAAGAGGCCCATACGAAGAGAATTGTCTGTCAGATACGCATTTATGTCAGTCCTTGCAATGTCACATGCGACTTGCTAACTTTACCCAGTCATCCCACCAGAAACCAGGACCACCCATACGCTGCCAGCGACTGAGGAGTCGTCCGATCATAGAGATCGTTGCAGCGACGAAGAGAAGAGAGGTCACCAGGTCTTGCATCAGTCCGCGATTTCGAGGTTGGATGTTGCATGTCTCCGCACGAAACCGTTGCCATTGCATCAAGTCTGCCAGTGTCGGACATGATTTTTGCACGCATAAGTTGATGCTTGTGAAGACCTCGCTGCCGTAGCCTTGGCAATAACAGTCGGCCGCGAGCGTGCATGAAAGTCGAGTGAGTTCATCTTGCTGGCACGTACGTGCACATCCGGGAAGCTCGTTGAGCGAGGTCTCATTCACTTGCCTCGTGGGGTTGTCGAAACGGAGAGATGCTGTGACATAGCTGGAGCAGGTGAGAAGGGTCCACAGCACGATTGCTCTCATCGTTCACTCGCCATATGGTTGCAGCGGCGAAGGTGGACCGTAGTAGAGCTAAATAGATTAAATGCCCGGCAGTTGGGCGTACAGCCTCTTTACATGCTCGAAGATCTGACCAATACACTGACTCGATGGCCTGTCACATACCTTTGTGGACATCGGCATTGAAATCAGAGTTTCCCGGCCGGAGGATTTCCGACGTATCTAGCCCCTGCCGCTCTCAGCGAGAGTTGTACGCAAGTAATAGGTTGCGTACGTTTGCCGATGGCTGCAGCAGACTAGACTAAATAGTCGACTAGTGGCTGGCTGTTTTAACGTTCTTGATTGTAGAGCGGACTGGCACACCAGACATCTTGTAAGCGTGTGCATCCCAACAGAATTGGCAGACTGAATTTTCCCCATCTTGTTCGCTGCCAACTTTCGACGCGGCTGACAGTGTTGCTTCACCTGTTGTGTCTCAAGACTAGGTAGATGCATTGCCTTGAGTGCCTGTGAATACGAGCGATGTCCATGCCGGCGTAAATAAGCATTGTCGGAAGATGCAGTCTTGAGTCTCTTGACAATGGCAAGCGCAACTGTATCTGTATATCGTCTAGCGGCTAATTCGGTGACGACTCCTAAATGCTGAGTTGATACGTGGGGCGCAAGAGGGAAGCAGGTTATAGGTCGCAGGTGTTGGTGTTTGACTCGTGGCCTCACGGAAAATCCGGCTTCGCTTCTTCGGGCAGGCGCTTGTGACCTTGTGCTGCTCGCCGCAGGAAATGATGCCGGGACAACAACACAGCCGGATCGTCTTTCGGCTTGCCGGTGTTGCAGATGAGAAGAAGTGGGCCGACAGATGCTCTGCTGCGATGCTCCTGCTGGTTGTTCGTCAAGTCATTGGGGCCGATCCGTCCGGTACCGTGCCGTAGAGCAAGAGCCAAGAGGTTCCATTATATCATGAAGACATCCATCACCAAGTCTCTGTCCGACACCTCTAATCCGCAACTCTAAGCACTAACCAAGACCATGTCTTAACCCACAACCAACTCGCAATCATCAACTCCCATCATTCAGCGACTGTCCTCTCAACGACGACATAGCCAGCATCTTCCACACACCGTTTTCCTTCGACCCATACCTGGCGAATTCCATAACATTCGTATGCTCGACCCTCACAGACCCTATCCCGCCCAGAAAATATTTGGCGAACACGAATGCTCTTCCGGTATTTTCATCTGCGTGCGCGTTCACTTCTCCGCATTCCACCATCCAGCTCACTTTCTCGGCGTACATCTGTTTCTGCCATTCGAGACAATTTTTCAGGCTCGTGAGGTCGTGGCCCCAGTCGTGGGCCGGGAATAGATCAGCCTCCAACACAAAATTGGGAGAACAGTGAGGTGTCCAAGGGTAGTTTGTGCCCTCGAAGTTGCCTGTGTTCGCGGCGTGTGCGATGTCTAGTGATATCTTCTCGAGGTGCTTCTCCACCAAGGATTTTGTTACTGGTGTCGCGCTTTCTGTTGATTTTAGGATTGGCGGCTTTTGAGGACGGGACTCATTCTGTTCTGACTTGACTGCTGGGCTTCTGTTGCGTGGTTCTTGGGGCTCGGACTTTGGCGCTGGTGCGAGCGTGGTGTTGTTATGGGAGGACATTATCGCAGTGTCCACACTTCCGTAGGAAAACTTGTTATCAATGCCAATGTTATAGCCCGCAAGGCGACGCTTCATGTGCACCCTCTAGTTGACAATCGGCAGAGTCTGGTTGGACTGACGTTCCAGACGATCCAGTACTGGACGACCATCATATATGCTTGTGAAGAGCCATAGCTCCAGGCTTTCCTATGCATCGCACGTATGTAGTGACGGTCGTATACCTCTGCGTCGGAGCAAACTTCCGTATCAGACGCCAAAGAAGAACTCTGTCAAGGTTTCTTATTCGTGTAAGAGAAGCCATGCGCGCCGTGCGATCTGTTGAAACAGGGTAAATGACGGTAGTCTACCCCGTGCCGAGTCAGCTCTACTCGTCTCTGGATAAATTAGATATAGTTTCCGGTTGGAATGAAGTCTAACACCAACTATCCCTCACAAATGTTAGACAGCCAAGTGCCGAGTACTCAATCTAGTAAACGGAGCTAGAGTAAGTGCTGAGATTGTTGGCATCTTTCGGGAAGATCGGGAAAGCGAGGGCCGGGATGTGATCGCGTTTTGACTGCCAACAATAGTAGCATAAGTGCTTCTTGATCGCGTAACATAGGTATCTCGTCTCGTAACAAAAGGGAAGTGCCAAACAGCGGCCTGTAGTCAATCCTGCAACTTGTCTCCTGTATGACAAGATTGTCGCTTCCCAAGACAACACCATACACTCCGTTCCTCTTGCAACATCCTTGTCCTGCACTTGGGTATAATAGGCAAACGCAACTAGTCATCCTCGACGACGATCTTCTTGGTCATGCTCTCGACAACCTTGCCGTAAAATCGCTGAGCATGGTTGCGGGGAAAGCATATCTCTTCGGTAAGATAGTCCGGCAGCAGCTCCAATAGTTCACGGTCACGGCTCTCATCGAGAACTGGCTCGTAGGCGAATTCCGCCTCTTCGTGGCTGAGGCCGGAAGGAGTCTTCGGATTAGGAGTCGTGGCATCGTTGCTGACTGAGAGATGGAATTGTAGAGCTGGACTCTGTTAGTATTGCGAAGGTTAGAACACTGGAAACACGACTTACTCCCATTCCTGCCAGTCTGAATGCAGTTGTAGACATCTTCTCCTTCGTGCCGCCTTACACCACTGATGATCAGTCCCGTCAGATCCGCGTACAGATTCTCCTTCATTTTGGCCACTTTTTGCGCCTCGGACTGGTTGATCGAGATGTTGCTATTCTTCTTCGCCGCCGCTTCGAGGATCTTCGTTTCCTGCGCAGTGTTCGATATTTGTTGTCGTGCTGCGTTCAGCTTCGCTTCCAAAGATTTGACTTCGTTTTCCGCAAGCTTCGCCTTGTCCTTCAGCTCATCACGTTCGGCCTCCAATTTTTGATTCGCAGCTTGTAACGAGGCAACGTCTTTCTGCAGACTTGTGGTCTCCGATGACCCGGTAGAAGACGATTTCTTTGCTTCAGCGAGCTCCTTCTTGAGCGCTGCTATGACATCCTGTGCATCCTTGGCCTTTTGATCACTGGCTCTCTTTAGTCTTTCGAAGTTGCTTTCTGCGCTGGTCTTTCCGATCTCCTCCAAACTTTCGTATTTCAATTGCAGACTGTCGTATTTCTTGGTCATCTCATTGAGCTGTCTGCGAAGCTCTGGATCACCGCCTCGTCGTTCTGGAGCCGACGCACTTCCTGATCGCGAGCGCACAGGCTGGTATGTCGGTTGTGCTGAAGCTGCGCGCCCACTCGGTCGTACTTGCAGCAGATCTCCGCGCGCACTGGGTCGTGGCAGCAGAGGCTGTACTGGCACTGATGGCGCACGTTGCGCATAAATACGCGTTGGTGGCGGCGTAGGCTCTTTGTCAATGTCCATACTCTCAGGATCAACTTCGATCGATTGCTCCACATCTTCCACGAATTCTGGCTCAGGTTGAGTCTCTGGAATGGTCATCATCTGGTCTGGCGAAGGTGCACGCTTTGCGCCGCGTCCTCGCTTCGTAGCCGTCGCATTCTTCGCTGGTTTCTTGATTGCATCTGCTGTGGTCTCACTTTTGCCATTCTTTCGCGTTGCTGTTGTCTTTGCGCGCTTTACCGCAGGCTTCGGCGCTGCTTCCTCAGCATCGAAGTCGTCCACTTCTTCTGTTTCGTTGCCATCTTGGAGGTTGGTGCGGTCTTTCAATGCTTCCCGAGGTTGTCGCGCCGCTGCTTTGCGTTTCGTGGCCGTCGCTTTGGTACCGCTGAGCCGTCGTGCTGCTGCTTTTGCTTTCGGCATTTTGGTGTTGGTCGCACGTTTGGTCGCGGTTGTCGCAAGAAGGTCGTCTTCGCTCTCGTCCGCGCCTGCCGCAGGTCGGGCCTTCGACCGGGGTGGCATGGCAATTCACTTTTGAGATGTCGAAGAACCAGCTGTATGCGCCCGTGTGCGATAATCAATGCTGGTCAAATCGTGTGCACGCGCAAGATGTGCGCCCGCGACACGCGATCGTCAACATCGCGATAAACAAATCCGGCTGTTCCTTCCCGATACGGGGAGGCCTCGGCTCAACGTGCCTTATTTCACGTCCGACACTTCACTGTCCCACTTTCCAGTACAAGATGTGAGAAATCGCATTGACACGTTGTTTCAATGAATATGGAACGTCCCTGAGTCCAATAGCGACAATGAAAGCATTGCGAGTTCTCAAAGACTACGTACACTGCTATTCAACAACAATTGAACGACTGAAGCGCGGCAAAGGGGGTATCTCGTACAAGCAAAGCAGCCTTCCCAAACATAAGGAAATAGTCAAGCTCAACTATCTGGCCGGACTGTCGGGCACATCTCAGATGCTCTTCTCTGGTGGTTCTTCCTGCTTCTGCTGCGTCTGCACATCTAGCATCGAGGCGGCCGCCACTACTGTGCGTGACTCCTGCTGAGATGCGTTCGTTGTACTGAAAGGTATATAACCTGTGCTGCTGAATACTGGGAGCTGGCTAGGTTTTGCGAGCTGTGATAGCATGTTGGTAGTGCTAGCTGGACTAACACTCGTCGCGGGTTCCGATAATGTACTGACCAAATTGGGCATCGAGTTCCCCGTTGAAGTGAACGCAGCTGTGGCAGCTGGTCTAGGAATGGATGTGCTAGCAACATCGTTCACAGAGTGCGAGCTGTCAGTCTGTGGCTCTGGACGAGCGATCGCTCTCTGAAGCTGGTTGACCTCATCTGACGCTAATCGATCAGCTGCATCCTGCCCAATGAAACTAGATTGCTCGACAAGAGCCGTCTTATCGGCCAGCAACGATGGCGCAACATTTTCCTTCGCATGAGTAGTCTCGGCCATCGCAGCTAGTGGAAGCCCAGACGTCGCTGGGTTTGCGGACATGGCCGGGAGTGATAATCCTGTGGGAGCAGCTGCCGCATGAGCAGCGATGACTGCGGGCGGAGCTGGCTCGACGGCGTGGTTTCCAGGAGGTATGTTGGAGGCTGGTTTGGATGCGTTCGACTGTGCCGGGGGCTGTGCAGAGGACTGCGCAGAAGACTGCGCGGCCCTTTTGGCTGCAGCATTGACCCTCCTCGTCTCCGCTCCTTTTAAGGCTCGAGCTCGGCGGTCCGCATTGAGCTTCTCCATCTGTCTACGTTCGTGCTCTTCCTTTGATGCCGGTGCCTTGAGTGTGATTTTCTTGACGCCATTGGCAAGTCCATCAACATCAGAAGGTTTATCGGAGGTGTTGCTTCTGATTGCAGCTGGTCTTGCAGACGCTGCCGCGGCTGCTGACTTTGCAGCTGGCGAGCTGGGTGCACTCGTTGATGACGGCACAGCCCGAGCGCCTTTGGTTGGCACTCTGGCTTTCTTGTTGACAAGGGCAGGCACGGGAGGAGGTTTCATGCTGCCACTGGGCCTGTTTCCCGGTAGAGCTGGCACGGGTGGCGCTGCACTGTCTACAAGCGCGTCGGTCACGGTAAGAGCACTACCGGCACTGAGTCGTCGACTCAACCTTCTCTGCTGTGTTGCCGCTGATTCTTGTGATGGCAAGATGTCAATAGTCTCTCTTCTGCTTGCCCTGCTTTCATTGCGGCTCGCCGCCCTGGAAGCAGCACTTTCATCGCTGTGAGTGCTCTCGGCATAGGCTGGAGCCTTGGCCTTCCGATCCCGCAACTGTCGAGATGGCGCCGCATCTCGCCCTGCAGTTGGGGCCAACTCTTTCTTGACGCGTGGGACAGTGAGTTCTTCTGAAGTGCAACTTTTTGTCTGTCGGTCCTGTGGGATGAGAAGCTTCGATAGCTCTTGCGTGGCGACCACCCAGTCCACCTCTGGCGGTGGAGGGGTTGGAGCTCGGTCGGGTCTAGGCACGTCGCGCATCGTGCCAGATATGGAGCGTGCGAATTTATTCGTGTCGACTACCTTGTAGGCGAACGACTCTGTAGGCGTTGCATACGTGGGCTGGGGCCCAACGCGAAACTTCTTCGCTTGCGGTGGCGGAGGAGGGTTGATCTTGTGTTCGAGGGCTGTCAGATTGTCACTGGTCCACCACATCTTGTCATATCGATATTCAGAGCCTAGCCCATGCGAATTCATAGAAAGCCCGTTCATCTTGTTGCTCAGATTCATGAGCTCGTCGAAGCCGCTGGCCTGCGCTACGACAGGGGCCGCACAAAGGCCCGACAAGTGGCTGAGCACTCCGCTGCAGAGCGCGCGATCACTGTAGCCTCCTTCGAGGACACTGATGACTCTGCCTTGGCAGCCTTCTACCTCGTTGGCGAGTTTAACCACATCTTCGGTAAAGCGAGCGTAAAACTCTGTCGGCACGCTGACTTTATGCCTTTGCATGCCTTGGCCCTCCCATTCACTAGCATCGAAACCTGCAGATATGAAGATTGCCGCATTGGGTCGAACTTTGCCCTCCATGCGAATGCGGTTGCTGTGATGCTGTAAGAACACTCGGGCCTTATCCAGCAGAACACGATATCGCTGTTCGTAAAGCACCCAGAACTCGTCCTCAGTCTTCCACGGCTGCAAGTGCACATTCCATATCGACTGACTGTGCGCGTTCTCGACACACAAGCTTGCTGCCTGAACCTTTGCGTCATCGCCCCATTCGCAAGGGTAGCTATTGATGTCGTGTAGACTGTAGTAGCCAATATCTGGAGTGAGCTTCAGTTTGCTGTTCGGCTTTGCGTTCTGTCGCTTCTCGTTGTTCTTGCTGTTTCGTTGCCACGCAATCGCTTGGCTGCCATCACCATGGTGGAGATCGAAGTCGAAGATGGCGGCGTGAGTCACGTCGTAAAGCTGCGCAGCATATTCGATACCTACGTGCACATTGTTCAACCAGCAGAAACCACTTGGATGATCGGCTGAACAATGGTGACCAGGCGGACGGACAGCGACGAACGCTTTAGTGGCGCTGGCATTGGGAGCAAATACAGCGTCGACAGCATCGGCGACACCACCGAGTGCCCCTTGAAAAGCATCGAGCGACCCTGGAGCGAGATACAGGTCCCCATCATGCAGCTGTTCCTTCCCAGCTGATCGCCCGACCTCCTTGACTCCAGCCGCAAGCTTCTCTGGCGCCGAGCTGCACATTCCTCTCAATTCATCCATCCACTCCGTCCCGTGGACAGCAGTCACGTACGGAGATGTGATATCAATGACGCGGGCGGTGCGGCGAATCTTGAAGGGTGGACGAGCATTGGCACTGCGATTTGGATGTGGTGGGCGATCTCCGCCTTCATGATGTCCACCCAACCTGACATACGCTGTTGATGCTCCCAGCACGCTAGCATTGATGCGCTCCGGTCGCTCCACGATCAAAGAGAGCTGGCCTTTGGTGGTTTTGAGGCGGGACCATCGATGTCCATAGCATGCATCGTGGAGTATAACGACGACGTCAGACTCTGTCCCCTCTTCTCCGTGCGCAAGCAGTTCCTTGGTGAAGTGTGACGCTGCTAGCTGCGCAGATGTCAGGGGCGTGGGCTCCTCAATAGACTCCATCCGTGTCTGCGACTCCCTCAGCCCAGCAATGAGGTTCGAAATAGACCGCTTAGGGGTCGAGCTCTGTTCTTGCTCATCAGTCGCACCTAGCGAAGCCCGCGACGACTTCTTGCGCAGAGCAGGCGAAGAAGCTGGCTTGTTCAGGCTCATACTGCTTGACGAGCGACGCGACGGCGGTCGCGGAGACTTCGGTTGCAAGTTCATTGACGCCGTGGATGTCCGACGCGACAACGGAGTGCGCAGCGTCGGGGTCGGTGGCGCTGAAACTCGCGGGCTATGACCATCTCTTGCGATTTGCTCTACAGCTTGCGACAGTTCGACTGTATCGATGGTCATGCCGATAGGAGGCGGCGCTGTCGGCGGGTCGCCTGGCGTCGTCTGCTCCATGGTTCGAGAGTGAAGAGCGGGTTACGAGCGCCGTCGCGATTGTGCGCTTGTGCTGTTGCTAGGGCGGAGTGAGTGTTTGTTGCGGCGACGTCAACAGAAAATCGGGCTGTCTGTCTCTGCCTCGCTCCTGCCTTGTGTCCCACGCGCTCGAGGGACGTGTATCCCTGTCGATGACGTCCGTGCGCAAGTATGAATTTCAAACTCAAACTTCCGCCCACCAGAGCCGACACATCAATAACGCCGAGAGAACAATTCCCGCAGCCTCGTCCGCACGCGACGCAACGTGCTCGTCGTGCTGGCAGTGGGAGAAGGGGGCTCGCTGCAAACGGGCGAAACACTTCTGGCCAGCAGTGCTTCGAAACGAGCTTCGATATCCAAGTCGTTTGTCGTCCTGGACGCCGGCAGTGGTGGCGGTGGTGGTGCTGCGGCGCGCTGACTGCTGTAGTAGACGCTCCGGCGTCTGCGCCTGGACTCTGTCGACTGCGAGCGTGTATGCGTTTCCTCGTACATGGCGAAATGTTGTTGCAATTGCGAGGAGTTCGCCTGGCTGAGATCTTTTTTTACTGCGTCGCTGGCTGACTCAACCTATGGCAGAGCTCACATATCATAGCAGACCTGACTCGTCCTATAATGGAACAGAAGAAAAGGCGTTCCAGACAGAACACGAGCAGACGCAGCCATATCTACATTGCGGTGCCGACAACAAGCCCCTGATCAATGGCGGGCAGCGCGAAGAGTGGACGAGCGAATACTCCACGTCATGAGATCAAACCAGCGCCATCTCGCCTTCAGTGCCTAGCGCTTCGAGAACGACCTTCCTTGGTTTCAACCACGTACCATTTCATGGCTTCGCGAGCACTAGTCTTCGCCTTTGATACGGCCCGCCATTGAAAGCCCTACAGACATGGCTGTGGATACTCCTCTTCTGGACTATGGGACCGTGATCGACACGGCCTGCGTCCATAAACGCCCTAACCGAAGCCCTCGGCGCCGAACTCTATCTTGCCAATGGCGCTGGAAAATAGACGAGATTATTGTTCGAGCAAGCTATCCCGCTTCCACGATGTCGGTTCCCAGTTGCCGCCGTATATGCTTGTCATTCTGCACTACTCATTGGGTCGCTACCCATCCTTTTTACCGACTGTCGGGTCATTGGACCCAAGTCTGCACGTTTTCAACTTGTGTATGGAAGCTTATCTTTAACCTAACAGCAGTGACTTCAGCTATCGACGGTTACGATATATTGAGGTGCGGCACTATTGTCATCATTCAATCAGTCATTCGACCGCCATCGCGAAAGCCTCACAGCTCAGCCTCCACAACTTCTCCTCAGCGTCGTCGTCATACGCATGCGAACCGTAGCCTGCTGCGGCCACGGATGCACCCTCTTGGAATGGTCCGCACTCTCCACAATCCGCGACGTAGCTTCCGCCTTTGTCATTGAGGTATCTAGCAGTCACTGCCCAGACCTGTGTGGCGGCACCCTGCGGGATCGACTTCATCAAAGGCAATAGCTCTTCCATATTGAAATCGCTATCAAGGCTGTCGTTCGTCTGGTGACGAGGGAGCTCAGTGTCGAGGATTACTCCAGGATGGACAGAAGTGGCATGTAAGTTCTTGTGGCCGTAGTGGCGCTCGATGCTCGAAGCCATGTAAATGTTTGCGGTCTTGGATTGGCCATATGCGAGGATAGGGTTGTACCCATCGCGAGAAGAGAAGTTCATATCGTCGAAGCGAATGGGGCTGAATCGATGCCCGGCGCTGCTGACTATCACTACACGACTGCTGAATTCCGGAGTTGCAGATGCAAGAAGACTTTCTTTAAGCAGCTGAAAGAGTAGGAAGTGTCCTACAGGTGACTGTTAGCAAGCAAATATAGGTTCGCACGTGTCGAGGGCGGTCAGACCAAAGTGATTGCTGGCCATGTGCATCTCAAAACCTTCGGCAGTGCGTGATATAGGACACATCATGACACCCGCATTGCAGATCAGGACATTCAGACTCCGACTCCTTTGCAAAAAATCATTCGCTGCTTCACGAACACTCTGCGGACTCGAAAGATCCATCAGAACAAGCTCCAGCTTTCCTTTGCCTTCTGGCACGGATTTCTTGATGTCTTGAACAACCTCCTCTCCTTTCTTGGCCTTCATCGGTCGTACCGTCATGAAGATATCCGCGCCTGTTGACAATTCATATTAATACTTGCAGATAGAATGCTACTTCGTCTTATGGGCAGATGTTACCAGTGGCGTAGAGAGCTCGCGCCGTCTCAATCCCAAGCCCGGAAGAACAGCCTGTGATCAAAAGTGTCTTGCCAACAAGCGCATCTCCTCCGAGCAGACCTTCACCTTGCAAGATTTGCATTGCCGTCGGACGCTGGTCTCCTGCGCCATTTGGATTTTCGTGCAGTGCCGCGTATGGCTGGTATGGATCGGCAGGCGGTGGCATGCTTGATATCTTGCTTGATGCTAGGTAGTAGTGAAAATGCTTTTGGACATTTGTATCAATCCTTTGCTTCGATACGTGGGAGAACTTCCAACATCCCTGTTTCGGTTACACAACCAAACAAATGAATCTGAAGAGATCCACATATGACATTGACCATCTCGCATGCTTTCAAACCTCGATTCTGGTCTCAATGAGTGGGTGACAGACCAAGTGAGATGTTATTTGGAGGCTTTGAACGTCCACGCGCCAGTTTCGTGGGAGTGAAGACTTACTCTTGGCTATCGTTACATAATTCTGTTGTACATGAGTTGCTGTCTCCGTATCCAAGCACGTCGCCACAGCACATCATCAGTGCAGTGCAGACCAGGCAGAGTGTCAACATACCCGGTCGCAAGCTTGAAACCCTCTTTACCACAAGCGCGCATTTGAGGGAGCGATGTTGGTCCTGCTCGCTGAATTGCGCCGCTGGGAATGGTAGATGTGCGCATTCGAGTGAGGCAGAGGCTCACTGTCCCAAAGTCTGCTTGACAATTCTCGCGACCTCTGCACGATCAACCGGCTTCCCTTCCAGACTTCCGCCTGGCCCAAGTACCTTTTTCAGAATCTCTCCCATGTTGATCTTCGCGTTCCCCGCAGCTGCTTTCGCCTGGTCTACCACTGCTTTCACAGCATTCTGAATCTCCTCAACACCCATGGTCTCGACGCTGTCGGCGTACTCATCCAATACGTCTACTTGCTGTTGCTCTTTCTCCACCAAATCGTCTCGTCCAGCAGCCTTGAACTCTTGCTGAGCTGCTTTTGCTGCAGCCACTCTCTTCTTCAGGACTGACAACAATTGCATGTCCGTCTTGATGGGGCTAGAGGTCTTCGCTGAGTTCGTTACTTCGGCAATGACTCCTCGGAGGACGTTTAGACGCGCTGTATCTTTGGCCTTCATCGCAGTTTTCAGGTCACCCTTGAGCTTGGAGAGAAGTGGTGATGCTGGGGCATCTGTGGATGAGTAGCGAATCGTTTGACATGATTGGCACACCCAATTGTTGCGAAGGGCTATTCTGCTGCGCAGGAGCATTCGTGTCGTCGTATTGAGAGCCATTGTTGTGATTGTGCTATTGTTGATGAAAAGTGATGGCTGGGAGCTAAGCTCTCTGAGCTGACCTCCGACGCGCGACAAGAAACGCGAACTTCGAAGAGGAAGCTTTCCAGAAAGTGAAGATCCAACCACGACAACAACACCACCTCCAATCCACGCCTTCACGTCCGCCAATTGCGCTTCCTGTCGCTTCACGATTGCCGAGCCGCCCATTTCGCATTTTGACGACGACATTGCCATCACGGCGTCCTGCTGCATGTCACGGCCAACCACGACCTCCCACTTCTTCATGTGCTCGACACAAAGACCGCATCTTATCCAGCACCTCCTTTGAGCGCAGAGTCGCGACGAGTACAAGCCTGACTTGACAATGGCAAGCGCTGCAGCGCCGCAGACGCCTCAGCGAGCCATCCCAGGCACGTTTGCTGCGACACCAGCAGCAGCACAAGCACCACCGCCGCAGCCGATCCTAGGCTCTACCATCTTTGCTGCAAATGCCGCCACTCTACGACAGAACATACAACCGCCCGCGTCAAGCGATGCGCCGGCGCAACAGACCAGTACACAAACGCGAACGCCGATCCAGCGGGCTGCGCAAACCATAAATAACACATTGGAACGGGAACAACAGTTCCCAGCGCTCGAGGAGTATGTGCAGCAAGGGGTCAGTGGAGAGTATGAGCAGCCAAAGGCAGGTTCCGCATTGGAGCCGTTCCAAAAGATGAAGCTACACGATCTTCCCCCACGGCTGTTGGAGCAGGCGAATCGAAGCCAAATGTCTATGCTCATGGGCGTTTTCGCGCCTATTGGCTACGCATGGGTGGCATTTGACACCTTTCTGTATCTTTGGGACTATAACTCACCCAATCCGGAGATTCTCGGGTTTGAAGAGAATGATCGCAACATCACAGCGGTGAAGATGGTTCCTCCAAAGCCAGGCGTCTTCATCGAGGACATCAAGCAGATGATTGTGGTCTGCACAGACTCAGATATGTTGCTGCTTGGCGTCGCCAAATCAGAGACACCCACAGGCGCTACGGATGTTGCTCTATACAACACACGGATGAGCATACCGATCAGAGGTCTTTCTGTCAACCTGGTGAGGGCTACGCGAAATGGGCGCATTTTCTTCTCTGGCAAGAATTCGGATGACCTCTATGAGTTCTACTATCAGCAAGAAGAGGGGTGGTTCAGAGGGAAAACACATCGATTGTGCCACTCCAAGAGCAACATTGGCTTCGTGCCCGCGAAGATCACAGCTGTTGGCTCTTTCTTCGGGCCCAGCGTATCGGCGAAGACGATCAAGGAAATCGTCATTGATGACTCTCGTGCTCTGCTCTATACCCTCCTCAACACCAGTGAGATCAAAGTGTGGCTGATCCGCGACAATTCACTCGAATTGGCCATCTCGAGACCCTTTTCCGCGCTGCTTCAAAACACTGGACACTTCAGTAGTCGGACTGAGCTGCTCACCGGAAAGGACGTCGACGTAATGGCCATAAGCGTGCTGCCCAAGGAGGAGACCTCTAAGCTGTGCCTGATGGCGACCACCTCGACTGGCTGCAGACTCTACTTATCTCTCACCAGAGGCTATGGATATCCAGCAGACGCCACGAACCCTCCAACAAGCATGCAGATTCTCCATATCCGCTTCCCTCCTCGCGACCCAGCAGGACAACAGCCATCCACGCAAACAAGCCAATCACAAGCGCTGGCACCTCTGGGCCAAGCAAGCAATCAGGTCGATAACACCTCCAAGTTGCTTGCTAAAACGGTCGTGGCGTTCCGCTTCTCTCCTGGGTACTGGTTTGCGTTCCAAGAGGATCCGGTAGACGTCAACAGAGATCGCTTGTACATCACTGCGCCAGACTCTGCACGTCTCAAGGGGCCTCAGGGTACTGGACCAACCACTTACGTCGAGTATGGCCAATGGATTGAATTGCCATCGATAGTGAGTCGCGTCGAGGAGCTCAGCGAGGCGTTTGCTGCTGCATACGAGCCCAGAGGCTTTGGCAATGAGCTGGCTGTACAGTTCGACAAGCCAGCGTCCGAGTTCGCGATCGTCACAAACACTGGAATTCAGACCATCCGAAGGAAGCGTCTCGTCGACATCTTCGCTGCAGTAATGAGGTATGGCGCATCTGGCGACGATGGCATGGAGGGCGATGTGAAACGATTCGTACGCACATACGGCAGAACAGAGACGTGCGCTACAGCACTTGCAGTGGCATGCGGCAAGGGAATCGATGTTGCAGACAACCGGGTGGCAAGTATCTCAGACCCCGACGTGCTCGAGCGAGCACGAAAAGTCTTTATCGAGCACGGCGGTTCACCAGACTTCAACGCCAACAGCGTCGTGGATGCAGGCGCAAATTTAGCAGAGAGCGTGACACCCAGTCCGCGACATGATGGCATTGCGCTCTACCTTTCACGACTGATCCGCGCGATATGGAAGGCCAAGGTCATTGAGAACAATCCCACACCAGGACTGAGTGGCACGAACTTTATCCCGAAAATCAAGCTCGACAGACTCAAGGCGATACAGCGGGATTTGACCACACTGCGGGAATTTCTTGACAGGAATCGCAGCTTCATTGAGGGCTTGGCAGGTCCAGACTCACTGCGAAACGCGAAAACACGACAAGACGAGATTGCACTCCAGGGTGAACACCAGTATATGAACAGTCTGGTCCGGCTCCTCGAGACGATCAGCGAAGGCATCAGCTTCGTTGTGGTTCTCTTCGATGAGCGCGTCGACGATATCCTGGCTCTACTCCCCGACGAGAGCAGACAGAAAGCACTTGAGCTTACATTCGAGACGCTCTTCGTTTCGAGTATCGGACACGATCTCGGGAAGGAACTGGTCAGGGCCATCGTCAATCGCAACATTGCCAATGGTAGCAACGTGGACACTGTCGCGGAGACACTTCGACGGAGATGTGGGAGCTTTTGTAGTGCAGATGATGTTGTCATCTTCAAGGCTCAGGAGCAAGTCAACCGCGCTAAAGACGCTGGCGGGCAGACGGAGCAAGGCCGCGCATTGCTCAACGAAAGCCAGCGGCTCTTCCAGAAGTGCGCGGCCAGCCTGCAGCACGAGTATCTCCAGAGGGCGGTCGAGGACTACGTTGGCATGGCTTTCTACGCTGGCGCCATTCAACTGTGCTTGATCGTGGCCAACGAGAAAGACAAATCAAAGCGAGCGTTGGCGTGGCTACGAGACGGCCGGCCAAGCGAAGATACTCGCTTTGCCGCCTACGAGTCACGCTCGAAGTGCTACAAGTTGGTGTTCTCCATCATCCGGCATCTCGACGATGCGACGTCGAGCTTTACAGACGAGACTGATGGCAAGTACAAACTAGCGATGAAGCGTCGCAACGAAGCCTATGATGTTATCAACAGCTCTGATGACATTGTGTTTCTGACGGACTTGTACGACTGGTATGTTGGCGTTCAGGCATTTGACGATGTGCAGCCACTCGCTCAGCCAGACCGAATTCTGGAGATCGACAATCCATACGTGGTCGAATACCTGCGCAAGCGCAGCCAAGACCACAGACTACACAACGACCTCCTCTGGCGGTACTTCGCCCATCACAATGACTACCTTCAAGCAGCCGGTGTTCAGCTCGACCTGGCACGCTCCGGATTCGAAGAGCTCACATTGTCCGATCGCATCGAGTATCTGTCTCGTGCGCGTACAAATGCGAGCACGCGCCAAACGATCATTACAGACTCACGACAGAGTAAGCAACGCCTGCTTCGTGAAGTCTCCGACCTTCTTGACATTGCCGAAGTTCAACAAGAACTTCTCGAGCGATTGAAGTCAGAGACTAGGCTCCAAGACCCGGAACAAAAAGCCACAATCATACACGACCTCAATGGCCAAATCCACCCAGTCGAGTACCTCTTCAACAGCTACGCCGATGCCGCGAAGTACCACGACATCTGCATTCTGCTGTACAAAGTAGCAGATCACCGAAACCTGGCAGATATCAAGGCAAGCTGGGAACAACTCGTCAAGGATTCGTCATCTGAAGCAATTGCTCTCTATGGCCAATCGATGAGACCATGGGAAGCCGTTGGCAAGGAAGTTCGCCGACTGGGCCACCGTCTTGGTCTGAACCCTTCGACTTTCCCCATCGGTACACTTCTGCCGCTCCTCGAAGCTTACGCCTACGAACCTCGAGCACAACATCCTCCAGAGAGTTGGGCAATCGACATGTTCCTTGATCTAGAAGTACCATGCGAAACGCTCCTGCCAGTACTGGAGAGCATGTTCTACTCAAACATGCAACCTTTCGTAGGAGCCAAGAAGAGAAAGCTCGCGGAGAAGATGGTATACGTGATTCGGAGATGGTATGAGGAGAGCGAGAGATCTGGTGAGCGTGCGTTGTTCGGTTCGGAAGAGAATTTGAACATGGTGCAGGATTGTCTGGGTAGCTTGGGCCGTGACGCGAGTTTGGGACAAGAGGTGCGAGATGCTGCTTTGGCAATGTCCGGGCAGATTTCGAATGCTTTGCGATAGAAAAGTTGGCAGACTTTTGCACGTCGAACTCAAACAGGGGGTCAAGAGAGGGGACAAATGTGTATGTGTACGATTCGGTCGATTAGCGCGGCGCTGTTTCGCATTTGCATACCAAAGGTGCTTTGAAGTTCTTTGATTGTTTATTATTGCTGCAACTTGGCGCTCTTGCTGTCATCGAACTGACGATGACCAGAAAGGCATCCAACACCCCTCAGGGACATTTCAAGATCAACAATTCAGGCATAGCAATAACTTACCGTGGTCTTTCGCCGTTGCCACATCTCTTGAGCCGGTTATTCTCCAGATCACATCGGCAACGTCTAGCAACCCATGCGAAAAACGCTGCGAGAGACACAACGACCTGAGAAAAGACAGATTATCGAAGTCGAAAAGCTTCCTACAAACACTATCCACAAAACCACATCGAACAAGAGAATGACCACGCAACTTTCGAAAACAGACCACTTATGCCAACCTCGAGTCCCCACAACGTCCCACAGAATATCGATGCCAATGCTCCATCGTTCGTCCAGCGGCCCTAAGTTGCAGGAAGTCGCCCATCAAAGCACCTATAATGGGATCCACAACGGCTATCATCTGATGCGCGAGAGCTCAGCCCAGAGCATAGCCTACGTCAACCATGTTAGTAAGAGATCCTCACGAAAGCCCTTTCTCTCAGCGTGTACCTACACTCCACCTCATACGATCCCCCATACTTCTTATTGCATTTGTCTTCACCCCACCAGCCATGGCACGTACACTACAGCATCAAGACGTCAGCATATGCTCGCCCTGAGATTTGCTCTTCACGGCCCGATCTCAGGCCAGAGCAAAGAAAAAGTCGTATACGTACGTAAAGGCTATCAGAGCTTCGATGGCCCACGGGAATGTCGTCTCGAAAACTCCACGTTCCCTTCGTGTCGTCACACAATTGATGTCCCCTATCTCCATGGGCTCCTTTTCCGCAGAAGCAAGCGTATTCTGTATCTGTCAGAACGCCTTCTGGCGGACGTTTGACAACGGGAGCTTTGCCCGCAAGTGGTCCGGCTATCGCCACGCTATGTTCCTTTTAGCACCATGCCACAAGAAAGCAGAGTATGATTGAAATATTGCTTACAGTGGCATCGCCAAGAGAATGACCCAGGTAGAATGCATATTGCAGAAGGTGGTGCAGGCAATATAATTGTTCTGAAGTCGTAGCTGTTGAAAACGGAGAAGTGTCTGAGGATGACCTTCTGTCTTCGCAATCAATTGTATAACTATATATACATCGCTACAGCTTAGATGCAGCGGCAAGTATTACAGTCACAAGTATTACGCCGGTCTACAATGCTCTCCGTCTTGGGATCACAGATTCCATGATTGCACGAGACTTTCCAAGGGAGTAATGAAGGGCACACTCTTGCGAGCTAGTTGATCCCAGTTGAGAATTCCAGAGCACTAGCACTATCGTCAGTGCACATGTAGTAATTCAGCTCAAGGGCATTAAAGAGGTTCGCCATCATAATGCCACATCCTAGCCTGCTTTACCTCTTTGAATCTCACTATTCCAAAATTGTGCGAGACTCTGCATGGGAGAGACGTAGGGCATGCTCTTTTGAGCGTTATGTATCCAGTTGAGCACTCCAGAGCACCAGCGACATTCGTATTGCGGACGTAGCGTGCCCAGGAATCCAGGCTGAAAACAACCACAGGATCCCAAGACAGAATTAAGAGGGCGACCTTGCATCGGTAGACTCAAAATGTCGAAAGTGCGGAATCCTTTCGCGCAGGTAGCTCGAACTATGCAGTTGCCGATACTAGTAGCCATGGCGCAGTGCGGCTCTCGTTCGTATGACAACTGCAGAGTATAGCGATTCCTTAATCACATCTGTTCAGCACCGAAATATCCACTCGAAGGACGAAACAAGACCGATGTCAGCGAAGGCTCCCTTTACTACTTCGGATTCCAGGAACTAGGTACAGGCTAGTAGCAGAACATCATTGAACGCGCACTCGCTATGCCGGACGCTCGCATAGATTCGCACTGAGTCCTCATTCGAGGCTCCGGAAGTGGTAATAATGAGAACACGAATGATGAGAGTTCATACTCAAGGTTTTAGGGCTGGTTCCACGTGTCTGGCGTTTGGGGCCGGGACGGGACCAGTCGGCTGTGGCTAAGCGAGTCCAGTACCCAAAGTGTTGGGACTTGCGAGTGAACGTCTGGACACATACAGCGGTTTCCTTGCAATTCCGTGAAGAGTTGTTGTTGTCGTGTTCCATGCATGATGTGCTCTTGTCTGCTGATAGATGGTCTCGTATTGCTCACTGGGCTCTTCCCGGCTTGAGTGTGGGATACCTGCGTTGGGCAGCGTGTTCACGCGACATATGGCCGCTTCGAAGTGCTTGGTGTACTTTTTTGGCGCCGAGGATCCTATGCATGGGTGAGGCCCAGCTGAACTTACTGGAGCAGATCGCAGACTCTGGACTGACGTGTCAAGAGGAGGACAGCTGCAGAGGTTACGTCAAAGGCAACAAAGCTCTGCTTCTGCACCGCTTGTCAAGGGTCCGGTTCCCTCGTGACAGTGCGTGCTGGTGCTGCTGATTGCCAGTCAAACCAGTTCACCGGTATCTTGCCTAGGCATACTCACCGCCACATCTTCCCGCTTGTGCATGGTCCCGGTTGATCGCTCGAGACGGACTGTAAGGAATGGTCAGCGAGGTTTGGCCGGCAGTGCACACAGAACGTGGAATCTGCCCAAGCCACCTTGCTCAATTGATCGTGCCCAATCTCCGACAGGCCACCATGAGCCTGCACGGAATCCTGTGCTTCGTTTTCAAGCGAGCGTCCAAAGGCGCTTGAGCAAGAAAGTAAAGCGTGGGCGTCTCGGAAAGGACCAGGTCTAGGCCGGCACACATATACTTCGGCGCCATTTTTCTAGAACCATTGCCTGTCGGTTTCGTCTCTGTCTTGTGGCGGATGTACATGGCGAAATTTGACGTCTCGTAATAAAGTTTTGATACTGGTGGGAACGAGTGTGTGAAGGCACACCGAGCCCAGTCCCCGCGCAGTGGTAAGGGGCGCACGGCGCGATCGCAAATGTCGCACAGCATCCGGGACCCACCATCCATGACGGCGGGAATGCAGCTGTACGAAACCCAATGCAGCTGAAGATTAGCCTTTTTTGTAGGTACCTTCGCCATGTTACAAAGTATGTAGCAGTCCTTCAGCAGGAGGCGTGTTTGTAACTTCAGCACTGTTTCCCGCCGCAGAGAGGGCAGCCGATTCATGTGTGCAATTTTGGATTCTGGTAGTGTCAATAGGCCAAAAGCTGTGGTGGGACAGGATGCAGCATCCCGCGGGACAGTCGCCATTACATGCAGTGTCGCCTACAAGCCGCAGGCCCATACGTTATGGAGCGGTCGCGATGGTCGCGAAGTGGTGCCAATTCCTCTCGCTGTGACGCAGGAAGCGGCTTCTGCTGTGCATGAAACCTCGGCTGCCACGTTCGAATATGAGAGTCTGCTGATGCCAATCAAGTTTTAGTGATGTACAATCTTTCTCAATGCACATGCGAGGCTCGGCCCACTGCCTGTACTTCCTTTTCAAAGCGTGCCTGCATTCCTGACGGGTGCCGAAACTGCAGAGTCCAAAGTGCCTGGATCCACAACACCATGCACCCGGTCCTTAGCCTTTGAGATATCTCCCATGTCGAAGCTAAGAGACACCGTCATGCTGGTCATGCGGGACCGTTTCGCGGCCGATGGCGCAGCCCTGCTTTAGTCCCGGCGCTGTGTGTTTGGGTCCCTTCTGCCAGGCAATGTTATAATACGCTAGACGAAGTATAGTGTGAGCCTGTTCAGCCGTTGCTTCGACATGCACTATTGTATGTACTACGAGTCTTGTACTCACAGAGAAGAGTATGCGATGTGAGCAGAGTACAACAGTGTGCGAAGAGGTCACGTCCACAACGAGACCGCGTCCACAGAGTCGGCATCGGCTAGGTGCCACAGGTGAAAGAATTTCTGGGCCCGCAGAGCCGTTCGCCTGGGACAGCGACTATGTCCATTCCTCAGCCAGAGAACAACGCCATTGTGCAATTTGCTGGGAGGAATTATCCTCGTTACGCCTTGCAACACGGGATACATTGTGTTCCGGTCGATGAGGTAGGCTTGAGCCTTCGACCAGACCGTGTCAGAAGTGCTGACTTGAATCTGCGGCGCTGACAGTCATCAGGAGGAGGAGCAGCGATACGACGAAGTGAATGATGTGTTGCAGAAGCTTTTTGGAGACGGTATCGACGGCGTCATTCTCCCTGAAGCGATGCGAGACGAAGAACGCCTGGACGAAGGAGCTGAGGTTCTCGAGTGCGGTTACGGAAAGGCTGCCTGGATAGACAAGCTGCTCGCGTATCGACCGGACGCCGACGTCACTGGAATAGACATCTTCACTGGCCAAGGCAATTCCGATGAGGACGACGACGACGAGGACGAAGAGGAGGACGCGGGCATCGAATCGTTCATTCGCAGAAGGTGGAACTTGAATGCATCCTTCCGGGAAGATACCAGCGATGACCATTTGAAGCCTGAGACATTCGACCTCATCAACAGTCGCTTGCTGGCAGATGGGATAAACGCAGATCGTTGGCAATCGTATGTTCGGGAGCTGTATGTACTGTTGAAGCCTGATGGCTGGTTGCAGATGGTGGAGGGCCAGGCACTGTTCCAATCAGACAGCGGGCGCGATGCGCCGTTCCTTAGTCGTTGGTGGGAGTGGTACAGAGAAAAGATGATTCAGATGCGAAAGAATCCTCGCATCGCTTCTCAATTGGGAACTCTCATGACGAATGCAGGATTCAAGGACGTCCATTATCATGTCGCCCGGCTTCCTCTTGGCAGTTGGGATCCAGGTTCGTTCTTTTCTCCAGCAGGCCGAGCTCCAGATTTTGGCTGACAGTTGACAGCAAAGGCACAGCTTGGTAACCAGATGAGAGACGTAGTTGACCAGATGCTGATCGATGTCTCATTATATCCGTTCCTTGCTGTTGGCAAGATGCCGCGAGAGCAATACGACAATCTCATCGCGGGTGCTCGTGCAGAGTTGCGTCGACCGGAGCTGAGATTGTATTTCAATATGTACGTGCATCTCTCTTTCCTTCCTCAGAGGCGAGAAGCTGCTGACACTCCGCAGGCACGTTGCTTATGGTCGGAAGTCGAGACGAGGTCGGTGAAACTGTCTCGGTACGAACGTCTGGTCGCGAAGCGGGGCGTGTCTTTGCATTAGATACTCCGTTCGTGGGTGTTCATTGTTGTGATGCCCACGAACATCAGCCGTTTGTCCATTGTGTCGCATGGCCGTTGGACAACGCGCACGATATTGGCGCAAGCTTTCGTCTTCGTCGCTGCGGGCATGGCAGAGTCGATTCTCGAGGTGTACGCAATATCAGAGTGCGTTTATCGCGGCTGTACGTCTCACCATTGTGGTGAATGGCAACTGAAGCAGTCTTCTGGCGGATCATGGCAGAGGTCCGGCTCGGCATGGGTGAAACACTCTCGTGCGAGTGGAAGGAGACCAACCGCTCCTGCGTGGGCTCAACTGGAAGGTGTGCGGGCGTGGGGCTGCCGAGATGTAGGAAGTGATGCCAGAGGAATGTCGCTGGAGTCCAAAGATCACATAACGGTTTCGCAGGGTGGGTAGCAAAGTTACAGCAGCTTGAAAGAAGATACATGAAAAGAAGAGAACGAGTGAAGTCGCCATAAAGTTGGCTCCTGCTACTTGGGAAACAGCAGCCGCCCATCTCCTGCTGCCGACCCAATGCTATGGATCCGAGATCAGGCCCAACTATGGAACTTTATCGATCGTCGCGTCAAGCGCTGAATTGTCTCAAATGAACCACGGGAACGTGTCACCGAACAAATTCTGGACACCACCACGCCGTTGCAAGCACTTCACGTCCTACTACTCCATCAGTCTGTTTATGATGTAGACCTTGAGATGGGGTACCTGAGAGCTTTGTGTCAGTGGTGGTCAGAGCGACCAAGAGCTTTACCCAGATGGGTTATCTCGTGCCTGGGCCTCTGTCTTATTCGAACTCTAAAATGCTTACCAAGTGGTGAACAGGCCACCGGTGCTCAACGGCCCCGCTCGCCAGTTGCCAGGCCGCATGAGGTTCTGAGCACGTGTCTGATGTGTTGTGACGTTTGTTTCGTTACGTCGACTGGTTCCTTCTCTCTGACTTTGTCACAGCCAGCATCGCATACCATGCGCACCACAGCACCCAAATCCCCAGCGTCCGTCGAGCACGAAAGCAGAGCCTGGACAACTGCTGTTTCCGCGTAGAGTACATCTCCACCACGAAGGAGTGTTGCGCTAAAGGGGGCACTGCTCCACGGCACGGGTCTCCGACCGGTTGACGGGAGACCAAGAGCCTACCGCTTCGTCATGTCTTCAAGCACAGCGGAACTGCTGTGACCTCTAGCAGTCCAGCAGGCATCCGCCCTCGAATGTGCACAACAGCTTCACATTGGATATGCGTCCAGAGCAGATAAGTGGTATGCAGGCGCGGGGATCGCTGAGGCTGTCAAGTGCTCTTCGACACCTTTGTCGCATTTGCAGATTGTTCCGCCGGCGAAGCAGCTTCTGTGATCCTGGTCATTTGCTGTTGGGATGTCCTTGTAAGTGCTGTTCACCATGCGGCCCCAATCTGGGTGCAACTGAAGCGAGATTTGCCCTCGCAGTCGCACGTCCTTCTTGCCCCACAGAATAAAGACTCGCGGAGGACAATGGCTGCAGTTGCTTTGTCGACCTCCGAGCACTGCGAGCACTGAGCAGTGGCCTGATCGATGATGGAACGCGTCGCTTCTTCTACGAAGAAGCCCACCAGGATCGACTTTTGCATGATCGTAGAGACTTGTCATCTCGAGACATTCTTGACTCATCCTCGCGAACCTTTGGAAAGAACAGGAGAAAGCGGTGTCTGTACATGGCGATACGATGCGTGGTCACCGGAGCATGGGCTTGTGCCTAAAGCTTGCTGTCTCCTCCGAGACTGGAGTCCATTCGTCTCTAGTTGTGGTGGAGGAAGTACACTCCGATTTAAGTAAGACTACTGCAATAGTCAGTAGCAAGACTGTGTCTACTATTGAGAATCCTCGGATCTCAGCCTGTACTGAAGCACTTTCATTACACTTGAGATGCCAAGACCAGGCGAGTCATGCAAGTCAGTGTGAGATGCCCGGGAAGACCACACTCATCTTCACGAGCTTCGTTCATTCCCACGTGAACAGCGAGCGGTGGTCTGATTTAGCTGAGGAGTCACTGCTGATGGTAAGAGCCATGGTCATGACCAAAGCCCGAGAGCTCGGCGCAAGATGCGTGGTACTGAACGTGCGAATTTGATTGGTTGGCCGTTCGGCAATCTTGCAGTGCGGCATGTGAACGTTATCAGCGTGTCATTGGATCTAACTTACTGCAACTTGGTCTATCCTTCGTCTCTTGCCATCACATATCAACTGACACGCTCGTTATTCTAGTAGCAAGGAAGGGAAGAAGGAACAGCTGAGAACATACAGTACCCGCCAGGAAGGAACAATGGCGATACACCCAGAACTGGACGCCGATCGCGCTCAGGCATTGCCACCTGCCACTTCCATCGAACGCGTTGAAGCATGGACAGTTTCCCAAACCGCCGACGCACTGGCAGCGACCTCGATCTCGAGCCCTTCTCATCGTCTTTCACGTGGTCCAAGCGTTGTCATCGACATTCCTCTCGACGAACAAGCGTTGCTCGAGGAGCAGCCCAGACCCAGAACCGAGCCTGTGCATACCGTGTACAAGAGACGAGAACCGATCAGAAGAGACAGCATAAAGCGAAGGGAAGCGCTGCTCAAGGGCAAAGAAGGGAGCCGCAGGCGGCAGCGTTGGGAGAATGATCGCTTGCTGAGCAATCCCCACGCTGAGCCACCACTTCCAAGCGACTGGCAGGTGCAGCCCACGCATACAGTACAGAACGTGCCTTATTTCCTTGCCCCGCTGTGGGACGCGCAGTATGCCAAAAAGTCGGCAGAACGGCAACGGCGCGTGGCAGCAGCAAAAGCTCCAGCCAGTAAAGAGGAAGCTGTAGCAGCACAAGTCACCTCTGAGCTGCGGGCGAAGCTGAAGAAGTCGCGTGGTGCAAAGACCCTTCTGCAGGACTTAGAGGAAGAGATTCGCGGGTTTGTGAGCCAGTGGGATGAGAAACAGAAAGAATTGGAACACGAAGGCTTGATTGAGCCCGACAGCTCGGACGATGAGATCGTCTTCGTGGGCCGAAATGGTGCGATGAGTGACGATAAGCGGAAGGAGAAGGACGCGAGACACCTGCAGAAGGACAAGCTCATATTTCAAGGGCTTGTTGATGACCATGGAGCCGCTTTTGGCCGCTACTTGGTCCACTCAATCGCGTCATATGTGAGTCTTGCATTTCTTTTTCTGTCATCTCCTTTACTGATTTCTTCAAAGTACGGTTTGAAAACATGGTCTGTCACAACGGGCAGTCCTGCGCGTCGCGAAGCATATGTTGGACTCAAAGTCGATCCAACTACTCGAAGGCCGAGCTTGACGCGTAGCGAGCTGCCACGACCATTGTGGACAGTGGTGTGATTGCAGCTGTTAGCATCTTGATTCCTGATTGTTCGAATACATTTAGACACTCGCGAAGTTGATAACAGGCAGCAGCGCGGGTTGGACTTTCTGAGTCGCTGCCTTCACGTGCAGCGTTTGTCATTCACCAAATTTTTGTCTCCAGTCCTTAAGTACTTTCTACTTCATTCTTCTGCTCAGCCCAACCCAAGCCTCCGCTTCTTACACCTGACTACTCAGCTCTTTCACTGTCACTACGAAAACACGAAGAATCGTCGACATGTGCCAAATTTGCGCAATCAAGCAAGTGGCGGCTCTCCAGCGCTGGCCAAACTCCGTCGAGGCGCACAAGAAGGACCTCAACTTCCTGGTCGACACGATCCACGATGACTGGGAGACATACGCCAAGCAGAAACAAGAACATCCCGAGCTACAAGTACCAACTGAGCTACTCGAACTGCTCCGCCTTCTTGCAGGTACGATCGAACAACTCGACGAAGAACGACTGACGTGGTGGACCTCTCCTGAGAAGCGCGCGTTGCGGAAGCGACTCGAGGACGGCGGCGAGCAACGAAAACTTTCTGATCTGCACAATATCAACAATAATACTGTTTCTAGCATCGAGTCGCTTAATGCTAAGTTCGGGATGGTATGTTTGAGGTGTATCTACTACAGATTTGAGTGAGTGCTGACTTGGGACACAGTTCGTGAAGTGGGGTCTTGGTATGAAAGGAGGAGTGTGGGAGCTCAAGAACGCTCACAAGGTTGGGTCTGGTTGAGACTCCCTGCGCCAACTGATACCACTCCGCGAGAAGAAGATGACGGCCCGATCATCTCGTGTGTGCAGACGACTGCTGCACCCATATTGGTCTGCGTCATATGTTCCAGCTCCAACAGCGAGCGACTGCCTCATTATAGGGCATGTGCGCCACCGCAAAGCTCTATCTCATACTCCAGGTCCGGCTGAAACTCGCAATAGAGCGCCTCCGGATCACTAGCATGCTCGAAGGTGTACTTGGCGCTCTCTTCAGGTACATAGACCTTTGGCACTCCATTCGCAGCGGCAGCCTCAACCAGCAGCTGCACTTCACAACTTCGCTCCATAAGCGTGTATAGGTATGCAGCTTCATCGACCGTTCCTCCCACAGTTAGCAAACCATGATTTCTGAGAATCATGCCTTTGCCATTTGGTCCGAGAGCTGCCGCTAATCTTTCTCCTTCCTCTTCTGTGAATACCACACCTCCGAATTCCTGGCACCAAGTCAGCATTGTAACGATTTGAGGTATGTGAGCAACGAACCTTATAAACCGCCTGCGCATCACCGTAGAAATATGTCACGTCTTGATTCAACATCTCCAGGGGTCGAGCAAACGTGGACCAAGCCTTACCCGCAGGACTGTGTGTATGACAAGCCGCAATAACATCCGGTCTCGCCTTGTGTACAGCAGAGTGAATCAGAAACCCCGCAGCATTTGCAGGTCTGCTCATATTCCCGCCTATCGCTTTCCCATCGTAATCCACGAGGATCATATCGCTCGCTTTCAGCATGGCGAAGTGGCGTCCGAGAGGATTTGTCCTGTTGCACATTGTTAGCCTTTTTATATGATACCTTTGATATTTGTACGACGAACCAGAATGCATGCGGATTCTCTGGATCTCTGACGCTTATATGTCCTGACATGCCCTCTGTGTAACCCTTGCGAGCGAATACTCGAAAGGCGAGGGCCATGTGCTCGAGCATCCATTGTCGATGTGTGTCGAAGGAGACGAATTGGGGGATGCCGGGGAGACTTGTGCCTTGACAGATCATTTCGAGGGGAGTTTTCTGCTTCTTTGCTACTGCGTTATCGTTGCCATTCTTCTTGATTGTGATAGCCTCGTCGGGCGTCGCCACGAGAGCTGCTGGTGCCATGTTTGTGCGGAGTTGCGAAGGCTGTTCTGCGAATCTGTGCAAGTGAGTGTCTCAAAGGAAGGACGTTTGCAGATTGATTGTATGTATGCTCATAGCTCGAAATACTTTGTTGGCCTATCACTGAGGAGAGATGCATTTTCCCCGGGCCGGTTGCCACCTCGAGCGTCTGCGAAGCGCCAAGCAGCATTGAGATGATTGATGACTGATCTTGGGGCACTTGCTGCATTTCGACAGAAGTTATACAAAGCTCAACTCTTCTGATCAGTTATAGTGAAATCTCGTACCGGACAAGTCAAATGAAAGTGGATGTCACGACTTACCCTCACACCACCACTCCTCGCCGACTCGCCGACATGCCGGGACTTGACATCGCGTAAAAGTCTGAGATGTACCCGTATCGTGACATAAAATGCTGCGTCCTGCTGCCCGATAACACTTCCCGCTCGCACTCGCCTTACACGGCTAACTAGGCGTGCGGAGTGACAGGTAGGTGAAGCTGTCTCCCAAGACAGCCGAGATAGGCAGTTGCACCCTGTACCTGATATATGTCAATGCAAGAGGTAGACCAAGCGTTCCTTCCCACTCTGTCCACAAACAGACACACAAACTTCACAATTCTACTGATTGCCAGATCTAGTTCAACATGTCAATTGTAAGAGGAGTCCGAAGTATTGGTATACTTCTGCTAACCAAAGACTCAACAGAACTTAGTCGAAGCCAGCATATCAGACCTGCAACATGCACTTTCAACAGGCTCAATCACAAGCGTCGAGCTCGTTGCCAAGTACCTCCAACGTATTGCAACATACGACATCCGAGGTCCTTGCTTGAACTCCATTCCCATCTTGAACCAAGATGTATTCGACCAAGCTACTGCTTCTGATGCAAGACGAGCAGCCGGGACCCTGCTAGGTCCTTTAGACGGCATTCCATACACGATCAAGGACTCTATGAAGTACAAAGGCATGACGTGTAGTTCAGGTTCACCAGCACTCGAGCATTTGGTCGCGAACGAGGATTCGTTCGTAGTTGAGCAACTTCGCAAAGCTGGTGCAGTGTGTATTGGACGAACTAATACGCCTCCTATGATGGCTTCGGGCATGCATAGAGGTGTGCTGGGACGAGCAGAGAGTCCGTATAATTTGGAGTATCTGACAGCAGCTTTTTCATCTGGCTCATCGAATGGTTCTGGGACTTCTACTGCTGCATCGTTTTCTGCTTTCGGACTCGGATCTGAGACTGTGTCAAGTGGAAGGTCTCCGGCATCGAATAACGCACTTGTGGCGTATACTCCTTCAAGGACAGTCATCTCTCCTCGAGGGGCTTGGCCACTTTATCCTACTTGTGATGTGCTCGTACCGCATACCAGGACGACGGAAGATATGTTCGCTATCCTTGATGTCTTGACTGCCGTCGATCGGACCAAAGATGGCGACTTCTGGCGCGAACAAACTTTCGTTAATGTTCCTGAAGTTGAACGACCACGATCTTTCCTGGACCTCAAAGATTCATCGGAAGGATCTTTGTCCGGTAAGAGGATAGCTATACCAGCAATGTACATTGGAGGTCATGATCCCAAAGCTCAGCCGACTTTCGTTTCGCAAGAAGTGATTGATCTGTGGCAGCAAGCTAGAAAAGATATCGAAAGCCTAGGGGCGACTGTGGTCGAGACGGATTTCCCGTTGGTGAGCAACTATGAGCCAACCAACAATGTCGTTGGATTCAAGCCGGACTGGAACAGTAAGGAACGAGGCGAGCTGGTTGCATATTTATGGGATGATTTTCTACGAGAGAACGGAGATCCCAACTATCCTAACCTCGCTTCAGTCGATGGCAAGAACATGTTTCCGAGACCAGAAGGATATATCCCGGATCGGTACATGGAAGTGTAAGTCTGATGCGACATGTAGCTCTCGGGTCTCTACTGACCGAATGATTGTAGCAGGAACTTTATGAACTACCCAGGCCTGGTAGAAACGGCCCGCAATCGTGATGGCAAGAGGTAAATAAAATCCAGAGCCTACTGAGCTCATCAACAAACACATCTGACTTCCTTCACAGCATCTGGCAAATCTCCGGCCTCGCCTCAGCCCTCCCCGCCCTCGAAGCCCAACGCAAACGCGACCTCGAAGACTGGATGGACAATCTCGCCATCGACCTCGTCGTCTTCCCCTCAGCAGGCGACGTCGGCAAAGCAGATCTCGATACAAACGACGAAAGTGCCCGACACGCATTACAAAACGGCGTGAAATATTCCAATGGCAATCGTGCGATCCGACATATGGGAGTGCCGACAGTTTCTGTTACTATGGGATTTATGCCTACTTCGCAAATGCCGGTGAATTTGACTTTTGCTGGGAAACATGGGCAGGATGTGGAGTTGTTTAGGTATGCGAGGGAGTTTGAGCAGAGTAAGGAGAGGAGGAGGGCGCCGCCTGTTACGCCGAAGTTGGCGTCGGATGAGATTAGGATACTTGATGGGGTGCAGAAGGAAGGTGGCAGGGCTGAGAGTTCTCTTGACCTGACTGTTTCGACTGCAGTCCGCGTCAGCGAGAATGAGGTGCAAGTGACTGGCACAATCCAACCTGCCGCCGGAACTGCATTGGAAGTCACAATCGATGGCAAACCCGTACCGACCCAGGACATTAAAATGGAAGGCGAAAACTGGTCCTTCAAAACGACATTCAACCCCTTCGAGCCCCGCACCCCACTCTACGGCGGCGTTGGCAAAGTCGTCAACAACGTGTTAATCACAATTCTGGCAAAGAGTGGGAAAGCAGCAAGTGGAAAACTTGTTTTCATTGAGCAAAAGGCGCAGATACAGCAGCAGTAAAAATTTACTGGCAGAAATGCTATCTGAGACGTAGGTTGGTCTTCGTATAGTGTTCCCTCGACTGTCCAGTGTCCATGCAAGAAGAGAAAAGAAAACACCATCGCTAATTCTAGACTCTATGTTTTCTCCCTTTCTCATGCCCATGTTGCGCGTAACAATCATACAAAAAATTCGAAAGACACGCGTGCGTGAAAAAAAAGCTCCAGGCTAATGCAGTGGTTGAAGAAAAAGTAGCAGCGCGATCAAGTCTTTGCTGAGCTGAGGGTTGTTTCGAAGAAGTGAAGTGGTCTTTTGTTCATGGCGTTGCGTTGCGTTTTCGGTTTCAGGTCGTTGATGAGGTACCATGAGGTTGTCAGTCTAGTTCCCGTATTGAGTTACGGGCTCTCGACTGACTTACCTGTTGATGCCGTCGCCGACGAGGTTGACAACGGGGTTGAAGTTTTGGTATGCACAGTTCGTCGAGATGGGAACACTGCTATCAGAGACTGCTACTACCTTTCCGCCACGCATGATTGAGACTTCGGGTGTAACGCCTGAGCCGGACACGTAGGCTGGGAAGGGGACTCTGCCCATAGCAGGTCCGCTCCCATCGGCCGAGAATGTCCAGTATTTGTTGCTACCGACTGACATGGAAATTGTGGCGGCGTCTTTGACGAGGGCCCAGGCGAAGACTGCGTCTTCGGGGAATTGGTTGTTGCGGATACCGGTGGAAGAGCCACCGAGGCAGAGAGTTGCCTTGGGGTGGATGCGGTGCCAGAAGACAACTTGGTCCATCGTGATCGGAGGTGGGGTACCAGTCTTCCACCAGGTGATGTAGTACTTGGCAATGATGCGCCAGGGGGCGTGGTTCTGGCCCCAGACGTAAGCGCCCATGTCACCAAGCTCAACGTAGTCTTTGGCCTTGATGTCTTGGGAGGGAAGATCGCGAATGTAGTGCGACTCGCAGAAATCGTTCCATGTCAAGATCTCAATGATGTCTGGCTGGATCTCGTCATCGCTTGTGATTTGCTTGAATCGGTTGGGGAAGAGGGTGTCGCTGTAAGCCACCCAGGCGTCGAGTGGGTTGCCGCTGTCGAGATCCTTGTACTGCCATGGAGACATTGCTGCCAATTGTGTTAGCCAGCTGTTCACTACAAAACCCCCTTGCCTCACTTACCCATAATGTAAGGACCTGTCTTGCCGGCATTCTTGAGTGCGGACTGGAACGCTTTGTCGGGTGTGGAAGTGATGTTGGCATCAACGTTGAGCGGCCAGGCTTGCCAGTTGAAGTAGCCATCGATGGAGGGGAAGTCGTTGATCAGTTTCTTGGCGGAGGACTCTGGGTTGTTGTATCCAGCCATTGAGTAGGTTGTCAGAGCAGGTGCGAGAGTGATGGCATTGTTCCAGTACTTCATGTTGTCCTTTAGTGTTTGGAAGAATTGGTTGCCGTAGTGCCCGACCATGTCGCCGCCGTACGTGGAAACCAGGATGTTGCTGTTCCAGCGGTATGTGGCGGGGCTGCCGGCGTGCTTTGTGATGATGTCCTGCATGAATGTCGTGTTCCAGTAGATGTTGCAGACGGAGTAGCTCATGTCGAAGGAGTACATGAGCTTGAAGCCCACGTCTTCCGCGGCGGTGTAGGCATCTTCGATTCTATCGACATACCAGCTGCCGTCGCCATTGCAATCCGGCGGCGTCCAGTTGATCGCGAATCCGTCCACGCCGATCTGCTGAGCGGCGGCCATGTCCTTCTTCCACATGTCGACGTCGTAGGCGAACGAGTTCATGAGCATGAAGTGCGCCATGACCGTGGCGGCTGTTGAGACGCGGAAAGCCAGCGCGGAAAGCACGGCGAAGAGGTACAAGTGAAGCATCTTGAGGTATCTGTCGTCTGAAGTTCTGTTTTGTTTCTACTGCTGCTGCTGCTGAATGTCAAGAAGTGAAGCCGGCGCTGTCGAAGCTGCTGGCGGTGGTCCAAGAATGAAAGTGGTGCTCTGGATCCCAAAGGAGCGGACGAGTCGAAGGGACTCTTTTTGAAGTGAGTGTGTGTTTGTGTTGAAGGAGTGTGTTAGCACCAGGCCAGACCTCGCAGAGGTGGTGATGTTGTCTATGCAGAGAAGTGCATATGGACCAAGAATTTGGAAGCGGTGGTGGTGTGCGAGCTGTTGGTTTTGATATATCCAGGCGGCATCGCTAGTCGGGACCAGCAGCACAGATTCGCGGCGCCTCGGCCAGCTTGTCGACCCACTCACACCTCCCTGGCGATAATCAAAGCACGCACAGCGGCTGCGCTTCACATCTCACGGCGGGGCGCGGCGATACGGGCTCGCATGCCAGGGAGAACAATCTTGTTGTTCGACAAGCCCGGACTGCACAAACACACGCCCCGACGCACGAGGAAGTCGCGCCAACGCTGTTCCTGCAGCGGGAAGCTGCACCTCGGTTCGGCTCGCAAATTTCGCTGTGCTCCATAATGTTTCGAACAGATGAGCCAGACGCCAGAACACTGCGCTTGCCGCCCTGATCAATCTGGTTTCGGGTCCCTCTGCAGCCGGGAACGATATGAGAGTGTGCAGTGGAAACGGCTAAGGAGCTCTTGTGGGACCGGCGCGTCCGCTTCATTCAAAATCCACAGCATGCTGGCTGGCCATGTGCCCGTGGTGCCGTACACCCAGTTGGCGAGCCCTGGCGCATCTAGAACCGCGTATAGGCTGCTGACAGTTGCTTGAAGGATCTATCTATGCACGGCTTGATTTGGTGAAATGGCAGATTCTCGATGCAAGGCCGCAACTCCGAACTGCCGTTTCTCAGAACCGGTTGTCCATGGCAAAGAGCATCCTCGCGAAGAAATGTCGCGTCCACAATGCTGCCAGCCCGCAGAACGTCTGCATCACCAGCACTTCCAGCGCCAATCTGTCTTCTCGGAGCGGGCCCCTCCACACCAACCAAAGGTTGAGAAGGGTGAGATTGCTGGTCTCGACAACGTTCCCGGTCTCGTCGACTGCGATGCGGACGAGCTTCAGCTTGTGCAAAATTTTGAGCACCTGCCCGATTAGTGGGCGGATAGGTTTCCAGCCCGGTTCACTAGGGTTTGCTGTTGACGGCTCCAACAGTCCGGTGCGCGCGTTGAACTTTGGCATTCTGTGACGCGGGCATGGGACCAGCTTGAATAGCTGTGGCGCCGAGTAAACGAAGTTGAAGATCTGCGGAATGAACAACAGCAGCAAGGTCTTGCTGAAGTGTCCCAGGATACCGACGACCGCAAACACCATGCCCGCAAAGTAGCAGTAGGTGTCTCCGACGAAGACCTTGGCCGGAAACCAATTGTGTTTCAGCAATGCAAGTGACACTCCCATGAATGGCAGGAGCAAGTAGATGCTGAACAAGTGAGACTCTGCCGCCGGGTGTGGCTGCTGTACCGTGGGCAGCAGGTACAGCACATCGTTCAGCGCAATCAAAAGTGCAATCACTAGTGACTGACCGACTTCAATGCCGTTGACGCCCGCCAAGATGTTAATGCTGTTGGGGCAGAAGATCGATATTGCCGCCATGTAGGCGTAATATAGCGCGCCGAGATCGATGAGCTCCCCGAGGTAGCTGCGAAAGGGGAGTGGAACCACAACATGGGTGACGCCAAAGTCCACAAAGTAGAGCCCAAGCATTGGCAGTGCTGCAAACGCCGGAATAAAGAACTTGTGTCGCCATCTCATGTCGAAGGTGTCGTCCAAGATGCCCAGGATGACGACAGACGACAATGTGCTGTATGCAAAGCCATAGGAGGCGAGCTGAGTCGGCGGTTAGCTGCGTTACACTGCATGTCAGGAGAAAGTCCTCCAGACCAACCTTTTCCAGGGGAAACTTGTGGAGAAAGCGTCCTGTCTCAATATGCTGTGCTTCCAACACACGATCCTTGTTACCGCCTCCCGACGTCACTTCCACAATGTCTCGTCTGAAAGCAAAGGGAAGGAAGAAGATGAGGGTCAGCAGGTATACCAAACCGCAGATGAGCCCCATCATTTCAGGCCTACAAACAGCGTCAGCAGAGGTTGTCATGGCAAATCGTCGATGGAATGCTCGCACAGTCTCGGTTTGTGCTTTTTCGACTTGTCTTCTCCGCCAAAGCCGTTTGCGAGAAAGACATCTCCCGTCCATCTGATTGTGCAGTACGTGAAAGCGTAAGCGAGACCGCTGATGGCCAACGACGCGTAGAGAGGCTCGCCATCATTGCGCCAAGAGCTGATGAGGATGGTGAGGCACAGGAACGACAGCCCGCCCAGCCCAGTCTTCTCCGTCCCGCTCAGCGGCTGCATGCCTGCTGCTGTCTTGTCGTGGACGAAGGTGTAGTTGCCATGATCACGTTGTGCCTTCCATCTCCAAGGAGAAAGACTGAGAACGAGCCGAAGATCATCCCTGCCAGCTGGCTGCCTTGGCACTCACTGCAGCCGCTCGCGCGTCACTGTCGCGTCGCCTTGCACTTTGTGACAACCTCTTTGCACCACCACCGAATGTCGAGCACTGCGGTTTGGGCAGCAATGGTGCTACCATCCACGACTTCGTTACCTCAAGCGATGTGTGGACGACTGCTGTAGAAGCGGCTCAGATCCAAGCCGAACAGAATGATTCTGGTCGTGCTAGATTAACAACGTTACACGCCTTCTGCAGCACACAGCATCTGCGAGCCATGGCCTCCAATGGCTTTCACCGCTTCTCACATGGCCACCAGGATCTCCTGTCTGCCACAAGCTACAACTTCTACGGTACTCGCATGGCAACTGCATCTGCAGACCACAAGGTCAAAGTCTGGGACCGTAGTGAAAAGACCAATCAATGGGTTGTGACAGACGTGTGGGTGGCTCACGATGCAGAAGTCACAGATGTTAGATGGAATGGTCCTTTCGTGGGAGAGCATCTGGCAACTATCGGTGAGGACGGCTATCTACGCATCTGGCAGGAAGACGTTGGCGAAGCGCACAATTCTGGAAGGCGTTTCAAGAAAATCTATCAGCAGCTTACCGAGACTGGAGTGCCGTACATGTGCTTGGACTTCAAGAACATTGGCACTGAGACTTACTTGGCTGTTATGACCCGGGATGGGCACATTACCGTGTGTGAGCCGGAAGAACATGATGACCTATCTGCATGGCGCAAGATGTGGTCAGAATATCTGTGCAAAACCCCGTCCAGGACCGAGGAGTGCGCTTTCAGGCTAAGTTGGCACAAGGAGAAGATCCCAGCTTGGCCGGCTGTACTCGCAGGTCTGGACCGCAAGAGTCTCAGTCTCGCTGTTGCCATTGGTACTACAGTCAAGGTGTACAGGACTGACAAGGAGCGCAAGTTCTACACTGCAGCTACTTTAGAAGGTGCCAAAGAACTCGTTCGAGATGTTGATTGGGGAAATGGCTGCATGCGTGGATTTGATACCATCGCCACGGCCAGCAGAGATGGCTTTGTTCGCATATATGAGCTTCACACACCTGGAGCAAGTTCATTGCCCGTTTCGACGCTGTCAGTTGCGTCTGATCATGGAACTCCGCGGACTCAGTCTCCTGCGTCCCGGCCTGCACGTTCTGGAATTGGCGCTGGTCTGGCTGGAGGCGCTCGTGGGCGTCGTGATGACAATGCTGGTGCACCTGGTGCTGTAAAGCAAGAGGTGCGCCTTGTCGCCGAACTTGAAGCACACAAGTCAACGCCATGGCGAGTCTCGTGGTCACCGATGGCTGACATGCTCCTGACAACTGGCGATGACGGTCTCACGAGCGTCTGGAAGAAGTCCATTGAAGGCAAATGGCTTGAAGCTGCTGAGATTGACGCATTGGGTGGTGTGTGAGCCCACATTGACGCCTTCCACCGGCCATGAGCTCAAAGAAATTTGCCCAACACGCGCTTTACCTACTTGCCTGTGGCTGAGCCTTACAGCTGAATCCATATATGGCCTGGAGTGCAGCCACAATATATGAATCTCAAATCATATAACTCGGCACCTCAGCACAGGCATATCAAAGCCACAACACGGCTGACGCCTCTCTATTCAGTTGTCGATGTGAGAAGCGGACGATGACCGAGCGCGCATACGTGGAATTCTGATGTGCGAACTACCGAGGCGCTTCTGAATGCATGCCTCCGTTTTAAGGAGCACAGTGAAGCTGTGCCGCACAGCCATGTCATCTGTGCAATACAAACAAACAGGCAATCTTCGGCAGCCTTCCCGGGTGACCGATATGTTATGTGCAAGAGCAAAGATGTAACCCCCAGAACGCTCACTCGCATTAACGCCATATTATGCAATCATTGTCCCCAGCCGACCTCTATCTTTACAATATTATTACACAAAATTCCTCTTCTGACAGCTTACTCCAGCTGCTTCTGGAACTTCAGCCGCAGAGTATTGTTCACCACACCTCCGAATCCAAAGGCAGGCACAATACGACACATCCTAGCGAAACTGCTCTTCAACCAATCCGTCCGGACCTTGCGCATGCGGTCCGCCATTGTGGTATCCCCATTCCTGTTATACATATCCAGCCCGAGCAAATGCAGCGGCGTACTGAGCAATTGAATCCCCGCTGGCGCCAGAAACTGCGCCGCAGACGTCCTGCTAATATACTTCTCCGCCGTCTCGGACAGTGGCAGATTAGGCGCAATCATAGGCGGCAAATTAAACGAAGCGAAAATCGTCATCGAATCGCGAAGAGCGTAGAGGGCGAACGTCACGGGTGGGACGGGACGAGCTGATACTGTGCCGTACATTTTCGTGAATTGGCTGTCTTTGATCATTGTCAATCCGACATTTGCTGCGCTGGTCGCGATGAATTTGTCGAAGCCTGCGGAGGTACGGCTCGCGGGGCGGGCGCGGGTGGTGGATTTGAAGGTGTCGAGGAAGTTTGCCGAAAGGTAGGTTCCGCCGTAGACCATGAGGATTAGGGCGAAGGGTTTGGAGGCGATGTATGCGTGGGGTCGGAGGAGGAGTTGGGATAGGGAGGCTTTGATGGATTGCATTAGGGGGCGTTTGCCGGAGGCGTTTTCCATTATTGCTCTGTGAAGAGTGTTGTTAGCTTGGAGATGGTTGCTTGAAGCTTGGAGCTTTCGATGAATGGAGTGTACTCACTTATCGACCATACTCACAATCGGCGCGACGAGCGCTCCTGCCGCCGCTGCACATCCTGCATCAACAACCAACCTCTGTCTCAAATTCTTCGTATTCCAATCTTTGACATCTTTTTCTGCGATGCTATTCGTCATGGTGTCGACTACTGGTGCCGAACTGGCTTGGATCGCTATATTGTTTCTGCTTTCTTGGTATGCTTCTCTCTTTTCCTTATTCTGTTTACTGTTCTGCGCTGCTTCCAGATGCTGTGGATCTTCTGCTTCGGCAGCCATATTCGTTGCTACCGAGAACGCGGGTCGGACGCATCGACTATACCAGGCTTGCTCAGCTCTTCCTCCAGGGTCAGAGGAAGGCTGGCTTCAGCTCGTTCGTTCGACGCTGCTGACTTGTGTCTGGCACAACGAAGGTGATGGTGGGCGGAGCTGATGAGGTGCTGTGGTAGCCGAGCTGTGACGATAGATGAGAGGTACTTGTGTACCTGTGACTGCCGCTGCCGCCGTCGTCAAGAACAATGACGAATGCCCTGCAGGATGGAAGCGCAGAGCCGCAAGAGAAGAAGCTTTGCTTGAGCTTTGCTGAGTTGAGATGAGACCGGCCGACAACGGCCAACGTCGGCCAGCTCTTGGGCAAGGGTTCGCGATAACTTTAAACCGAACGGGTTGTTGTTGTTCTCGTGTTTGATCTTTGCGACTTCCGCGGCCACTCAGAGTCGGTGAATCATTGTTTTGACACCAGGATGTTCCAGGATGTGTTGCGAAATGCTCCGATCCATGAACATGCAGGCCGGTCGGAGAGGCCGCGGAGGTGCTGAAGGTTCGCGACACGGGACATGGCTGGGGCAAGAAAGCCTGGAGAAGATGTGCAGATGATGAAGCAAGTCACAACAGATGATGACACTATATTTGCCGGTGCCATTGATAGCTTCAATCTCGAGTGTCACTACAAGAAGACTAAGCAGCAGAAGCTATACCAGCTACCTCTTGCCAGACGAATCAAGCTCAAGACCAGAATAAAAACTTCTCAATATAGTCCCGATCATCCATTTTATTCATCAACTCCTCCCAATGCCTGGCTTGAGAAATCCCATCTTCCACCGAATTTGGCAAGTCCGCGCATTCCTCTATCGAATTGTAGAACACCGCTCCGAGCTTGCGCAGGGCTGCACAACGCTCTTCCATGGTCGCGCAAAGATTCAACAAATCCCAGTAGCCCTTGGGCTTCTCTGGTGGAACGTCAGGTAAGTCACTGCGGTAAGGCGAATTTCTGCGAAGGTGCGAAGGACGAGCACGCCTCCCGAGGAAGGGTACCCAATGTCGAGATCTGGTGGGAAGTGGTGGCCGTAGGGCCATTCTGCTTCTCTGAAGTGGTGGTTGAAGTAGGTTCGGCTTTTCCACCATCGACCGCCGAGGTGCATGAGACGGAGGGCGAAGGCTTCCTCTTGGTTGGGTTCTGCATCGGCTTGCGAGGCGTTCAGATATACGAAATCGTTCTCTGCTGCGGGATCGAAGGTAAGTTCGAGCCAATCGAGCTCGACTCTGGTCAGATGTTTGCGTACGTAGCCACCAGCGGATGGGTAGGCGAGGACGTCCGAACCATCCATTCTAGGCCGGGTTGTGCTGGCACTGGGTTGTGGACATGATGCCATGGTGCCCAATGGTATCAAAGCCAAGATCAAGAGTGCACTCCGCAAACTCATGAGCGAAGGTATCACTTGCAAAGCGAGATTGTGTAGCTGACACGCTGTTCGACGGCATAACGTGGACGTAGAACAAGGCAACAATACCTCTCACTGTGAGCTGCCTATGGGTCTAGGCAGCGCTTAACGAGTGGACGACAAAACTTTGCGCAATAAGATGTATGCACCCTTGCGGCACAGTGCTGTGCCGCGATTCAATAAACCTGCCCGAGGCTCTTCTGCTCTGCCTTCGAGAGCAACGCATTGCCAGACTTCACAGCGAACTTTGAGCGAAATCAATCGTACGTCGGAGTGATAAATCACTCAACCAGGTTCAGGAAGACATGATACGCCCGGGAGGCCTCGCTCTGCAACTTTTTGCTTTACTTTGCTAGCATTGCCGTCGCGTGTAATTCGGAATTTGAGATGTCGTGCGCAGCGTCTAATTTGGTGCATGTCTACAATCACGCCCAGAAGGGCCGGCTCATTGCGCTCATAGTATCCAAGTAGTCGCAGAAAACAGTTTGCAATCAATGCATCTTCAAGCCTACTTCGTATGCACGCCCCTGACCTTTAAATACGTATCATCCCAATGCATCATCATGGCTTTGTAGTGCAATGGGCAGCACATTCAGCTCTGGTGAGGCGGAGATGCGGCAGTGTGCCAACCACAAAGGCACACGAGTTGCCCTGCCGGTTGTAGCGCTCGCAAGGGCGCCTGGAAGATCTGCGTTCGAATCGCAGCGAGGCCGAATACCGCATCCGCTCGATTGGCGAAACCGTGCCCTTCTTTTTGCCATCCGCCTTGCCCTTGGGCGCGCTCAGCCATATGCAGTATATCTTGACAGACTTACCAAGATCCTGATTATGTTTTGTTGAGAAGTTCCAGATTGTCACAATTCCAGTCGCAGATTTTGATGCTCTCTCAGGAAGCGTTGTCTCGCCCACGACAAAGTTGCTTACTTCCCCAACCTACCTTTATGGACGATGCTTGCCAAAGCGAAATAATGCCTTCGTGGTGCAACGGTCAGCACATCCAGCTCTGCTGAGGGGGGTACGCCGGGGGTCGTTTACCCTCGGGGCTAGGCTCCCCGGTTGTAACGCTCGCAAGCGCGTGTGGAAGATCTACGTTCGATTCGGAGTGAGGGCAGATTTTTGTCCTGGCGCTGCATTTATTTTTGCCATTCGGCCTTCCTTTGAGGCGCTTGAACACGATATGGCAGGTATTGATCGAGCTTTACGCTTGTAGTTTCGCTTCAAGCAAGAATTGAACTTGGCCGGGGTGGCTGGGAGCAACACCTGCTTGTATACCACGTATATATACAATCCTCACGTCATCGATGTGACCTGGCTGAACTCATGTGCCTCGTCTCCCATGAATGCACACTCAGCTGGTATTTATCGAGCCTTCAGTAACTATGCTTGCTCTCCTAGTGTTTCTCCTTCTTTGCATCCTGCTCAGCTTCCTTTAAGAATTGTCTGTTCGCATGTGTCAGCTTCTCTCATCCCAGGCGACGTGTAATATCTCTTGTGAATCCATTCCCGTATTCCACGTACTGTATGAAGTTCTCCTCATCTTTGTTGCTCGCGTTGATCGGTGGTCCTTGGTTTGCAGCGGCAGTCTTCTTGCCACCAGACATGGCCCATGTGCCGACAAAGAGGGTGGAAAGGGTCGCGATGGAGAGCTGAGTGAAGGCAGAAGGTTAGCATTGTATTCCGCATGCGCTCAATTGTGCTGCCGTCGCGCAATGGATATTCTCGATTGGCGAGGAGAGCCGCGGGAGTGTTGGGCGGGAAGAGCGTACGATGTGCGAGCCGACCTTCTGGCCGAAGACTTCGTAGTAGACAACCATATTTGCGGTTTGTGGTGGGAGGAGAGATTGGATCTGGTGGAAGATGGACGGGTGCACAGAATGTCCAATGTTGCTGAGGCCAAAGTGAAGTCGCAGTGGCAGCTCTTTCCCTGCCGGGATCAGCCGAGTGCCCATCGTTGCTCGTGAGCTTCGAGAAACGTCACCGCGAGCCGCCATGCCGCAGTGCTATCGCCCACTTTCGCTTCCACTTGTTACACCTTCTCATCTACCACCTTTTGCTTGGTCACTCTTGCACTCATCGAGCGCGTTAAAATAACATATACTAGACTTCGGCCAAAAAGCTACGACAGCAAGACCGGACCGCATTCACAGCCCAAAAAGGGCTCCTCCATCATGGGCGACAAGAAGCCACAAAAAGACGAAGATCATCTTGATAGCATACCACACGAGCGCAAAGAACCGCGACCCGACTTCTCGAAACCTTTGCCTCGCAAGGCGCTGCCGAAAGATCTCCAAGATGTTCTCAACTCAGAAGACCGCTTTTGGGACATCCTCACATCGCCCGATGGACCCGAAACGACGGATACGCCTGTCCGATACGCGGCCTACGCCGCACGATTAAAGACCATCATGCTTTCTGCACACCGATACGTCGCTTACACATCCGACATTGGCGAATCCTTTCGCCCAGTCGCACATCCTTACCTTGTGAAGGGAGCCTATGGCGTGAGCTGGGCATATCTGATTGGAGATGTGAGCTACGAGGGGACAAAAGCGTACAAGCGGAATCAAGCAATTTTGAATCCTCAGACGCCAGAGGAGATCGCGGCGGCGGATGCGAGGCCTGGAGGGAGGAAGGTTCCTGCGATAGATGATTATCGGGCGGTGATGGTGGAGAGAGGAGTGTTCCAGGCTGTGGCGAGTATGGGTCTGCCGGCGTTCACGATACATTCGATTGTGCGATACTCTGGACGGGCTATGAAGAACGTCAAGAATGTGAAGCTGCGAACGTGGGGACCGATTGGGTTAGGGTTGGGATTTGTCCCTGCTCTGCCTTACATCTTCGACGAACCTGTGGAGAAGGCGACAAGATGGATGTTCCACACAGGTTTCGAGACATTTGGTGGACCTGGTGCAGTAGGCAAGGACGAGAAAGGTCGAGGGCCGGACTTTGAGACGAAGGAGGCGGAACGGCAAAAGAAGGAATTGTAAAGACAATGGCGAACGATGGGATTACGGAACCCGCTACGGCATAGCATATCCAGGCGCTCTCGACTTATCTAATGTGTACATATCACGAATCTCAATACCCGTTCTACTCATCCTCGCAACCTGGCGATGGCGACCTGGATTCGTACTTCGGGATGGTATCCTTGCGAGAGGTTGGCGCCCGACAGTTGACTGCACTTCACTTTTCAGGTCAATCGTCAAAACATTCAAGCGTCAGCCAACGGTGTCGGTACCCTCGCTGCGTCGGCTTCAGCACGGGCCTCTCCACCTGCCTTTTCCGTCTGCTGGTCTGCGTCCACCGCTGCCTTCGATTGCCAGGAAAATAGAACTGCCACCACCAGAAGCGCTACTGACATCACGAGTAAGGGCAGCATGAGCCACCTGGATGCTCTCTGACAATTGTCAGCTGGACCTGGTCGTACTTTTGACGATCAGCGCTGGTACTTACTGCGTCTGTGCATGGTAGCCGCGAGCTTGACCGAGAATATGGATACCACGGCCAATAGTCCGTCCAGAGTGGTTTGATTTGACACGACCAACGCTCAACGCCATATGTTCCTTCCCGAGTGAAGGTTGGATCGACGGGTCTGGAACCAAAACGAGGCTCTTCGTCCGTAGCCACATTGTCAAGAATGCCACTTATGTCAATACTGGACGATGTGTAGAATTCGACAAAGGACCACACAAGTCCAATTAAGCTGGCGAATAACCCGAGACTGCGCCAAACGATCCCACATACATGAGCTCTGCGCGAACTAACCTTATCGGGCGTCAGTTGAAAATAATCTTTGAGGATCGTATTGCCGATATCCACCTCGTCCGTGGCAGCTACAATAAACAAAACAGACAATCCGCTGACTGCTGCGCAGACAACACCTGCGGAAAATGTCGACCACACGCTCGCGTACCGCACACCAGGCGGGAGGAAGTACACATCGCCGTACCACAGGTCCTCGTTGAGGTATACCGTGAAGTGGTTACCGTCTTGCCAACTGATTCTTTGCAGGGCACGCATAGAGAGTCCTGCTGCAGTTGCGGCAAGTATGAAGACTATCAGAGCTACAGTGCTTAAAAGGGTGCGACGCTTCCATGTTGTGCTGTAGTTGTACACGAGTTTCTCTTGAGACTTGGGATTCGCCATGATATGAACTGATTGTTGACTTGGTACGACTTGTGGTGGAAAAGCAAATTGACAGAGAAGACTGATTTCTTCGAGCCCGCGAACACGACTTGGATTTGCTCTCCCTTCTTATACTACATCACCAAGGCTAGACACAAGCCTCTTTCAGAGCAATGTATACCTTCATCTTCGCAGATTAAACTCTCACTTACAGATCGTACGTTCAGTGCCATTGAAAGCACGCAGGTGCTGCAGTGGCATTTGCGCTATTCTTGCTATGCGGTCTCAGCTGCCATTCGCTGGGGTTGCGGCATAGCGCAGCATTTGGGGGCACAGTGCAGGATGTGGTGGCACAGTACAGCATGTCTTGGCGTTCTGGTATGTCGTTGCTGCAGTGCTTTAATGTGTCAATCACAAGAGAGAACACCTTAGCATATATGTACACGTGTTACTTGTCGCGAGCGATTGTATAATGTCCTGAGAAAGATGTGATGGGTAGTGTATTGAACAATGGCCAGGACTGGGAAATTGACGTTCACTCATCAAATCTGAGCGTCGGACTTGATTAGATCGAATCAAAACTAACCTTTAGCTTCCAAAAATCGACATGCCCGGTACTCAACGACCATGTCCTCATGCGTCACGACGTTCGACTGCCTGCAGCATCGATGGTGACAACACAGCCATTACTAGATACCAACAATAGACCAGAAGTTTCGATTGTTGAGACGGACGTTCTCGATTCAGGACCTGCGTCAGGCCCACGAACGCCACGAGGCTTCAAAGCCATCTCAGCCTTGCACAGCCCCCACAACAACGCTGTCGTTGGCTTGATGTCTTTTTCCTTTTGGTCGACAGTCTAGCCTGAGTTTCGGCATCAAAGAGAGAGCGATGACACCGAGCGATTCTGCGTTTCTGTCCCAGCCACGATGCCGACCATGCAATGACGACTTGTTCGCAACGGCTTCAACTGACGAGGAAAATTCTCAATCTTACCCTGACGGAGAGAACGAGAAGGAATGAAAAGAAAGATCGATCAACAGCAGTTCTCAGGGTTGAACATGGCAGCATGTGGTCTGGAAGCAGTATTGTAGGAAGCCGTAGAGAAAAAGTGGTCGGAGGAACTATCGAAGGGCCTTCGCTCGGCGAGCAATTTGTTCGAATTTGCAGGCCAAGCAGTAGCAAATGTCATGGTCCCAAGAGGCGCGCTCCAAGTTTGACTAATAACAGCATCGACGCTCAGTCTTGGTTGAGACATGTCCCAGCCCTAACAGGGGTCCTTCACTAGCGCGAGCCAGTATCTCGAAAACCGAGCTCTGCGCGATAGAAGACAGCACTTCTGAAGCAAACATACTCGGCTTGCGTTCGCGGGTACAGTGTGAGTGACGTGAAGTCGAAAATCTTTTCAATTGTCCACACGTGAGTTCGCCGTGACGTTGGTATGGGTGTCGGAAGAGAAGGTCGGCTTCCAGATCCAAGGAGATAGATAGACCAATCTGCAGCATCATTAATGAAGTAAACCACAAGGTCAGAATCTCTGCAGTTTTCAATCTCGACAATCGCAAGCAAGTCATGAAGACCACAACGATGCTGTGTGCCATATTGACTACAGCAATTTGACAGTCGCTGTTGTTCGAGCGCCACCAGCGAATCTGCCATACCCTCCACCTAGCACAGATTGGAATGGTCGTACCTATGACTTGAATCAGACAGTCGAAGTTGGTGTCGGCTACATCAAAGAAGCTGCACTCAAAGGTGCAAACTTTGTCGCATTTCCAGAGCTCTGGTTTCCCGGGTACGTATTCTTCAGCCCTCGTGCGTGGCCACCGACGCTGACATAAGACCTTCCAGTTACTATTTCGGTCCTCAAGATGGTCCCACCGAGTTCTTCAACCATTATCTCGACCAAGGCCTGGTAGTGAACTCAACCAATTGGAACAAACTGCTTCAAGCAGCAGCAGACAACGGCGTCTGGCTTGAATTTGGCTTTGCGCATCTTGATGGTGACCTTACGTACATGGGCCAAGCCATCATCGACTCCGATGGACAAGTGGTCCAGATCCGCCATAAGCTTCGGCCCTCCGGAGCCGAGCGAACAATCTTCAGCGATGGCACCATGGATATGATCAAGGTGCATCAGACACCCTGGGGCCGGATGGGAGCGCTGGAATGCTGGGAGTGAGTTCTTCTTTCCAAGGGAGAATTAAACTTGCACCGCACTTGCTGACAACTTGCTAGACACATGTGGCCCAGCATGACCTTCAGCATGCACGCTCAAATCGAGAACTTCCTCATTGCCGCATTCCCTTGGGGGCCGGATCTTGGAGTAGATATTGGTCTTGAAAGCGCAGATGTCAGTCTTGCCAGTGCCCGGATCTATGCCGTGACAGGGTCAACGTGGGTGTTCATGCCCTCTGTCGGAACAGCAGCCATTACCGCGCCAAATGGCACGGTGGTCAGGCAGATCGAGGCGTCCAGCGGGCCATTGACAGAGCCTATGATTTATTACTCGCTCAATACGTCGGAGTTTGCTGGAACGCCGGATTATGATCTTAATGGAGACTTCTCGTGGGCTGCTTTGCAACAGATCAATGAAGGGTATCCGGAGTACATCCCGAAGGAAGAGGGTAACTTCATTCCTTACCGCGAGAATTCAATTGCTCGCATGAAGAAGGAGGGGCCGCTACCGCTCAACTACTAGGCGACCGTGTCATGCCGCCTTCGAAGGCTGGATACTATCTTCGGGCCTGGGTAACATTGTTTGATCTGGCAGTTCGTTGCGTCGAATGGTATTTCGATTGTAGAAACGGAGAAACAGGAGGAGGTCGGAGGTGGCTCTTGGCAACAGCCGTTGCGCTAAGCTCAAATTAGACTGCATCAGACCCTTAACGACGTCAGCGCACACGGGTCGCGCGTGTCTCTAGCTTCGTAGCTTCGCAGTGAGCGTGATTCTCCTTCGCGACGCCATTGTCCACTTACCACCACGATTCTTCGCTCGCCAGCCATGCCCGTCAGGAGCTCCTCCATATTGCACGCGGTACACAGCATATCCTCATAGCCGATCGCGTATACAACAGCAAAAAGATCACACGATGCCGCCAAAGTCACACGACGCGCGAAACGAGAGCTCTTCCGTGCGAGAACGCCAAATCGCCGCGGCAGCACACGCCCGAGCCAGTAAAAAAAATGGCCAGCAACCACATCAGAACGGAATTGTGAAATATGGAGATATGCCAAAAATATACGACTATCCGGACGCCTTGACACAACCACAGCAAGGAGCGGGAGTAAGTCGTGAAAAAGGGAGCGAGGAGATACATATGGTCCTCATACCCGAAGACAGTCACTGACAAATTTCTCCCGGCACAGATGCAATGGGACAAAGCCCCCCTCAACCTCCTCGACACCTACCGCGTCGCACACAACCTCTCCTCTCCCGCGGCTTTCACATCTCCATATCGACAAGCTCTGCTCACGAATCCTGGAATCGGACGACAATCGCCTACGATGGCGCGGAAAAAGGAAAAGAGGAGGGTCTCGAAAGAGCAGTTGGCGTTGGCTGTGAGGAAGAATTTTAATGGGGCTGCGGTGAATGAGATGGATGTTGTGGCGGAGATGGTTTATAAGGTGCAGAATAAAGGTGAGTTCCATGACGCATAACGCAAAAGGAGGGAAAGTGGTAGCATGTGCTGACGTGAATGGTACAGATAAAGCTTTTCGGATGCGGTCTGCGCCGAATGCTGTGAAGAAGTCGTGACATGGGCGAAGGGTTTTGTTGATGAGCTTGTACAGCGAGGGAAATTCTGCAAATAGGGCGTTTTCGAGGATGATGGGGTATGGGACAAACACGATGGGATACCGACTTCGCGTTTATGAGGAGTCTGGAGTTTGTGCTGGAGCATTTCGATATGCTGTGATTGCGCGACTGAGCAGCAACCGGCGGCGTTCGCTTGATATAGGCATCGTTTTGGATAATTGGTAATGAAGAGTTGCTAGCTCATTCTGGCAAGATATGATGCAACTTGTCCCTGTACTTTTTCATAGATATCGGACATGCCAGTCAGCCAATTTTCGAAGGAAGGGGGCGAACATTGGGACGCAACAGAACGGTATAGGAGACTCAAAATTGCAGGCTAACATCGTGGGCAGATCGCATCAGAATCTAGTGAAACTCTCAACAAGCCAGCACATGTCTCCAGCGTGCACCATCCTGCTTGTCTCACTTTGCCTGGAGACGGCTCATTGCTTCACAAGTAAAGGGCTTCTTCGTCGTTCAACACAGTGTCGTCGCCGGCCGTCGCAACTTTAAATCTGCCTATGAACCCAGCATCAAGAAGCTCTGCCATCAGTGTCACAGAGCGTAGTGCTGTCTCCAGTATACATTTCGCGACAACAGGGAGAATTTGAAGCAACTTCCATACCGAGCATGATCCGTGCAGAAATCTCGTCAGTGCTATGGGACACTCAATCCCCCGATCCTATTCCCAAAGCGATCGACAGCAATTGGAGCAGCGCCCTGCGTTGCAGTTGCGCCTATCAGTCCAATTAGAGGTGGATATGTCGGCTCTTCCCATGCGCATTGTTAATAATGAATTCAAAATACAGAAATGGCTCGGAGAGGCCAATGCGGCACAGTCTGAGTGGTATCGAGGTAAGAAAACGGTGATAGCATATGATTACTTCGGTCAGATATATGACTCGTATCGATTGCTTCGGTCCGCCTGCGTAGACCGGCATAGTGTTCATTCGTTGTCCTCGCGTGCACCCGGTCGAGGCGACCGTCGCTCTTCGGCTCTCTCGAGAGCATTGCCTCCAGGTCTCTTGTCGAACCGTAGTTCTGGACTCAGCTGATCTTCTGCTTGGGGTGGTCTATCGTCATTCTGATTGACTGAAGCGTATGGCCCTGATTTCAGATTGTTGACCTGGTATGCAGCAACGGGCTGTATTGTGAACCTGGCTCGCTTCCAGGATTTGGGAAGGGGATCTTTCCCAGGGAGGCTTTGCTCGTCCATCTCAATACTGACATCTGCAGTCCTCGTCGCTCTAACGATCGTGGAAAAGTTCAGAGTAAATGAGGCGCCTGATCTAAAAATTGCCAGGAGCCCGATAGCCACGCTGATGATTGCGATGCTTATGGCTAGACCGTACGCAAGCCAAAGTTTTTCTGCCGAATATGAGTAGACATTACCCATTCTGTTGATAGTTACTGTGACGTTTCCCGGTGCATTTGGGGCTGTTATGTTATACCTACGAGACATGACTCAGTACGGCAAAAGTTAGGGAGCGAGTGATCCTACCTACCTGAACATAGTGGAGCTGGCCATCGATATCGAGACATTGAAGAAAAGTTCTTCAATCATGTCCTTCAAGTGTTTGCGAGGAGCAGTCTGCGATGCTGGTCGAAGTAAACTGTAGGCCTCATCTAGGACGGTCGCATATTCACGGCCGTTCAAGTTCGGCGCGTCATAGGCCGTGTAAGCTTCAATCAAGTCTTCTGCTCCCACGACGGTCTGATCCAACAATTTTAGCTCTATACTGTCTGCCAATGAGGTGCCCAGTACTTGGGTTTTGTACTGATAATGTCCAAAGGTGGAATCCGACCGATTCGGCAGCATTGAGCTTGGGCTTGCAAGTATCGCGGTTCCCTCTTCCACGCCTTTGGGGTTCATCGCTCCCACTGTGAGCTTCGCAAAACTGTCCATCATAGCCCGGTATGATTGTCGAAGTAGAATTTCATCATCAATTTGGCATTCGGACGGATTCTTGCCTTCGGCAGCGACAATAGAGTCGCGATCGACGAGATACAGACATCCAGGATCAGCAGTTCCGGTGGCAACCATTGGCCACTGACGGTGAAGGTCCATCTCGACATCTATGACATGGAGAATCTCTATTTTTTGTTCTTGTGCTGGTCCGTCGTATGAGAAGCTGAGAGTATACTCTGATGGCACGAGCTTGCAGCGCACAACTGACGCTTCCTCGAATGCCCAGTCCATAGCTTTGCGCGCTCCGTCTGCCGTAGAGGCATTCCAACCTTTGATAAAGGCGTAGAAAGCATCAGGCACGTTTTGCCAAGTGTCCACCAGACGGGGCAGGGAAGCTACGTATAACAGGTCCTGGAAAATGTTGATGGGCCTGTCGAATCCAATTTGCAGTGCGATTGCCGCGAACTGAGATGCTGTTGGCCGGCCTACAGCGGCAAACTCAGCTGGGTCATAGATATCGAGAGGCGGCATCTCTGAATAGGCCCGAATGTCTTTGTTGCTAGTAGCACTCCAGGACATATAGTTGAGCATATTTTCTGCAAATACCGTCGCCTCCCACCCGTCACCCGAGTAATCGGGATCGGTCGGATCGTACGTTGATCTCACAAAAGGTGCCAACATGACTGCAAGGTTGTCTTTGATGGCATTCAGAATTGTGTCGTCGACATTATCGCAAGCTAACCTTGGAGCTGGCATAGTAGCAACCCAGGAAGCATTCACTGCAGGGGCCGGAATTGGAAGAATTGAGCCAGCGGCAGCTGTAGCTTGTACTGTTCTGGTAACTTCGAAGCTCGATTTATAGCCGCCCTGCGAATAGGGGTCGGCAAATTTTAAGCTTGCGAAAGCAGGCACAGGGACGAAGTGGGATTCCTCAACAGGTGGCAAGTGATCAAAACTGACAGAGAGCGTCGCTGGTGCGACAATGGCCGCGATTGGAAGAAGCCTATACTGCTCAGCCTCTAAGGGGCGATAGTCTTCAATTATGTACATACCATGTAGTCATAGCAATAGTAGCTAGTACGGGGTGCGTCCAGAAAGTTGTCAAGCCAAAGAGTGCAGTTATGTCGCCTAATCCAGAAAACCAGCTGTCGATACACGCCATACTGTGGCTAACCTTGGTGATCGCCCGGAAAAACAGCTGAACATAAGCCGTCGAAATCGCCAGCACCAGGCTTGCTTTCACAGCGAAAGCGAATGCCGTTCCACCCGCCGTGTTCAGCTGCTGTGGTGTGATCTGCCATCCTGCAAATTGATACGGCGCCGACCGGACCTCCGTGTTCTGTAGTGATCGGTAGAACGCATGGTGCCCAATTGCAAATGCAATGCCAATTATCAAAAAGCTTATCATGAAAGTGGGTGCTCGCCAGTGAATTTGTCGATAGGGGAACTCCTGGGCGTGGAGGCAAAGTACCGGGAGAGTGTCATATTGTCGATCTGGCAGTCGGTGTATGTCTGAGGAGGAAGTGCAGCAGTGAGCTACATAAGGAAGAAGAGGCATGCATTCATCAAAGGGAGGCTTCGTGCGCTGGCTATGTCTTGACCTCTTGCACGTGCCGTGCCGTGCTCAAGACGATCCCCCAAATGTGGCTTGCAGGAACCAAAGCGCAGTGGCGAAGTGCTTTAGATTGACCAGTCAACTCCGAATTTAGACCATATCGAAAGAATCAGCTTTTCGCCATGGATCAGTGCCGTCGCAGTCACAGAATACCGAACTCAAGTAAATCGAGCCACCAAAATGAGTCTGCGTCTCTGATTTCGATGGGACCAATTTGATCAGCCATGAACTTGGTCTAGTCGCACCAAACCGTGCCAATCCCATCAATCGGACGTCGAAAGGTCGTTAGTCGGCCGACGTCAATCATTGCCAGCAAGAGGTTGAAAAGAAATATGACCAGTATCACCGCGATGCATGGGCATAGGCGACGCTCAGCATCAAGGGCGGACCTCTCGGTTCTGCTTCAACAACGCGACGTGAGTTCAACTTGTGGCGCAAAGTACTGACCTTTCAGCCTTTCGCTAAGCAAAAGGCGCAGGTTAGATCAGCACCTCTCACTAGCAAAGGACATCTCGCCATGATGGTCGAGATATAGTCCAGGCATTCCTCGGTCGCTTGGAGCCATCCAACTTTGACATAGCGTTTGCTCACTGTATCATCAAATACATGCGAGATATGCTCCATTGTTTCCCAGTCTCACTGGCAAGAATGTCCGCAAAGCTGGCGGCCAGCCGTTGTGCATCGTCACAAGGCTGAGGCTGGGTGCATGAGCTTGCAGCTCCGATGGTCCAATGGAAGATCGTCACAGATTATGGACGCCAAGATGACGAGCACGCAATTGCGACACTGGCTGGAAGTCTGCTTGATACAGATTATCATTCGATTGTGAACGGGGCTGTGGGTGGTGTGAAAGAGATGAAGTTGCGAAGTGAAGGAGAGCCAGAAATAGACGACAATTGCAGGGGTCGGCACCAGCTCCGCTCCCCTGATGGCAGCTGCAGACCCTCAAACATCGACAACGTGGCCAGCTTCTGCTCTGTTGTATACACACATCCACCATGATTTCCGCTCGAATATCGCTGCTCTTGCGGCTGGCATTGGCCTTCTATACATCTCTCGCCGCAGCAGCATCCAATTCGCAGCAGCCGCTGGTCGGCGAAAGAATCTACAAAGTTGGCGACAAGATTCCCGTCACATGCTTGAATCGCACAGTGTACATGCTTCCCGATCTCATATCTCCCTTGCTTCGGCTGCTAAGACATCCCACATATACTGACATCCTCATCCTCCATGTCACAGTGAAACAGGCGAACACATCACCGACGAAAACAACCAACTCGTCTACATCCCCGCCTTCACCTGCAACGAAACCGGCCGACCCCTCGAACTCATCTTCGGCGTAGAACGCGACATCAACTGCACCATCGACTTCATCGACGACCCCTTCTTCCACCTCCTCGAATACTACGTCCACAACGATGTGCCCCTCACCTGCCGCATCCCCACCAAACCTCTCGCACCTTCCGTCCTGAAAGAAGACTTTGAAAAGAGCACAAAGGATAATACAGAAGGACAAGGCAGCCTAAGCGAAATTTACACGCCGATGATTGTTGCTCTTGCGGGGACGCTACAGTTGAGTCATTTGCATGTCGCGACGCATTTGAATGTTTTGGTGCATGCTGCGCCGAAGAATGTTGCGCCCGGGACGATTGCCGCTGCGACGGCGTATAGTATTTCACGCGATCCGCCGAGTAGGATTGTGATTGGGGATCCTTTGCCGTTGCAATTTAGTGTGAGGTGGTACCCGAATACTTTGCTGCCGAGTGGGTGGACGGGTGTGGGTGGGCATTTGACGTTTAGTACGGTGGTTTATTGCTTTTTGACGGCTTTGGCGACGGCGGCGATTTGTGTGTCGTATTTTAGAGGGATTGAATTGCCGAGGAGGTTGAAGAATCATGGGAGGGAGAGGACGAGTGGGATTGAACGAGGCGGTTTGGGAAGTGGATTGGGAGGTTATGGAATTGCTGGGGTGGGGAATGGGTATGGATATGGTATTGGGAAGAGAGATTAGAGGATGCAATGAAGACATGTTTTATTTCAAGTGAGCCGACTACACTAACGCCAAGATTACTGACTCTCCGATAGCAGGTCACTCTCCTTCCTCCAGCCATCTGCAGCCACGACGGCATCCAGCATACTCGGAGAACAGAAACACGAACGCAAAGCCGGCATTTTTCGAAAGCGCGAATGGAACACGCGTGTACTTCCCCATCACATACGGAGGTACTCCCATCACTTCTCCACGAGGGCTATATTCTCCATTCTCAGCTAGTCGCCTCTCGCAAGCGATTGTCAGTAACAGCGGCTTGACTCCTCACACAAAACTGGAGATACGAACAGCAACCAAGACTTCTCGAGTGAGAGCATGCCTCACGTAAACCACTTCACCCGACGCTCACTTCTTCTCCATCTTCAGCCCTCCGAACTTTTCCGCCAGCTCATACTCCTGCGATGCCTTGGCAGCCTTCGACGCTTCGAGTCTGGCCAGCCGAGCCTCCTCAACTCTCGTAGCCTCACTCTCCTCCTGCGACTTCGACTCTGCTTCAAGTCTGGCCAGCCAGGCCCTTCTGGCGAGCATCCTTTTAATTCTCTGGGCCGTGGTCAATCGCGCCCGGTCCTCCTGACGAGATGCCCGTGTTGCTGGCCAACCTGGGCGTTGACTACTGCTTGGCGCCGGGGTTGATGGTCAGCACGCGCTCCGTTGGCCTGTTCTTTGGCCGTGATGTTCTGTGCCCCTGGTGGATCTGGAGCTGACTTCGCTTAGTGCTGGTTGGATTCGCTGAGTGACGAGCGTGAGGCTTGAATTTGTTGTGGTGGGTGGTAGGTGAGCTTGGCTGACTTGGGTGGGCAGTAGTTCTTTTTGACTGATGATGTTGGGATGAGGTGATGGCAGGAGATGAAATATTTACTGATTTCGCGAAGTTAGATTCTTGGTCTGTGCTTAGGGGCTGCATCCATCGATCGTTGACAACAACGCCTCAGGCTCTGCTGACAAGCTTTGCAGAACCACGTTACCAGATCTACGAATTCCGGAAGAGAGTCTACCATGAACCATACAAGCGGCATGCAACAGCCAGTAGAGGCAGCTGACATGAAGAACGGCGAAAGTTACCGACCACCTGGCAGTCATGCTTCTTGTCATCCGATCAACCGACCAAGATATGCCTGAAGCGATCCGACGGGACGGCTGGAAATATCCTGCGAAAGTGATCGCATCGCTGTCACTCAAGCTGAGTCTCTGCAAATCCCGCCAACGTCTGTTCCTCTGAGCGCTCAAAGCCAGAGCCAGTATCGTTGGCATGCGTCCAGACACGATATCTTGCGTCCCAATCGTGCCAGCTGTGCACTCTCTGAATCTCATTCATCAGCGCGGCCCACTGGTAGTGCCTTGCGGGAATCCCTCACAAGGATCGAAAAGCAGAGCCTGTCTGGTAGCGGCAGAATGTTAAATTCAAGAACCGGTGGGTGGAGAAGTGAGGCAAAATATTCTCGAATCAGAAGCTCGCCTTCGAGGTATGTCTTCCACGGAGTGGTCATGGAATACTGTGACATGAACTTCCTCGATCGATTTTCAGAGCGCTGGGTCGAGAAGTGAGGCAGAATATTTTTACGTGTCAAAAGCTCGTCTTGGAAGCCTATACTCCACGCCGCGATCACGGACTATTTTAACAGGAGCGCTTTCTAGCGATTCCAGAGCGCCGGCACGAGCATACTTCCCACACCGCACGACACTATCTCCGCTCTCTGCAATCAAGATGTGCCAACAAGGCAAGCTCAGCTCCATGGGTCTTAGGCGCAAGTTCTATCAGAAGCTGCAAGGGCTACCACCTCACCTCCCGTTCGAGTTGAACTTATGCATCATGGAGCAATTCATCGCTTCCGATCCCGTCAGACTCAACCAAGCCGGCAGGATGCAGCACGACCTCCTCGACGAAGACATATGTCACGGTGCATCCAACAAGCATGTGACGGTCCTGTACAGTGCCGCTCCATTACTCGTCGATCGGGAATTGGACCGCCAAAGGGCAGAAGACTGGCTACATTTCGTGCGCCATAGAAGAAGGAACAACTGGGGCGTGCTACAGGATGACAGGCTTTACCGCTCCCTGATTCCGAACAAGACTCTTTTTCTGAGCGCCCATGACAAGCTTCGCGGACGAAGTCGGCGATCAGTTCTTCGCGTGAAGTTCCAGTGGGTTTTGCACACAACTTGTCTCAGGGAATCCCGTATCACCTACGACGGCGACGAGACTCCGATTCAACACTTTGCACCAGGCCCCGCTTGCTCCTCAAGAGTCTGTCCCTGTCGTCGCACGAATCCGGAGTTGTTGAAGTACATTCCGGAGATCTTGAGTGACGTCGCACGACGTTGGGATCTCCCGTTTGAAAATCTTCAGTTGGAGATTTTGATGAAGCACAGTTGCGAGTCGAAAGCTTGCTTTGGATACCATATTTGGTATACGATCAGGTACTTCACCAGCCCTAAGAATTGGCTGCTTCACCTGGTTTACGTGCCTCTCATTGCCTCCTGGTTTTCGATACATACTGTGCCGCAAATGCGCACTATGTTTCAGACCATGCATAATGAGTCTCCGAGTGAGCGGGCGTGGTGGTTGCGAGTGGTGCTCGTTGTCATTCCTGTCGGAGTGTTGGCTGTTCTCTTGAAGCCGGTCATTTGGAGTTTGCTCGCTTTTGGAAACTGGGTCGAACGGCAAACGTGGTTGGGTCGCGCCTGTTATGCTGCGTACTCGGTCGTGGTGAAGGTGAAGACTGCGATTGAGTCCACTCTGACAGCTGTGGGATTGTGCGTGGCAACAGCGGTCGTTCTGCCGTTTATTTGTGTTTTTGCGATTTGGCGAGTGACTCATGATCGCTTGGGACGACAGTAAAGGATGGTCACGGCCACGGCAAGGATTCAGACAGCGATCGAGTCGACTCTGCGAATTGCGGCAACGATCATGGCGACACTTGTGGTCCTGCCGCCGATTCTTGCTGTTGCGACATAGAGAGTGACCCGCATGCAAGTATGATGACTGTTGCAATGTGACAGTCATCGCGGTCACTGCAATTTTCTGCAAAACATCAAAGCATCAGCTGCATTTGCTTGGTCGTGGTTGGTACACTTTCTGAAGCTCCAAAGTTTCCGGCTGTTCGCGGACAAAGCTCGATATCAACAACTGTCGCGGAGGCATTCAGCTTAACAACAACTCATGTTTCTGAACAATGCTGAACCTGGATGTACTTCATTGTCGCGTACGCGATGTGTCACCCAAACATATCCATGAGGCGAAGCTGGCTCAAGCAAAAATCAAGGAAGAACAAAAGCGGCTCCGCGAGAATCTTCAAAAGCTACCAGCAGAGATCCGATTGCTGATCCTGGACGAATACATAAAATTACACCCTCCAACAATCTCCGAACGCAATGGACGTCTTCAGCATATTCTCATCAAGGACTCATACAAGAGGCTCAATCCCAAAGCATATCATAACCTCTTCCACACCACGCCACTACAAGTCCACAAAACTCTCAGAGCTCTCAAAAGGCCCTACAAACCTCTCGCCAAATGGCCTCAAAATCGTCCAGCTTTCCTCGATCTACACGACAAGCACTGCGACATAGATACGCAGCATGACATAAGCTATGACATCCGATGCACCATGATCGTGCCCTTCACATGCAATCACGAGAAAATCATACTTCACCCTTCGAGGATTCACTTAGACAAGGATGAAATGGCCAAACAGATCCCATTCCCTACCCCGCCGAAACACACTTTTCCGCTTCGTAGAGGACAATTGGACTGCTCATCGTTCTGTCTCGGGAACGCCCGTCGGGCATGGAAAATATTGGATAAAGAATTTCTAGAAAAGAATAATATCTGTCCGCACCAGGTGACGAAATACGAGGTTGTATTCGTGAAGGAGAAATGGCACGATGAAGTGTGGAGATTGATGAAAGCGAATCCGCTGGAAGCAGTCCTGAAAGCAGTGTTCTGCGTTGTTGTTCTCCTGGTTTGGCCTGTGATTATGGTGGGGATAGCGGGTTTTGTGCTTCCATTCTGGGTGTATGAGGCTTGCAAGGCATTGAAGAGGTCATTGGTGCCAATGCTGGGCAAGTGGATGCACAAGTTTGCCCATCAGGCGGGAAAGACATGGCAACGCAGTTGTCGTTGTGTGGGTAGTCTCGGGAGGAGGATATTCAATCGACGGAAATGATGTGGTAATATTAGGAGACTCCGGACGAGGAAGAGTGTTCTTGCACGGACGATTGGACCAGAACACTTAGGCGCAACAGTGTAACACAAACTGCCAAAAACATCTAATAGAGGCTGAATGTATACCCATACTCACCTTGCCATTGCACATGTTGTTCGCGTTCCACAAGCTAGCTAGCACGCCATCCTCATCCCATATGGGGCAAGCTTCGTCTAAGCACAACAACCCAAACCCCGAAAATCTGCCACTCCATCACTCTAACCTCACCAGCATCTCCGGCGTCAACATACCCCATGTAATTGCATGAAGAGAACACCGATAAGGCTGTGGAATCCGTCCACGGCATTTGAGTTGTTGAGAGTCGGCGACAGTTTTGACTTAGTTCGCTCCGAATGTCCACTGTCCAAGATGATAGGCGTTGACTTGGCTGCGAGTCGTGGGATTCGTCATGATCCACTTGCATGTTGCAACTGCAAGTTGAAGAAATCGTGCGTTGTTGAGGAGGGAAAGGTTTGTTGATAAGGAAGGCAGGTTTCTGTTGTTAGGTCTGCGGATCTTTTGAGTTCGCGAAGAAGTGAATACACGACGACGCCATGGGAACCACCAAAGAACTTCAAGTCAACGCCATCTCACCCACGGAGTCCTTATCGGAGAATGAAACCGCTTCCGTCAACGATGCCCGGCTTCGTTCCGCCTACAAGAAATCCGACCTCAGGTTACTGTACTGGTACAGTTTCGTTTACCTTTGGATGCGAATACACGCCTCGAACATCACAAACACCGCTATCATCAACATCGAAACCGGTGATGGGATTAAGACGCAACTCGGAAATTTGACTTCGGGACAATGGGCCTGGTGTCTTGCGATTTTCTATTATCCTTATGCGGCGTTTGAGCCGGCTTCGACGTTGTTGTTGAAGAGGTTTTCGCCGAGGGTGTGGATGAGTCGGATCATGATCACATGGGGTTCGTCTGAACCGAATCCTTGAAATGAAAGGCGAATTTGCTGACGACTGCTGTGAAGGTATCGTATCAATGTGTCAAGCCGCAACACAAAATTACTCTGGACTATTAGCCACCAGATTCTTCCTCGGACTGGCAGAAGCCGGATATTATCCTGGAGTCTTATACCATTTGACATTCTGGTATCCTGCGAAAGATACTGCGTTGCGTATTGCGTTCTTCTACGCTTGTGGTCAGTTCTCCGGAACGATCAGTGGGCTCCTCGCTTTCGCGATCTCTTACATGAACGGCGTCGGTGGTGTTGCAGGTTGGCGATGGGTCTTTATCCTCGAAGGTATCCCAGCTGTCTTGATGGGTATTATCACATGGTTCACACTCCCAAACTACCCAGAAGACTCAGCTTGGCTGACGGAAGAGGAGAAGCGAGCGGTCATTGACAACCGACCGAAGACTCAGCCGAGTGCGAACGCGAAGACCTGGAGCTCGTCGGAGGTCAAGGAGATCTTCAAAGACTCCAGAAACTACACTTACACATTTCTCTGGATCTGCCATGCGATTGGAGGTTGGGGTATCGCGAAAGTGTTGCCGACTGTGATTTATGAACTTGGGCTTTCTGGATCTGCGGTTACGCAGTTGTTGACAATGCGTAAGTTCAAAGTTTCCGGTTTCGTTTGGAACCCTTTGCTGACAGTCGGGTCAACAGCGTGCTACACCCTCGGCTTCATCGTCTTGAACGGATTCGGCTGGCTCATCCATCGAGGCTACGTCAGTTCCTGGCTGACAGTAATCGGCATGGAGATAGTCTGCGTGGCCTGCTACATCGCTCTGATCCTTGTTCGAGGCGCAGTAAGTCGCTACATGCTAGTTACCATAGCAATTGCGTCCTCGATGGGCGTATTGCCGATTTTGTGGCCAGAGCGAATTCGAGCTGCGCGAGGTACGACCACAGCTGGTCTGATGATTGGCTTTACCAACGCTTCGGCGCAGTTGACGGGTATCGTGGGGCCGATGATCTATCAAGACAAGTTTGGTCCGCGGTATACTGTGAGCTATTCTGTTAGTATCGCGTTGATTGCTGCTGCGATTGTTGGTGTTGTGGTGACTTGGTGGTTGATATGGAAGCGTGATCAGCGGGAGGCAAAGGAGGCGGAGAATGCAGAGTTGAGCAGTGCTCAGCAGAGCCAGGACGAGAAAAGCTGAGGTGGGGACTTGACAAGTCTGGGCTGGACCAGTTTCAGACTCGAAAGTCGATGCGGTCTAACAGCATTATAGCGATACAGCTTTCTCCCTCATTTAGAGTCGATTCGTCTTCGGAAAAGCAGCCCTCGAGCTTACAATCAAAGCTCCAGCATTAAATCGATCAGGATAAATCTCCGTCATCGCTGCCGTCAATTCTTTAGCATTCTTAACTTTGCCCGATTCGATCAGTCGTCCAAAAGTCTTGAGATAGTCCTTGGTTCGCTGTAAATGCCAGAAACCAGGAATCTCCCCTGACTTTTGATGGGCTGCGATAACACTTGTTGGTCCGAGCTGCTCGACCTTTTCGATAGCTGCGATCCAGGCTTGTCGTTTCTCTTTCGTTGCAGCGCCTACTTGCATTAAGTGGACTGAACCGTATACGACAGTGCCGCAGACGGCGAGTCGGAGGCTAGGGACCCAGATGATTGTTGAGTTGTCTACTGCGGCTTGACCGGCGGTGATTGCGTGCAGCTTGTGTCCGTCTACTTCGAGTTCGTTGCTTGGAGGCAAAAGCTCAGCGGCTTGATCGGCTGGCGGTTGCTGATCGATTTGTCCTGGAAATTGTGCTGAGAAAGCAGCGAGCACTTTAGATTGCAGGCTTTGTTTAATTGCGTCCAGCGTCGTCTGGGTAACATATGTCTTGAGATCTGGAAATCGTTTCCGAAGTGTGGGCAGGCCCAGAAGAAAATCGTGAACACCATGGGAGACGTAGACAGCTTTTAACTTCTTCTTTCCAAGTGTCTGGCTTATCCAGTCGGCCAGTCCTTCGGTCTCTGCTATTGTGAAAGGCGCATTGACCAGAACTGCTGTCTTGGGTCCATGGATCAGTGTACATGCAATTGGCGACCATGTCCCGACAACTTGGCCGTCAGGCCGCCGCATAGGTACGGCTGGGGAGATGTAGACATTTGCGAGTAGTTCTGAAGCCATGATTGTTCCAGATGGCGATGAGAGTACTGTTTCTCACCTGCAAAGTGTGCTGTTATATTGATGTTGGCACGGGTGAGATGGAACATCCATAATCGAAAGATTAGTGATACAGCACGACCTCGGCTGTGACTTCGACGCTTGCTGCTGCCATTCGGTATGTGCTTCTGTGACGAAAAGACATGGTGACTGACTTCGCGCAGATTAGCGCCTGCGAAAGCTGAATTTGGATTCCCGTTCGCTCGGATCGGCCTCACAATGGAGTCATGCAGTTCCTTCTTCTTGCCGCGGATGGTGGGCTACAGTAATGCGACGTACCTCCTCGCCACTGGAAAACGGTTCCCAGCAGACTCCAAAGTGCTGGATGGTCTCTTCGCAGAACTCCTGCCCAAACCGGAAGATGTGTTCCCTCGCGCTGTCGAACTGGCTGGAGACATTCTGCAAAACGTAAGCCCGATGGCTATCCATCTCAATCGACAGCTGATATGGCGGAATGGCGGGTCTGCCGAAGCTGCTCATCTCACGGACAGTCCGCTACTGGCAGATATGTTTGGCGGGAAGTAAGTCTCTCTCAATACCTGTGCAGAGAGTCAAGGCTAATTCATTGCAAGTGATCATGCTGCATTCAAAGCTGCTTTCTTCAAGAAGCAACTTCCGAACTTCCAGGATTCATTGACCAGAAACGCCCCGAGGATATATCCGTGGTGGGAGGAGGTCTCGATTAAGTCGCCGCCTCAAGGCGTGTCGAGCAATTTGAGCAAGCTGTAGATCTTGCAATTCGCTGTAACAAGCGAAATGTCACCGTTTGCCACACAACCAATCAATACAGTCAGTGTGAGCCTGATGATGCACTAGACTGTACTTGAGATACTTCGAAATGATAAATTCGAGCCAGTCCTCGATTAGCGAATTTAAGAGGCGTCAAAGACGTCCCGAACGTCAGGTTTCGTCATTTCTCGGGTTCTTCATCATCAGGAACCTTTGCATCAAACCATCTTGTCGCTCTCACTCTTCGCTCGTCGCTCCCGGAACGTTTCAAGACGATTCTTCGTGAACAGATATACCATAAAGATGATCGACGGTGTCAGGAGTACCACCATAACAATCATCACCCACCACCACGGTGGACTACCCTGATTGACTTCTCGGAGATTCATGCCAAAGATGCCAGTTGTCAGAGTAAGCGGCAGATAGATTGCAGCCAACAACGTAAGCATGGTCGCACGCTCGGCTTGTTTCTTGTTCGCAGCAGAGTCCAGTACAGTCATGGCGCCAATAAGCATCTGGAAACTGTCGTTGAGCGATGCAGACAAGCGTTCTACCCGTCCGTTAATGGAAGTCCACTGATCGACCCAGGACTTGCTCCAAGTAGCAGTCAGGTGGCTTTCATTCGGCTGGAGGTCCTGGGCAGACTTTTCGTGTATGCGGAGGGCCCAGGTTTTGACAGACAGAGGAGTGACTCGCTCACGGGCTTCCATGTCAACTTTCAGCTGATGAATTATTCGTCGACAGGAACCCAGTTCCGAGAGGAGATCCATACCCGGGCGCTCAATGGCATCGCAATCCAATCTGTTGACCCACGCAGAAACATGCCCTAGCGTAGGGTTCAGCGACGCAATGCTCAGAAGCCAGCACAGTGCGCCAAGGGCAGTCTCGATATCGCCATTTGGCCGGCTGCCTGGGGAACATCCCTCACTGTGCAGAACGCTGTCGATCGAAGTCAGCAATCTTCGGCTCCATTCGCCGGTGAAGTAACCAATGATCAGGTCACTAAGCGCGAGAATACTGTCTTGACTGGGTGGAGGCAGGTCTCTGTTCAAGCCGTCAAGATCGCACCAGAGGAAGGAAAAGTTGATGGGATCGTCAACCAGGACGAGGACTTGCTTAAGAATCAACGTTTGGCCGCAATTGTGAAAGCGAATGGATATACTTGCATAAATCTGGCTTCAGCTTGCAGAATGAAATCCGAGAGGCTTCGCTCGAAGCGTGCATGACAGGATGTCGGAGAATGCTGTGGAAGCTTTGTACGCCAAAGCACACTGCGCGGAAACGACCTAAGAGCTCACTCTCCACATGCCAGCAATTTCGACATGATGAGAGTCCGTCATCTGCAGCGAACCGCGTCGCCACTCTGCTCCTGTTGGTGACACGTAGACTGTGAGCTAGATTGCCCCAAAGTTCCAACGCTCAGCACCAACAGCTGGTCTCGGTGATCTTGAAAGGCGAGACAAGTGTCGTTGGGGTGACTGGTGTGCACACAGACTCACAGAAAAGAGAATCTCTCTTCACTACTCATGTCGCTTCTATACTCTCGTACCCGCAGTGCGTGATGAGCAAAGAACAATGGCTCGATATCGTAGTGCGTGCCAAAAGCGCTGATCATGTCCAGATCGATGTTCTGTACAAATATGACGCCGGAATCGATAGCCGGCGCAGACGTGCGGTACAAAGGATAGATGCACGGTTTCCCATAGTCTTCTGCCACTGAAATCTCGGGCTTTCGGGCATACTCCGAGAATAGCAGCCCATAGGCGTCCCCCCCTAGAAGGAGCGAGAGTCTGTCCAGATATAATGATGCAGCCATTTCTGTCGGCCGACTGTCTTGTCGTTGTAGTGTTGTAAACATCTCAGCTTCTTTCAATCAAACTTCTGAGCCAGCTGAATGCTGCAGTGTAACATTGAGCCGGGCTCGCCAACAAGCGAGAGGCTGGCGGCGCATTCTCGCATCTGCGGCTCGGGTACTTGGAGAATTGGACACATACGGCGGCTGTTGACGGTCTGAGGCTGTATTATTGATGATATTCGATTCGATTTCGATGCCGCCGGACTCGCGATGTAAACATTTCGATGCCCAAAGTTGCGATGGTGGGAAGTGGAAAGGATGCAACCCGCAAGCACGGACGTCGGACATGCCAAGACTCGTCATGGCCGAGCGAGCTCTTCCGACCTCTTCTTGTAGAGCTTCCATCCAACTTCTTGACGAGTGAATCTTCCCAACACCGGCACGATGCTGGCCACGCAGAAGCTGTTGGGCGCTTCTGCACCGCTCGTGCGGCAGTCTGCAGGCCTCAATCGCGCCCAATGGCGAAGCGTGCAGCGTCAATGGCAGCGCCAACTTTCGCTGCAATCCAGCCGACCTCGAATCGCCCAACATGCCCGAAATGCGCAACAACGATACCAATCGACTGGTGAACAGGCAAAAGAGGCAGCAGACACAGCGAAAGCGCAGGCTGTCAAGGCGGGAGTAGCCACCGCCAATACAGGCTCTCGTTTCGTCGCATATGTCTACGGAACTGGTCTTGTCCTCTTGCTGAGCTTCGGCTACTCGTATGCCACGGATACACGCGCCAGCATCCACCAATTCGCTGTGACTCCTCTCGTTCGCCTACTGTTCCCGGACGCCGAAGACGCGCATCATGCTGGAGTCCGATACATTAAGGCAATGCACGACTTTGGCTTAGCTCCACGAGAACGCGGAAATGCGGATAAAGCGCTGGGAGATTTGAAGGTCGAGGTCTTTGGGCACATCTTAGACAATCCGCTGGGGACATCAGCAGGAATTGACAAGGATGCTGAGATTCCTGACGCGTTGTTTGCGTTGGGGCCTGCGATTGTGGAAGTGGGAGGCGCGACACCTTTGGCGCAAGAGGGGAACCCTAAGCCCAGAGTCTTTCGAATACCCAGTCAGAATGCCTTGATCAACCGATACGGCCTCAATTCGCAAGGAGCGGAGCATATGGCAATACAGTTGCGGGAACGAGTACGACAGTTTGCATATGAGAACGGGCTAGGGCTTGAAGCAGAATCAGAGCAGAGGATACTGGATGGCGAAGCTGGCGTGCCTCCGGGAAGTCTGGTGGATGGCAAGTTACTGGCAGTACAAGTGGCCAAGAACAAGACGACACCAGATAACGATATCGCGGCTGTTGCAGCGGACTACGTCTTCTGCGTAGAGCATCTGGCCAAATACGCCGACATCCTGGTCGTGAATGTATCGTCGCCCAACACACCTGGCCTGCGCGATTTACAAGCAACAAAGCCGCTGACAGCTATTCTTTCGTCTGTCGTAGATGCAGCCAAGTCTGTGGACCGAAAGACGAAACCCGCAGTCATGGTCAAGGTGTCGCCAGATGAGGACTCGGATGCGCAGATAGAAGGAATCTGCACTGCAGTCTGGTCATCAGGCGTCGATGGAGTCATTGTTGGAAACACGACCAAGAAGCGACCTGAACCAATACCGAAGGGATACGTCATGCCCGCAGACGATGTGCGAACACTCACTGAAGTCGGAGGATACTCTGGGCCTCAAATATTTGAGAGAACACTAAACCTCGTCAAGCGTTATCGATCGAAGCTCGATCAAGGACCGTACGACAATCAGCCTGCAGACACACAGAAGGCAGTCCAGAGCCCCCTCGATCCACTTGAACGTGGTCTAATAGGCGATTCGACACCTGAAAATGCCCAACAGCATGCATCACAAGAGAGCATCGCCCGCGATCAGCAACGACTAAAGCCGTTGACGAGCGAAGCAGAAGCCGACAGCAAGCGACCACTGATTGAACTTCCCGAGCGACACACTTCCGAGCAGCCTGAGGCGGCGAAGCACGTCGGAAAAGCTGCTGGTCCAGTTGCGACACAACCCACCGATGCTGCTGCCCCACAGAATGCGACGCAAATAGGCAAGGCTAGCTCACCCAGAGAAGCCGCGGAAGGAGCAGTTCAGAAGGTGATTTCCGTCGGTGAATCCAGCACCGAAGCCGCCAAGTCAGAACTGCAATCCGCAGCATCCCAGGCCAAAGACCAAGCAGAGCAAGTGACGGAGAAGGCAAGAGCCAGTGCCGAACAATTCAAAGCCAAAGCAGAATCCGCTAAAGACCAAGCCCAATCCGCCGCAGCTCAAGCGAAATCTCAAATCGACTCGGCGACATCTGACACCAAAGCCAAAGCATCCGAACTCGCCAACAAGGCATCCTCTACCGCCCAATCAGTCGCTACAGCAGCCAAAGACCAATTCAACCACATCACAAGTGATCCATATGCCGAAGTCTCAGCGCCTAAGGTCGACGCTCCACCTGTCAAAGACAAGGTTATCTTTGCGACGGGAGGCATCACGAATGGCGAGCAGTGTTTGCAAATCTTGAATGCGGGTGCCAGCGTGTGTCAGGTGTATACTGCTATGATGTATGGTGGTGTTGGGACGATTACGAGGATGAAGACGGAGATGAGGGCGGAGTTGAGAGGGAAGGGGAAGAAGGAGTAGACAGGGACAGAGGCAGAGAAATGTACAGATCCATGGATGAAGTTCGTCCCGTTTGTATACATATCAAACATATACCAAAGATGTGTTGTGCACGTGGACATGCACCTTTGAGGGCATGATGAAAGTAGATTTTCAAGAAGCTTTTCGTTGTGATAGATGATAATACAACAGTAGACTGCCCTGTCTGCAGTCGCGCCACCCTCCCAGCCCCAACGCCAACCCTCGCTCGAACGCAAGCACAAGCATCAATTCTTCAGCCTTTCCGGAATTGAAGGCGAGACACTCTACCTCCCGTCCTTCCCCCATCCCTGCGCCCTCATCCTCCCCTCAATTTGACTCCAAATCGTCTCCACAACCTCTCGATCTCTCCATCTGTTCGTCCCCTTGTCAATTTGCACAGACAAGACCTGTCTTCCCCAACCCTTGACTGTGTCGGGAATGACTTCTCCACTCCAACCAACGTACACGCCCAAAGCATGGCTGAATAGCTCGGCTGGATTCGTCCATTTGTAGGACTTGAACTGCCAGGTTTGACCAGTTGTGAAAACTGCGACCACGCGATTCCAGTAGTCGGGACGGAAATTTGATGGGTCGTCGACGAGGATGAAACGTGTTGAGTGCCCTGGGTGAATTGTGCGGAGTTGGCGCGTGATGTGTAGAATGTTCGGAGCTTCGGAGGTGGACGATGAGAGAGGGGTGAAGGTTCCGTCCGAGAGGAAGGATTTGATGTTTTGCATTTTGAGGAGGGAGGAGAAGGATGAGGAGAGGAGAATGATGGGTTCTGGACGACGGCCGGATTGTGTTGGTTTGACTGGAGGTCGGAGAGCCGGGTTTGCAGTAAGAGAAGGTGCTGCTGCATTTTGTGCTCCGGGTTGAGGTTTGCTCTTTGTGAGGAAGAGGGCGGTGTATTTTCGAATATTGCTGAAATCCTGGACTTTGACGCCACGGAGGACGGTGTTGTGGTCGCCCATTTTGCGCTCAGCGGCGTAGATTGCTGCTAGACGCTCTTCTTCGTCTCTTCGCTTTGCTTCGTCGCTTCCAGCATCCACCATGTCCACATCTGCATCGCCTTGCGCCTGTTTCAGGGTATCTGCCAATTCTGCTTTGTCGGCTTTGTTGTCTCCAAGGCTCTTGACGTATTCGCTGTCGTTCTCGCCCATTTCGCCTGCGAGCCACATGTTGAGATCCAGCTTCTCCGCGAACACCACGTTTGATGCCGTCTCATCTTTGCCAGCTTCTTTGAGTTCATTGTTCAATTCGCCAACGGCCGTGAGGTAGTCTGCAGTGTTCTTGTCTTTGCATTGCCAGCAGAAGAAGATTGATCGCAGATCCAGAGGTTTATCGCCGGCCGCAGGCGAGATGAAGCGAGTAGGGGCATTGAGCGCTACTGAGATGTGTTGCGGTCCGGTCTGCGGCGAGTCGAAGTTGAACAGCAAATGTGTCGCTTGCGCCAAAGAGACATCGGTTTGAGGTTGATCTGGATCGGTGGTCGGAATCGGTTGACGCTGTTGCTCGATCGTCTTTCGCAAGAGACTCAGCGGGTCTTCCGGTAGTGCTTCAGCTGTCGAGGCCATGTTGGGTGTGTTGGTGAAAGTGGATGGAATGCGAGCGGACTTGGATCTTGAAAGTCGCTTGGTCGCGAAGTGAAGACGCGAAGCTGGCGAGGCACCAATCCAGGAAGGTCTGCCGAAGCGCCAAGACCGCCCTTGCCCTGCCTGTATTTGAAGCATTCTTCAACGCATCCGTCATCAATTGCACGAGCATATAACAACAGTCATTACCGAGTGTTCAAAGCACGTCACAGCGACATGGTCTTCGGTCTCGACTTCAGCAGTCGGCCGCACCCATTGGCCTGTCCAGGTTTGACGTTGTCGCCTCCATCGGCCTCCCTGTTGTTGCGTTTGGGTGCCGCGTTGGCCTTTCCGCTGCTCTGGCTCGCCCCCTCGATACGCCACGACCACCCATACATTCCTTGCTGCTCTGACCGCAGTCGCCTGCGATTCCCGATCGCGCAGCTCACAGGTAGGACAAAGTGGGTATCGTTCCCACTCTTTTAGCCGCCGATAGTGGCATTGATGCATCGCTGAGAATTCCCACTCTCGCAAGCCATCGTTTCTCTTGCTCACTCATTCATTCACTATTCAGTCACTTACTCACTCCGTCTGCCGGAGTAAGCAGCAGTCAACATGGCCACGGAGACCGACCCCAAGTCGCGCATGTTTGCACAAACTATATCCAAGAGAGACTTCTATGCCAGTATATCCCGCATTACACTTCACATGGGGGCTTCTCTTGGCTTCGCAGCTGCCCTAATCCGTCCAACATACCATATCGTCAAAGGTACTCCTGTTTGGACTGGATTCCTTCACACAACCGGGTTGTGGGCTACAATGACCGTAGCATTCTGCGCTACAATTCCACTACAACGCTACATAGATGGCGCCCCAAGCGCCTTCGACACATACAAGGAACGATCGGGTGCCGCGGCCAACACGGAAGACGATCGTCACACGTCCGAGAAGATCACCCGTGTGGTGGAGGAACTTCGGGCTTCCAACACCTGCGCAGGCGTTTCTGTAGTCTTTGGAGCCGCATTTGTAGCGATTCGACACGGGTTCCGGAGAGGAAATTTCTTTAGAACTGTCGGCGGCGCCTGCGCTGGATTGGAACTTTACAGAGTCACGGCTCCATGGGTTGATGGTACGCGTCAGAGGAGCGAACAACCAATGCTGACATAAGTTCTGCTTTGTGCCGTACGCGACCACAGATTTGGTTGCGCCCGTCGTGGCACTGGGCCGCCATGGTCAAGATGCAACCATTCTTCTATGGCTGATGCACTCCACGGGAGTGCGGCGAGGCAGATCGCACTGGACACTGGTAGCGACTTTGACTACGGAGCGCTCACCCTGGCTTCGAGATATCCCGGGAATCTGGATCACGGGTAGCACAAAGTGGAGGCACAGGAGGCGCGCATTTCACTCAGCCCCATTCTTAATTGGTGTACTATATACCTGTACTACTTCGCTCACACCTACTTCCTTCACCCACTCATCAGACAGGCAGCTTTTGCGCCAAGCACTTCATCTCGACAGCAACATGGCAACGGATATAAAGCAGCAAAGCCGGTCTGCTGTACAAAACATGTCCAAAGGCGAGGTTGTCGCTGGGCTTGGTCTCGCTACCGTCTTATCTGGATCTCGCATCGGCTTTTCGCTTGCGGTAATGCGTGCTGCATTCCACACTGTCAGGCGCTCTTCTTTCCGACCAAGCTTTCTTCACACCACAGGTCTAGCAGCATTTACGATCACTGCATCCCAGGCAGCGCTAGCAATCGATCATCGTGTCACTGGGCTTCCAGGTGTTTTCGAGCAGATTCAGTCCCAGAGAGTTGACGATGGCAAGACACGATCGGAACGCCTCACACCCCAGCAGGCACGAGTACTCAACGGCTTCCGAATCGATGTCTCGGTGCATGCTATTTTCTTCCTTTTCGGTGCTGGTCTGGTGTCGTTGGGGTCTGGAATACACAGGGGAAACATTTTTCGAGTTGTTGGAGGAGGTTGCGTAGGCCTTCAGCTTTGGGCATTTCCGAGACTTCTCTTGGTTTTAAACCATCGAATCGCCAACCCGGATCTCCATAGAGGTTGAGAGGGGCTCTGGTCGCACTCGCAGTGTCTTTGTGGCTATGCGGACTACTGCGATGCGTGGGAGGAGCGCAAGGGCCACAAGGCCGTGGCAGAGGCGACGCTGGTCGCGCATTCGTGCGTATTGATTCGCTCTGATCGTCATTGTTGAGAAAACGACACTGGTGTCCCCCTGTTTACTGGACAAAAGTATCCAAACCTGATAAGCGCCCAGGAGAGCCTCCCAAGAGTAGCAATATCACCTTGTTTGCATCGCGGGAGGGGTTTGAGGTAGCACAAGGTTCATACTGTACCCACTGTTTTAGCCGCTCCTTCAAGCATTCCTGCACAGCCTGCATCCACAATCACTGAACCCTATCATAAGATCATGTTTCACTCACTGCCTCACTAGTCCCATTTTCTGAAGAGCACGCGGGTTCACTGCAAAGCGTCCACTCAATTGAGAACATGATGCCTACCGACCTAGGCTCACAAGCTCGCCCAATCCTGCCAACATCGACTCGCGATACTCTCTCCACCCTTGGCCTCGGGTCTGTCAACATAGGAACGGAAATCGGCGTCGGAACCGGCTTGATTCACGCTACATACCATGCGATCAAGCAGTCTCCGATCCCACCAAGCTTTCTACGCACTACAGGGCTAGTGGGTGGCGCGACCACTGGCGGCCTTTGTCTTCTTGCGCTCGGCTTGGAGATGTCTGGAAAGGTAGACATAGCAGCTGAATTCAGGAAACCCTTACGAAGGCGAGATGGAACACAACGCAAGATTTATCCTGACGTGGAACAAATGAGAAACACCGCCGCTATGTATATCGTCTCTGCAATCTCTGGTGCTGGAATAGTCGCATATCGATCCGGTCTACGTAGAGGCAATATGTCCCGAATGGTCGGTGGAGGCTGCGTGGGCTTCTTGACTCTTCGCAGCGTTGTGGCGCTGCTGGGAACCGCCCCTGGGAAGAAATTAAGAGAGTTGTGAGCGAGTCACGAGGTCTCTTTAGGTCTGCGATACTCGCATTCCTCACCGCTCGACAGCGTGTCCCATTTCGGAGATCTCTGCTGGATGTAGCACGGCATATACATGGAGCTCACAGACTACCTGACAAGGACGCAAGCTTATGCTGACCATGTACGATCATCGCTCACATCCAATATGCTTGGCGCTCTCCATCAACGATGATAAAGAATTCGGTCGGGATTCTCGCAAAGATACGAAAACAGTATGGAGTAATTAGCTCGCAGGTTATGAGCGAAACATGGTCAGGATTGCCTGGACCCTTGAGCTCAATGGGAGAAACAAGAAACAAGATGCGGCAGGAGGTGGCCTGCGCTGGTTATCATCCAGCAAAATCGATGTCCTTCACGCTACATTTCAAGTCGGCCTGCGCACACAAGCACACCTAGTCAGCAGCATCCAAATAGCCTCAACAAGATCTATCAATCGCAACATACCTCCACCCTTCCTGTATAACACGATCAGTCTTCTTCTCCGTTACCAAGAGTACCTTACTCCTGCAAGTCGGGCATAGGTCGGGAAGCTTCTTGGTCTTCTTCTCAGCCGTCCTCTGTGCACATTCTCGTTCTCCTCCTTGGCAGATAGTGAGCTCTCGGCGAGCTTGTGCTTCGCCTCGTTGATAAACTCTTTTTCTGTAGGAATTTCCTCCGATTGTGCCGTGGATAGGTGGGATTGCTTCTGACCCTTCTTCGGTGTGAACTCGGGTCAGGCAGCCTGGACAGATCCAGTCGATGGAGTATGTGACGATGCACATGGTTGATGGGAGGGGTGATGTATAAGAGAGAGTATGACGAGTTGGTGTCTTCGAAATGGTAACTATCTGTGGATCGATAGTGGAACGATTTGAACGATTTAACTCGAAGCGGAACGTCTGATTTATACTGCAGAGCAATCACTCAGATGGTCCTCGATATATGTCGCACAAAGTGCGGCCTCCCATTTAGACCAATCACTCGAAGTAGCGAACATGAATCCTCTCCGCCTCCACATCTGCGAATCTAGCTAGTACTTTTCGGAAGTTTGACAGCACACACATTCAGCACATACATTGCCAACGAATAGATCCTATGGCCAGGGCTCCTGCTCCACCCCTGGCGTGCGGAAGCATCGACACATGCCACCCACGTGGCAGCCACTCATGGACAGTAAAGCTACGTTTATCGTTGCCTTCCTGCAAGAAGCTATTGATGTGCAGCAATTCAGCCTTGTTTCGGAGTACTCTGCATGTAGCTGTCAGCATGGCTTGCAAAGTATGCGCATGCAGTAGCCCTGCATTTATAGCACGATAGCGAATGGTGGCATGGTGGCGCAGTGGGCGTACCAGCCATTCGTGCTAATTGTTCGCGGCCGAAATCGAGAAATGCCGCAGTGACGTGCAGTTTTGGAGTCACGTAGCTTGACAGATCTTGTACGTACCATACCGAATATATGAACCCAAGTTGATGTCCTGCTTCTCTCAAGACAATCTCTCCAACTTTCTCCATCGCTAAAAGCGAGTATCGAAGAGAAACGAACTTTCCGGGTTGTCCTGAAAGCACCCCGATCTATCGGCGCAAGGTGAGCAAACTTCCTCAGGCTATGCATCATGAACCTAACGTTCGACACAAAAGCAGGAACACCATATCGCTCCATCATGGAGTGGCACGCAGTCCTCGGACTCGTAATCAGCACTAGTGACTTCGCGCTCAATATCGTGGTGAATAGGGACAAGATTAAAAAAGATGCGGACGCGACTGCGCAATGGATCGTGAGAATCGTACAGATCCCCAAAGCGGTAGTCTCCAAGGAGAGTAGAGCCGTGGCAGAGCAGCTTGCCAGTAAACTTACTGCCAGATCGACTCGACAAGCCGCGGAGCAGGACTTGCAGGCTGCTGTCAGCGCTCTGCAGCGGCAGACGGGCCATGTGGCTATCCAGATGAGTGAAGAGGAGTTCCATGATGCGCTGGAAGGTGACGATGGTTGGTGGTATGCTGCTGAGGTTTTGGGGTTGAGTCCGGCGAAGGCTAAGGATAGTTGATTGGCTTGATGGCAGCGGCAAGGTCGAAGGCGAGAAAGCGAGAGTGCTTGTGTCAAAGTCCAAGATAGACTCCATTGGTGGGACTTGCGGAGTAGTCAGAATAGTGTTCCAACGTCGTGGCAGGTGTTCCATGCTTTCATTTCGCGGCAAGCCGGTACAGACCTGACCAAGGGTAATGGTAGTCTCTGGGAGGGGATCCAAGAATGTAACTCAGGCATCATCTTCCCATTTCCCGCCATGCATTCCATATCTCCATACCATATATCCTCCGACACCAACCATACTCCCTACACCAGCTCCGCCAGCCACTCTCATCGCTCTCGCCATCCCACTTCCTTGCCCCATTCCGAATCCCGCAGCACCCACAGCTGTGCCCACCAAGCTCCAGTCATCCACCTCTTTCTGCCCTTTGTTCTCCAGCAACCTCCAACTCCTATCTCTCCACTCGATATCCTCACGACCCCACATCCGCCCAATTGTCGCTGGAACCATGAGTGCCGTCGTGACTAGAGCCCATCGTCCCGTGATGGCCAGTGTCGTGCCAGACAAGAGCGGAGTTCGCGGCAGTCCTCGAGCTGTTTTGTATGTTTGTTGGAGAGCGGCTGATGCGAGACCGAGCGTGGCACCTGTTTGAAAACCGCGGTAGAGGATGTGTGACCAGAGTAGAGTTCGGGCGTAGGGCTGGTCTTCTGCGTGGGAGGTATGAGGGAAATATCGAGACATGGTGAGTATGAGGCAGCTTTGGTTGATGTTGGAAGTTGAATTTCTCTGGATAATGAGATTGCGGCTATCGAGATAGCTTTGGTCGTGAATATGAGGTTGTCTGGGTCTTGGTGAGTTGTCGCGGCCTACCGCTCCTCTTATTGGTATAAGTGCTACGAGTACCGCGCAAAAGCATCATGTATACGGCACAACATTCATACAACGCGCGTAGCACCCATTGTGGCTACGGAAGGATTGCTGTGATCAGAAGCAGCCACTGACGAGTCGTAGGATCCTACGGCCGGGAGGTGAAGTTGAGGAGTAGCTCCGTGCCAAGACCGACCCCGACCTCCGCTTTCATGAGGGTTGGTTTGAGTCTCTCCAACTACATTCACTCACGGCTCAACCTGTCTTCCGCGCATGTCATTACCGATCGGATGTGCCGTCCATCGAAAACAGCGCCAGCCAAGATCATCCACTAGACACGTAGACACGGATGGCAATTTACACGCCATGCTGCTCCATAAATGTGGCCGCGATCTATGCCAATATCTGGCTACACTCGATGAAATTGCAGCAGCCGAGCGGAGATGGCATGGATGCCTCTGTCAATGGAGCTACTGCTACTGCAGCGTATAGTCCTGGAAGATGCCCAGCTGGGTCATGTCGATTTGCTCGAGAACGCGTCCGGCTTAGACTTTGACAGAACCCTTGGGCACCCGCATTCCAATCAACAGAAGTGGTTGCTCTGCGCAATTGAAGACTATTGGACTAAAGATTTGCTGATAGACGATGAGGGGTAGTCTTCGGCAATCGCAGTCGCAGGTTGTAGCTTCAAGTCCTGGTACGCTCAATATGGGTCTCGCGAAAGCTGTCTGGCCAATCAAAACTATTTGCGCAATGCCCAGCTGTGTTAGCTTGTCCTACAAGGCATAAGGCGCCCTCGGTGGCATGTGGCATACCGGGACGAGATGCTGAAGACGGGTCTTTCCACCAATTGGAGCGATTTGCGCAACCCCAGTCGCTGACTACACTCCATGCCCTCGCAGGAAGCTCTATATGTAGCAAGTTCCAACAGCTTTCACTGTTGAGATCAACACACTCGCACTTACAGCTCCGTTTGTGAATTTGTTGCGTCTAGATTTGACGTGCGACATTTTCAGCTTAGAGGAACAATCTTCAACAAGACGTGATGGCCGCCGGCGACTCTTTACCAGTCATCAAGACTGTTCCGGTTCCTTCAGGCAGGGAGAACTTCGAGCAGAAACGCGCTGCCATTCTTGACGAACTGGCCAACACAGTACCTGCAGAATTTCGCATTCCTCGCCACTATATCGACAATCCTCCGCGAGACGTCACAGGCATCCCTCGAGAATGCGGTGTGCTGGATCAAACAGACCTCGAAATCACTGAGCAGTACGATGTCACCGGTCTGGCCGAAGCTATAGCAGCGAAGAAGTATACTGCCGTTCAGGCTGCCACGGCTTTTATCAAGCGGTCGATCGTAGCTCATCAGCTCAGCTGCTGCCTGAACCAGTGGTTCCCAGAGGAGGCTCTGAAGCGAGCTGAAGGGCTCGACCAACATCTTGCTCGTACTGGCAAACCTGTGGGGCCTTTGCATGGCGTCCCTATCAGCATCAAACAACATTTTCCCCAGGCAGGAACATGGTCAGATTTGGGCTTCCTTGCGACAAGGCAATATGATGAGGAGGACTGCATCATTGTTGGAATTCTACGGAAGCTCGGAGCAGTTTTCTATTGCAAGACAAATCGTACGTGATTCAAATCCCGTGACCATGTTGTATTAATTCATTTACTAACACTGTGATAGAGCCCCAGGGTATCATGCATATCGAAGCTGATGGCTACCTCGGCCGCACACTCAATCCTCATAACATCCACCTCAGCTCTGGCGGCTCGTCAGGTGGCGAATCTGCTTTAATCGCACTGCGAGGCTCCATCATGGGACTTGGCTCAGACATCGGAGGCAGCATTCGAGTTCCAAGTGGGTTCACCGGAATCTGGGGCCTGAAACCTACTGCCAACACACTGCCTGGTCGCGATATGCTTCATCACGGCAGTCCAGCCGAGCTCAACGTCCTCGCCACATCAGGGCCCATGTGCCACTCACTTCGCGACGTCGACCTCTTCATGCGCGAGGTTCTTGCCACAAAACCGTACCTTCTGGAACCACAGGTCGTTCCAATTCCATGGACTGGCCTCGCAACCAGTACCGACTTCTCGTCTTCCAAGCCTCTCAAGATCGGCATCATGATGAACGACGGCTTTATTCAGCCGCAGCCACCAGTAATCAATGCCCTCGAGGAAGCAAAGAAACGACTGGAAGCATCTCCTCTCTTCGAAGTCAAGCCATTCACCGCTTACAAGACCGAAGAAGCCTATAGTAAGCTCTTACAGATCTACTATCCTGATGGCGCGAAGAAAGTACACGAGCTACTCGAATCGAGTGGTGAGCCTGTGCATAAGCTGACACCACCTGCTGGGTTTATCGAGCCTATTAACGACGGTGATGGCATCTCCAAAGTCCGCCTGTACCGCGACCAATTCAGAGCTGCATCTTCGAGACACTGGGCTTCTCAAGATGTCGACCTCGTCCTTTGTCCGATGCATGTTGGTCCGGCGTCCGCGCACGACACTGGCGCTTATCTGAGTTATACCACCGCGTGGAACTTCTTGGATTGCCCCGCAATAGTCTTTCCTAGTGGGATCCGAGCCGGAAAGAAAGGCACTGAGCATTATGCCGATGATGGAAAGCCTTGGAATGATTCTGATGCTGGAGTTCGAGCTTTGTGGGAGAAGAATGATTATGAAGGTGCTCCGATTGCTTTGCAACTTGTTGCGAGGAGACATCATGATAATTTCTTGGTGGCTGCTGTTGGGTTGATGCAGGAGGCTTTGCAGCTCAAGTAGAAATTCATAAACCGGCGACCGAGGTATCGTCTATCAACTCTTCGAGATTGTCCAGATCTTTAACGCGATACGTCTGTTTCTGCCAGACGTTCTCCAAGTCTTCGCGATATCTGCTAATTACTGACATATGTATCGCGTCCCAACGGCGTTCGAGGTCGTCTCTGATGAGCTCGATGTGGTATTCGTGGTGCATGAAAATGCCTACTGTCCATACTGGCCACAATCCGAGGTAGCTATTTGACCACTCCGGATCTTGACGCCGGGCCTCCAGTATCGTCATGATGCACTGTAACTGCAGATTGGATGTGCTTGGCCGCGGAAGTGTGAGATATGCCAAAGGGTCGTGGGTAAGGTGCTCGAGGAATATGGAGATGGCTAGGATTACTAGTCGCGTGAGGTCTTCAGTGACGCTATTGCTCCGAGCGCCGGCAGCCAACAGATTTGTGCTGTTGTTGAGGGATGCGAACTGCGCTTGTACGTTCGCAACCAGGCCTTGCCTCTCTTCGTGACTGATGGTCCTTGCAAAACATCGTTTAATGTCGATCATTGCGGTGACGATCTCGAAATCCATACCAAATACGGGACTAAACCTTGGCGGCGGGCGACTCTTGTTGCTTGATAGTCGTTGACTCAAACGTCTGCAATGTGTCCAGAATACTTTTGCATATCGGTCATCGATCTCATCGAGTGTGGACCAGCTTCCCATCGCGAGGAGAAAGACCTGAAAGGCGACGCTCTCGAGGACTAGGTCTCCCAAGGGATCAGTCAAGAGCTCCATGCTTGGCCTCATCGCGTCTAATTCGAGAATTCTAATAGCGGCGCTGACATGAGCTGGCACGTCTCGGCGAGTTCCTTCTGCTACATGCTGAAAAACAAATCAAGTCAGCAGCTTTCACTTTGAGTGTAGCACTTCACATAAGCTGACCCCGTTGATGTATAGCATTATGACAGAGGTGAGCAAAGAGCTGAGCGATTCGCAATGCGTCCTCTTCGCTATCGCCGTAGACATCTGTTGAATTGCCAATGAGTAGTAATGCATTGCACAGATTCTCATTTCCGGATCTCCGTCTATCAAATGAAGGTGAGATGCCGATATTGATAAAACAGCATGCCGTAGACATTGATTCTGCTTCATGTGCCGTTCGATCTGCCCGCGAAACTGCTCGTAGTAGGGTGGGGAACTTTCTGGGTTGATCAGGGCATGCAGTAAATTGGTCGAGAAGTGATGTATCACTGCTGTCTCCAGTGTTCCCTTGCGTATGTTACGTGATATGTCGTAGGATTTCAGTAGATTACAATTGCTATTGTGCTTCGCGTCGGATTTCGCGCGAACGAGGTGGCGGCGATCGGTGAGTTCATCTGCTGTCGGCCAGATACAAGATCTGCGACTTTGGAGACATCTTGTGCAATAAGGTCGGGCCTCATCGCATTTCTTGCGGCGATTTCGACCTTGGATGATGAGGAACAGTGAGCCGGGCGTTGGTTTCGAAGAGCAGCCACGGATAGCGATGGGACTCACATGTCCAGCATCCACTTTTTGTGCGCAGCTTTGCTGTTCGTCTTGAATTGTTCATACCGTTCATTCAACAACGAAAGTATGCATAGCGATCGGCTGTATGTTGATGATGCAGCAAGGATGCATTGTGGTGTTGGAAGTCGGGACATTTCTGCCGGGGCCCTGAGTTCCCACGTTCTCCACACTGCTCCGCTCTTCCCCACAGATGCCTTGGCAAGGTAGCCTTTGCAAGCCCCTGAACTGATCCTGGAGCTATGTGTAAATTGTAGTTGCATCGCAGTACGTCGTCTATCGCCTTGAGAAAAAGTTGATGTTTCTGACATCCTGTGTGGCATACTCACGATGTTTCACTACCCCTTGCTTGATTATGCAAGATGATCGCACTTGCTGTGGGGCCTTGGGGCCGCTGGTTACACACCATCGCGAGGATCAAAAATTTGTCCGAGTTCCGGAAAGAACAGCGCGTGTTCTTGCTACACTACACTACTCATCAAAACCGCGCACTTCTCGACTGAACCTTCACGACAACAACAAGCATGGAACCAACGACCCGTCAAGTGCTCGAATACTACGCTTACGATGAGCTGCCAGACCAATGTACCGTCGGAGCTGGGCTTGCTCTATTCTGCCATGGGCCACGGGCCATTTCCGAGCGTATAAGACGGATACCATACGCACAGCGTACAAGTCTGCTGAAAGTCGTGGGGCGGTGGTCAATCTATTCGGCTGTTGCGCTCACGATGGTCACGGCCCTATGCCGAGAAGTACCACACCGGTTCCGAAAATCCAAGAGTGAGAAGACCGCTCTCGAGTGCAGGCTCGAGGAGCGAAGACAGGAACGGATTCACGACTGGCGCGACTTCGCCGGAATCGGCTGTGTGGCTTTGTGTTGGCACAAAGTGAGATCCAGGAAAGTGCCTCTGAATGTGCGCATGCTAAGGGGCTTTGGAGCACTGAACATCGGCGGTACTCTCGGATTTCTTGCTTACACTGTGCGCTTCGGATATCTCAGAGCATGCTGAAGATCCGCTGCGTTCTATTGGAATTCAGACTCTGTCCATGAGCTGAACGTTCTGCTTCCGCTTTCTGCATCAGGTTCTCTGTTATCAATCCCGGCACACCTCTGTCGACTGCGTGCAGAGGAATGATGACGAGAACACTGATACAAGCAGCCAAAGTCATAGAAGAAGTTGATCAAAGNGTAGTTAGGCAAGTTCAACATCGACTCCAAATCGCTGCACAAGTAACCCAAGCCTTCGAAACCTAGGGTGTGGTCGATTGTGTCGGTGGCCCTCTCTTCCGAACCAAATTCATCACCATGGCATCCATTGTCCTCAGGAGACGCCGAAAGCCGACGGATAATGGTTTGGACGCAAGCTGTACGACATCTCGCACTTTGTATATTCCCACTGGGCAAAAGAAGATAAGAGGTCTTGTTACACCCACGCTCGCCACGCTACCATTTGCCAGGGTATGCATCACTGACGCCGTTATGTGGGGCCCAATGTTACACCTGCTGCCTTTGAACAAGGGAGTATCCACCAAATCAATACACTTCCCGCATCACGAATTTCGCAGTTCTTTTGCTCTCTCCTTCACTCAGCAATCTCTGTTCGGCAGCATGGATCCAACATTCCGCCAAGTGTGCGAATACTACAACCATGATTTCTACCCCACGTTCTACGACACCGCAGCCGTGCTCGGAGGGTTGCAACATATTGCACGAATCAAGTCACCCCTTGGCCAGAGAATCCCTATCTCAGCGCCATGTGTGCTGACAACTGCTGGAAGATGGTCGGTCGCCTTAATGGCCGCCACAACGATGTACGTGGGTGTGGCGGGAGCGACGAACATGATGGAGATGCCACACAAGCGGCGTGACTCTGAGAGCGGCAGATCTGCTCTTGAGATCGCTAGAGAGAGACGAAAAATGTCAAATGTTTTTGATGCTGCGGGCATGACGGCGACCTTGATCTGGTCCTTTAAAAGGGTAATGGCTGGCAATGTGGGAGTGGGAGTGCGGATGTTTAGGGTCATTGGTGCGTATAGCATTGGTGGTGCTGTTGGAACTGGAGCCTATATGGCTTGGACTGGATTATTCGGGAAAGGACCCGGTCTGCAAGGACTCTGACGATGGGATCCAAACAAAAGATGCGTTCGTGCGCAAATCAGCCATATGACTAGACCAGGACTTCGGCTTCTACATACATCAGTTGCCAAAGCCTGGTGAGCCTGCACACGACGTGCGTCTGCATAGTGTAAGATGGAGCAACAAGTTGAATTTTGACAGCATCCGTTTCGTCGGTTGAAGTAAGTGGCACGGCAGGCAGCGGAAGGTGTAGCAAAAGTGGTAGCGAGAAGAAGGGCAAAACAAAGAAGACATTGTCCAGCCCGGAGCACGTAATCAGGCGATGGAACCTTCGACGCGGAAACATCGCAGCCTGGAGCAGATACTCAAGACAGCTCCATCATGCGGCTGAGGTTCAAATGTGCAAAGCAAGCCCAGGAAAGACCACTGATCGCCACTCAAAATTGCCAGGCACTAAATTAATTCATACTGGAGCTCACATTCTGTCCAGACCAACTACGATCAGAGGACATGTATCGATTCGCATCTCGATGTATGCATGGACTTTTCCGCCATGAGTTCGCCGATCATTTCACCAAGTGAACGGCTTCCCAAAACGCAAGGTGAACGGTTCCGGCACGAACCGTGCCTTGTTCAATCCACACTCCGCAAGCACTATTGAGATGATTCTGACGCGCACCGATACAGCCTTGGGATATCAAAGATCAGACAGTTTCCCTGTCGCCCTTACTCTTCGCCCTCCCACTCCCGCTCCATCGAGGATTGCGCACTATTTCAGTCCGACGCGATGACTTCGCATCTCGAGCTCGGCTACAAGCAGCCGCCAGTTGCTGGTGGTCAGGTAGTCCCCATCCGCCGACCTATGAAGATGACCTTCGAAAATATCAAGCAGCTTCGCGATGACCATGCCGAAGTCGACAGCGGCCATCAAACGTTGCAGCAAGAACTAGCGGCCCTCGGCGCCTCACCGGAAACGATGGCGTTACTCGAGCATGTTCGATCTGCTGCTAGACGCACCCAATCCCACAGTCGCGACCTTTGGCGAATGGTGCCCGCGCCGCATCGACCATCGGCGGCATCTGCTCGAGTGGCAGAGAAAGCTTTTGAGACAGCAGAACTTCTGGAGGAGATTTTGACATATCTGCCCTTGGACCAGATTCTGACTGCTATGCGCGTGCAGAAGTCATGGTGCAACACAGTCAAAGGATCAGTCAAGCTACTCCGTGTATTGGGACTGGCTCCGCCTGCCAGCGAAATTTTTGACTCTCCATTCTCGAGTCGCTACATCAATAAACACGGCCATACACCAGAAAATCGTTTCATACCAGGGCTCTCTCTCCCGAGTTTCATGTCATTCAGAGAAACAGACATATGGAAAGACTGGGACACATATTACCTGTACCAGAAATCGGAAACGGAGCTCGCAGAGCACATACGCAACGTCAATCTGCTGGATCTCACCATACTGTGCAGACCATGTCTTGGTCGAGAACCCGGTAAACGCATCGCAAAGGTCGAAATTTGTACTCCACGAATTTGCGAGCTCTCCTTCGCGATTACCTGTCCTTGCAAGGCCGGCAACTTCACTCACAAGCCTGCCACCTGGGAAGGCGAGGCAAAAGCGGTGACGGTCGAAACACTGGTCGACTGCACCCACGAGCTTTTGAGGACATATGGCCACGTAAAGATGGAATGCGTTGCTGCTGAAATGAAATTTCACGCCAAAGTCAAGTTGAGCGACACGGACCCCATCGTTCTGCATCGGAAACAGCAGATGGAAGTCATTCAAAAGGACCTTCGAGGACATGGAGTTGGTCAACGATACTCGTATGCGACAAAATTGTTTTTCATTGGGCCGGGGAGGGAAGAGGGTCGCGGTTACGTGCACAACCGTGACACAACACGTTACATTGATGAAGATGATGAAGAGGATGCTTCAGATGAAGAGAGCGGCCAAGGTTCTGTACATGAGGGAGACGATGAAGAGTTTGATGACGAAGATGGACAGTCTCAAGAGGGAGGTCAAGAGTCCCAGGATGAAGACGAAGAATTTCAAGGCGAAGACGAGGAGGTCCAAGACGCGGATGAAGAGCCTCAGCACGAGGCTGAAGACGAAGCTCGTTGATTGCAGCGAAGCGCGAACCTCGGGTACTAATCCCACCAGACCCTTGGCGCACTGCGTTCGCGATTGCCGTGCCGAAGGTGGAGTATTAAATGTGGAAGGTTGAAGATGGAAAGTGGAAGTTTTGCATCAAGGACAACGCAGCAGCGCTTGCGCAGCTATTGCCTGAAATTAAGCTGTATATATACTTCCTCTTTGCAGGCGCGAGCTCAACATGAAAAGGAAAGAGATCTTCCAATGTAAAACACTATTTCGCCAGTGGGGCCAAACGTTACACATACTGCCTTGACCATGAAATTATCCGGCGAGATCACACAGCTCTTTCTCTGCTAAGCGATCCAGCAACCCCTCTATTTCACGAATGGCCAAGTTTTCGGGTGCTAACATATCTATCATTGTTGACAACACCTCAGCTGTGCTTCGCCATGCGTCAAGAGCAATGCAAAACAAAATGCAGAATGGATTCCTGGTGTTGCCTGCCCCTTGCTTGCTTGACCGGTGCTGCAGCGTCAGTGTGGGGCCCATTGTCACACATGACAGCGGACCATATATTCTTCCCTGCGGCAGCTGAGATCCGTCTTCTCTCCTCACCGACCAACAGTTTCCATTTGCAACTAATTCATCTCGACAAGCATGGAGCCACACGCCGCCAACTGTTCGACTTCTACGCCCTCGGTATGTTCCCTCCCGTCTACTTATCCGCTGGGATCCTAGGCATACTCCACCACACATCTCGAGCCATCTCGCACCGTATAGCTGCTGCATCCATGCGTCCGTGTATACTGCTGACCACGGGAGTCTGGACAGTCGGGGCACATATCGCATTTCTGGCAACTACTGGCTTGGTGGCAGTCACGGTTGGAGCCCCCCATCGCTGGCAGGATCCAGGAAGTGGCAAAACCGCTCTCGAAATTTTCCAGCAGCTGCGTGAGAAGTTTAGACAATCTCAAATCCCCACGTTCCTCGACATCGGTGTTTCCACGACGCTCTTCCTGTCTTTGAAAAATTGGCATAGAGTGACGCCGCGAAGAGTAGGGCTGAATGTGGGGCTGTTGAGGTCCATTGGAGCGCTAAATATTGGCGCTCTTGCTGGGGTGGGCACTTTTGTAGTCTGGAACGGACTGCGTGTAGATGGCAAGCATAAGAGTTCGGATTAACGGGTCCCATATCGCAGCCTTCGACTGCTTCGATTATGGTGCAGGCGGTGAGGCTCACGGAGGCAGGGCTCTGGTTATTCCAAGATCTGCAACAGCTCACATCAGAAGTCATTCTTTGCGGTGTGCAAGCAAGTGCAACAGGCTAAATAGCCGGCAGACAAGTGCCCTTGAGGCATGTCTCCCTGCAATGAAGCCCCTGGCCCGGACAAACAGGGCAGCAATCAAAGCAAATAAAACTGCGAAGTGAAAAGGGCGACTTGGACAAGCTTTGCATTGTATCTACTCAGAAGACTGACCGTCGATCCGGCAGCATTGCAGCATACCTCCTGCTTCAGGACTATACGCTACACGATTCTTTCCTGGAAAGAAGAGGTTTTTCCTTGACACAAACTGCTTTCCCCAGTACCCTCCGCCATTGGTGGCAGAAACAATCCATACCAAATACTCTCGACTTTTGATTATAGTCATGTCGACATCCTGCTGAACGCGGGTCTCAGTACACTCCTATACAATGAGCACTCCTATACAACGAGCGGGCAGACAGAGAACGCGACATCTTCTGTCGCATGTCAACGAGTGCCGGCACGGACCACCCGGTATTCACTTCTAACCTCAGGCGCATAACTCCAATGTTTGCTCCATGACGTATCAATAATGCAATGATAAAGGCCGAGCGGCAAGGCGCGACTCGAGCATGTTTTTTGAAATCAGCTATACCACCTCGATCGTCGAAAAATCAGCAGCAGCGCTTGCGCAAAGAGAGTGGCAAAGAAGAGCACAAAGAACGAAAGCGGAAGAGGGTATGGACAAGATTGAGCAAACGATGGCAAAGACATTGCAAACCCCGAACGCGACCGTTGATTTGGGATCTTCGCAATACATGGAGCACCGCTACCTCTCGCAAGCGGAAACCGCGATGCCGTCGACAGAACACCACCCTTACCAGGCGGGATTGGTAGCAAGTTGAAATTTCATCACAGTACATTATTCCTAGGTTGCTTCAGTAATATATTTTACCATCAGAAGACACGTGTCTCCTGATGTGTTGAAATATGAGAGAAACCACGCTATTATCGGACAGAATGGGCTTTACTGTCATGCCCATGACATAGCACGGTGAATTGCTGCCACTATGCAAGGTGAATGGTGCTGCCACATATGATGAACTGTGCACCTCGAGCATCACCAGGATTCTTTCTACACTCCAACGCAGCTACACGACACATGCGTCAGAACCCGACTCGAGTCTGTTGGCACAACCAGTCACTCCGATCTACTACCCACACCTTCACTCCATTGACGAAACAAGTTCCTGATCACAATCGACACAATGGCTTACGTCAAGCTAAGCTACGAAGAGCCATACTCGTACCCGCGCAGCCGAGTCCCGCTATCAAGCGCTCCACCGATCAACTTAGCGATCGACGATGTCAGACAGCTCCAGGATGACCATGCCATGATCGAGAGCAGTTTGGCCAAGCTGCGCGAAGAGTTGGACGGTTCAAGCGCCTCTGCCGATGTTCTGGAGATACTCGAGCGTATGCGAGTTGCCTCTGCCCGCACAACAGAGCACAGTCAAGGGATGTGGGAACTCGTGCCAATTACCCAGCGGGCTACCACTAGAACTGCAATTGTGGCGGAGAAAGTCTTCGACACACCTGAACTGCTGGAGGAGATTCTCACCTACTTGAAGCTGAATGAAGTTGTAACTGCGATGAGGGTGAAGAAGGCTTGGTGTAATACTGTGAAAGGCTCAGTGAAGCTGAAGCGTTGGCTGGGGCTTACTACACCTGTCGGTGGCTTTTTCCATTGCGCGTTCCTCAAGCCAGGATGCGATGAGAGCCCTCACCGTGCTTGGTATACACTTCCAAACCGACAGTTGTACGTCTGGCTTCCAAAATTCATGATCTTTCAGAAGGCAGGTCTGTGGTCCGATTCCCGATGCTGGCATCCGGAGTTTATATCAACAACACGCCTTCAAGAGTACAAAGAACATATCAACACTCTTGAGATCCGAATTATCAGCAAGCCTAGTGTCGGCCGGGAACCCGGTGTCCGTGTCGCAAACACTCCGATCTGCTATCCAAGTGTCCACCAGCTCACGTACGAAATTTTCTGTGGGTGCGGTTCTCGATGCGAGAGCACAGGCGAGCTCATGCTATCATCCAACAACGCAAAAGGCCTCACAGTCGGCGATGTGACTCGCCACACCAACGAGATCTTGAGGGAAACCGGTCATGTCACGCGGGCATGCATTTTCGTCCAGATATACTACACCGCTCGTGTCGAACTGCTCGACAACGATCCGATTACTCTACAGAGGCGAAAGGCGATTGAGGCATATGAGCAAGGCCCAGACATCGGCTCGGGAGACCCGCTTTGCTTTCTTCGATATGGTTCAGATTCTACGACTGCTTCGTCATCAACGATCAGCTCCGGGGACGATCTAGATATGGAAGATGTCGACCAGGGAAGCGTTTCGGGCGATGAGGATAGCTGGCAACGTGCAAGTGAGAAGGAGTGGGAGAACGCAAATTGTTATTTTCGCGCCAAGGCCTTTCCCTACGACGACTCTGATTCTGATGACTGGTGGTAAATTGTCACGGTCGCATTTTGGCACTGCTTCGTCGTCAGACACAAAAGTGCATTGACTAACTTCGGATGCGGTGGTGTCGGCACTGGCAATTGGTCATGCATTTCAGCGCGAGAAGGGCAAGGCAGGTCACGGAGCCAGGTTCAGTCGAAATGAATGGCTCTGGGACATGCAAGTGACGAAGGATGTCACGACTTGGAGTGGACTTTGAACCAAGGAGTTTGGCGTGCCGCGTGCGTTGGAATTCTTCATTATGCAGGGGCTTAGGGGCAGAATTCTCGTGCCATTCGCGAGCAGGATATGGCAAGACGAACTAAGTAGTACCGATTGCTGCTGCAGCAATGGCTAATAAATAATGGTTACTGCAGAGATTACACAGGATCTTGCAAATCGTCGCATGTCATTCGATTGCTCCTCCCACTTAATCCTACTTCCTCCCAATATTCACAGCCACACGTGAAGTCATCCACTTCCTAATATCTGGCAAGAACAACGCAACGGCAATAGTGATAATACCGAACGGAATGCTCGTATACCAGACATAAGTCAATGCCATCGAGTACGCCCATCGAGTGCCCTCTGTAGCAGCCGCAATAATGGCAGGTGAAGCATATGGCAGCGTCGCGATTTCGGCTGGAGCAGTGAGGAAGGTGGTGACAAATTCGGTCGCGTCGGCTGGGTTTAGTCCTGCACCGACTGCGTAGGTGCCGACTTGAACGGGAAGGATTCCGGTGATTTTGTCGGTGAAGATGGCGTAGTAGATTGTGTAGCCGATGGCGCCGCCGACGAAGCGGAGGGTTACGACGAGGGCGACGGCTGTTGCGATGAGGTTGTCGGGGCTGTGAAGGTGTCAGCTCTGTCAGTGAGTTCGCTCCAGAATTCAGACTTACACAACACAAGCTGCAACCACAGCCGGAGGAACGAGCAGAATACCAACACCAAATCCGGCAAGAGTGCCAAAAGCGACTGCCATGCCTGGAGTCTCGGGCGTCAGCGACGCAAGAGCTCCAGAGAATGCCGTCATGAGAATGGCTCCGAATGCCAAGAGTTCCCTGTTGCGGCCCTTGAAGGATGAAATCAAAGCATTGCCGATGGTGGCGCCAGCTGTCACGGAGATACCGTAGCCCAAGCCCTTCAGACCGACAGCAACTGGCGCAGGGTCGTAGACAGCCGAGAATGTTAGAGGGTAGAAGTTGAGCAGGGAGTAGAAGTTCATGCCGGCCACGAAGGAGATGAGGAAACATCCTGCGACGATTCGTTGGCCATGGAAGAGACCGCCTGGAACCATTGGGTTCTTTGCGAATTTGGCTTCCCAGACGACGAAAGCAATGATGAGAAGAAGGCCGATGATCAGTGGCGCGAGTGTGCCACCAGAAGTCCAAGGATGGGTATAGCCACCAGCTTGAAGGCCAACGAGGCTGTTGTATTGCGTCAGTGGAAAGCTGGTCGAAAGAATCAAGTTCGGTGACTTACAAGAGGATGACTCCGACAATGCTGAGAAATCCACCGAGCCAATCGATCGACTTGATCATCTCTTTGCGGTTTTGAACAGCGGTGTGCTCAGACTTTGGCCAGTAGGTGATGATCAGACCAACGGTGGGCAACGCGCAGATGATGAGGGAGATCCACATTGTCCAGCGCCATGTAACGTAGACGGAGAGGAGCTGTGAGTACATCACATACGGTGTAACAGGGACGAGGAACAGCGTCACGAGCGCCATGCCGTATCCACGTTTGGACACGGGGAGAAGTTCGGCGACACTAGTTTACTGTCAGAAACAATTTTCTGGAGCCGTGAGAGAGGGACGGAGAACTTGCCCAGCAAGTGCCGTGAGCTCAGTAGGCGCCGCGCCCATACCGGTGATGGTCAGACCGACAATGATCTGGGCGAAGCCTTGTGCAGTTGCAGCGATGATGACACCAACGCAGCATGCCAAACAGCCTGCAAGCACGATATTCCGCTTGCCAAAGCCATCTTCGAGGTAGCCGCAGAAGGGTGTGAGAGCAGCGACAGCCAATTGATACGAGACAGGAATCCACACGCTGGTAGTCGTCGCGCCAATGTCTGCTGCGATGTAGCTCAAACAGCCTCCGACGAAGTAGAGCGGGATCTGTGAACCTGCATAGACGCGTCAATACTCTTTTGCCTTTCTCCCACGTGGCCTGAGAAGTCCTGCATACCGACATAAATTCCAGCAAGCGACATGATGGCTCCCACACGCATCCAATCCCAATGAATCGGCGCGCCATCTCCCTGCTGGCTATCATCCTCAAAGCCATCCCGATGCTCAGTCTTCTCCACGTCTTTGATGTCGTTGCTCGCCATCTTGAGACAGTAGTCGCTGTGACAGCAGCAGCTGAAATAAAACACAGACGCGCATCGCAGCTGAGGGATGATCGGCGCGTCTCTATTATACACGTCGTCCCAGTCTGGCCAAAGCCGTGGTAGCTCGGCGATTACGGCAAAGCGTTAACCTTAGGATTTAGATGGGCTGGAGGCGTTCGTGAAGATGATCTTCCCCGCATTCTGCTTCCCCGGACCGCACCCCGTGGGTTCGGATTGAAGCGTGACCTGCCATGGCAAAGTTAAAGGGGATTGCGGTGCCTGGGCGTGGTATTTCGTGTTGGTGGTTGGTAGGACATCATCTGGTTGTGCCTTCGGCATGATCCGTATTCATATTGTAAGTGCGAAACGAAATCTGAAGCTCCTGTGTTTCCATTTCTTCTGCATCTCTTGCATCTTCAGGTGTCTTGTTCTTTCACGTCCATCTTCAGAGCTGGCCTGTAAGCTTTGTCGAAGCATCGCTTCCGAGAAGTGCTCGATTCGCGGGGTTTTGTTTATTCATCAGCTCCATAAGTACCCTGACTTCGCCTCGAGATATTCCCATGGCTCAATATAATAGCCATACAGGCCGTCCGATGGGGCTGGCTTGGGATACATCTTCTTCGACACTATGTTCGATAAGACTGGTGAACGCCAAAGAACGAGTCGAAAGAACGACCCGAGTGAAGGTTCGCGGATGATTGTTTGACCGGTTCCGGGTCTTGGCTGGGTACAGATTTCTTTTCGACGATGAGCTGTTACTCTATGTGCTCGACATGGACATTGGCTTCTTCTCTTCAATGGAGCGACTTTTCTCCTCTTCAATTGCTCGTGGAAGCTCGGCTTCAGCATCACTGAGTTTCTCAGATGCTCCTTTCTCAACCAGAGTGCCAGCAGCTTGCTCCTCCTTCCTGACCAAGCCCTTATCTGCGATGAATGCTGAAAGCAGAAAGGCAATGCCAGCTACAGGCACGCACCAGATGAACACTGCCCGGCTTGCGCTCGCGTAGGCATCGGCGATGATATCGCGGTCTGCATCGGAATAAATGCTGTGATCCGGCGCTGCGAAACTGCTGCTCGCCACTGATAGCAGCCTTTCTGGCAGCGAGGCTTTGAGCACATTCGACAAGATCGCTGAGCTGACAGCCAGACCGATAGCTCCTCCAGTGCTGCGAAGGAAGTTTCGATTCGATGTGACAACCGCTCGTTGAGCTTTCGGACAATGGGCTTGGACAGCCACGAGCGTTGGCTGGAAGATGAGTCCAGTGCCCAGCCCGATGATCGCCAAGAAGAAGCACACCAGCCCAAGGTGAATTGCCCGATCCGCAAGTACAAGTAGGCCTGCGCCTAGGGTCCACGCGCCGAAGCCAAACCATATCAGCTCGGCGTATCGGTTGAAATGCGACATGTAGAGGCCACCTGATATCGAGGAGCACGCCTGCGTGATTACCATAGGAAGTTGCCAGAGCGCTGATTGGATTGCGTTCTGTCCGCGCACATTCTGGAAGTATCTGAGCTCTCATTAGTTCTTCAGCTGATATAAAGTTTGCAAGACATGATCTTACAGAGGCAAGAAGTACAGATATGTGAAATATGCTATTCCTAGCAAGAAGCTCTGTGCCAACATTGCGCTTACAGAAATGCTTTTGAACATGCTGAGCGGCATCATGGGAAGCTTCGCCCACTTCCACTCGATCAATAGGAATGCGATCAGACAACAGCCGCCGACGATGAACATGGCAATGACCTGAGGAGAGTTCCACGGCGTCCCGGCATGCCCACCAGATGATGTTGGAATCAGAAGCAGAATGACTGCCGCTGTTCCGAAGAACAGACCCAGCATATCGATTCTAGCGATCGTCTCTTTCAACTTCAGTTTCGGCATATTGGTCGGGAGCCACAGCCAGCTGGCAGCGAATGCGACCAACGATGCCGGCGCCAAAAAGTAGAACAGCGCCCTCCAAGAAGCTCGAACAGCGAAAGCAGCAGCAATCAAAGGGCCAGCTGCATTGCCCAGCCCAACCATGGCCCCCAGGGTACCTTGATACTTGCCCCTCTCTTTCAAAGTGACCACATCCGACACAATCATCATGCTCAAGCTTGCAATCCCACCATTTGCGACTCCAGCTAATCCGCGGAAGATGTACAGCATGGTAGAGTTGACAGCCAGCCCGCATACAAGATCTGTGAGTGCGAGCAGAGCCAATGCTGACAGCATGACATTCTTTCTGCCGAAGAGATCCGATAGCCGGCCGTAGAGCACCTGGAAGACTGTATTGGCAATCAGAGCTGAAGTTCCTGCCCATGAGATGGAATCGCAAGCGTTGAGGTCTTCAGCAATCGACGGAAGCAAAACTCCAATACCATTTTGGTCGATGACGCAAACGATCAAAGCCAGCGACATGATCGAGAAGACGAACATGAGCTGTCGTTTTGGCAATAAGTTCGTTTGGTCATGGAGCTGGGCTTCTGCTGCGGCTTGCTTGGCGGAAGGCATGGCGGGCGATGCTCAAATTCCACTTGGCACCTTCAGTTGATCAATCAGACTAGAGCTTGCTACAGACTGAACGGCAGCCTTTCTCGAGCTGCGAAGAGTGCTGGCGAGCTCCAAGTCTGGCGATCCACAACTGAGAATCGCTGCGAAAGTCCTGCGTCAGCTGGGCGCGTTTGCCAATCTGGTACACCGACACAGCATCAGCACTGTCCTCAAGACAAGCGCTACACGTGCTCTGTCGAGAGGCAGTGGATTGCTTGGACCATTTTGTGAGGTCGCGAGTGCCGGATTTTACCCTGGAGGAGCCGTCTGGACGCCGTGCCGTACACTAGCTCGGGATGCCGGGTCCATATGTCCTGCTCGATCTGGGTATCCGTGCTACATGCTCTAAGAGCCAATTGAGAGGGCTACCACGATCAGGTTCAGGGGTGAGCTAGCTTTTCGCCAGACCTTGGGGACGAAGATGTCAACGCACTATCATTCGAGACGAAGGTTCGTGTCATCTTACAGATTGCATTCGAGTGCGGTAGACGGGCAAGAACAAAAAGCATTGCGTTAACGATGGTGGTGAGGATGGAAAGCAGCTGCTCTCGATGATTCGCCCTTTCCACATCTTTGCCCGAAGTAGCAATATCGCCTTCGCCTTCAGATTGCTGTCTTCGCACCGATACAATGGCGTGCACCCGTGTCCAGTACCGCATCTCATCGCGGCTTTGACACCCCACATACAGCTACCATCTCAATGCCGAAACCCATCTAACGGCAGTTTGGAACAATCGTGGATTCTTTAGCAGCAAAAGCGAGACGCCACCAGCACCAGCAGCCATCACTGGCCAGACCGCACGCTTGACAATCCACTTCGCAATCCGCAGACGCGCCGCTAGTAAGAGTCCCTTTGCGACATCATCGCCTTTGTTGGAGTATGGGAATGGCTCTGCTGGTACTGCCTTCCCAAGAAAGTCGCAAAGAGGCTGCCATCCGTCTTTTGGCTCCCATTCGAGCAGGTTATCTGCGGGAACTATTGCTCGAATATGAGCGTTGTGGGTCTCAAAGCCTTCGCACAGCTTTTGATGGCTGCGCCAGTCGCCTCCTATCCAGTCACGGAGGACGAGTTCGAGGAGTTCGGAGAGGAGGTTGAGGGGCTGGGGAAGTTAGTGACTAGGAGGAGAGGAGAGGCAAGGCAGCTGGTCATGGCTTACTGGATCTAACACAGCTGCGATGCGAAATGTTGGTGATTCGATCACAGCATGATATGAGCGCAACATTGACTTCAGCCATTGCTCGGGCTCTCTTCGACTCAGGATGATCTTCGCTTTTGGGAAAGCTTCGATCAGCTCGTCAGAGAAGTTTACGGCTGGAGCATCGGTGATTGCCTGCTTGCAGTAAGCATCCCAGTATCTTCAGTGTATATCCGGCCACTACTCACATCATATCTCTGCAGGAGCTTCTCAAATTCTGGAGTAGCGTATGGCTCGCCACTTCCATATAACTTGGCATAAAAAGCTTCTCGCCAGCAGACTAAGTGTCTGTCTTTGAGATTCTCTGGTTTGCCGATTTCCTTGAAATGATATGGTTTGTAGCCTAGGATCTGCAGGGCGGTCCACATTGCTGGTATTGATCAGCTACTGTATCGACTCACAATTTGTCCACAAGCTCATACACATCGTCCCCGTTCTCGAAAGTCCCAGACACATTACCTGCATCTGCATTGCCTCCTCTGTCCGAGGCGGCACTCGATCGATCCATCGTTGAGGCATGTTGATTGGAACAACGTTCAATCAATGCACGCAGTTTCCAACGTGTGTACAGCTTCACAACGACAACGTCCTGCTTCCCAATGCTCAAGCCACTACACTTCGGAGACACCAAGAACTAGCGCGAATCAAGCGCGCTGCGCACCCCGGCAAGGATATTCCTTGTAACGACTTGACGTCTCCAGATCGGCACAAGGGTATGAACACCTTCGCTTGAGGTGAGACATACCCACTTAGATGTTCTTGGCTAGAACTAGACTTAGTTATTGCGTATCTCTTCTTCTGCGTGCTTAATATGGGCAATGCTATTGGCTATCGAAAGAAGAGGCGAAGCAAGAAATTCCAAAGCAATTGATTGAAGCTTGTGTGGACGCTTGTTGAACGCGTGTGCTGTCGGTACTTGCTACCTTGGTGTGAGACCACTACCCGGCTCCGCAGTGTATGCCGAACGTGGAAAACCGGTCGTTGAACGGGTCTGAGCGAGGAAGTGTGTTCCTCGGAGAAGGACTGTGGCATCAATCAGACGCTCCAGCACGATTCACTATCGATTCGCAGCCCTCAACCTACACCTCACCCCCTCATGCCCAGGCCCAGGACTACAAACCAACGTAAAGTTATGATAGTCTCTCGTAGGATCAACATCCAACCCTTCAATCTTATCAAACTTCTGCAACATCCTCACAATGACATGTCCAGCCTCCGTCAAAGCGAATTGCATGCCAATACATATGCGTGGTCCGCCATTGAAGGGTGCATAGCTCCATCCGGGCCTCTTCTTTTCCCATCTCTCGGGGACGAAGTCGTCAGCATCTGGACCCCACAGATCATGTCTGCGGTGGAGGACATGAGTACTGAATCGTACTTCGCCACCAGCAGGGATGAAAATTGGTGCGGTACCGTCTGCTCCGCCGCCGGTTGGAAGGGTTGTGTCACGGACTGCGGTTCTGCCGTTAAAAGGCACAATCGAGTGCAGTCTGAGGGTTTCGTTCATGACGTGTTGCAAATACGTGCAACCTTTGAGTCCCTCGAACGTGATGTTGCTTTCATCGAACCCGTCTGGTCCGAAAGTCTCCAGTACGATCCCGCGAAGCTTCAGAAAAACTCGTTCATTTCGAATCAGACAGTAGAAGACCCAGCTGAGGAAAGATGCCGTAGTATCTCGACCTGCGGCGAGAAGGCCAAGAACTTGTTCTCGGACCTCAGATGCATCGGCCGCTCTGGATCGCAAGACATCCAGATAATAGTAGCTTTTCTCTCCAGATCGATCTTTGCGGTCTCCCTCACAAATCGCCTCGTCGCAGAAGTCATTCAAAATCTTGGTAATTTCTTTGATGTCCTTGTTCCCATACAACCAGCACAGCGACTGGAGTCTGATACGCGTGCCAAGAATCTGTTGCACACGTTCGAAAGCCCAGTGGAAATCCTTCCCACCATCACGACCTTCTAATCGAACTTGCAGAGAATTTGTGCTCTTGCCCAGGAACAGCTCTGTGGCAGAATCGATCGTCAGGCATGGAAAGAGTGTTGCAAGGCTGACTGGCTGGGTCCAACCATCATTGCCAACTGGTATGCACTTGAACATGACTTGAAGATGTTTTTCCAGCAAGGCCAGGTCGGAAACATTCTCTCGAGAGAAGATCGGTCGGACCATTTCCCTTGAGCTGTGCCATGCAGGGCCTTGGCTTTATCAGCAGATGATGCTGACTCCAAGTTGTGATCAGACCTCACCATCTACAGTAAAAATACTGCGACCAAGCACCAGTTTCAAATTCTCCTCTCGTGCTCGTCCCATACGAAAGTCATTGAACTGCGTAGCCAAGATTGCTTTGATGTTGTCCGGGTCCGCAGTGATAATATTCGACTGCCCGAGAACTTTGACCAAGAACGTATACCTCTTCATTCTGTTGAAACGCTCAACGATGAGATCGGGCGTTCGTTGTTCTTTGTCGGCTTTCATCATATTTCTGACGATGTCGATGCCGAGTGGCCATGATGTTGGCTCTACTGATGGTGGTTCGCATCCTAGTTCTTTGGCCTTGATGGATTGTCGATACTTCTTGACGAAGGAACTGACTACGCGTAGTAGCAGGAGTATGCCGCATGCTGCCAGCACTACAGCCCTCATGTTGTTCAAAAGCATGGTTTGCTTAGTTTGCGATGCGACATGTTGGAAGCTTCTCTTGCAACCATGAGGTGGTGTTCGTACCTCGCCGAAACTTGGAACACCTCGTGCTTGATGGAGAGCATTGTATTGGTCAGGTGTTTGTCTGGGACTGTCCTTCCGGAAGTAGTAAAAAAGGCAAGAAGCTTGTCCTGGAGCAGATCACAGTCAGGCTGGCACAGCTTAGCCACATCAAAGTCAAGAGCCGGCGGCTGTCGTATACATCGCGTATGCGCACATGCAGCATGGGCCCGTAGCGCAAGTCGCAAGGGTGGCACGACCTCGATGCGACGTCATCAACGCTCCGAGGATGTGCCAGTTCAGACAGACGGCGATGCATAATTGTCAATTTTGATATCTTCCGCACGTGTAATGTTGTAGCGGAGATATGGTCTCCGACTCGAGTATCAGTCCACCTGAAGCCTGCCGGGGAAGATTGATTGCCATCGTCGCTGCATGTGCCGCCGAGCAGAATCCCGGTCAAGCAGGCAATCCACATATCTCACGTCCTGAGGCTCAACTTAATCATCAAAGGGATTTGTTCCCAAGTCAAATAATTCTTCTGTCGTGAAGTCCAGCCTTCAGCATCAGTGGTCGACTCCAGATTGAACGTAAACAAAAGCTTTGCCAAGACTAGGCGCATCTCCGCATATGCGAGGCTATCTGAAGTCAGTGTCTTGTGTGGGGCGAGTATCGTGTTGCTTGTCGTGACTTACTTAATGCCAACGCAGCTTCTAGGTCCATATGAAAAGGGCTGTACAGAAGCTTTGTCCTGTCGTTCAAATTGCGAACCAGGTGACACATCAAGCCATCGTTCGGGATGATACTCCTTTGCTTTGGCAAAGTTCCAACCTGCGAGCCCAGCCGATAGTTGATGCACGCCGACAGCAATCCCACCTGGTACCCATTGGCCTTCAATGACCTCCCCACCTTCCGGGACAAACCGTGGTAGAGTCGAAGGGTTAGGTGGGTGCATTCGCATCGCTTCATCGATGCACGCCGTGAGGTACTGTAGCGATGCAGTGTCTCTGATCGTGATATCATCCTCACTCGAGAAGACTTTGCGCACTTCGTCGCTTGCCAAGTAGAGCTTCTCTGGATTCTGGCATAGAAAGTAGATTGTCGCTGCAAGTGCTCTGGCCGAAGTCCCCGATCCAGCGACAATGAACGCGCTCGCCATGATTATCAGCTCAGACACTGACAATGGCTCCATTTTGTTGTCCAGTATGTAGGACATGAAGTCCTTGCGATCAGTAGTGTCTTTCAGTCTTCGCTGAACCTTGCCCGCGAGCATCTTCATGTGTTCCTTTCGTGATCCGGTGAGAGCGGCAGGCGCAAGTCTCGAAACGATCTCATCAAATCCATAGTAGATCGAGAACTGCCACCATCGTATCGTCTTTGCCCTAGCTCCCATCACTGTGAGCCAGGGTTCGTCTGGGCTGTCCAGGCAGCCATTCGACTCCCCGAATGTGAGTTCTGTTCCTACATTTAGTGGGGGAATATCGATATCGGCGTCATGCATACCTGTGATTATGTCGTAAGCTGTCAGTGAAAACCATTTCACAAGGTCGACTGGCCCTTCACCACAGCGAGCACGTAAACAATATATCAGATTGTCACTGTGCTTTTGACCTGCTGTGCCAGTGCTCGGTCTGAGAATGCTGGGGCGATGGCACGTCTGAAGTTCGATGTTTGTCAACCTCTGCAGCAATGATGCCTCGCAAATGTGCTTGTTTGATCACGGGCGCAATGCCTCGGCCATCGAGACATTTGGAAAATTCAGGTTTCGGTTGGCCGTAAATCTTCTTCCAAGCAGCGGACGATGTGTAACAGAGTTCATCTGGTGCTATGCGCACAACGCTACCGTACTGCTCATGTAGAGCATGAATCTTGTGCGCCAGCGTCCCACGTATGTTGTAGAAATGCCATGGCAATCGTGAAGCTGCCCACAGACGCGGGCCTGGATACCTACGTAACGGATGAAGCACGATTCTGTAGACCACTCGTGCCAAGAACAGGACAGTCACCTACATTCCTTTAGCTTACGTCGACAGAGGTGGTTGGACGTGCGCTTACCACAAGACTTATCGCTGCGAAGACAGTCATCTTGGGCAGCACTTTGAGGTCAGCCGCTTGCAGCAGTATTCCAGCGTTCCAGTAGCTACATGTCGAAAATCGGCTGCTTGTGGCTTCGGATGCGATGCATAGCCTGATCTGCACATTGAGTCCGAAGTTGGCTGTCGTGGCAGCTTACTGACAACAAGTCCAAGACAAGGCCAGTCGCAGGCAACATCTTGTACACGTGCTGTCGCTTGCTGAAGCGTCACAGCTATTGCGTCGATGGTCGATCCACGCACGCTGAGACAGTTTCGGCGCCGACGTGGTTGTTTTGTACGCACAGGCGCCAGAGATGCAGGGTTAGTCTAGCGCAAGTTCGGTGCCATGTTGGCGCCGGCATGTATAGATCCACTCCGACCTGGAGCCGATGCGGCCGCGTCAGAAAGGATCCAGCCAGGGTAGTGGGCTTCTAGCATTATCGGAAGATACACACAGGTGAGCATTGGCAGGCAAGACATCAGAATATGCGCCGAAGTAATGTGAGACCGCACCTTCGAGAAGAGGTAAGTCATCAATACCTCAAGTGGTTTTGTGACATTCAGACAAATGGTTGATACCAGCGGAAGACATTACCGGGATCATACTGGCGTTTCAGTGTCCTCAGCTTCTCCAATCTCCAAGGCTCATATCCGTACATTGCCTCAGGCGGGTCCTGGACAGTGACGGTTGTGCTGCCGTAGTTGACATATTGACAAAGCCGACCGTAACCAGAAACATTGACAAACTTGGCCTTCCATTCGTCCAGGTGTGCCTCGAACTCATCACGATCGTCCAGCGACCTTGGAGTCGCAGTCATCATCAGGAAATGATCTGTTCCACGCCATGGAAAGGCCGTTGCATCGTTGGGAAGTGCACGTGTCTGCTGGTTGGGAAGACATTCGAACATGGCGCCGAACCAGCCCTTGCCATCCCACCCCTTGTTCATTGCTTTCACGCTTTCGAAGAATGCTCTGGTGGTGCCCAGGTCGAACGCCTTGACGTTCACAGCGCTCATCATCTTGTATGGTAGGAGCTCCCACTTTTCCGGGCGGGATAGCATCTTGTTCATGCCGCCATATGTTTCCCATGGCAGGTTTGGCCATGTAGTTGTGACCTTGCCACTGTGATATGCAGGTCCAATTTTTTCAAACTGCTCTATCCAAGATGCTGCACCTTCCTCTGGACCTGACCAGACGAGGTTGACGAGGATGAGATGCTTCAGACCAGTCTTGGGGCTCTCCCGCCGCCACACCACGAAGATGGCCAAGTCGGCGGGCATGTTGGCGTGGACGTCATTGATGGTGGAGAATACATCATCGCAGTGTTCCAGGCGGTATTCTAGGTCCCACGAGTAGTGGATCCCATTGTTTGCTTGCTCGTACACTCGGAAGGTTGCCTCGAGGCATATTCCAAAATTGTGACCGGCGCCTCTGACTGCCCAGAAGAGGTCGCGATGTGAGGCTTCTGATGCGGTGACCACGCTGCCGTCGGCGAGGACCAAACGACAAGATATCAAGTTGTCGTGGAGGTAGCCATATTTGCCTTGCAGCCTTCCGAGTCCTGCTCCGAAGGCAACGCCGATCACGCCGGTGGTGGGACAGCTGCCGATTGCTGGAGGAGAGTCAGAAATGACTTGTATGTGGTGTTGAAGACGGCTGTACTCACTGACTTCGCGGTGGTGGTGGTGGAGGAAAGCGACGAGGTCTTCAGTAATTAACCCCCCTTGGCACGATGCTTGATCCTTGGCGTCGTTCAATTCGACTGGGATGATGGTGTCAGCTTCTCCGCTTCTTCCATCTCACACCTCACTTCACCCATCGCGACTCACTCTTGGACAGCGCGCGCATATCAATCAAGATGCCATCGCAGAGATGGCGCATCGACGTCGTCACGCAGTGATGCCCCGATCGCTGCACCGCCCATCAGTACCCCCCCCGCTCCGCTCCGCCGCCACCAGACTCACCGCTGCGAAAGAGATACCACGCTCGTGACAGAATTTCACTGTTTGGACGACGTCCTCTTCGCTTGCTGGCATTACCGATACGCTGTATGATGGTCTGTTTCCCGGCATCAGCATCGTGGTCGCTCTCGGTCCTGAGCTGTATCCATTACCGGCCATATTGCGTGTAGCGCAAATCCGACTCCGCGAAATTCTCACTTCCCGGCGTGCCTACGCGGGCGGATGTCGACAGTCTTGAGGCGAGTATGCTTGCAATGTCCATCTTGCTGTGTTCGAACTTGGTGCTCCGACCATCATTCCTGCATCGGCAGCGGCAGAAAGCCACGCGCATATGCTGGAGATATCGCGGAGCAGCAATTCGCACGCGTCCTCCACCTTCGGACTAGTGTTCACTTGTTCGTATCATCGTCGGGACAATGTCGCCGTTCACGAAGCCCTAGCGAGCCCTGGTGATCGACGACGTGGATAAGCTGGTGGCCTGTCCTTGTCTCACGCGTCGTAAATGCTTGGCAAACACCATGCGAAGCTCGATAGAGTGAAGCAATGCACAACACTTTGGCTGCTGTCCAGTGCTCGGCAACGTTCCAACGCCGCCTCTTGCATGGTATCGGCAGTTTGAATGCGCCTCCACTAGCCCTCGGGCTCGAATATGCTAGGTGAGTACAGCCACTACTACAAGGACGATCCGATCTGCATTTCTAACATCTTAACGATCAGGCAAAAGCGATGGACCCAACACATCGTATGTTATTAGAGGCTACCTACGAAGGGTTCGAAAATTGTATGGCACAACATTGCACTTCTTGTTTCTCATACTGAAACATCGTTAGCCGGATTGACCTTGCAGGAGGTCTCTGGAACACAGACGTCAGTCTATATCGGCACATTTACTGGAGACTTTCCTAACCTGCAAGCACGAGATAATGAGGGACCATCGATCTATCACGCGACTGGGCTGTCCTCGTCTCTTGCATCGAATCGATTATCGTGGTTTTACAATCTGCGGGGGCCTAGTGTGAGCCAATTGCCACCATTTGCGTTGTGCCGGGAAGACTAATTGATTGTAGATGACTGTGGACACGGCCTGTTCGTCCAGCTTAACAGCTTTCCACCTTGCTTGTCAAAGCATTCGTACTGGCGAAGCGGAAATGTCAGTGGTGGCTGGAGCTAACCTAATGTTCGGCCCTGATATGTCCATTCTGCTTGGCGCAGCGAAGATTCTGTCACCAGATGGCAAGGCAAGTGCAGTGGTGATGCGTTGCAAAGCATAAGCTAACAGCTTAATCAGTCGCAAATGTGGGATCACAAAGCCAATGGCTTCTCTCGTGGTGAGGGCTTTGGCGTCACTGTCCTCAAGCCTCTCGATGCTGCTCTTCGAGATGGAAACACAATTCGTGCTGTGGTCTTAGCATCTGCAGCCAATGAAGATGGCCGGACCCCCGGAATCTCGTTGCCTAACAGTGAAGCGCAACAGGAACTTATTCGTAAAGCGTATGCGCAGGCGGGCGTTGACCCGCGCTCTACAGGCTATGTCGAGGCGCACGGTAAGGTCCCCCAGAGTGTTTACGAGATCTCACTGAGACGAAAGGACAGGCACTGGCACTCAAGCTGGAGATCCACTGGAAGCCCGCGCCATAACCGAAACTATCGGCAAGGACCGAACAACAGATCTCTACGTCGGGAGTGTCAAGACAAATATCGGCCATCTGGAAGGTGCAGCTGGTGTCGCCGGCGTCATCAAAGCGGCACTGGTCGTTGAACGAGGTCTCATCCCACAAAACTTGTGGTTTGAGAAGCTCAATCCTGCTATCACCTTGCCTGAGAACGTAAGGATCCCTCAGCAGACGACAGAGTGGCCGAATGACGGACCTCGGCGGGCAAGTATAAACTCTTTCGGCTTCGGAGGTGCCAATGCGCACGTCATTCTGGAAGACGCTGCATCATATCTGTCGAGAAATGGTCTCTCGGGGCGACATCGAACAGCGAAGAAAGCGCTACCCAGCGGTTCCGAGCCACAGAGCCAGGATCTGAAGCGAAAACGAGTGTTCCCTCTCTCCTCTTACGACCAGTCCGGAGTGAAGAGGGCAGCAGGCACTCTTCGAGAATATGTTGCCGCTCGAGACGAGGAAGGCTTGAGACTGGATGAACTTGCATACACGCTCGCCTCTAAGCGCACATCACATCCGTGGAAGTCCTTTGCCATCGCAGCCAGCGTGAGCGACCTTAACTCTGCACTTGACAGCACAGTAGCCCCAGTCCGGTCGTCTGATGCTTCAATACCTCGACTGGCGTTCGCATTTACTGGTCAAGGCGCTGCATGGCCAACTATGGGCCGCGCTCTGCTCACTTACGATGCGTACAGAGCAAGCATCACACGTGCTGGAGACGTGATACGCTCATTAGGTTGCAATTGGGATATCATTGACGAGTTGCAGCGTGCTAATGCAGAGGAGACCCTCAAGCTTGCAGAATACAGTCAGCCTCTGTGCACAGCAGTTCAGCTCGCTCTTGTTGATCTGCTAGCACATTGGGGCGTCAGACCTTCTGCGGTCGTAGGTCACTCGTCTGGAGAGATTGCGGCCGCTTATGCTGCTGGACATGTATCATTCGAGACAGCAGTGACTGTGGCCTGGCTACGTGGCCATGTTTCAAGCACTGTGGCTCGGCAAAGCACCAAAGGCGCCATGATGGCAGTCAATCTTGGTGGCGATGCCATTCAGGATCGTGTACAGCAACTCACACAAGGCAAGGCTATTGTTGCGTGCTGGAACAGCCCCAAAGCTTGCACCATCTCGGGAGACGTCGCTGCCGTGGACGAACTGTACGAGCAGCTCAAGTCGGAACAAATCAATTGCACGAAGCTTGCAATCGATTGTGCATATCACAGCCACCATATGTACGCTGTCCGAGAGGCATACGAACAGGCTCTCGCCGGCTTGCCGACCGTGAACAACCAGGATGCCATTCCAATGTTCTCGAGCGTCACTGGGAAGCTGGTGCAGCCAGGCGAACTCGGTCCCTCGTACTGGGTCGATAATCTAGTCTCTCCTGTAGCCTTCACCACGGCTACGCAGGCTTTGCTCAACCACACCAACGAGCAAAGGAAGATTCACGATCGAGATCCTTTCGCTAGCGTGCTCCTCGAGGTTGGCCCTCACTCTGCGCTGAGATCGTATCTGCTTGACATCTTCCGAGACACCAAATTTCCAGGCATCACATACTCCACACTGCTTCGCAGGAAGTTCGCTGCCGACGAAACCGCACTTTCTGCAATCGGCGAACTGTGGGCTCGCGGGTGTCGTGTTAGTCTCGACAAAGTTAACGGCATTCATACTGACACGAACATGCTTACTGACCTGCCTCCATATAGCTGGAACCACGAGCTTTCCTTTTGGGACGAGAGTTACCTGAGCAGAGAATACCGCCTACGTGAGGCACCGCGTAAAGATCTCATCGGCTACCGGATTCCTGGAACTGTTGACCCGACCTGGCGCAACTTCTTGCGCTGTAGCGAGTCGCCTTGGATTCGCGAACATCAAGTACAAGGCGCGATACTGTACCCTGGAGCTGGTATGGTGGTCATGGCCATCGAGGCGGCCCGTCAGCTCGCCGATGCAAACCAAGAGGTGCTTGGCTTCGAGCTCCGCGATGTTGCCATAGTCACCGCTCTGCGTGTTCCTGACGATGTCAAAGGCATTGAAGTCATGGTGCAGCTGCATCCTCGCAGGGTCTCCACCAAAGCTGGTCCATCGTCAACGATCAACGAGTTTACCGTTTCTAGCTGGTCTGCGGATGCCAAGGAATGGACAACGCACGCACGTGGTTTAATCTCGATCACCTACGAATCGTCGTTGACGCCAACGATGCAGCAAGAGGCAGCTCTTGAAGCCAAAGCGCTTCAAGACAGCTTCTCTGAAGCAAAGGAGCGTTGCAACAAGCCGGCGCGAGCCTTCCTCTACGATAATGTCGAGACCATCGGCATGAAGTACGGTCCCGTCTTCCGCAACATCCAGTCTCTCTTTGCAGGGCCGAGCGAGAGTTATGGTACAATCACAGTGCCGGACACAAAATCCACTATGCCGCAGCAATTCGAGTACGACTCTATTATACATCCTGCAACGCTGGACAGCGTTTTGCATCTTCTGTTTCCATCCATTAGCGGAACCGAACAATCTCTGAACGAAGCAGTGGTACCCTTCTCCTTCGAGCGAATCTTCATGTCTGCCGATGTGCCTAAAGTGCCAGGTTCGAAACTGATCGGCATTTCGAAAGCGCAGAAGACGAGCTACACGACTTGGGTGTCCGAGATCTCTGTGACTACGGAAGACTACAGCAAGCCTTTGATTGTTATGGAAGGTTTGGGTCTTGCATCAGTCGGTGCTTCGTCTGAGCAGCCAGAAGTCCGAGCCAGTACTTTCACTCACGTCTGGCATCCTGACGTTGAACTTATGTCGCCGGCGCAGATCAAGGAGACGATCTACTCCAGGACTATCCCAAACGCCGACGATGACTCTGTACTGGATCTGCTGGAGTACGTGTGCCTGGTGCACATCTACCGCTGCCTTGACTGGTTCAAGGCCGATGGAGCTTCTCATATCCCGCAGGACGGATTCTGGAAGCTGTACGTGGAGTGGATGCACGACCGCATCAAGGAGTTCGAGCCAATCTCCTCGGATCCTGCTGAAGTGGACAGCAAGCTCGAGTTTGCGCGAAAGCGGATTTCAACAAGCCACTCGGGCGATATCACAGTGCAGATGGTTGATCACATTGGAAAGAACCTCAACAAGATCTTCACGAGAGAAGTCGAACCCTTGCAGGTTATGCTGGAAGATGACTTGCTGTATACGTTCTACCAGGGAGCCTTTGGTGCCTCGTACAATTCAAACTGCGCGGAATATGTGGGTCTCATCGCCGACACGCAACCAGGCCTCAAAATCTGTGAGATCGGAGCGGGCACTGGTGGTACGACAGGACATGTGCTTGACCGTCTACGGAGAGAAGACGGATCGTCGAAGGCGTCACAGTACTACTTCACAGACATCTCACCTGGATTCCTGGCCAAGGCCGCCGATCGCTTCACACAAGATGCCGCCATCATGGAATTTGGCACGCTGAACATCGAGAACGACCCCATCGCACAAGGCTTCGAGCCGGAGAGTTTCGATCTTATTGTTTGCGCGAATGTGCTACACGCGACGAAGAGCATACAGGAGACTTTGAATCACTGCAAGATGCTGCTCAAGCCCGGTGGTCAGCTCGTACTTTCCGAGGTCACTATAAAGCGTATCTTCTGTGGTTTCATCATGGGTCCTTTGCCGGGGTGGTGGCTGGGCGAGGATGATGGTCGCACTGGAGGTCCGCTGCTTGATGTTCCGGAGTGGGACGCTGCGCTGAAGCAAGCTGGATATTCTGGTGTTGATCTCGATGTTAGAGGTGATCGGGAAGGTTCAAAGGAGCCGGTCTCTTTGATTGTGTCTACGAAGGCGGCTGCCGGTGCTGAGCAGGAGCGCGCAGAGTTTGCGATCATTCGCACCGCAGATTCTGCTTCTGTTAAGTTGGCTGATGCGATTGCCAGCGCTGTGAAGGCCGAGAAGTCCGACTCCAACATCCTCGAGTGGCCAAATTTCAGCGTCCAGGACGTCAAAGACAGATACTGCATCTGTCTGGCAGAGTGGCAGAAACCCATCCTCGCCAACATCTCAGAGGACGACTGGACCACTTTACGTCAGCTTATGCAGAGCTCAGCTGGCACTCTGTGGGTCACTGGCGGTGCAGCAATGGACTGCCTCGAGCCACATCAATCACTCATGGTCGGTCTTGCTCGTGCAATCCGCAACGAGAACGCAGGTACCCGTCTTGCCACATTGGACATTGACACGCATGAGCACTTCAACGCAGCAGATTCTGCTCTTGCTATTACCAAGGTGGCTAGATTTCACAGTCGTGGGGAGACTACAGATGGTGAGTATGCAGCTCGCGGCTCTTTGGTCTATCTACCTCGTGTTGAGCGCACGCTCGACGTCGACGCTTCGCTTCGTAAGTATGAAGCGAAAGGAGAGCCGGAGCCCACGTCGTTCACAAAGTGTGGTCGCCCGCTCAAGTTGACCATCAAGGTAAGTACAATTCCAGACAATTCTATATCTATGTCCATGGCTTACTGACACCACACAGACTCCTGGTCTCTTGGACACATTCCGCTGGCAAGAGGACGAGACTTACCATACGCCACTTCAGGACGACTGGATCGAGATCGAGGTTAAGGCAGTTGGTCTCAACTTCAAAGATGTCCTCGTCGCTCTCGGCAACCTCAACGAGAAGAAACTTGGTGTGGACGTCGCCGGTGTTGTCACTCGGGTCGGCTCTGCCAGCACAGCTTTCAAGCCTGGCGATCGAGTGATGACGGCAAGCTGTGACACCTTCGCCACTTTTGTACGCTTCCCAGCGAAGGGTGCCATTCCGATGCCCGAAGGCATGAGCTTTGAAGAAGCGGCGTCGATGCCACTGATTTTCCTCACGGCCTACTACGCTCTGGTTATCGCAGGGCAATTGCAGCGCGACGAGAGTATTCTCATTCACGCCGCAGCTGGAGGCGTTGGCCAGGCTGCGATCATTCTTGCTCAACACATCGGCGCCGAAATCTTCGCTACAGTGGGATCCGAGGAGAAGAAACAACTCATCATGAAGCAATACAACATCGCAGAAGACCACATCTTCAGCAGCCGTGATCTAAGCTTCGCCAAAGGTATCAAGCGCATGACACAGAACAAGGGCGTAGACGTCGTCCTCAACTCGCTCGCTGGCGAAGCTCTGCGACAGTCCTGGCACTGTCTTGCCAAGTTTGGCCGTTTCCTGGAGATCGGCAAGGCTGACTTGTTTGCCAACACCGGGCTGGACATGCAACCTTTCTTGGAGAACAAGTCCTATATCGGCGTCAACCTGCTGGACTTCGAGAATAATCCTACGCCACGAGCGGTAAAGCTGTGGGATGATGTGTCGAAATTGATCAACGCAGGCGCTCTTCGACCTGTTCAGCCGATTCAGCAGTTCACTTTCTCGGAAGTGGAGAAGGCTTTCCGGTATATGCAGACTGGCAAGCACATGGGTAAAGTGGTGCTGCGTGTCGACGATGCCGATGTGGTACCTGCTGTCCCACGTACACCGAAGGTCGACATTGTCGAGGATGCCACATACATTGTTGCCGGTCTTGGCGGTATTGGTCGGGAGATTGGGCGTTGGCTGGCTGAGAAAGGTGCCAAAAATCTTGTCTTTCTTTCTCGTTCTGCGGCATCTGGCGCTGAGAATAAGGCCTACGTGGAAGACTTGCGAAATACTTACAGCACGAATGCCATCGCATTCGACTGTGATGTGGGCAACCGTGCGGCACTGCAGGCGGTGCTCAACGACATCAGCAATCTGCCTCCAATTCGAGGTTGTGTGACTGGAGCAATGGTCCTCAAGGATACACTCTTCGACAGCATGACAGTGGACGATCTACGCATTACTGTTGGACCCAAGGTACACGGCACTTGGAACTTGCACGATCTTCTGCCACAGGAACTGGACTTCTTTGTCATGCTCTCTTCTCTCGCTGGTGTCATGGGCCACCGAGGACAAGGCAACTACGGATGCGGCAATATCTTCCAAGACTACTTCGCGTCTTACCGTCGATCCCTTGGCCTGCGAGCAATGACGATCGACATCGGATACCTGTTGTCAGTTGGCTTCGTTGCCGACAACGACCAATATGTCGACCACGTCAAAGCAATGGGTTTGAAAGTCATGCACAACTCCGACCTGCATGGCCTCATCGCCACTGCCATCGAGGGTAGTGATGCTCATCCTGCGCAAGTTATGTGTGGTCTGCCGTACAACGAGTACTCATCTCAATGGTACTGGATGGACGACAATCGCTTCGCTGGTTTGAGAAACCTTCATGGCGGCAAATCTTCAACCAGTTCCTCGGCAACGGAACTGAAAGATGAGCTGTCACGCTGTGCCGATCTCAGTACCGCTGTTGAACTGATCAGCAATGCCATGGCTGAACGACTGGCAAGATTAATGATGATCCCAGCAGCCGATGTTGATGTCAACAAGCCTCTAAGTGCCTACGGCGTTGACAGTTTGGTCGCCGTCGAGGTCCGGAATTGGATTGCGAAACAAATGCTGGTCGAGGTCAGTGTGTTCGAAATCATGGCAAATGTGCCTATGAAACAACTGGCCGGGGATCTGGCGGCGAAGAGTAAGATCGTTGTTGTGAAACAGGAATAGAAGTCCATGCCTTGAAGATGATGGTGCTCCCTCGGAAATGAGATCTGTGGCCTTTGATCGGTCGGAGTTCGTAGCTCATAGCCGGTTCACAGTCCGTCTATATCTGGTCAGACATTCGATCGAGCCAGTCGTGCTATTGCTTACTCCTTTCGTCAACCACACGTAATATGATTACTGATCCCTCGATTTACCCACCAAGGAGTGATTGTGCCAAGGCACAGGCTATAGTCACTTTGGACGCTTGATAGCAACAACAGAGTACTGCTCCGTCTCCCTTGGTGATACGACTCTTCCCTCTCAAAAAGTCTGTGCGCCATATTGTACTTCCCAGAAGTCCAGCCTCACAACCCCTCACCTCGAAGTCAACATCAATATGAAGCAACTCACAGCCATCACAACCATCATCGCATTTCTCTGCAGCTTCGCTGTGGCAGATTGTGGGCCATATCAAAGAGTCATGACCTACGAAGACTGCCACGAGCGTTGCACGACTCAATATCCTGGTTCAGTGCCGCCTGAGGGAGAATTCACTGGGCGCCCCAAAAGCGCTTGTATCGACGGGTGTATTGGGACTTGCGTACGATTTGCTCCTTGGCTTGTGGATTTTGTCAAGCTTGCTAAGGTGTGACAGTCCTAGATAAGATTCCTCAGCATCACTACGGCTTCGCTTCGAATCCAGTCTTTTTCGCTTCGAATCCAGTCTTTCTGAGTTCTCATCTGGGAGCGAGACCTCACGCATAAGGATCTGGTTTGAGAAAACCAGCGAACAGTTGTCGAAGGTCATCCAATTCCAAGTAGCCGAGCGTTTCGAACAGAGTTGGTTTTAATCAGAAAGAGACGACAGAGATATGCTATGATTTGCGGCTTATTGTGATCGAAGTTTTGAGCCACGCATCGAGGTTCCCGAAGAATACAGAGTGCTGAACAGAGGTGTGAAGATATAGGGTCTGCTGTATCCCTTGGCAGCGAGCGCATGTTCTGAGCGTACATTCAACGATGTACCGTGCACTAGGCCGAACGCAAAGTGATCTCGATGCCTCTTACTTCAGAGAGAGGCGCGAACGGCCTTTTGCTCTTTCCTTGCTGTTATAAAGCCGGTCCAAGAATCGATCGCCACACGACACTTCTGTGCATACGTGTCCATCCCGCCAAGATACAGCAGCATCTCGCGTGGCTTTCCTGGAATATTCGCTCCCATGTACCACGAGTCGGCCGTCGGATAGAGCGTTTTGTTACCAGTATCGCGGACTTCCTGCGCCCACAATTCGGCTGCTGCGTCGCCGGTAGATATCGAAGACAACTGCTCCGCCTGGCACTTCTGAATCATCTGTGCAATGAGATCGACCTGGATCTCGATGATGGGCGGACCGTTCGCGAACGACGTCGGTGCCTGTGGACCGTATGCCATGAACAGGTTTGGCATGTCGGGGATCATCAATCCCAGATAAGTTCGCACGCCATCCTTCCATTTGTTCTCAAGAGGTACGCCATTCTCGTCCTTGAGACCCATGTTGAGAAGGCTGCCAGTCACTGCATCGTATCCAGTGGCCAAGACGAGAAGATCCAGCTCATGCAATTTCCTGCCTGCTACAATGCCTCTTTCTGAGAATCGTTCAATGGGCGTCGCTTTCAAGTCTACGAGCGTCACATTTGAGCGGTTGATGATATCATAGTAATCTTGCTCTAGACTGGGCCGTTTCGTGGCGAACAATGCTTGTTGTGGAATGGGTGCAACAATCTGAGCCTTCACAGGATCGGTGACGCGCTGACGGACCTTCTTGGCCCAGAAGTTATAGAACTCCTTGTTGGCTCCGCGGTCCCAGATAAAGTCTCGATATGTGGTTTGATTGAAAGCGAAGCCTCCTCGATTCCATCCTTCTTCCATGATAGCCTCGCGCTCTTCCACAGTGGCCTCCCAGAATGACTTGGTTTGGCCTCTGAAAGGAAAACCGGCTCGACTGTTCTGGGCACCTTCGAAGAGATAGGGATACGCCAATTTGGTTGATTCTTGCTCTTCGATCGTGAATCTACGCTGACGCATAGGCAATGCGTGGATCGGAGTTCGGATTAGAACGGTCAAATCGCAGTCCTGCTTGCCCAGTTCCTGAACTAGTTGCACGCCAGTCGCTCCGTTTCCGACCACTCCGACCTTCTTGCCCTTCACGTCCAGACCATCAATAGGCCAGTCTGCAGCATGGATCACCTCTCGTCCATAGTTGTCCAACCCAGGAAAAGCAGGCAAATGTTTCTTGTAAGAAGATCCGGTCGCAAGAATCAAATACGTGGACCGAAATACACGATCGTCTCTTGTTTGCACGACCCATAGCCCATCCTCACGTTTGATGCTTGTTGCAACTGAGTTAAAGAAGGCATCCTTGCTCAAGTCCAATGTCTTGTCAACGTGTCTGAAATATGCCTTGAGCTCGTCATGACCAGGGAAGCGTTCCTTCCAGTTCCATGTTTTCCAGACTTCAGGGATCGAAAGCGAGTAGTATGGCATCTCGGAATCAACACGAGCGCCAGGGTAGCTGTTCCAATGCCATGTTCCACCGAACTCCTTGCCCGCTTCTAGTAACTTGGTCTGAAACCCTAGCTTTCGCATCTTCCAGAGTCCATACGCGCCACCAAAACCGCCTCCGATTATCAAGACATCTGATTGAATGCACTTCTTTCCATTGCGAAGATGAGCATCCTGGAGCTCGGTATTCTCAATTGTAGGCATGGCACTAGGCGCTTTGTCTCACGCTATCAGCTAGCCAAGAGGTGGAAAATCGAATTCGTACGAATGGCTGTATATAATTTCACCTTACGCTCGAGCTCGTGGAGTTGATCATAGAATGCATTTGTGACAGCATGCTTGTCTGTTCGTTGGCTGCCGAGGACGAGTGATGCATGTTGAAGCTTATTCCCGACCCCGCTTCTCTCCAACACAACATGGGCTTCTGTGTTGCGGAAAAGCCTCTAGGAGCATTTCCGGATCCCAAAGTAGGCGGACATTGGTGATGATTAGTTGGTTTCCCAAGTCGGACGAACAAAACCGGAGCAATAGAAGACCTTGTCGGATATATTCGTCGACACAGCCTGCCTGTACTGTCTGGCACGATCAGAGTCCCTTGTCCCATACAAAATCATTGGCCATGAAAGCTCGTGGCCTGGTAAGACGTTAAGAAACATATCAAGTGCCATGAGTTGGGGGCGAACCTTACTGCTTGGCAAGACTTTCACCTGACATGCAGCAAAGCCACACTCGAAAGAGCATATGCTGTCCTCTGATGAAACTTCGGAAGTAGCGCGGATATGAAAGAAGCTTGGCGGACTATTCCCGGGGACAGAGTGCAGCAACATCCCTTCGGTGTTGCATCGTCGACGATGAGGTTCATGAAGGAACGTGACTGCACAGACCGGCACTCGGATTCCGTTGGCTTTCTGACGGGAGTTTCTGCCCATCCTCTAGAGCACCGGACCCAGGGTAACACGGTGCTGGAGCCCACACGTCAATGATTAAGCGTCTGGGCGAAACGCTGATTCGGTCAGTATGGCGTCCTGAATCGATTGAGCTTCTGCGCCTGCGTCACAAAATCCGGCCGAAGTCTTACGGCACTATGACATGGGACTGTCACTTCTTGTTGACGACAAGGTGACTTTATTATCATGTCTGGCCCCTGTACGCTCAAGACGTCTCCACCAGACATTGAAACAATCAGGCATCATTGATAACAGGGCGACAGAATAACGGGTCATCGCAACTCCAAATTCACCAGCCCGGCTGGAGTGGAGGATGACGACCTATTTGGAAGCATTCGATTCCTGAGTAAGATGCGTTTTGCCCCCGCAGACTATCCCCACACAGACCTCTCGCTCGCGGCTTGCCGGTTCCTCGCCTGCGGATGACAGGGTTATATGGACTCTGACACTGCTGACCTTTCGGGTGTGCTTTGAAGCGTCCCTACAGATGTCGATAAATGTCTCTGTAACGACTCCGAAGGCGTTGTGAGCTCCAAGGCGACATTGCGCGAAAATGTGGGGATTTCACATAATCTATCTGTCAGGTTTCACGATCAATCACTGGATCCACATTTGTCGCAGCTCCGTTTTCTGCACGTCGAGATTGAGGATAGCACCTCTTTCACGGGTCGTTGAAGCTGCAAGGCTCAGGCCGTTGCTATTGGTATGAGCGAAAAGCGCTATAGCGTTTGCTGTGACAAGGATGTCGAGGTTAGGGCTCAGCTATATAGAGCTTGTTGCTCAGCATGTCTTCCTCTTCTGGTAGAAGCGCTTCCCGGAATAGCTAGCCCAAACCCGTGTCAGGTCGATGAAGCCGATCACCCCCCTGCTCGTTCACATTTTAACGAGAGTGAGCAGGACTTCGCATAGGGCTAACTACTGAGATGCTCAAATGCAGGGCCAGCGGCTCAGACCTACGTCCGTCGATGCATAAGTGGGTGTCTCTGCTGAATACGAGTCCCGAGCATCGAAGCAATTCCAGACACTTGCAGACATCCAAGTCAATTGTTCCTAACAATACGCCTAGCACCCGATGAGTTTTTTGGACGCAAACGAACCACAGCCTCGCGGAGAGAACCTGCAATGCAAGATATCAGGTCTGCCTAGACCAATTAGAAGAAAAGTAAGAACAAAGGTCTGACACCTCACAACACGATGCATATTGTCCTATTTTCAAGGTCTGACACTTCGCAATACGATGCGTATTTTTTTTTCCCCCAGAGACAAGGTCTTAGATCCGCTGCTGTCCTTTCAGTGGACATACGAAGACAGTTACAGAAACTATTAATTTGTGAATTTCCTCCTACCGCTGAGCTCCTTCTTTCCCCCATTTACTAAAACTCCTCAACCGCTTACTGCCTTCACTGTACTGCAAATAAACAAACCAGCCAAAATGAGGAACTTCATCTTTATCGCAGCTTTGGCAACACTGGCTTCGGGACGTGCTATCTCTCGAGCACAAGATGCTCCTTCGACATCTACTGGTTAGTTCTGACATGTCATGGTCCGCCGTGTAACGAGATGCCTGCTTACCGTCATTCTCTGTCAGATGATCCACTGAACTTTGAGTCGAAATCAGCGGACAAACACGATCCACTATATGGCGCATTCATTCATTATCCGGTTCTTCATCCCAACAATGTGCCGTGTGATCAACGTAGCGGAATGAAGGGTAATTGCAAACCGGGACCGCCGGACAACCCTTATCACCGTGGCTGCAATGCTATCACGCGATGCAGGGTATACGGTGCCGGAAGCAAGGGGAAAACAAAGGGAACTAAGAAGGAAGGAGAGGAGACAGAAGAGGATAGAGAGGGCTCCCACAAATCGGGATAGACGTCGCTTGTTCATGGATGAAACGGGATGCTTATCTCGGTAACAGTCAGCGTTCGTAGAGTGGTAGATAGCTCGACAACACTGCCACAAACAGCGACGAAGTCTGAATGAGTATCGAATTTGGCTCAAGTGGCAAGTTGTCAAATAGCGACCTTTCCGAGTGATTTCTCAGAACAACATTATGAGCACGTAGCCCGAAAGATCATATAGGCACCGCAAGCCCGAAATACCGAAGAAGAGTCAGCAGTACAGACGGCGTGGCTTAGGCGAAAGCGACGAGCATTACAAAGATCGAAGCCTTCTAGATCACCATTATTTCACACACCCACCAGCCATACGACTGTAGTGACAATTTCATCCACCTGGACCTTTGGTCCCAAGCCCGTCTCTCATAATCATAGGCTGGCCCCGTGGATACGAAATTATCCCCATGGACAAGATCATGAAAGAGCACGATCCCTCGTATCAGATGGCGACACTGCTCAAAATCGATGAAACCATTGGGCAATATCTTTACTCGCCGCACAATCTGAGGATCGTGTTACGCGATCTCTATCCAGGGCCGCTGGCGCTCGTCGTCGGTTCTGCTTTTCCACCGTCACCCGTAGAGGAAATTCCGCTTGCGTAGAACGAGTACGTCAACGGTGTACTAAGTTGACTGGCGGCGTCATGGGTTCTGATGCCCAGCCCGGCTGTAGTGTTACGCCAGACTCCGTGGTGAAGTTTCTATTTGTGATGAGCCCGGTGATTTTGGCATTGCCATTTTGTTTGAGTGTCACTTGAACGACAGAAACTTGCTTTCCAAGCTCCAGGTCCTCAATTTCAAGCGTGGCAGGTCCCACTCGGGCGCTTCGCAGAAATGACATCTGAATCGCCAACGTGTGAGGCTGGTTTTACGACTCAGAGTGTTGACGAAGTGTTTTTTGACAGCAGTCAGAATGCAAGCTGTAACGTAGCCACCGTGCGGTGTAGCGCCAATGGTCCATCCGTGCTTCAATCGAAGCTGATATTTTGGCGCTGACAGCTCCCGAACCTTGACTGCGTCGTCAAATGCAAGGACCAATTCCACAAGTTTCACTATATGATTCGCTGCTTCGTAGGGCACGCATAATTACATCTTTGATAGAGTCGTGGATATAAGTCCGTCTATGCTCCTAGTCAGCAGTATCAGTCCCTTGCAGTCTTCAAAGGTTAGGTTTACAATCTCTCAAGCCAATGCAGCGCTCAAACTGGGCACACTTTTCTCTACGCTCGTGATGACCACGTTGGTAAGAAGGATCGTTCGATGGACCACATTGGGTCGGGGTACAATTCTCGATCAGTGCTATTGGATACAAACACATGTCGAGCCAGAGCGCATAGGAGAGGACCGAAAAGTTACCGATTGCAAGTTAGGAAACAAATGATTACGAAGCCTGCAATGAGCCGAGGTGATATCTGGATTATGAAATCAGCCGAGCACCTATATACATCTTGCATTGCCTTGATCCGGTAAGCGTCGAATCCAAATCCGTCCAAAGGATGCAGTATGCTGAGCTGGTGAAGAAGCAGCCAAGTCCAAGACATGAATCTGTTGGGGCCGAACTCATTGAAGTCGACGTAGTAGACATTGATCCAAAGCAAATTGCAACTCCATGGGTTCGCTTCTGTACTAGCTTGCCGTGGAAGCAGTGACCAGCGTTGTTCGGGCACCTTGATCTCAGGCTCTGGCCCCATAAGACTCTTGCTCTTCTTTCTACTCAGCTCTACGGTCAGTACAGACTTTCGACAATCGACAATGAGGGTCATCTTTATGCTTCCAGTTGTCATAGCATTTGTTCATGCCTTACCCATTGCTCGCCTAGGGTTTCGCGATGCTTCAACGGAGACCAGTAGTAGGCAGCCAGCATCCGCACGCGAAAAGCGTCAATACCAATGGAACTGGACCGTGGTGTGGGGAACTACGCTCGGCCCCTCGACCAATCCTTTCGACCTTTTTACTTCTGAGCAAGGCAAACAGCTGGCAGCTGAATGTTCTGGGGGATCTTATGAAGAGCAACATTCGTCCTACGATGGATACTATACTGATTACGACAAGGGCTCTTTCGTATCTTGGCATGTTGGTCCCCCGAACAACTCAGGTTGGAATCCATTTGCAAGCCGTGTCGGATCTGGAGGTCTTACCAGCAGTTTCTCGGGAGGCAGCATTGGAGGCAGTCGGCCAGGGACCACTGTCAATGGGGCCTCAAGGACCAATGTAGGCACGAGGGTGAACAATGACGGCGCGAGTACGAACGTCGAAAGCGGAGGCGGACAGGCCAGGGTCAATGATAGCCCAAAGAGCGCCTCCAACAGCGGCAGCAACTCTGGTGGCGATCTCAAACTGGGCTGTTTGAACCTGGTATGCATTGCCGGTTCTGTTCGCTGAGCTGAATCATCACTGACCTCTGGTACCAGGGTATTGCTTCACTGGGCCTTTGTTAACGATGTAGCCCAATCCTCCCAGATCGTGCAGATTGCTGCGGGTGGTTTTCTTGGGGACTTTGCTTACAACACTGTGATCTAAGATCTACGCGGGATAAGCAGAAGCGAGCATATTAATATTTCGGTCCTGACTTAGGATGGCACAAGATGGAGCGTTGTTAATACATTAGATCGGACATCTTATTATCTTATGCATGTAGCTAGGAAAAGTATAAGCTAACTCACCATATGCAGCGTGCTTACCTTGGTTCCGAGAGCGAACTCCACGACATGGAATCGTTGCTGCTCCCTCTTCATGCCGTAGATCACCTCGTCGACATCTACTTCCAGTACCAAGCGCCGCGCTTGCCCATCATCGACTGACAACAAGTTCCACGAGCCATCGGTGATGCCCATCCCTTCAACGCTAACCCCGTCACTCCCACGCTTATCGCGGACGCCTTCATCACATACATGATCTCTGCCATTGCTCTCTGCAACCTGCCCAACCCCACTAACACAGCCAGCCGAGGGCGTCTGGCGGAGAGTGATGGCTGCTTCCTCCCCCCTATACACTCCATCGTCAAGGTCATCACCTACTCTAACAGCGACAACGAGACCCTCCGAGCACTCCTGTCACTGGCTCAGTATGTTCCTTTGACCCCTTTCCTCGGGACTCTGTGGCACCTGACCGACTTCGCCATCGGAGTGTGCGTTGACATCGGCCTTCATTGCGGAATCCGACGCGTAGACGCTCGCTATGGCTGTCTTCTTCTAGACGCTCCTTCGAACATTGGGCAGTGACGTCGGCCGAAATATCTTTGGTGCGGCACGACGTTCTGCGGAGCAGATCCATCATATATATTCGCCCGGCAAGTCTACTGCTATTACTTGTACATGAATGCAATGTTGTTGCTCTATCGTCCGAGTCATACCCCCTCACATTCGTCCCCCGACAGCCTGGTCATCGTGTTCGAAATATCGTCCAAGCTGATCGTCAGCATCAGAATCCTGCAGCGCGGAGGGAAGTGTGAGTCGCGCAACCTTGGTACAGCGATAGCACGGTGAGCGACACTGATGCATCGGGAACCTTCGGTCTGTCTACGATACTTGCCACCAATGCTTTTTGCTTTGGCGAAATGCTGAGCTCAGCTGCAGGGTGGCTGGAACTCCCAGTCAGGGTGCAATGATGATTTGCAGAGATCAGAGCATCTTAGCCCATGGTGGAGTGCATTCCTTCACTCTCTTGGTGCTATGCTGGGAATGGGTCGGTGCATTGGCACAAAGCGTTGAACGGCGGCCGAGCTATCTCGATGAGAAGTAGCTGGCTCGCTTTCCACCAGGTCTATAATGGTAAGTAAGAATGTGTCCACGAGATATGAGGTCACGAGTCCTGCAGAATGTTGATTAGCATTAGTGTTGTCATTGATGGCTTGGCTTCATCTTTGCGCAGTCAGACATTCCATAGTAAGCGCTGACTTGACAGCTGACCAGGCTTATGCGGTGCTGGTCTTGTTGCGAAGCTTTGCCATTCCCGGCATCGAATTCAGCGAAAGGCTTCTGACCAGGTCAAATCCATCGGCACATCACTCCGCCGCGCTTCTTCCGATCGATGGAAATCGCCATCCTGGGCGATTGACAGGCATCGCGTTCTAGACCTGGCCAATTCCCCGACCTCACTCTCCAGTTTCTGGACGCTCTACAATACCGCATTCTGATTCAGAAGCCATATCAGGTTGTCGTTATGGAGTTTTGACCTCGAGAAGCGCTTCCGTGCCTCTGTTCAAGATCCTGCTCGCTCGCTCGACTTGACAAGCCGTCGATGACAGCGAAGGTTGATGCATGGCTACATGTCGTGCTGAGATGGACGAGTCGTTGCATGCATATCGTGACACTGACAGCTCTTGGCTGCTCATATGCTCGTCGCATTTTAGTGCCCATTCCGTCTGCCCAAAGGAGGTGCAGCACTGCTTCGGTCAACCTATCGCCAATACCAAAACTTTGCGCTTGCTAAGCCCTATGGATTGTTTTCGTTTGCAGCTGTTACGAGGTGACTGGTAGCATAACTGCTAAACTTCCTTCGAGCTTAGCCTTCAGCAGTCTGCCAATCGTACCAGTCTGGGAAATTGCTGACTTCTCCGATCATAGACTACAATGCTCGAATTGTAGACGCCAAGGAGCGCTACAGGCTAGCTTTCGTGTTCAAAGCAGTGGAAAAGTCGCTAAGCAGGGTAGCATTCGCCGAGTCATACATCCACAGATGTCTGGACTGCATCCTAGCAGACTGCGAAGTGAGGTCCACCGAGAATACGCACGGGGATTCCCACGCGGATCTTCAAACTTACCGTGTCAGGCTATCGTCACTTTCCTAATCGGTAGAGGACTAACTTTTTGCAGGTAGCAGACCTGATACGAGGACGATGTCTAGTTAGACGCGGCCAACATCAGTACGAGCACTACGCCTACCATTACACGCCTCAGTTCCATCGTCGTCTGCCCAGATGTTCAGTGCCAGTACGAGCTATACCGCTTTTCAACATGCCGGTGCTTCTTTTCAGAGTTCTAATTGTCCGATACTCCATCCGTAGATAAAGGTCAACGTCCTCACTGATTGCTGTTGTTCTGAACACATCCAAGCAGCACGTTCGTCACAGAGCACTCTTACTTCACCTACAACAATCAAACCTTCTCATCGTCTCGAGTCATCTCGCATCATCAAGTCAATATGATGAATCCTATCCTCATTGCAGTTTTGGCGACACTTGCTCTAGGCAGTGCTATCCCTGCTATGCAGGACGATCTTTTCATCTCCCGTCGCGCTCTTGATGGTATGTATCCAGACGTTACAACCTCTTGGCGGAGTAGTCAGAAGCTGACAATCACTCTTATCTAGGTGATCTCTCACTTGCTGATCTGGTCCCACATCTAGTCCGCCGCGACTTTGCTGACAGCGACATCTTGGAAGTGTCGCTGGTTGACGGTAGCAAGCGATACATTTCTTACGGGGCTTTGAAGAGGAATGGATGACCATGTTCTCGGAGGGGCAACAGCTTTACCAACTGTCAACCAGGGCAGCCGGCGAACGAATGGCAGCGTGGATGTTCGGCTATCACGAGATGCAGAGTTGCGAATGCGGGTGCGTAAAGAGGATGTACAGTAATTGACTTGGAGAGTATGAAGAGATAAAGGCCGCGATGTTGTGATCCATCAAGAAAGGTCTTCCATGGGCAACGACTCTCGAAGCCGCATCTCGTGGATTGCGTGGTTGCATTCAAGTGAGAATAAGGAACCGTTATATACTCGACCATGAGTCACGCCTGGTTTACTACAATATCAACGTCAAGTTGTTTCACAGATTCCATACATTAGCACAATGATTGTCCTCACATCAGACATGGAGAGTCTCAAGCTGTGTCGAAGCCATGGAATATCATCAGCTTGAAACTCGGTCGCAGAACGTTGTTGAGAGGCTGAAGTCGCGCTAATTAGTCAATCATCGCGAAGCTGTGCGGGGTGCATGATGAATGCATGCTGTGGTAAGGCTGTGGCTGAGCTCCACGTGCACAGCCCACCGACTGATTGACAACACAGCTGAAACTCCAACTGACCATGCGCGCATTGTCGGCTGTTGTCCATCCCTCTCGTCTGTACGATACGACTACTAAAGTGCCTCGGAGGCGAAGAGTTCGGGTTCACGAAGAACTTCACTGGAGACAACATTCCGCCCTACGGCATTCTTTCGCATACATGGGGTGAAGATGAGGAAGAGGTCACCTATCAAGACATACTGCATGGAACAGGCAAGGACAAGAAAGGGTACCTTAAGCTCAAGTACTGCGGATGGCAGGCCGAGAGAGATGGTTTTGAGTATTTCTGGGTCGACACGTGTTGTATCAACAAGGACAGCAGCGCAGAACTAAGTGAAGCGATCAACTCAATGTATCGCTGGTATGTCTCACAGGTAACTCGGTCCGCTAGTAAATTGGTTAGATTTGCTAAAGAAAACTTGATAGGTATCAGAACTCTGGCATCTGCTGGGCCTATCTCCCCGATATCACTAGCGTTCCACTAGATGTAACGAAAGACGACTTCAAAAGATGTAAATGGTTCAAGCGAGGTTGGACATTGCAGGAGCTGATCGCTCCACGCGATGTCCACTTTTTCAACGAAACATGGGAGAAGATCGGTACCAAAGATGATCTGGCCGGACTTATATGCGACATAACTCGTATTGATGAGAGAGTTCTGTCGGAATACGAAAGGGACAAATGGTCTGTCGCTCAGCGAATGTCGTGGGCCGCGGAGCGTATTACGACAAGGCCGGAGGATCGGGCCTACTGCCTGCTTGGTATATTTGACATAAACATGCCATTGCTTTATGGTGAGGGTGACAAGGCATTCCTCCGACTCCAGGAAGAAATCATCAAGCAAGATGATGACCACTCAATCTTCGCATGGCAGATGGCCTCGGGTATGAGGACTTCCGGTCTGCTAGCCCCATCCCCATCCTGTTTCCTTGACGCCGCCAGTATCGTAGTTAGGCCTTCTCGAAGAGCACAGAAAGGCTTCAAAATGACGAATCGCGGCCTGTCCATCTTCTTTGATATGACTCCCTTCGCTGTCGGCACCTATCTATCTTTCCTCCAGTGTTCGCGAAGAGGACCCTTTGGACACAGACTAGGGCTTGCAATCTCCCTACGACTTCTCCAGCGCAATGATCAATTTGAAAGAGTGAACATTACTCACGCAGGAGACGATGAATGGTACGTCGATCTAGAAGAGATTGAACAACGTGGATCGAATACTCCTTCCGAATACTACCTACGACTCCTCCGGGAAGACGTTCCACTCGAAAAGGTAGACATTTTCCACACAGGAGATAATGGACTGTACATCTTATTAGAAAGTCCTGGTTCCTCCCGTCCTGTTGAGACCAGGAGGGTTTTCGTTCGAAATCAGTTGGCCGTAGCCCAAATTTCCAGGACTCCTCAAAACCAAAGGCACGTACTACATGTCCGAAATCGCGTGCAACCCGGCACAAGGAGTATCGGCGAAGTTGATCCTAGGCACAGTACTCCGTTCAACTTATTGCATCCATGGAGTCTTGAAGTCTTCGAACTGAAAGACAGAAAGTTGGTTCAATACGTCGCTGTCGGGTTTGACTTCGATAACAATCCCACCTGTCATCTTCTAGAGATGTCTAAACTGTCCGATGTAGAGTTGTGGGCATCTACCAAGACCTCTTGCGATAGCTTTGCATTCATGGAAATCTTAGATCAACGGGTCATGCTTCGAAACAACCACAACGGAGTATATTCTCCCAAAGGAAGCCGCCACGACGGCTTGTATGCAACTATTGGAGATCTGATAGTCACAATGAAGCCAATATGGGACAGCGGATCTGGATTAGCTGATTGGCCACATGTTTGGAAATTTGCGATTCTTCGCAACCATCAGGCTTTCGAGCAGGCTCCCCAGAACTGGGGATGAATGTCACCAACATTGCTGAGACACTACTGTGAGATTCGTACAAGCTTCGTCGACAGTGAAGTTTCATCTCGTAGACACAGCCATGCGAGCCCGCTCCGCCACAGTCCTACTCATGTATGTAGCAGAAGACGAACAGTCATCCTAAAACTCGTGGAGCCATGGTCTTCAGGAACGTCGCTTCACAAAACCAACTCGGGATTTCCCAAAGTAGCAATCGGTCCGGCACCAAACAGCTCCCTTGTCAGCGTCTTGCTGTACTCCGAAATCGCGGGGATAGTCTGAAGCTTCTGAGGTTGAACACCAAAATGTATCGTCGACGACACCATCAGTCAATAAACAACTACCCGCCATCATGTCTCCCATCCAACCCTACACCTACACCGGCCCCATCGACCACACAACTCCAATCGCCTGGTCAGAACTCCATGGAAAATCCGTCATAATCACAGGCGGTGCAAATGGCATGGGCGAAGCGACAGTCCGAAAATTCGTCGAAGCCGGAGCATTCGTAACGTTTGGCGACGTCAACGAATCCCGCGGTAAAGAACTCTCAACTGAATTGATCCAAAAATATGGACAGAAGTGCCAATTCGTCAAATGTGATATCCGGAACTGGGAAGATCAAGTGAGATTGTTTGAGAAAGCGACGAGCGATGGGAGAGGATTGGATGTTGTGATTGCGAATGCAGGGATTAGTAGGGCGAGTGGGGATAGTTTGTGGAATTTGGATGGTGAATATTGGGTGTTAGACCTTGCTGGATATGAATGTTGCTGATGAATTGATGAACAGATCTATCGAAACCACCCGTCAAGCCAGATCTGAATATCATTCAGACCAACATCAACGGCACATTGTATACATTCAAGCTCGCGACCTATCATTTCCGCAAGCAAAAGACCCCAGGAGGTTGTTTTATCATGACGGGAAGTTTGGTCGCATATGTTGACTCACCAGTAAGCCCACCCTTTCTCCAAGCTCCCTCTTCTTTCTGTTGAACTGACACCCGCCAGGCAAATTGGGAATACACAGCCTCCAAGTACGCCCTTCGAGGCCTCTTGCACACAGTCCGCCGCAACAGCTGGGAGCAAGGCATACGAATCGCCTACGTAGCACCGTGCTACATCAAAAGTGCGATCCGAACAGCCGAATGGGAAGCCTCGCTCCTGAAGCAAAATGTCCCGTTCGGAGAGACCGAGGATGTCGCTGCGTGCTTTGCACGGATTGCTACAGATCCAGAGACAAATGGTAATTTCCGTCCTCTCAGTCTTGTCAAATCTTTTGCTGACAATTCTAGGCCACTCCCTCATGATCGTCCCTCGCTCCCTCGCTCCACAAGGATTCATGGATACTGGTCTAGAAGATTTCACAGAGGAAGGATTCATGAAAGCGACGCAAATTTCGCAACTCAATGTTATCAAGGATCGTTGGCTCGAAGGCGCTGAAATTCAGATATACAAGAAGTAATGGTAGTACCCAGAAACTACTGCCAAATAGTTTACATCTGCTCCCATTGTGTATCCTCAAAGCCAACGAAGAACATATCAAACATGTCGCCCACCAGGTCGTTGGAGAACAAGCTAGCTTCGAGGGATTCAAGTGTGGTTTGTTCGCCGTTTTCAAGCATAATTCGCAGGACCTCTGATGTTTTTGCAGTAGCGAATGGGAAGTATTGCTTCCAAGATGATGTATCATTTTGACTGTCCGTGTTGGACCCGGTCGCTGTGCTGCTGAGTTGTGGTGCAGAGATTTGAGACTGTACATTCACATCCAAATCGACAGGGTTCTGAGCCTCACTTGATGCCATCATGCGTTGTATTCCTTGATAGATCACCGCAGACGAGCCCCAGATCTCTTGCAGCTGACCACACATAACTCGTATTGTCTCAATATCAGTGTTCGCGGCTGCTGTGAGATGCGATTGTTTCCTCGCTGAAAGAAGTGCCAGAAAGGCCGTTGCGCAGTACCAGCTGGTGATGGCCATGAGAAATCGGGTATTTCCTCTCGCCAGAACATCACGGAATATTCTTGCCATACAGGAAGCTGCAGCTACCGCTGCTGGCCCGGCTCGAGGTGTGTCTTGTGATGACTCCGCTGTGTGAAGGTCCAGTACGATCACCGCCGTCAGGTACGGCAGATACAGCTGGTAGATATCTCGGTCATATTTTGCCTCAAACATTTCGTTGACACCAAGTGCCAAGCTGTTCGGTAGGCTTGTGACCCAATTCAGCAATTCTTGCTCCAACGAGTGATCGACCAAGTCATTGGCTACGTAGCGCGTATCTTGCATCTGGCTTTTCCTACGTGCCAAATGATGGGCGATGCGACCAATCGTGCCACACAGCCGCACCCAGTGTATGAATACGAGCGCCTTTGTACTTCCCTGCATGCTGAGTGGAAAGTCTTCCATGGCGGGTGCCGATATCGTGCAGTCTTCGAGATTGATGATGGGAGGTTTGCTCTGGCAAAGCGCCGTGAGACGTTCTCGGGCAAAGGCAGTCCACCAGACTCGCTTTTGCAACCCAGTCACAGTACCATCGTTGTCGCTGGCTGGCTTCGAACGATGCAAATTCATCTGCTGAGCGTGTCTGATCACGACTGAAGTCCACCACCAAGACGAATGTCGATGGACGAGGGAGGTCGATCGTGGGGCCCACCAGTAGAACAGTAAAATGGCTCGGAGACATGTCGATATGTTTGGCTCCTCGTCCTCGTAGAACATTCGTCGAGCTCGATCATAATATCGTGCTGGCCCAACACATGGCACGAGAGGTGGTTGGAGGTTGCTGCCGAGCGTGGCCAAAGCATTGCACAGCAGTGGCGAGGCCTGTAGTTCATCAAGAGCAGCATGATTGTCTAACACGGGACAGAAGGCGTAGCAGCTGTCGTAGTACGGTTCGAGGAAGACGTGAAGAAGGTGAGGAGCTACTTGAGTATTGGGTGATAGTGTTATCCCACCCCGGTCCGAAGCTCCAGCTGCTGGGTCGTGTTGTTCTGTACGAACAAATGGTTGTAAGAAGCCTGTGTCTAGATCGCCTTCATGGCTGACAGCAACTGCATCGGAGATATCAGTCCGCCGTGTTGTTGGACTGTCAAGAGTGTTCGTGCGGCTGAGAGGCTGTAAAGATGTCTGTTGATGCTGCTCCTGTGGCTGCTGGGCCTGAACGGTGATGGCCTCTTCCCGTATCGACGACAATGCTGGCGTGGGCGCCTCACCACGATGCTCTGCAGCTCGTTGACGTCGGATCGCTCTCCGCCCCAGATGCGGCTGACATGATTTGCCGGTGTTGTGGCAGTATGTGCACTTCTCCGCCCCCGCCCTCCGCCGCTCGGCCAAGTCACATTTGGTCTTCTTGCTGTGGCATATCGCGCACACCGACTCGGCACGGCGTTTGCGGGGTTGATCGATGGTATACGTCGCCCAGCGGTGTTCGCCGGTTCCCATCGTGTGTTTGCCGAAATCGTGCGTGTCAGTCGACGTTGCGTGAGCTCCACCCCCAGCTCCGGCTAACGGCGGAGTTCCGCCGCTCAGCCGAGGGCCGCGAAAGCTTGGCACTGACTGCCAACGACCTGCCGAAACTTCATCCAGGCGCCGTCGTGCAGTTCAGAGCGCCGACGATACAGCCACCTCCCCAGGCCCGATCGATAGTGTGCCGCACCCTGTTGGCGTGTAATACCCTTGGGTCTTACACTGCTATTCGCCGAAGGCCTTGTAAAATGCTGGTTTTGGCGATCAAACAGTGCTCTTGAACGGGCTAGAAATGTGCACACTATCGATCGGGCCTAGGGTGGTGACTGTATGCATCGAAGCAAAAGTGACCACGACCGACGTCCAGCTGGGTGATCCGGTCTTCCAATTGGCAGCTTCAGTATCGCCGGACTCGTGGACGCCAACGGGTGTCCTCCGTATCGCTGCCCGATCTCCAGCGGATCTGTTCACCATCCAGGATGAGTGAATGGTTTTTCCGCACCGTTGGCCGCGCCGCTCGTGCGCCGAACGCAAGACCTGTGCACCTGCAGAATATCAGAAATTCAGCCGAAAAGTGGGTTAGATGCACGGCAACTCCGAATCAAGAAGTCTGGAGGAATGCTCAAGGCATTTGAAGCAAAGATGGAGCAAGGCAGCAGAGCCGAATGACGGGGCTTACACGATGTTTATGCATTTCCCCGCCTTTGGATCCCGTGGAGTTCACGAACAACGAGCATCAGGATCCCGGTAGTGAAGCAGCGCCTACAATCTCATCTGACACTAGCGTTGCGGCGACCACGTCCCGCCAAGATGATGTGTCCTAGCGAGCCGGGAGCGCTATGAGAGAGATACGCCCCCAGCTACTGATCGACTATCGTGTCTCTCGCATTCCTTGTCTCGTCAGGATTGTCCAGGCGCAAGGACGACCAGCAGAATGGCCTCCATAGACGACAAAGAATTCCCGGTGGTCTCCAAGCACGGGCAGACAACCGGCGACGATGAAGCCGCCAAAGTCTTTGCTCAATATGACGGCCCTCTGGAATGGACAGAGCAAGAGGAGAAGACTCTCCGGCGCAAGATCGACTGGAAGCTGATCCCGATAATGTGCTTCACATCGGCCCTGCAATACTACGACAAGGCCATGCTGGGACAAGCAGTACTTTTTGGCATGATGCAGGAACTAGACCTTCGAAAAGGCGATCGCTACTCGATGGCATCCTCAACCTTCTATCTCGGCTTCGTCGCAGGCTCATATCCTGCTGTTATCTTGGCACAGCGATATCCACTTGAACGTGTGACATGCGGCATAGTCACTCTCTGGGGAATTTGTCTGCTTTTGACTATCACATGTCACAACTATCAGGCTCTATACGCCCAGCGATTCTTTCTCGGGTTTCTAGAAAGTGGTGTCAGCCCGCTGTTCATGTTGATGGTCGGGTCGTGGTATCGGAAAGACGAGCAAGCTTTTCGAATGGGGTGAGCATGCCTGTGTTTTATTGAAATTTGACTTCGATTACTGACGCGACCCTCAGTGCCTGGTACAGTCTGGCGTCTTGGTCAGCAGTGGTTGCACCTTTGATCAACTATGGCATTGGCCAGATCAATGCTGTGCTTGCGCCATGGCGATGGATGTACATCGTTGCCGGAAGTCAGTTGTTCCAAAAACTCTCCGCCGCATGTCTTACTGATCACCTCTACAGTCATCACCATCCTGTGGGGCGCAGCACTTCTCTTTATCCTTCCACCAGACCCTACTCGCGCGTCAGGCTTCACCGAGCGCGAACGATATCTGGCTGTCGCACGTCTACGTTCGAACAACTCTGGTGTACGCAATACCAAGTTCAAAGTAGGCCAGGCTAAGGAGCTGCTCTGCGATCTCAAATTCTGGCTCATGTTTTTCATTGCGACCCTGAGTCTGATCACAAACGGCCCAGTCTCAAGCTTCGCTCCTCTGATCATCCAAGGATGGGGATACACTTCACTGCAGACCTTACTGCTGGTGATGCCTGCGGGAGTCTGGGTCGGTTCATGCACACTCACTGCGACATGGCTCGCCATGCGTTACAGTCACCTGAACATCCGAACGTACATCGCCTTCTTCACTCAGTGCTTCACCATTCTTTCAGCGGCATTGTTGTGGAAGCTGCCTCGGAGCGAGAAAGGTGGACTTTTCTTTAGCATCTACACCCTTTCGACCTACGGTGCTGGTTATGGCGTCATCATGGGATTGCAAGTGGCCAACAACTCTGGCTATACGAAACGATCTCTCGCCTCATCAGGTCTCTTCGTCGGCTACTGTCTTGGTGAGTACATCAAGCTTGTCAAACGTGTTGTGGCTAATTTTTCCAGGTAATTTCATTGGGCCCATGGTCTACTTGCAACGAGAGTCACCGGTCTACAACACTGGATTTACCATCGTCACCGTGGCATCAGCACTAGCCGCAGTACTCATCCTCGTCTATCGCTACGTCTGCATCTGGGAGAATAGAAGACGAGACCGAACAGGCACAGCAGAAGGTTACGACCACGCCTACGAAGACCCTACCGACAAGGAAAACCCCCAGTTCAGATACATCTATTGATCGGAGATAGCATGCTAGCTCTGTTTGCACGGCCGCCAACTGTATGACAAGAATTATGACGCTCAGCTACGATTGACTTAGACAAGCTTCAACGTGGACTGCTCAACCACAATATCTACACTATTCTAGCACACCTTTCGATTTCCAGTAACCTTCCAAGTCTTTGAGCCACGCCCATCTCGCCTTGGCGCCCCAGCCACGATCTTTCCACGCATTCAAGCTTAGCGGGAAATGGTCAACAATGCGACCCACGTGCGCATCATGTGCAATGATCACGAGGACGTTGCTCTGAACGTCCAACTCTTGCAACTTCTTCACTGTATCCGTCGCCAGAGGAATGTCATACCCAAACGCCATATCGTACAAGGTATCATCAGTCTGCCTCCCGCGCGAAGTTTGGAGTTCTTCGAACGCATGTCCTGGACAAAAAGATGCCGAGCTATGTGGAAGCACAGGATGCGGAGAGATCTCCTTGGGGACTGGCAGATGGATCGATGGCCGCATGATACCGGAGTAATGACATATATCGCCACCCAGGAAAATGAACGTATCAGGATTCACTGTTGTCCTTACAAGAGCACAGAGATGTCCAACTGCATGTCCTGGACTGTTGAGGAGGTATACTGATCCGTCTCCGAAGTAGTCTATGGCCGGGAATTGTCCAATGCGGATTGTGCCCGGCTTTGCAAAGTCGAGCTCGCGGAGCTCTCTCCCGCTAAGAAACAAGGAATCAGCAAAGCTATTCAGCGGCGACCCCTGATACGATACCTACTCCCACGCACTCTCCGATATTGGACTTTCTGGATTCGTCGGCGCCGCCGGCAATAATAATTCTTGGAAACCAGGACCAACAACAAGCGCGGTGGACTTCGGGAAAGTGCTAGGATCGCCTACATGATCCCAATGCCTTCGATCATTGTCAGTCCAAATTCACAGCCACACTGACCTTGCTGCCACTCACCAATGGCTCCATATCACCGCCTCCACATCATTAAGATCCACCCCATTATCGCTCAAAGTATCCGCAACATGGCCTTGCACCTGAATGTTGTACCCAGATTTCGATATATACGATGCCACTGTTGGAGCGGAATTCATATAATCATGTCGAATGCCCAGATCCCATACTAATTTCTTGCCAGAAGGATGCTCCAACAGAAAAGAGAAAGACGGACACGCCTCGAAAACCTCCAAGAAAGGTACGTCCGGCTGCATTAATCGACTCAACTTCGCAGGACCGAATGTGACCGGATTGATCAGCTTGACAGTGACTGTTATATCGCCATCTGGAATAGAAACAAGTCCTTCGCCATTAGGTAGAGGTGGATTGTACTGATAATTAGGAACGCCAATGATTTCTGTGATTCTCTCGTTCGTGCTGTCTCTTGATCCGAACATTCTGTGCCAATTCGATTGCTTCTGGGTAGCAGTACAAAGGTAAGGCATGTGAACTCAAACACTACCTCACCGCAGAATAGATTCCAAAGCTTACCAAGATCCTCTACCGAACATAGCCGTATAGAGTGGTCGGCCAATTTTGACCCACTATTGACTCTTCACACGTACTCTAGGCGGACCAGCTACGCCATTCCCAAGCAATTGGTCCACCCAGCGACTCGGTTTACGCCAACTTTTGCCCCCAACTTTGATTGAAGTGGGTAGGAGCTGCGGGGATGCGGCCAAGGCAGTTCGGCATTTTGAGTTGAAGCATCTAGCTTTTCGGCAATCTGAAATTGGCAATACCGCTTAGTCTCTGATCTCGATAGTCGGAGCAGCCCTAAGGCATAGTCTGACACTCCGACGTGGCACAGGCAGCCGGGATGCATATGGCTCGCGAGTGATATCTCTATCATCATCTTCCAGCGTGGCGACGTCGACTTTAGATCCGCATCTTCTCCTTCCTCGGCCTCAACATGACTGCGTACATGGAAGCAACAACCAACGGGGACTCGGTAGTCAAGACAGCTCCTCCACCCGATGGCGAAATCCCCAAGGTCGACAAAAAGAATACACCTGTATCAGAACTCAAGAATCTCACAAATGGCCACCACGATGAAACCTTCGACCCTTTCAAACTGGCCTCAGAATTCGCTTTCACGCCCCGCAAGATCAAAGTCATAACAATCGGAGCTGGCTTCTCAGGACTTCTCATGGCGCATAAATTCCAACATCGTTTTCCCGAGATGAGAGATATTGTCGAACACAAACTCTTCGAAGCTCATCATGAAGTTGGCGGGACTTGGCTTGTCAACAACTATCCTGGTGTTCAATGTGATGTGCCAGCTCATATTTATGCTTTTCCATTCGATCCGAATCCAGAATGGACGAGATTTTATGCTAGTGGTGCTGAGATTTTGGAGTATTTCAAGAAAACTGTGAGGAAGTGGAATTTGGATCGAGATTTGGAACTTTGTACGAAGGTTGTGGGGGCGAAGTGGCATGAAGACGAGGGAATGTGGTGTGTGGAGGTTGAGAATACGAGGACTTTGGCGAAGAGAGAAGAGTGGTGTCATGTTTTGATTTCTGGGCAGGGAGTGCTTGTGTAAGTGCGACTTCTCTCACACATTGGACAGCAAAGCTGATGACACGAAAGACACGAAAACTGGCCCAAAATCCCCGGCTTCGAAAATTTCAAAGGACACATCACACACTCCGCCCGCTGGGACCACAGCTTCGACTACTCCAACAAACGCATCGCAGTAATCGGAAACGGCTCCTCCGGCATTCAAATCGTCCCCCAAATGGCCAAACTCCCCGGCACAACAGTCAAGAACTTCATCCGAAGTGGAGCTTGGGTCTATTACCGCGCACCACCTTCACAACACATGGGACGATCAGTCGAAGATCCTAATCCAGCATATACAGACGACGAGAAGAAATCTTTTCGAGATCCGGAGAAACATCAAGCGTATCGAAAAGGTATTGTGTCGCGGACGAATAAGTCGTTTTATATTTTTCAGAGGGGAGAGAATAATCGAAAGGGTATGGAAGCTGCTGCTGCACAGATGTCGCAGAAACTTGGGCATGATAAGAGGCTTTGTGAGATGTTGATTCCGAAGTGGGAGTTGGGTTGTAGGAGGATTACGCCGGGGCCTGGGTATCTTGAGTCGTTCCTGAGAGATAATTGTGACTGTATGAATAGTCCGATTGTGGAGGTGACCGAGGGTGGGATCAAAACTCAAGATGGAGAGGTCTTTGAGTGTGATGTTCGTAAGTCACTAGCTCCTTGGCCACTGCACAACTGCACAACTTGCTGACATACGACAGTTATATGCGCCACAGGATTCGACGTCTCACATCGACCACGATATCCCTTCATCGGCCAAAATGGCGTAAACCTACGAGAGAAATGGGCCGGAGACCCAGAGTCCTACCTCTCAGTAATGACGCCCGACTTTCCTAACTACTTCATGGTAAGCTCCGTCCTCTCCACCCTACCAAGCACACCACAACTAAAGTTTCTATCAGATGATGGGTCCCAACTGCCTCGGCGGCCACGGCTCCCTCGTCGAATCCCTAAACTGGACAGGCGACTACATCACCAAATGGATCAAAAAACTCTCAACAGAAGACATAAAATCCCTCGTCCCCAAACGTTCCAAAGTCGAAGCTTTCATGCGCTACCAAGATCAAGTCCACAAAACGCTCGTCTGGTCTGGAGGCTGTTCGTCATGGTATAAACGCGGTCGCATAGATGGGAGAGTGACAGCGTTATTTGGTGGTTCGGCGCATCTGTTCAATAGATTGCTGTCGGATATCAGAGGAGAGGACTTTGATATCACTTATAGAACGGAGAATCCTTGGCGATTGATGGGCAATGGGTTTACCGAATTTGAGATGAAGGAGGGGTCGGATTTGGCGTGGTATGTGGAGGTCGCGGAGGAGGCGCAGGGGAAGGGGCCGAAGGTGGGTGGGGAGAAGTGATAGATTAGATTGATAAATGATGCTGATGCTAGCCTGATATATGACCAAGCGGGCATAGAATGTGTCCTCTGTGTTCGAAGCTGTTCGAGCAGAATATTTCCTTTATCAAGCAGTCCCTCATGCACAGAGCGCGACTCTGCCAGCTATCTTCCCATCACAAAGCTTCTGCAACCACTGCGGAAAGTCTTCAAGTTTACCTTGCTCAACATCTGGTTGTATCGCATCTTGCGCTATCAATTGAAGCACTTCCTCGAGGTCTCCAACTTGAGCACCATACGAGAACAGAATGCTCAAGCGTTTGCGTACACCCACTTTCATGCTGATCGTGTTTTCTGGAGAAAGTGTTCCAATGCAGACCATCTTCCCAGCTCGCCGGACTATCTCACAAGTCAATAGGTAAACGGCGAAGATCAGCGCAATCATTCTTACCAACTTGCTGTGCATCTTCAAACGTCTGCTTCAAGCCCACAAAGTCAATAGTTGTGTCGATCGTTTCTTCCAGGCCATTCTGCTTGACAAAGTCTTGTACCGACGTACCGATTGGCACAATGTCATGTTCAGGAATGCCCAGCTTTATAGCAGCATCTAATCGCTCTTGTCGGACCTCGGAGACAATGATTCGAGCACCAGTGGTCTTCAATACCTGCAAGCCATTGAAGCCGAGCCCACCGAGACCGAATAGTAGGACGGTATCGTGAGGCTTGACCTCTGCACGTCGATGAACAGCATGATATGCGGTGGCAACTGCATCTGTTGCGACTGCGGCTTGCAGTGGGCTGACGCCTGCATGAAACGAAGTATTAGCAATGGGGCAATTTGGTAGTCACATGTCTTCCGTGCTTACCTTGTGGCACTAGCACAGCACCACGCTGATCGATTGTGGCATATGGTGCAAAGAAGCCATCTTGACCAATACCAGAGTGATGACCACGTAGACACAATTGTGGTGTCCCGCGTGAGCATTCAGTACAGTCTTCTTGTCCGCAACCGGGAACAGCGAACATGGCAATGACATCGCCCTATATTATCGTCGATGTTAGCATGCTGGTCAGAATGAACAGCAGGGATTTACTTGCCACTTTGAAACGCTTGTCAGTCACATCTTTCCCGATCTCGATAATCTGCCCGCATCCTTCATGGCCCTGTGAGCATCCTCAGCTATCTGGTAATCAAGTGCAGACGCCATCGACGATATACAAGTATGTACTGATCTTGGAACCATGGTCGAGGATTGGTATCTTTGAGCATTGCTTGATCGCTATGACAGACTCCTGAAGCTAACATCTTGCAAAGAAAGCCAGTCGCCGGAGCCTCCGGGACGGGTACCTCGTCATATTGCTATATGATAACTATCAGCTCCGTTTGCCTTCAATGATCTAATCAGTTGTATTGACGATACTGGTGTTTCATTGCCTTGGTGCTTACGCCAAGCAAACATTGTGGTCGGTAGGCCAGCCATCTTCGTGGCAGCCAACTACGAGCTTTCAGGAACAATGATGGCTCGATGCTACCCCATACGCGCTTATGACTTAGTCTGTTGGACCTATCGAAATGCTGGCTAGGAGCGACCTCGGAACTACAGCTTCACGGCAATTCCTGGCCAGGTCCCGGCTAAAGCTTGCTGGAGGGGAGCATGCTCTCGGCAAATGTACTCCGAGCCATGCACTCGGGAGAACCTGAGGCAGCGGATGCATACAACAGAGGTGAACTCGCCAGGAGAAGAAAGCGATGGAGATGACAAAACACGAGAGGAGAAGGGGAGTCTTTGGTGTGAAGTTGAGGCAAATGCCAAAAGTCGCAACCGGCAAAGTCGCATTCGGACCGCAGCTACCCACTACTTGCCGCTGTTTGCTGCGGTCTCCTTTTTCATCTACCACCTTCGTCCCACGCGGCCACTGATCATGCGTTCGCTGGTCCCGACTGCGTCGCATTCACCATTCGTGAAGCACGTCTCAGCTGATGCGCCCACAGGCAGCATATAAGCACTCACTGACCAGCTCTTCCATCGCCATCAACACGGCAAGTACCATCGCTCTCGACACCGTTCATCATACATCACATCACTGCACAAGATGTCAGTTCATTCCGAGGGAGACAACGACTCAACTCGTTCCTCCACGCAAGACTCGACCTCAACGTACGCGTTCAGCGGCACGGACCCTCCTCATGAGGCATTTGACACGTTTCAGCACAAAGTCCTGGCGCTCACACACAGCATTTACGGCGTCGCAGCGGTCACCTTGCAGCGAGTCCGCGGGGGCAGCTACAATCGAGTTGTAGTAGCTCATGTCAAGCTGATAGATCAAGGTGAGTTGTCGGTGATCTTCCGGATTCCTCGCAATCGCAACGTCCCGGCGGGCATCGAGCGCAACAGCAGCGAAGACATCGAAACCGACATCCTCAACCAAGTGGCAGTGCTCCAGCTACTGCAGTCGAGGAGCATTCCGGCACCAAAGCTCCTAGCATATGATGCATCTAGTCAGAATGCAATCGGATTACCATATGTTCTACAACAATTCTCGCATGGGAAGACGCTCGAGGACTTCTACGAGGACATGACTTTCCAAGAAAAGATGCAAGTGGCAGAAACTTTGGCTGACTTCCTCGTACGCATGGAAACTCTCACATTCGAGGAGTCTGGAACTGTCGTCGCTACGCAGGCCGATTCTGCGGCCCCAGCTACCAAGGCTTCAGCTCTCAGCGCTCCACTCGACAACGTGACTGCAGGAGTCCGCGGTTTCTCAGATCCCTACGAGCATGTTCTCACACCACACACTGCGGCTTGCCCGCGCGAACTTATCGGCGGGCTGCTCAAAGCGCGGCTAGATGGTGAGGTGGCGCAGGGCGGACCTGAAAATGGAATGCGTGTGATACTGTCCAAGATTTATGCAATGTTCGAGGACATGTGCAGTGTTGGACTGTTTGAGGACGACGGTCTGACTCGAAGAAACATTCTGCATCACTGGGACTTGCAACCACGAAACATACTAGTGAAGACTACTTCGCTTGAACGTGGGGGGCAGGACTTGGAAGAGCGGCTCGAGAAATGTTTGGACATCGCAAGATCGCCCGAAAAGTGGATCATTGACGTGGTCGTCGACTGGGACCAAGTCCAAGCCGTTCCCTCCATCTTTGCGCGCAAGCCTCCCATCTGGCTCTGGGACTTCCCAATGGAGAAGTACGACCTCTCTCGCCCACCAGGCTATGACTTCGATGAGGACTTACAACCTGCTGAGCGCTACGACAGCTCTAAGGGCATGCTCTCGGCTGAGTCCGTGCAGATACAGGCAAGATTTGAAGAGCGGTTCGTTAGCAACATGCAACAACTTTACCCGACGTATACCGCCAAGATCTATCAGGATGAGGCATATGGTAGAGGTCGCTGGATCAGGCGAATGGCACGCTACGCCATATTCGGCCTTCATGACAGCGAGGCCTTCAAAAGATTCAGAGGCCTGGAGCAAGAATGGAGCAAGGCTCGTTCGAATCTTGCATTCTCTGCGGACAATGGATCATGAATATCTCACACCATAAAAGGCATCATTTACATTCAGCGGTCCCAGCCAGACGAGCAGCACCACCGTGTGTGCAGAAGTGCTCGGCGTCAAGGCTTCCACTTCTCACTACCTCGCTCATCGACTCCATCCATTTACCCACAATGCATCGAGCCTGATTCAAAATGTAAGCTTCTCGAATACAACTCATACATTGCATCCGGGGCATACATCTCCCTTCATGTACACATTCTCGCAGGTGGGCTTAGAGCGATATGTCTGGTGTCTTGGGCAGTACAACTTCTTCTGGTTGGGCGTCCTCACTTTAGGACGACAGTTCGGACCCTTCGCTTTTTTGCCCGGGCAGTGGTGAGTGGTGACCATGTCGAGAGAGGAATTACTTGTTCAAAGGCTTATTTCGTACTTGTTGAGAATTCCTGGTACTCGTCGGAGGTGCTCAGAGTTTTGTTTGCCTTGGAGGTGAGGTCTTCTGCTCCTGCCTCCGACTGAGTCTTTATGATGAAAGAGCCTCTCGGACAACAAGGACGGCAGCATTCTTATGCTGCTGCTCGGAAGAAGTATTCCATCATGCAATAACGCAAAGTCATTGCTGATCGCCATGGTACAGAGCAACGGCCATATGCCATAAGTGAAGCAATTGGAGTATGCAGATATGCTCGATCTATGTTCTTTCATTCACATCTCAGCAGTCAACGTGGAGCGGACCTTCGAGAATGAAGTCAAGTCTCAATGGCTGGCCTTCGATGCTAAAAATGTGAACAGTGCCGCCGGGAGCATGTGCGGCTGACTGCTCCGGCAATTTCACTCGGCGCCTCGAGTGCTGTGTGTGAAAAGCATGGCATGCTAAGGCCAGTGGTTCTATCAAGAGACGATTCTCCCACGCTCTCAGCCCAGCTATAGCCTCGACAGTTCATAATTATGTTCTTCTTCAAGATGCTGACACTGACACAACAAAAGTTGAAAGTGACAGTGTTTAGAAATTCTGCCTGTCGCCTCACTCGCTCTTTGAGCTCGGCAAAGCGAAACACTGAGCGCTCAAAATCTGCCACTGGAGCCCTCACTTACAATTGAATCAGCAGCATTATTGTGTTGAGGAAGCTGCTGCCTGACAGCTCCATATTCTTCACTTCAAATTCGTCAGTGACGCACTGACCACCAAGGCAGCACAAAAGGGTTTGCTTTATATTCTCTCAGAGTCATCAACCTTCTACCACTTCCAGCTATTGCAAGCTCGTTACAAGTCGCCATCTTGCTGAAGAGTTGTCATTCCTCGCTTCCATCAAGCCAACGCCATGGCATCTCAGCGTCGCGCACCCGGCCTCGAGGCCTCGCGCTGGGCCGACCCTCCCCAAGAACTTGTGCCGCCACCACCAGCTCTTGCTCCTGCTCAGCACATGTCTGAACTTCAGATCCAGCCCTACATACCTGCCGGCATGCAAATGCAGCCGTACTATGCCGCAAACCTTCAGCTGGTCCCGCGGCACTTTGCGGCTGAAGCCCACCACAACACCGCGCCCATCGCCGAAATGAAAACCCGACTCGCAGAGATGGCCTCGGTCCACTCGGAGGACGTCCTACAACTGAATCGCCGCGCAAACCAGCAGGAGGACGCGATCGAGGACATTAAGGAGGTGTTTCAGAATGATATGCAGGTGCTCGAACAGCGCCTCAACTCTTTCATCGAGCAGCAAGCTACGCCGCTGCCATCGAAGGCGAAGCACAACTCATCTGCTTCCGATCCCTTCGTTGACAAGCAACCAGCCAAAAAGCAGACTCCAGGTCACATCGTGTGCGAGACCAAGGATGCAGTCGTCGACGTCGTCATACAACACATCGACCAAGTAAGCGCTAAGCAAGAGCGTGTTGACAGTGCATATGGCTCACCGACCCGCTCTCAGCCCTCGAGCGCCGCATCCTGGCGTCCGATGGCTATTCGCAAGCTTCCACCGAAGTCCATCTCCGACGAAGCAGCAATTCACAATGAGGTCTTCACATGGGACTTTCTGCGAGACTTGCTCGGCGGAAAAGAATGGTCTCCAGGCTTCTACTTCAACAGCAGCAAGGACTGCATCCTTCCCACCAAAGGCTATTGGCTGGTAGACCTAACACACGAACCATTCATGCCACGCAACCCGGGCGAGCACGGCGCGAAGCTGACGGCCTTCTTCAACGAGACCTTGGCTGGAGATGACGATGCTCCTGATGAGATGAACTACAAGGACACGCCAGTCTTTGTAAGCTCTGACGGTGGAAAGATGTATCGATATGTGGGGAAGTACAGCCAGAACCGTTACTCGGACAAGGTTGGATATGACACGATGATGGAGCACATTCCACAGTCAGTGCTCAAGTTCCATGCCGGGCAACTCGCACAAGTCGGCCGTCCGAAGTGGATCACCACATGCCTGAAGAACCACTTCTGGCCCAAGCCGGTCTATGAAGGTCCAGTACCGACCGAGTCAGAGGATGCAGCGGCCGAGATCTCCAAGTCGGGCATCGATTGCAAGGTCACGAAAGCACTTGATGCGTACGCCAACGAGCTGAAGGAATGGGAGAAGTCCTCTTTGGTCAAAGTGAACCTGCTCGAAGCCTCTACCATTTTGAAGGCGTTCAACACCGAGGACATCCTTTCAGAGCCCGGCCTGCGCCTGTGGTGGGAGTATCTCGAATGCGTCGGTTATGATGACGCTTTCTACGACATGCTCGTAAGTCTCGCCAAGGCAGACTCCATGCACAATCAGCACAACAAGTCCGCCGCACTCAAGGAGACCGCCGCCTCTCACATGTTCTCGCCCAATCACACTCCATCGCTTCCAAAGTCTCCTCTCTACGGCGCCAGCACCAAAGCTCTGCAGAAGAAGCAGTGGCAAGAAGATCCAGGAGTTGATGCCTTATCTCTCCCAGAGACCAAGTGGTCCACCCCGAAGTTCGACTCCGCTCCTGTTGCCGCTCCCAAACAGAAAGCTGGCAACCAGACCAAAGCCACGGCCAACCCCTTCGATGGCAAAGGCGACATGAACGCTGCTAAGGATTTCGCCAAAGAAGCCACGCCCGCACATGGCCGTACGAATGGCACGTTTGCAAAGAAGGCAGCAGCAAAGAAAGCAGCAGTGCACGGCACATACCCCGCATGCCCTCCCACGCCAGCATTTGGCGCTATTCCAGGCAAGGCAGTGAATGCAGAGAACACGTCGGAGCCCATTGCGCAAACTAAGAAGACTAAGAGCACTCCGCCACACCTCAGCCGAGGTAAATGACTACACGAAATGACCAAATATGGCTTGCTCCAAGACGGACAAGCCAAGCTTTCTGCCAATGGTCCGACAAGCCACAATCCAACATAAACGAGTCTCTAAGAGGGACTCGTCGTCGAGGAACGAGCGGATGATGAGCTTGGAAAGAAATGCATACGTGAAGAAACTCAAGAACGGTGTGGAGAGAGGGATGCGGATGGTAGAGGACGAAATTGGCACGACGAAGGGCGTTAGCGAGGAAGGAAAGCGGCGAAATGTAGCATGCTATGGCCGTCTAGACCTACTCGAGCTCCTTTGAATTCAAGTCTGAAAAGTGTTTGTACGATATCCTACTTCCTACTTCTCGTCTCAAAACATTCTTCGGCATCGAGCGTCGTAAAAGTGCCTAAAACCGACATTTCCCCGGAAATTCAGCCAAGTTTGCCCCTAATTGTACACAAAAGCAGGGAGACGAACGAAGATAGCTTCTCACAGGTGTTTGTAACATTCCAACGGCTACGAATGATCAACCGCAAACACAATAGTAGACACACACCATTCGAGTAGAAGGTGAAGCTGTGCATAGGCAACGGAGAAACTTTGATTGTAGTACTACACAAGGCTGGATGCCTGATGACCCGTGGCGAGCATCATCAGTAAAGAGTGGAACAGCCAACACAAAGAGAAATAAGCAACGTCTCTATCCCAGAAATGCTCCACCAATGCTTGCATGAAGAAGCCTTTTCGCGCACTCATGAAACTCCGATGCAGTTTCTAGGATCGGTCATCACGCCGAATCATCGTGAATCAATCGCACAAACTCACCAGAGTAGTACGACGGTGTTGACAAGCTTCTAATCGCCACTGACTAGATCTTCCACAATCTAGTTGCAGTTTCCTCGGTAGTCGGCTCCGACGTGGTCTGGATCCTGCAGACCCCATTCCTTCATGTGCTTCCTGCAAGCACCCAAGAAATCCTGGCCGCTAATGCGCGCGACGTTGGCGTTCTCGGTGCACTTGCTGTTGGCATAAGATGCAGACTAGCAAAGGCCAAAGTCAGCTTGATGCGTCAACGATTTACAACAGTGCTCAAAGAATTGATTTACCGTCCAATCATTGCAGGCCGCGTGGGTAAGATCGGGGTGGATTGTCCACACCCAACCAGTCTCCTTGTTTTGGTAGCAGCAGTTGTGCTCGGAGTGATCGTTCGTTGCCAGAGCAAGGCCGGAGAAAGTGGCGGCAAAAGAAGAGAACGGTGGCCTTCATTTTGACTGTGGTTTGAGCGATGGGCTTTGAGGAGGTTTGGCTTTTGGTATCTGTTGCGTTGTCGAGATGGAACTGTGTGTGATGAGCTGCTGTTCGTCGAGCTGATCGATCCTTATATATCAATTTCTCGGATCCTGCTCAGTTGCTCGATGTGTCCTCGTGGTAGCAAGACTGAGGCCAGACCTTCGGACGTCCCGGAGATTCGAGTGTCCTGCGAAGAGACTAAGGCAGTAGTACGACGTTCGTTGAAGCTTCATCCTGCTATCTTTGCTATTGCCGATGAAGTCCACGGGCGGTCCGAAGTAGTTTCCCTACACGAGGACTAACAGGCGTCGTTGATTCGGATTCCGTCAGGGGCTCAGAAGCCAAGCAGGGACGAATAAGACATTGGAGAGATTATGAACTGGGGAAGTTGACTAGTGCAATGTAATGCGGCCGCCGAAGCCTCGAGAGTAGGCTAAGAGCAACTCGCTCCCGTGATGCGCGCGGTCCTCGGGAGCCGTACCGGTGCACCGGTGGGGAAGTGGGACATTTTGTCTCGCACGAGCAGGCGCCCAGCGTGGCACGTTTCCTAAAGATATAGCAGCGTTTGATACACGAGAGACCATCACCTTGTACAACGCAGTCTTGTGTCCTACTGATTGCAGTCGCGATACTAGTTCTGGGACTTTCCAGTTCCATATTTCTTCGAAGCTTACGCGCCATGTGGAGATGACTTCGGCTTGGTGAGATCTTAGATCGCTTCATACGGTTTCGTGGACCCACAAAGTAATGCAATGTCGCAGTCCGTTATGATACATCCAACGCTCCAACAGCATCGCCCCGAAGGTGGGCCGTGTCTGATCATATGCGAAGCCAGATCATCGGCGCGAAGCAGATGTCCGGCAACGTACGGGCATGGAAGGGATTCCTTTCGTGGGCCAGATTGACAGTAGAATGATAGAGCTGAAGGACATCACGGTCAAGCTTTCTCGGACCGCCCTACTCGATCTTGCTACCGGGGTCATTGTATTGATCCGACGCCAAGCAGCTTGATGCCTTTCGACCTCTTGAGTCACCCTTTCGTGGAAGCTGCACAAGCATACGTTCGCGAACTTCGTTCAGCATGACATAAGTCATCTCCGTGATGCAACTCGCATACCAGTGCACTCGATTGGTGGCGCTGAAGTGCCCTGCTCATGAGCCGCATGCATTGAGTCCAGGCGGTTGAACTTGATTCAGACCTTGCTCAACTACAGCGCAGTCCGGGCTCACGGTCGGATGAGGCTTTTGCGGCGAGTACCTTCTTCCCGGTTCCATGAGGCCACATCTGTATATTTGAGACGTTCTAGGCTTGGGATTTCGCGGGTTGTCTTTGGCATATCGATCTATTCTCAAAGCGGAAATAATCAGGTGAGCTTATATGTTCAGCCGTTAGATCCGCGTTTCTGCAAGCAAGAAAAGATTTTCGAAGCGATTTTGTCGAAGCGATTTCCGTACAATGCTCTGTCGCACTGTTTTCCATCGCTATCTCGTCGGTCACACAATTGCTGATTTCGGGTTTGATGATCTGTGCTCCTCGAAGTTCCGGGACGCAAATGCTTTAGCTAGGCGGTGAACGCGAGCAAACCATGGTCAGAGCGGCACCAACATTTAATACTACCAGAGCGATCCACTTTGCTGCCGTGTCATGGCGAACGCGCAAATTTCAACGGCCTGTCAAGGCTTGCTGAAGACAACTAACGCCTCCTGCTTCGAGGCTCGAGACCTTCTGACTCCAGTATCGATGCTACATAGCATCCTTCAAGCTCTACCGCATGGTCGGGCAAGAGGCCTGCCAAGACATATGGAGAAGCCGCCGAGGAGTTTCAGAAAGTGAAGTTGGTCCATCCGCCTTTTAGCGTGTGGTCGATGCTTGGCTTTCCTAGAATGCTATACTAGGATTCCCACTCTCGTGGTGTTCCAATAGCAATCTGACTGAGCTAGTCAGATGAGGACACTTATCATCGCTTGGATATGAATGGTCGCACTCTTCAGTGCGAAGTCCGTGTAAGCTATGCTAAGTCTTCCAAAGGCCCCTACCAAGCTCGTAGAAGCAACGGTGTTCCTGGGAAATTGTCCACTGCCCTAAGTCCACTTTTCTCGGAGTCACTAACATACTTTGCTTCTTTAGGAAGCTTCGTTAATGGGGAGCCGCATTCGTCGGTATGCTCTCTGCGGCGTGCAAATACTCCACACCTTCATAACTCTCAAATCTTGCGTATGCAGGTTCACGTTTGCAACACAACTCCGAAGGAACAGCTTCCATAGCTATAGATCTGGAAGCGTAGGAGATGGGTGGAGGACCCGAGTGAACACGAATTATTCTGTTCATGATCCAAGCTTAGTCTGCTCGATCACTCACTGCAACTATCGCCGAAAGCGTTGCCCATGCGATGGCGGCTCTTTACGGACGTGAGGCAAGCCCGACGCAATCGTCCGCAGCACATCGCGGCATGCTCATGTCGCTGCCCGACACCGGATGCGACTTTCATCTAGATGAGGGCATTGTACATCATCCAGCTTGCTGCTTCGCTATCGTATGGCCTCAATGGTCCGTCCCTGATAGTGAAATCGTAGAACCCACGACGGTCTTGATCGGTGGAAGATCGCGGTCCTCAATGTAGTGAGGAGCGGGAGAGCTAGGCTAGTGCTCTCGCTATTGACATGGCCCGCAATTTCACCGCCCAGAATGGAGGTATTTCTGATGAGACCGGCAGTTGTTGCACGTTCATGTGCGGTTCGCAAGTGCGGTGCTTTGGAATGTGTGCTTTCCCTATCCAGCTACACAGACTTGAACGTGCCAGCTTCCCACCCTCGTTTGCTCTTGCACCTGCTACATCACCCTCTGGAAGGCTTGGCGAAGAGGTAGAAGGAGGATCAACTCGATGCATACAGAAACATCCTCGCCATACACGTCGTTTCTACACTTCTAATGGCAAAGTCTCTTGTAGGGCATATCTGGCTCACATGAGTGAGATCTTCGGCTTGAAATTTCTGACTACGAGTGGGATTGTCAGCCATCGGCACTTGATTGCTCCACTACTGGAAAATATTACCGGACAAGGAGCGTCTTCGCACAAGCTCCGCCGGCTTACGCCCTCACTTATTACACTCGTGTTACGGACTGACAGTGCCAATGGGAGTTAACTCACACACTCTACCTATACCGTTGTCCATCCCGCATCTTTACCGCCGCTTGATAAGTCCGGCAGTACTATTACAATAGCTCTGTGCGTTCCGTACACCTCCGGACTCAACACAGACTCTTCCCAAAATATTACCCGTAGTTCTATAGCATCGTCAGTTTAGGCGCAACATCATCGTCGAGTCAAGACAAGCCTGTGCCTGTATAGCAGGGAAAAAAGTTCGACCATGCCATCATCGTGCAACGGAGATACAGTCATCAACTTAGACACCGAGATGATGCTGCCAGATTACCTCAGGATTCTGAGTTGGTGTCTGATCACTTCGTACACCGGACCGGTTTGAGAACAACGCGACACCAGCGATTGATATCAAAGCAGTCATGTGCGTCTCAACACTCATCTCATCTCCTCTGGGTTGGCTCGACTTCCGGCACATCAAGCCTTCGGCCCCGTTGGGATAACCACAATGCATGAATATCTACAATTTCTACACAAAGAGGAGATTCATTCGCGGCAGTACATGAAGATTCTTGCTGAGCGTAAAGAGCAGAACAAAAAATATGGTCGACCCGAGAGGTCAGTCGAGTTGTGTCTCAGCAGAAAGGATGAGAATAACCGTGAGCAATAGCAGCGAGCAGGGAAGCAAATCTCCAAGAGCGAACCCCCAAGATAAGGGCGTACAGAAAACTGGCAGACAACTCACCGATGGGCGACCTTCTCCCAAACGCGACGAATCCATCCCGTCGGTCCCATGACGGAAGCCACGCGGGCGATATCTGAATTATTACACACGGCAAAGCGAAACACTCTCCGCGTCAGGCACATACAGATCATCTCCCACGCCCGCTTGATGGGCTGTGCTAGCTGTGATGCGGATCGAACAAGGACGTGAAAGCTCGACCTTTCCCTCCAATCCAGAAGTCTGAGAACGCAGAGTAGCATTCTCGCTGGCCTCCGGTCTGAATCCGCAGCGCTGGGTCAACTGGGACCTCCCGTCACGACTTTGTACAAGCGATCCAGATTGTTTCATACTATCCTCCTGGCATTCGCTGGAGCCAAAAGTTCTACATGCGTACGAAGCGCGAAACAAGCTTGAAAGTACGATCATCAAGCGAACAGCATATGACCTGCGAGGGGAGAATGTGACAAGGAAACGCGTACCACTTTGTGTACATTGATTCTTGCATGCTGTCGTTCACCGCGTCGGCCTTGTTGGCAAAAATCAAGGCATTGAATGCCCCCATGCAGTACGGGAGCAGTATGAGCAACGATCGATTTGTACACAGGAGTGCAAATGTATATCCTCGTAGGTATCTAATGAGCCACCTTTGGACGGCTTTCGTTCTTCATCGCATACACATCAGGTGTCACAGTGAGCACATCAATGTACGATCTCCAGAAATGAACATCTTCGATTCCTCCACTGATTGACACAAACCAGCCATACCGTCCTCGAATATCCGTATAGAAGCATCTTCACATAGCGCAAGTAATCCTACTGATGGGTCGACCGAGAAAGTCAAGCGTATTTGTATAGTGTCCTCGAACACGGAAGAAACTTCCAAAGGCATGTAAAGAAGAGAACATTGTATTTATAGGGGTATCCTCCGACCAGGGCCCTGATGCCCATGCATGCATGCTGTGAACGTTAAATCTAAAACATTCACCCAGAACTTTCTTCCACCCGTCCCAAGAAATGCGTGCGGATCCTTCTGACAAGATCCTCACGGATGTCTTGCTTCATCTTCCCTGCGAGGACTTCCTGCAGCTTCAGGCCACTCGATAATTACCTTGTCACTGCGCCACGGTTGCTTTTCTGCTTCCAGCAATTCTCGTAACACTTCCAACTAAATCCTCGATCCATTGCGCCTGCTCTCTGCTGCCGCCTCCGCTGAATAACCACGCATCGAAACCCACCAGGCACGCGCCACATCAGCACGAGAGGAACCAGAATCCCGTCTGCTGCCTATCGCACGCCGTTTACCTTCTGACTTCTAACCAGTAAATTTAAACTTCGTAGCTTCCAACCGACCCAAGCCCTCGCGCGGAGCGACATTCCGTCGGCGATAAGAGTTCGTGAAGTCCTGCAGCAGACCTCTAATCTTGCGCACTTCTCCGTTGTCGATGCGTTGGCCGATATTGCGTAGGAGTCGTTCTTGCTCTTGCGGGGCGATCGATCCGGGTGGAAGCATCGAGACGGTCTTTCCGACCCAGTTCGCGGTGTCCTTGGGCAAGAGTTGGAAGAGAGCAAGGAGCACGCCGGAGGCATCAGGGAAGCAGTCTGGAGGGAAGGTATACATCATGCCGGTCATGCAGCGCTGCGTCAAGTCCTCGCCGGTGGCCTTTACGAGTTCCTTCACTGTCTGCTGAATCTGAGGTGGATTCGGTCGATTGCTGTAAGTGCCGTCGTTCGCGTCAAAGGACGGAGATGGCGCATCTTCTCCGCCATACGCCAGGAAATCCCGAAGGAAGTGCAGCGTAGCGATAATCGGCTCCTCCTTCAGCAATGTCAGTGAGGTCGTTGCGGCTCGAAGGATGGTACCCATCAAGTCTGAAGCGACAATCTTGTTCGGATGGTAGAGAAGCACGTCCGTTGATAGGCGGAAGAAGTCTTCAATGACGTCGGGCACTTCCTCGGGTGCAAGATCATTGAGTGCGCGCATGAAGGCAGTTGCTTGTTGTTCGTAGAAGGCGTAAATCTGATCGGTCGTCTGTCGGGAGATATATTCGCTCTCGTCGGAGAACTCGCGAATAATGCTATCTGTCGCCCAGAGGAAACATCCTTGTCTGCTGGTTGCGAATCCAGTGGAGAGCTTGTCAGCCAGGCTTGGTAACAGAGGAGCAGCGTGAACGCGATATGAGAGAACCATGTATCTCCAGCATCGGCAGACGCGCTCCACAATCGGTATGAATTGGATGAAGCTTTCGCAAATCGTGGCCAGTACAGGAAAGATTTCCTGGCAGTACTGCACCACTGGATGGGGTTCTGAAGGCCCGATGTACGGGGTCACCCACTGGATGAAGATGGTCAGCAGGTTCAGATGATCTGCAATCGCCAACTTCTGCTCTTTCTCGGTAGCGTTCTGCGCCATGGCCATGAGTCGGCGCACGATCGGGTCGCAGCAGAGCTTCACGTTCTGATACAGTGCGTCGATTGGTTGTTTTGCGAGGACAGAAGCAACACCTTCTGTTGTCTCCTCCTGGCTGGTCGGCGGCAATGCGTCAAGATTCGTCTCATAGAATTGCTGAATCTGAGGCATGTAACCCTTGAGCAGCTCCGCGCAGTCGTTGCAGAAGAATTTGAAGCTGAGCGCAGCCGCCCGAACGACTTCTTTCGACGAATGCGAAAAGGCAGCCATAATGAAGTTGAGTTGATCTTGCAATGTGTCCGGATGTTGTGCTGTCCATTCGGTGTAGCGTCCCAACGCCATGACGGCTTGGAAGCGCACCTTCTCCTGGTCCGGAATCTGTACAATGAGTGGTATCAGTCGTGGCAGCATGATATTCTCATCAGACGGCACTTGACGGCCCATTGCCCGCATACTAAACAGCGGAGCCTCAAGTCTCTGCCAGTGTGGGACCAGCCCGTTCTGTGCTTGTGAGCCGAACTCGCTGACCCATTTCTCGATCAACACGTAGCTCTTTTGCAGGCAATCGGTAACGCCAATCACCTCGCAGCAATCCTTCAGCACATCTCCAAGCTGATGTCTGAACTCGCGGAAACGATCCTCAGCTTCTCGGTCGCCGTCGAATAGATCTGTGTCGTTGCCGTTCTCCGCGTACGGATACTGCAGATGCGTGATCATGATGTCCACCAGTGCTGAGTAGATATCGACCATCTGGACTCGCGCCTCCATGTATCGATCCAAAGTGATGTACTGCTTCAGCTCGTACCAGAAGTTGAACGTCTGGCTCAGAGCCTCTCGCTCTTTGTCCCGGCGACAGCACTCCAGCACGGCCTCCACCAAAGTCTTGAACTGCTGTGGTTCCCTAGCCACGAGTATGACCCAGGCCTCTCCTGCTTCTGCGAACACTCTTGTCACACCCTTGAACGTCTCCCAATCCTCCTCGTCGGATGCGGTGGCTATTCGAGGTGCCAAAGTTGCCAGTCGGGGGTACAATGCTTTGATCGTGTCCATGTTCTCGTCCACCTCTCTCGTCTCTTTAAAGATGCCACACAGCGTCTCCACCGCTGCATCGAACGAAGAATCCCCTTGCACCGCTGTCATGACAACCTCCATCAGTGGCGAGCTGACAATATCGTGCAGCGGCACTTCTCTGATCCATGATATGATGCACTCCATGAGTTGTGGATTGTTGACTGCCTCAGGCGATGATTGCGCATACTGGATGAGCAGTTGCAGCACGTGCTGGCCATTCTGCTCCAACAGCTCCACCTGTCTGTCTCGCAACTCATCTTCTGCTAATGCAATCTTGCGCCCCTCTGTCACCTCCTCTGGCAGCACATGCAAAAATTCCAGCACGCAGGAGATGCCCGCTTGGTCACTGCCCAGCGTGCTCACGACCGTCTGCAACACATTCTTCCAGTCGAGCATGAGAATGGCGAGGTTTGCCAAACATACACATAATTGTGTCCGGATCGGTTTCGGGCCCTTTGCGTACTGCGCGACAGTCGCAAGCAGGGTATCTCGTAATTGTGGCCATGATTCGCGAGGAATCTGGTGAAAGTCGAAGATTATCTGGTTGAAGAATACTTTGTCAGTCCCGCTCCATTTTCGCCTCTCAACTGCTCTTACCTTACCTTTCCCTTCAACGTCGTCGCCGCGAACAATTTCGCCTCGTCTGTTGACTGTGCCGATTGCAAAATGGAAAATGTGTGAGTCCAGGCGTCTTGTGATTTCTGAAATTGCTCCAGAAAGGCGTGCGCTTGTGTCTTTTGGCTCTTGTCGGCGCTGCTGGACATGATGGCCAGAGCGGACAGCACCGGCGCAAAGGCCTCGTTGACGGTCATGTTTGCGGCGTGGAGTGGGAGTGTCTGTTGGTTTAGAGGAAACGGGCGTGGTTCGTTGTCCGCCTGATCATTTCTCGTCGGCAGGCAAAGTGTGTGGTGAGTGAGTAAAGACCGTGGGAGGGTTGGAAGGTGGGAAAACGGTTGTTGTTGCTGGATGTGATTGTTTGTGGTAAAAGAGGCAGCCCCACCAAAGAAGAGTAGAACGCTCCTGCCGATTGCCATGCTCGACAGAGTCCGTGCGCGCCTTCCAAAACTTTAGTCTCGGGAGACTTGCAGCTGCACCTCGCGACCACCGCATCGAATTCGAGACTCTGACAAGACATCCAACCTCCACTTTGACAGCCCGTCGCACACAATTTACCGCACGCACACTTCTCACGCGACCACGACGTGAACCATCGCGCCGCGCCCCGTTGCGCTCCACCAACCGCACCTCCAACCACAACCACAAAACTCCAACATGGGCGATCGCAGAGGCGGCGGACAGCGAAAGGTCCTCCTTCCTCCAATCAACTTTATCTTCAAGCTCTTGCAGCAACACAGCACAGTTCAGATCTGGCTTTACGAGCAGCTGGGCATTCGAATTGAGGGCAAAATCCGAGGGTTCGATGAGTTCATGAACTTGGTGATTGATGATGCAGTGGAGGTGAAGCAGCCTGCCAAGGGAGCCACAGACACAGAGGAGAAGCCAGGAGACAGGCGAGAACTGGGTGAGTGAAAGGCGTTCATGATTTTGGACAAAAGTTGGAAGCTGACATGACGCGCGCAAACAGGTCAAATATTGCTCAAGGGCGACAACGTGTGCTTGATCCAGAGTTTATCGTGAGACAGTGATGCCACGAAAGGAGGGACACGCTGAGCGAATTGCTCGCGAAGGCATTGAGTGCGGACACATGGCGTAGCAGAGTCATGCTTCGGACAAGAGCGGGGTCCGCTGACAGCGACGCGACCACCGCATCGCGAATCACGAGAAGAAAATGTCAAACGAGGACGAGGACAAGTCCCAAAGGGTGGACACGATCCGGCACGAACAGTGAGTCGCCCTCATGCTGCGCGCTCAAATGCGGTACACTGTAATGCTCATTGGATATCATCTGAAGTCAGCAATGTGCCATCGCCCACGGCCACGGCGTCCACTCTCCAATCCCAAGGTTCCATGACGAGTTTTCCCTCAGGCACAATCTGCTCTGCCAGACAGAGTCCGACTGCGGAGGTCTGTCAGTGAGGAGAAACATCAGTGATGACGTGGGTCCACTTACAGAGATACGGCTTCTTGCTCTTCCCATCGCCAAAATTCCGCGTGAGGAATTTGTCGTAGAATCCTGCGCCGTGACCGAGTCTGTTCAGTTCTCGATCAAAAGCCACAGCAGGCACGACGATCAGGTCCAGACCAGCTTCTCTCGCTGCATCACCTTCATTCTCTACTCGACTTCCATCAGCGTCCATCGACGACAACCCCTTCCATCCCATCGCATTCTCCCTCTGCTCAATCCCCTGATCAGACAACTTCGGGATGCCCCACCCATCCTTCTCCAGTCCAGCATACTCTTCTATCGTCTCCAGTTGCAACATATCCATGACCTTCGTCGTCCGTTTCTTTGATGTGGCATCATCATTCTTGACCGAATAAATATAAGGCACGCAGACTTTCTTGGCTTGCGATGATGAAAGCGCGTCCCGAATCAATATATCCGTCTGTGCTTCACTTTGCGGCATAGAGAGGTATATCCCAACTCGTCGAGCATTTTGGTATTGTGACGAGTTTAGAATAATGTTTTGAGCTTTTTCGGATTGTGCAGTGAGGTCTTGTGTAGAGAGTTGGGAGAGTCGGGATTTTATATCTGATCGGAGGGCTTTTTTGGCTTCTTTTTGGGAGTTGTGGGAGGACATGCTGAAGGGCTGTTTTCTATGTTCGCAGATTTGACTGAGTGTTTTTGAGAAGTGGATTGAGTGTCTGCAGAGAAAGCTTCGCGTCAAAATCGTGCAGAAGGGAGTTGGTATGAGGCCGTTCATGTTCTTGATGCTGGAGGCGGGGTGCTGGGATGATGGCGATAAGAAAATTGTTCGGAGCTGCTCTTCAATTGCCGTCTTAACAACGCAGTCTCCCTGTTATTGCTTCCATGAACACCACGAGAGAATAAGTGCCAGCAAAGAGTCCGTTCTTGATCAATAGTGGTACATGGCCTTCCCACGCGTGTTGCTATCTTGAGCGCCAAGAAGATCAGCATCAGGGCGACTTCCCATTGTGGACAAACACGACTTCCACCCGACCAGTGGCTCCAGCGACCACTTTCTTCACCACCCGTTGCGTTCTCGCCTCGCTCGTTGCTTTCGCATCCCACACTCGTTCAACACACCACTCGACACAAACACACAACATGCGCCGCACACTCGCGCTCGCCGCAGCTGGACTGGGCCTGATCGCATCCTCGCACGCCGCACTCCCCTCAGACATCATAGGCACCTGGTCCACCAAATCCGGCAAGACTCTCACCGGCCCTGTATGTCTCACCACCACACTTCCCTTGCCCTTCCCTCCCCCGGTAGATCACCCGACTCACACATCTTCTCCAGGGCTTCTACGACGCCATCAACGACAAACTCATCGAACCCTCACACACCGGAATCTCCTACTCCTTCACCGCAGATGGCTACTACGAAGAAGCCTACTACCGCGCCATCGCGAACCCCGTCCGACCGAATTGCCCAGGTGGGATAATGCAATGGCAGCATGGAAAATGGGAGCAGTTGTCGAATGGGTCGTTGGCTTTGACCCCTATTGCTACGGATGGGAGGCAATTGCTCAGTAAGCCGTGCGATAATGAGAATGCGATTTATACGAGGTATAATCAGAGCGAGACGTTTAAGGTGCGTAGTCGAGGAAGAAGTAAAAGCTGTGAGAAAGGGAGCTGATGGGAGTTACTGTTACAGCAATACCAAGTTCTCACCGATCCTTACCACAATGTCAAACGACTCAATCTTTGGGAGTTTGACGGGACTCCGATGCAACCTTTCTACATCGCTTTCGAACCGCCTCAGATGCTTCCTACGACGACTTTGCACGCCACGACAACGGAGACTGCGAAGGCCGGGAAGAAGAGCAAGAGAGGATTGGAAGATGCGGGTCCTGCTTCGTATATGGAAGTTCCATTGAACTGGAAGAGCAAGTTTGAGCAAGGCAAGGGCGGAGACATGTTGGTGCAGAATATCAACCCTGATCGGCTGTGGTGGGTCGGGCTGGCGTTTACTGGAATCGGAGGACTGCTGTATTTTGGTCCGAGACGACTGGGGCTGAGGATTTAGGAGATGGTCTTTCAATGAGGCGTTTTTTGTATGGATATCATGAGAACAGGACTAGCGAGGCATGCGTATGCATGAATACGGAGTGGGGTTCAAGAGCATAATGAGCGTTTTACAAAATGGGCATGAGAATGGCGTTCTAGGATGGCGTCTACGGAGAACAGCCAGCAAGCAGGATGGCTGCGGCTGGCTATGGGTGTGGCTCAGATGATGCGAGTGTGTATGCATAAAGTACGCGGGACACGCAAGAAGTGTATGTATAGTGGCAGAGCATCGAATTGCGAAAAGGACAGCATTATTGCAATATGTTGGTTCTCACTCTCACAATCGGTCGGGATGCTTGCACGTAGCACTGAAGCACTGCACGTGAAGTAACAGAGGATCAAATTCTGAGCAAGAAGAAGCATTCATGTTGCTCACCAATCCTTCCTTCTGTCTGGTAAACCTTGGCGGATCTATGAAACTTTGCGTTATATACCATCACCCACTTCTTGTACCATTGCCTCCCTCCTTTCCTTGCTTCATCAGTATTAAATGGCACGTCGAAGGAGGAGAGGTGTAGCAAACAACCGCCGACTGCTTCCGAGGCGTGTGACGTGTGGGCTTGCCGCCCGCCGGGACAGAGTTTCTGGTCACATCGGCGGAGGTCGTCGCGTTCGTGCGAGAGCATCATCCATGCCACCCGATCTCGGCAACGGAGAAGTGGACTGATTCTGTCGGCAGAGGCACAAGAACGGCAACAAAGCCTTGGAAATGAATGCTTGTCCGACAGGCCAAGTTGATGCAAGAAATGGCCGATTTCTCGGCGCTCGAACTGCAGAGACGTCGCGTCCACATACAAACTTTGCACATGCACGAGCTGCATCAGCGCCATCGCCCTCGCCGCCACAGACACCCTGGCAAGACGAGAAAATTATCTGATCCGACTTGCCGAGTCTAGCGTGTGAGGGCCATGCTCATTCGACGTGAGGCACAGAGCGGAAAGCTTTCCTCCAGTAGGACAAATGGGTCAGGTCCGGGACCACGTATCGTTCGTTCCGTTGCGTGGGATGGCAGCGCGAACAAGAAGTGCGACCCCAAAATGACAAAGTGTCCGAGCAGCGCGCGCGCGTTCTCGCTCGAGCGTTGGTGCTGAAGTGGAGCGCTTCTAAGACCTGCAGCACGCGCCTTTTCCTCAAGAAGCGAGCCATCTTATCAATCTGACAAGATCTTTCCATCGCCTTCACACTTCACTTTGCTGATCGACACTCACTCGCGCATCACCTCCACCCATTCGACAGTCGATCTGCGGGCGTTGACGGCTCACGATGGCTGTCCTCGAACAGATCCGCGGTCGCCAGACTGAGCAGCACACTGCGGAGGCCTTTGCAGTCACTGACCATGTTGGCGGAAAGTCGCCTGTCGAAACATCTCACTCCAAGGATGAAAACTCGGACAGCGACGCGTTGAGTCTCGAAGCTCAGAACGACAAGGAGGTTCAGCAACACCCAGATCAAGTCACTGCCGATGCCCCCGAAGGTATTCAGAAGGCAGAAGCTGCCGCCCTTGTCTGGACCAAGCCCGTGCTCTATGCTACCTTTGCATGGTACGTAAAAGAAGCAGCCCCCCATGATCGTCTTCATCACTGACCAGCGCCGCACAGGATCTGGGTCTGCTTCTTCATGCTGGCCCTCCAGTCGTCAATCATGTCCGTGGCCTCCGTCAACGCATACGCCAACTTCAGCACCGCTCCCGCCTACACCACCGCTCAGATCCTCGCAACCATTATTGGCGGAGTGCTGAAGCTGCCAATTGCAAAGCTGCTCAACATCTGGGGCCGTACTGAAGCCTACCTCGTCTTCTTCGGCGTCTACCTGCTCGGCATTCTCATCATCGCATCTAGCGATGGTGTCAACAGCTATGCCGCCGGTTATGTCCTGTACTGGATCGGTTACGATGCCGTCTACCTCATCCTCGATATTTTCGTGGCTGATACCACCGGCCTCCGCAACCGAGCATTCGCATGGGGTTTTGTGTCGACGCCATTCATCTGCACTGCCTTCACTGGACCCCTTGCAGGTCAGGCGTTCTTGGACACTACCACTTGGAGATGGGCGATTGGTGCATTCTGTATCATTCAGCCTGTCGTCTTCCTTCCATTGGCCATTGTATTCAAGTTCTACCAGCGCAAAGCTGAGAAGATGGGTCTGCTGAAGAGGGAGAGCTCTGGTCGCACTGCGATGCAGTCGTTCATGCACTACTTCCACGAGTTTGATAGTAAGTGACCCCCTTGCTGCCCTCTGCTCCTGCTAACACCTCCACCAGTCGTCGGCTGCGTCCTACTCATGCTGGCATTCGTCCTCTTCCTACTCCCATTCTCCCTCCAGTCCTACGGCCGAGCCTCATTCACCTCCGCCACCTTCATCGCCATGGTCGTAATCGGCGTCTGCCTCTTCCCAGTCTTCTACGTCTGGGAACGCTACTTCGCTCGCGTCCACTTCGTCCGCTGGGAGCTCATCCGCGAACCTACCGTTCTCGGAGCCTGCGTCCTCGCCGCCGTCCTCTACTTCAGCTTCTACTCCTGGGACCTCCAATTCTACAACTACGTCAAAGTCACCTACGCCCTCACCGTCCGAGATGCAGGCTACATGGCACAAATCTATAACGTAGGTTCGTGCTTCTGGTCTCCTGTCTTTGGTGCTTGGGTTTACTACTCGAAGCGCTTCAAGAATGCTTGTCTCTTCTTCGGTTTGCCACTCATGTTCCTCGGATCTGGTCTCATGGTTCATTTCCGTGGAGGCGACTATGGTATCGGATACGTCGTGATGTGCCAGATCTTCATCGCCGTCGCTGGAGGAACTCTCGTCATTGGCGAAGACATGGCTGTCATGACCGCTGCTGACCGCGAAGGTGTGCCAATGATGTTATCTATCATCTACCTCGCTTCCAACATTGGTGGCTCAATCGGTACTGCTGTCTCCACTGCCATCTACGGCAATACTTTCACTGAAGCGCTTTCGCGAGCTTTGCCTGCCAATCTTCAAGACCAGGTTCAGAAGATTTATCTTGGAGGTTATCTACTCCAGGAGACTTACAACCCGGGCACTGTTGAGCGCACCGCGATCAATTATGCTTGGGGACAAGTGCAGTATTACAGCTGTATTTCTGCTGTGTCGGTTCTCGTTCTTGCAATTCCGGCGATTGCCATTTGGAAGAATTACCGTGTTGATAAGCAGCAGAATAAGGGTGTGATGATCTGAGCGGAAGTTGAGGCTGGAGGATCACAGGACGAGGGAAAGATGTTGGGTATGGCTTGACTGTGAGCAGGATGGACTGTTCGATCATCTGCGTATTGCACGGCTGGCTAGCTGTCAGTCTGGATTGATTGCATGCCAGCTTTTCTGATGTGAGCATCGAGAGTATGCATGATCAGCATTGCACAGAGAAAAACATGTTCATGGAAAGCAAGCATGGAGACAATGCAAGGAGATTGATGGTTTCCTTTGACATCGAAGCATAAGACTAATGGCGTTCGTAGCTTTATACCCCAGGTATCTGTTTACTTCACTTCAGTACGATGCCCCATTTCAATCGTGCAAGTAAGCGGAGCAGCCAGCATGGTCATCCACTCTACGGAAGGCTAGATGTCGATTGGTATCGGAACATGTCATGTTGGGTTTTCATCGTTCTTTATTGTGGCGCTATCAACTTGGGTACATTGCGAAGAAGGCAGGAGGTGATACTGTTAGCTTTTGTCGCAGCCGCAGCTGCTTGGGGCCTTTTCCTCTCTCCCTTCATGTCGAAGGGAATGCATGCCAGACTGCATCTTGTGCTGTCTGTGCTGGTGACAATCTGTGTAAGAAGCAAGTACTTTTCTTGTATCGTGGCGCTCTCGAAGAGTGCAGTAGTCGTGTCGTTGCGATGGCAGGATGTTTCTCCAACGTCCAGCCTTGAAGCTGCCGCTCCAGACCCCCGTTGCGTGTCCATATGCTCAGTCTCAAAGGCAGTCTGCTCATCACCGTTCAAGATTCCGTCCGGTACCAAGACAGAGTGTTCCACCAGGTCTGCGCATACTCCCAATCTTCCACATCATCCTCATCCTTGACACTCTCAGCCAAATGTCTCTCACACTCTGCCAAGTACTGCTCCAGAGCCTCTTGCTCTTCACGTTCTTGCTCTCTGCGCTCATATTCTGCACGCTCCTGCAAGCACCTGACCTTTCGCTCGCGACGCTCGATGAAAAGCGGATCGTCTTCGCGCATATGGACAACCGCGTCCCAGCTGACATATCCGCAGAAGCGCTGCCAATCGCAATTCTTGTGCTTCTCAAGAAGCTCAGTCAAAGCATCATGCAAGCTGCCCACAGTGAAACCTTCAGACGAGGGGGCGTGAATCTCACTGCTACCTCCGCGAAGCTCGGGGTCTGCGTATGAGGACCCGCAACTAAACGACGTGAAAACCTGCACGACTGGAACCGGTGAACTGCAGATACGCATGTCACCTACCCTCGAGCCGAATGTTTTCTGTGATCCAGGCTCGTCAATGCAGAAATCTCCATGAAGAAAAACTTCGCTTTCGTCGTACTCCAGAGCTTGATCATAGTTACATCCATCCTCATCCAGGTGCTCCCACTCAAACATTTCGTGCTGATCATCTGAGAAGTCTTGACCACTTGGTAGCATTTTGTCGGTGAAGCCGTGGGCGTTATAGTGGTATGGGTCGGAGAAGGGGGAGTAGTAGAATCCATCGATGGAGGACTCGAGGCCAAGTAGGCGTTTTAGTTTCGTGGATCCGAGGATCGTGTCGTGCCAGCGGCGCTGAACGAGCATGCATTTGAGCTTCTGGCGCGTTGGACTGTATGTGAGGATATGCTCTAGGAGCTCTGGAATTTGGAAGACTTTTGATGCGGCTGCGCCGCTGGTGGGTCGGAAGAGGGGGGGTGCGAGATTTGACAGCTTGTTGATGAGAGTGCGAAGCCCTTTGGTGTTAGCCCGCGCTTTCTCGAGTTCGAGTCGTATCGGTTGGGTGGCAGTGACTGAAGAAGTTCCAGGAATGTCTTCGAGGAGGGCGAGTGATTTGCTCAGGCCGGTTTCGAGAGCTTCCGCCTGCTCCCAAAGTTTTCGCAGCTCTGCAATATCAAGCCCGAACTGGCGGGATTGAACTTGCTCGTAGAGTGAGTTGTAAAACATATTGGGAACTTGCGGTTCGTAGGGAGCATAGGGGTTCCCGCGCCATTGGACGTTGATGTGGTCAGACATGTTGGAACCTTGACTTTGAGCGCAGCGATAGAAGGCGTTTGCGCGAGCTTGCTTCGATGACTGGACGGTGTGAAGAGGTTGTCTGTGTGGTATAAACATAGGGTCGGCTCGGAGAAGAGTATGTGCAGCGGGAAGGAAGTGGTGAATGAATGAAAGTGGAGCTCGTGCTGCCTCAGGACAGCTGGAAGGGGACACATGCATGCATATTCCACTGACGTGCGCACAGGGCTCGCCACAGGATCAATGATGGGTGAAGCTCAGCACGTGATGCATACTAGTGTGACCTAGATGAAATATAGTTCCAATTTGTGTGAAAAGCAATTACTTTTGTTGTATCACTCCTCTGGTGAAGAGTGCAGTGGTCGTTTCGTCGTTGTAGAACGGCCCAAATCCTCCCTCCCCCAGTGTGGTGATGGACTGTGATGAATGCATGCGCATTCGCATGGACTGCCTCGCAATCTGTGTAGAAAGCAAGTACTTTTGTTGGCTCGTGGCGCTCTCGAAGAGCGGGATGATTTGCTCATCAACGTCGCCATGATGTTCGTTCGATTCTCGAAGCCGAGTCGCTGCCCCATTCCATCACTCCATGTCCGTGCTATCGGCCTCCAAGACCGGCTGCTCATCAGCTCCATTCTGCTCCTGCTGTTCAGTGATGTCACCAGTTTCGGCAGATACGCCTTGTCCAGATCCATTCACGTTTCCGCTAGCCAGAGGATCGGTATCGGCATTCTCTTCGCTGCCGTCTTGTAGCGGCGTTTGGTCACGAGTAGTTTCGTTATCGTCAGAAGTATGGGTGGCGACCGCAGCTGTGTCGTTGACCACAGGTCCTGCAATCTGCTCGTCGCCATTCTCCGCATCTTCTCCTCCCGTTGCGTCCCCCCATCCTTCTTCCCAGGAGCCCCACCCAGCTTCACGCTCCCTCTCCCTCTCTGCAGCTCTGCGTTGAGCCCTAAGCTTGAGCTCCTCGCGTTCGATACACTCTGGGTCGTCTTCGCGCAGGTAATGCGTTGCAGAGATCTCGATACGCGTATAGACGTAGTGATCACGCCGAGGTGGCGCATGACCAGATTCGTGTTCATCCAGGACTTGCTCTAAAGCTTCATGCAAGCTACCAACAGTGAAGCCTTCGGAGGAGGGCGCCTGAAGCTCGAATGGATGACCTTGTTGTCTATCATAGAGATAGTCATCTTGTTGTCGATCATAGAGAGTACCGTCTTTGGCTGTACAGCCAGTGCAGAGCAGGGTGGCCTGCCAAGTTAAGATCGGCGGACTGCAGACGCGCATGTCTCCCACTCGCGAGCCCATCGTGCGTCTGGCGATGCAATGGCTAAAGAATCCTTGTAGTCTGACTTGGCTAGTGTCCCACTCCCCAGCCCATTGACCGCTGGTGACGTGATCGATGTCTCGTGGCATGTCCCATCGCTCCTCCTCGCCCGGTGTGATTTTATTGTCTGTGAACTCGGTACCGCCTGGCAAAGTACGGTCCAGAAGCCCGTACCGACCATAATGGATTCGGTGGCCGAAAGCACTGTGATAGAATTCATTGTCCATGGGCTCCAGGCCAAGCGATCGCTTCAGCTTCACCGATCCGTTGATGGAGTGGTACCAACAGCGCTGCACCTGCATACATTCGAGCTTCTGGCGGGTTGGCAAGTACGTCAAGACTTCTTCGAGTAGCTCTGTGGTGCTGAAGACTTTGCTCGCCGCTACACCACTATTCGGGCGCAAGAGAATTGGAACCATGTTCCACATCTTGTCGATGTGGGCTCGCACAGTCTGAGCTTTTGCGCGCGCCGTCTGCAACTCGACACGTACCTGTTGCGCGGCGATTTGCGCACCTGGAACAGTGTCGATAAGGGCCAGTGATTTGCTCAGGCAGTCCTCGAGACCTTCTTGTTGCTCGAGCAGCTCTTTCAATTCTGCGAAGTCAAGAACAAATGTGTCGAGTTGGAGCAGGGAAGGGCGATGTTCGACCCAATGGATTTCGAAAGCGGAGGCCATGTCGAGCCCTTGATGTCGATGACTGTCCGTGCAGCAAGGCGCGAGAAAGGTGGACGGTAGTGTGATTTGACGGATTGCCAGTGGAAGGGTGCGACGTTGTTGAGGTAAGAAAGGGCGCAAAGTGGAGCAAGGAAGTAAGCTCTGCGATCCAGGAGGACAAAAGTAGAAGTGACGCTGCCTCAGGAAGCACGACGCCAGAAGTGAGCACATGCACAGATCAGCCTAGTCGTAGCAAGACGGCAGAAGCGTGAACTGTGATGCATTTCAATGCGACCTACGTGTATTGTCCACGAATGTCTTCTACCCGCGATTGATCAACCTCGAAAACATCGCTCCTCCCACATTGCGTGCCAGCGACCCAGTGAACAGTCCTCTTTCCACCAGTCCACTCGCCTGACTGAACTTGTCACATCTCGAGAAAGCCAACGTATTCGTAATCGTAAGAACCAGCGCAATAACTGCAGCGCAAACCATTAGCACAACATCCCCTCCCGAACCACATCTCAACCACAATGTACTCACCAACCAAAGTCAACCAAACAAACGCCAACTTCACAAAAGCCACAATCGCCAACGCAACCCAAAGTCCCGGCTGCGCATACAACGCCAACCAAAAGAACCTCTTATCCGTCGCATTCACAATCTTTCCTCCCGGCTCATTCGCCTGCGGCGCACTTTCAAACACCCAATGCGAATCTCCCGTATTGGTGTTGACTTCATTCCACCAGCGCAATCCCACGAGTCGGCGGCCGGCGATGTTTTTGAGGTAGTAGAAGTCCATGGCTAGGAGGATGATGGTTATGATGAAGATCATGACGAAGTTGGTGGTGAAGATCATGCCGAGGAGATAGACGAGGAGGGAGGCTGGACAGTAGAAGAGGTTTGGTTAGTGGGTGTGAGAGTTGAGGGGAGGGAGTGGTATGGCGTACAGATTCGAAAGGCGAGGAAGGTGACGAGGGTGATGGGATGGGCGCTCAATCGCCAGTTGAGGTCGCCGGAGGAAGGCTGGATGTCCGCCATTGTGGGCGTAGAGTGGCGCGATGCGCGCTGTGGTTTCGGAGAGCGGCGATGCTCGGAATGGTCAAGTTGTGACTTGGATGTCTGCTGTGAAGCTCATAGCTCGAAAGTACGTGAGGTCAGATCGCCAGAGGACGCGTTTCGTGGAGAGAGCTGTCGGCGAAGCGGAGAAACTGTTGCTCCGACGATTATGCACAGACGGCAATCACCTCACTCTGAATTCCATAGAACGACCTCAACAACAAAGCAATTGGTGGATCGGCCTGCCTCAAAAGACTCAAAGCAGCTCTACTGCGTTCGACAGCCACTACTCCATCAAGGCATTCTTAAGCCCCGAGGGACGCGACTTTGTGTCTATCCCGAAATGGTTCTGCGATGGCAGCAAGACAAGAACATGAACTGATCACTATACTCTACGATTCCCGTTTCCGCGACCCTGCTTCGAAATCTCTTCGGGACTGCCTGTATGCATACGCTCTTCCTGCATCGTCACCATACTTTCTGTCCTTGGGCTGCAACAGACTCCTGCAGGAGCATGGGGTCAATCGGCAGACGAAGAGAGCCTGGGAATGGAGGCGGGATGCGGTTGAAAAAGAAGTGACCGCGGCAAACCCGCTCCAACCACAAGGAGTCGACAGTGACCAAGGTCAGAGCTACAACGGAGCGCAATCGCGAGCACCCAGATGATCCAATCGGATCATCTGAGTAAAGCTCATAGCAAGCTTCATCAAAATTGGCAAGCGGCACGAGGTATTGACAGTCGAGGATGCAGAATTCGCAGGATTGCCTATCGTTTTCTATTTTGTCGCCTGCCAACAGCCGCAGTCCGCTGTTGCCCTCCCTGTTGGGCCATATAACGCAATATGGTCTACCACTCTTAGACTATTGCCAGAGGCTTCAACGCTCAAGCTCTCCCTATGAATGAGCTTTTGTTCCCGCATGGTTGTTTTGTTCTCAACATTGGTCATTGGTCGATTGGTCGATGGCACCGTTCGACGCGAAGGTAGATCTATGATTGGGAAGACAAAGGCTGTATACTCATCTTCCGATGGTATAGTTGCCCCATCGCTCCCACGAATCCGCATTGTGCTCGATGATAGCGATGCCTTGTATTTCGTCTCCGGTCTGGCCTGCATACTGTCAGATCACGGACTAGAAGGGGGGTCATGGAGCACGCGCAGTCACAGCTGGCACGTCCGAGCAGTGACCCTCACTCACCGATAACGCCAACTGCGTCTTGCTCGCTCACCCTCCACCCGCCTGCTCCCATCTCACCCTGTCGCTTCCAGGTCTCGAACAACTTCGATAACTGTCCATCATGCTGTGGAATACCATTGTCCGTGATGGAGTTGCCCAATTGGTAGAGCTCGGAGTATCTGGCTGTTTGTTAAATGGTCTGCGCAAGCAGAGAAGCAAGGCTGTGTGTACGAACCGTGGCGCGGTATTGTTATGCAAATTGCCCAGCTGATCAGTTGCCTCAGAGACGCCAACATCCCAGGTGAAGTCAGTTCTTCGAACAAAGCCATTTGCCCCAAGCGTGAAGGGCAGGATGAGACGGAACGAGTCTGCATATATCATATGCTCGGAAGCAGTCGAGGAAAGATAGAGTCCCGGAGCGAAGCCAGCTTCGTCATCAATGTTCTTTGCGAACGGAAAGAGAAGCTCCGAACTTGAGGGCACTCGTTGCGTCAGCGACGAGCAGTAGTTTGAAGGCCAAGGCACTCGATTGGACTCTTGAATGGCAAAAAGGAGCAAAGGATGCTCCTGCAATGAGTCGCTCATGCTTGTTTCGTCTGTTGTCGTGGCCCCGCTAATCCGTCTAGCGAGCTCGTCAGATGAAGGTATCTGCATTCCTGGGGCGATCCATTGGAATTTGGGTCGGCATGCTCTCGTGAGAAAACTCCGACGGAACGTGGACAACGACAGCGATGCCGCAGTGTCTGGGTTAAGCAACACACGGGGTGTGTCGTCTTCCAATAAACTCCCGCCATTGTTGAGTATGCGCTGCTCGACGCTCTCCACCAAGTCGTCCCAAGCGGAGAGTGCATCATCCAGATCACATTGCGCGACTCCGTTGAGTCGCCAGACTCCGTTCTGTTTGATAAACCTTTCTCGGTCTACAAGAAAATGCCACGAGTCCAATACTTGTTCCAGGCAGGTGAACTTCTGGGTATTGTGGCCGTTGACCAGAAGAGAAATCTCGCCTTGATTCGGTACAAAGATCGCCATGTGGCGGACTTGATCGAAGACGACACCAATGGAGGGACTCCTCTCGTGGTGTGATGCTTGAAATGCATACAGAGTCACAAAGCGATGGCGGTCCACGTCCAGAGCGGCTGGGACATCGATCTCGAAATCGTCGTCATCTTCACTGTACATGTCATGGTCCAAAGTGGTGAGGCCTTGATACGCCTCGTTGACACCGTTGGCAAACAAGTCGTCCGGAGAGGGTATGCCAGCAGTGCTCCAAAAGAAAGACTCCCCTGGTGCGGACACCCACGCAAGCTTCAGGAACTCCAGCACGTTGGGATGCAGCTTGCTCGAGACGTCTGATAGGCTGCTACCATGTACATGCCACCACGTCTCTGGCCGCGCCTCGGCGGAGTTTTGGCCGCCGAGCTGGAAGCCTCGTTCCATGAGATGATTGTGCAGCGCAGCACAACGAGCAGCATCGAGCGGCTCGCAGAAGGCAGGCGGATTCAGTGTGCCGCCGTCAGACGACCAATTTGGTCCCGTGATGCGTTGATCGGCCATATTTTTTGATGATTGTTGTTGAGGAGGAAATTGGGCCATTCAGTCGCTCCCAAACGAGGTCGTTCTGATGCCGCGCAGCAGCTCGAGATGCAGGGTTCCCCAGCAGCATGTCACCGCTAGCGCCATGAGTCGTCGAGCCTTGCGTCATGATACCACTACTGCGCCGCTGTTGAGACAATTTCAACAGAATGTGGGAGCGAAGGAAGCAAGACTATCGAAGTGTGAAAGATGCGAGCGCTCTGTGCCAAGACAGTCGTCCTGGAGCAGACTAGCGCCTTGACGTCGAAGAGATAAAAGACGACCGATTGAGCCGTCCCGAAACATGACAGAAGCCCTGCGCTACACTTCTCCTAAGCTGTTAGTAGCAGACTGACATCGGGCAAGGTGAGGAAAGTCGGAGCGCGTTGATAGGAGATCGTTCCAACCAGTACGTGCAGACTCACGATCAATCTACAAGATCTGGCAAGCGTCGCCAAAGAACATTCTATGCGCATCGAACGCAGAGTCGGAACGAAGGCAGGGAATTTCGCTTCGGCAGCAGAAGTCCCTGCAGCGCGCCTTCCTGCTGCTCAGCATATTCGTAGCAACGTGCACGGCCAGAATGAGCTTACATTATAGCTGTATGCGCTAAAGCAACACTCACAATGACGCGCAAGGGACAGCACAAAACTAACCCTTCACTTGGGTAACAACATCTCAAGCATACGTGCTTGCCAATTCAAGACGTTTTCCGTGACGACTTTCCGAAATTGAAGGTGCTCTCGAGGCCAGCAGATACATATGTCGCTATTCTGGAATCCGAGTCCCACACCGGCTCGCTCAGCGACCTCCTTACCTTACACCGCTCTTCGAAAGCCTTCAACAAGCCTCGAAGGTCTCAAATGCAGTCGTTATAGAATTCCAAGTGTTTTTGCTGGGCTGAAGCCTTTTTCATGCTTCGCAGGACCACAGCAACGCAGCAAGTGGTGGTTCGTCAAACGCATATAATGCTTTCAATACTCGAAGCCAGGACTTTCCTCCGCGGAATACACAACGGAGAAAGCCAAATTCTGCTACGCTTGCTCCTTTTCTGCTTCTCTCAACTATCCCAAGCAGACACAGCTTGCAACGTCTTCGACTCCTTGTATCGCAATCGAAAGCAATCCTGCCAAGGTGTGCAGTTCTTGTCTTGCTGGTGTCAGACCCGATGTGGTGGGGATTGGGGAAGTTGAACAGCGAAGCTGGAAGCTCTTCGAATGGAAGCTGCGCTTTCGTCGCTAATAGAGGGGTATCACGCCGACATATCGGTGCTCAGATCAGGTCTGGGGAGTCCGCAGTCCACCTGAGCATCGATTGATGTCTGGAATGAAGATGCCGTTCGCGTCGGCCACGCCGCCGACGGTTGGTATGCCGTGAGTTCGAGGGGGAGCCATCGCATGGTGGCTGCTCAGGGAAACTGAGATTGCTTGCAATGCCGACCTGAGAAACAAAACAACTTCTCTGCCGCTCTTTCAGAACGGGGGCTTTTCCACGACAGTGGGGCGTTTCAGCTTGGTGCTTCGCAGATTTTTCATACTACTGTCGTGATTCTGGCTTAGTCGGGGCGTCTGTGCAGAGCTGGCAGCTAAATGAAAGTTTACCAGGTATGGCATAGGGTTGCAAAACGGTATGCATTAACCAGACACGGAAGTCGCTATGGCCGGCTGGTCAAAGAGAAAGAGCACGGAGGCAGCTTCGTCCCGGTGGGCGGGTCGGGATTGGCATCACTCGTTGTCGCTTTATCGACTTGGCGACTTGGCGTAGCTTGCATGGACGTTCAAGAGTCCACAGACGACAAATTCAGCCGTGCCACAATACGACCGAATTCTGCGTTGCACCTTCTGAGTCGCAAGTAGCAGAGCAGAGCCGCTACAGTGATATTGGTATCACACTACCATTTGCAGAATCATGATCAATGATCTAGCAAAACTGGTAAGCTTCGCCAGAGAACGTTCTACGCGCGCAGAGGGCCAGGCTGGATCGTAGGCAAGGAAGCCTCTTCCGGAAAAGACCTCGCTGGAACACGCTTCGATGCGGCTCAGCAATTTCGTCCTATGGTGCACGGCCAATGTAGGCTTACATTATTGCTGTCTGCGTAAAAAGCAACGACAGGAGGTCTCACTTCGTCTTGCTAGCTGCTTGGCAATTATCCCGGCTTGGGAAACCCGCGCCTACTTCAAAGTGTTGCAGAAGGCAGACCACGACCACGTAAGCGGAACGGACCGTTCGACTTCACTTCTCCCTGTTCAACATGCAAGCAACCTTTTCTGAATTTGTCACGCCACAAAGCTTCTCCTACTTGAGAGAACCCTAGAACAGAGATCGGAGCCTGATCTCGCCAGATCATAGTTCGTCATGCAGGTTCGAGATATCGCCCAGGTCTTTCTGGTATCGGCACGCTTCTTGGGCCTCGCGCGAGAGCACTTTTGCATCGATCCCCTGCTCGTTGGTTCAATTTGTACTGAGATCTGGTGCTGGAGAAATAGGTGATGAGTGAAGATTCTTTGCTGATCATCCACTTTGCAATCGGAGTACAAGGGTAGCTTCAATTCTAAGCACCTGTTACCGAACCTGGAGCACTCTGCAACAAAGGCAATCTGTCAGCATTGATGAACAGGATGATCGGATGACCATTGACAGTTGCATATAGAGAGGACTCAATTCGCAGATACCCTGGTTTCGGTTGCGCTGTACCCATGTGGTTCCGCTGTTACAGATGAGTGGCTGTACGGGACAGGCATTCTCGATTGTCATCAATCGCTTACTGTACATCTCATTCGGTGCGTCCGCAAAGTGTCGCCACCTGGGGCTTCTCAACAAGCAGTGGAGGAAGATATTTTCTCTCGACGCGCCATTGGACGACCGAAAAAGGCGCGGTGGGACGTGCAAGCGTGCTGCAAGACTCATCGCTGCTGCTGCCACAATTCATCTCTGCTGGTGCATTATGGATCTGGCGGCGCGCTCATGAAAAATCTTCTGGAACACGGCAGCGCCGAGGGCGATTGCTGGAATCCGCCTACCCATTGGAGTTGACCATCGTTCCGTTCTTGTAGCACTACTCACTCAGGTGTTGTTCACAAATGCTGCAGCAAAGAATGCTCTCTGCCATTCGAATACAACAAAAGTCAGATGACTATAGGCAAATGTAGACAGGAGTGAAGCGACGCATCCTGGCTAATGTCGCGCTTGGCCGGTGTGGTCCGGCGGGTGCGGGTAGCGATGTAAAATCTTACGTAAGCGCTTACAATCCGCTTGTAAGCCAAGGAATCAGGCTGTAAGGCATCCGTAAGCGACCTCTCCGCACCTACTATACGATCTATAGTACTTTAACTATCTTATACCTATCGATATATCTTAATAGGCTAGCTACGTCTTAATAGGCTAGCTACGCCTTAATAGGCTAGCTATACTATAACGGTAGTACGTAGTAATAAACTATATAGCCTATATTAGCTAATCTAGTAGCTTATACGATTTCTAATAGTAAACTCGTCCTAAGTAGTTTAGTAGATATATTACTAATAGTACTAAAGAAACTAGCGAAAGCTATAAAGATAGCGAATACTATAAAGAAATATATTAGCGATAATATCGACTCTAAGAAACTACTTCTACTTAAGAAACTACTTCTACTAGTAACTCGATACTCGAATAGATACTAAACTATATCTACCTAGCTACTTATCTAGCTACTAGCTATCGACGATATATTTAAGAGCTTTAGTAATAATAAGATAGAAGTAGAATTATTAAAGAAGTATAAGCGGAAGATAATATAGAAGCTATACGAATCTCTAGCGTTTA